TGTAGCAGCAAATCACAATGTGTTCATTTCGTAATACATGGTTATAAAAAAGAAGAGACTAAATCTTCCCATTTGATCACATTTCATTCAAATGACAGTCGCTAAATTTTTCGAAAATTTTGAAAAGTTCAGTACTTTTTGATCGTTATAAGTGCAGTAATATACGTAAAAACAGTTCCGAACATTATGCACTATTATGACACCGATTTATTGGCTGACTTCAAAATTATTTCGGTGATTGCGGAAGGCACAAATTTCGATATGAGGGCACATTAATATTATACATTAGTATTTTCGTGTGTAAGTAGGTGGTTCTAAGTATGTGCTGCTATAGACACTAATTGGTCTTTGCCTCCGAAACGAACCAAACCGACCCGAAACCCGTTAGATGGTGTAGTTGTTGTGGGTGTAAAGTAGTTGCTTTTTGCAGTTTTGGTAGTAGTAGTACTGATAGTAGTAGAGGACTTGCAATTAAAATGGATTACTTTTTCGACACTGCAATATAGAGAAACGAAAACATTCAGTTTAATTCTTAACTAGAGGAGGGCGACGACTTGCTACTGGAATATTCTAAAATCTTTCTCGAGCTAGCTAGGCATTTAATACTGTTAGTAATTAGTCAATACATTATAGTTATTAGTTTAAAATTCCAATATATATTGATACATTGAATATTTAATTTTTGTAAAACAATAAAAGTGGTAAATACCAATAAACTCCATTTTAAGTTCAAATAAATAAATAAAAGCTCTGATAATTTCTTAAGCTGATACCGAATTCAAATTTCTTAGTTTATTTTGGTGTATTTAAAAGTTATTTTTTGAAGGTTTTTCTCAATCATCAATAAAAAAAGTGTTTCCCTTATCTTAGATAAAAAACAAAATTTGGTAAAACGAAAAACAAAAATCGAAACAGACTTATCAAAGAATGGTAATCAAGCCAATAAGGTTTATTTGCATGGTGAATATGTTGTTCTCTGCCAAATAATCGCAACATTCAAGTTTCAGGCTATATTTCAAACTTTGTTTACGGTGCGAAAAATCTATGGGGATCTTGACGAGGGTCCGGGAGCTACACGTTAATTACAACATTGCGGTTGCTTACCAGTATTGTCGTTTAGCAGGGGATCGAAAGCCTCCAGCACACTTACACGGGAGCTGAAAAGGTAAAAGAGTTACATGTTACTAACCAATAGTTTAACTTATTATTATATTAATACATACTAATCCTCGTGATTGAGGTCTATCAAATCGTTGCCCCGCCGAGTGCCAGCGGGATGACCATTGTTTCCAGTGTGGCTAGTGGAGCTCATGCTGCCAGTTGAGGGCACTTGGCGTCGCGGCTGGAAGGCTACTCCATTGGCCTCCACTGAAGATGGAACGGAATGATTGGACGGTTGGCTGTGATGGCTTGTTGGCGGTGCTGCAGGAGCCGGCTGCGATTGGGGCCGCCGCAAATCCATGTGCGTGTAAGCACCTCCAAAACCATATCCCTGTGATGGATACTGCGGCGGCATAAAGGCAGCCGATCCAGGGACTATGGGCGCCGTGTAGGGCGTTACCACTGCTCCCGGATAATACAAATAGGCGTTGGTCTGCGGCACTGGAGCGACGGCCATTTGGGCGGGCATGCTGTACAGCCGCTGGAGCTCCTCGTTATTAAGGGGCCTCTGTTGTTGGGCAGCCGGTTGGTAGGGCACCAACTGCATCTCACCGTAGGCTCCTCCTCCGGCTGCTGGAACCATGCCATACGGAGGGGGCTGAACCGAAGCCGGATGAGGAGCAAAGCCGTAATGAGGAGGTATCGATGATGCCGCTGCTGCTGGTCCAATGGGCACCATAGCCGACTGCGGATTGGTTGGCTGCATTCGCTGCAGATCCTCGATGAGCTTGCCAAATGGACTGCTACTCTCCGGCTGTTTGCTGGTTGGACTTGCGAAGCAAATCAGGTCGTTATCCGATACCTGCGGCGGCGGCGTCCGCGATCGCTCCACATTTCCCGGACTGGCGACCACCTGATGCACATCCGAGTGGCGTCGCGCTTGATTCACGCTCTGAGTACGTTGCGCCGCCTGGTAATCCCGACCAGAAAGGGAGGAGGAGGTCTGCTGATAGCCAGAGCCGTACTTCTTGTTTCGCCGGTAATCGTCGAGGGCATGCTGCTCCAGACTCAGGGCGGTAGCTTTGGCAAGGTCATCCTGGAACTGCTGGTCGTAGTCGATCTGCGCCTGATTTGACATTATCCCCTCTGAAGCGTCCGTTCCGTTGAACTGCGAATGGCAACCAGAACACAAGGTAAGAAATTTTCAAATTTTGGTTAACTTTTTTTCAGTTATTTCTCTTTCAATGCTTATTTGTTATTCCCGTGGTGAACAAAGGCGTTTTGCTTTTTCGACTCCCTTATCTCTGCGATAACAAACAGGCGGCGATAAAAGCGATTATGCCGTGTAAAAGGCAATGGTATGAGTACTTGGACGAAGAACAGGTGAGAAACCATTCGATGGGGGGAGTACCCTATCGGTAGGTTTTCGTAGAGTGCTTAAAAAGAGGACCGGCAATCGTTATTGGCAATTCAGGGTGATTCAGAGACCAGGCCAATATTTAATCAATGCTAAAAAGGTTCCCTAAGTTTAACGTCAGTAGCATTATCTCCTAGATTAAACCATTTGTGAACTTATGATCATTTTTTAAAACATTTTTATTAATATACTCTGATTATAATCTGTAATTACAGACTATTCTTTTTATACCCCTTACTCGTAGAGTAAAAGGGTATATTGTATTCGTGCAAAAGTATGTAACAGGGAGAAGGAAGCGTTTCCGACCCTATAAAGTATATGTATTCTTGATCAGGATCACTAGCCGAGTCGATATAGCCATGTCTGCCTGTGCGTCTGTCTGTCCGTCTGTCCGTATGAACGCTGAGATCTCGGAAACTACAGAAGCTAGAAGGTTGAGATTTCCCACACATATTCTTGGGCTTCCTACGCCCCCTCTAACGCCCACAATCGTCCAGTAACGATTTTAAAATGTGCCTGGCGACCACATCTTTTAAAGATTGCATTTATAATGCATAAAATGCGCAATCAAAAAATTTTGTATATGGGCACTTCCAAAAAAAAGTCCACCAAGCCAAAAACCTTGAAACTTGAAAAAAACATATTTCCACATAATTTTGCCCCGATATTAGTTTCTAATTAGTTGGATACTGAGCTTAACTACAAATTTGGAGTATAGTTTGATTATTTTTATGACAAACCCCACCTATATATGCAAAAATCAGTTTTTGGCTATTTTTTTGTTATTTTTTGGACCTGTCTTCTGTTGTAAATTTATCCTATAGGAATGCTAATATGTGACATTTTTCTGTACTGAATGCTTCATTCACATGCTAAACTATTAAGTTAAAAGCAAAACATCCAGCAATTGAGAGATAGAGGTAAAGAAATCCGCTTTACAAAACAGTCGGAAAAAATGTCCCGAGCGACATGTCCCGAGCGAATGTGGTTGAAACTGCATAAAAAAAAAACGGCAAAGAATTTTTGAGTAAAACCAAAATCATTTCACAGCGACATGTTTGAACAACATTCTAAAAAAATCGCATTCAAATATTCCATCAGAATTTGCTAATTTCTGGTGTTGTATGAACTTCCCCGAAATCCACTTCTATTTTTGTCCCGAGCGAATACGGCAGTTTTTTACCGATATCTTAAAAACTAAAAGTGGTACAAAATTAAGATTTTTACCAAAAATAGAGCTTAGGAAGAGTGAAAAGAAAAGCCCATAATTAAAATTAAAATCCATTGTTTTACAATTTTTTTTCAACTTTAAAGGTGTGCAAATGTCCCGAGCGACATTTTGGAAGTGCCCATATCCATCTTCCTCGCACTCCCTTTAGCTGAGTGATTGGTATTAGATAGTCGGGACACCAACGCGACCATAGCGTTCTCTCTTGTTTTTACTGTGTTTAATGTGCATGAGTTTTTATGTTTCCGCTTATTTTTAAATTTCTTTGGAATTGTTAAAATAAGCTAATATTATTCTTAAAACTTATAAAATTAAACGAAAAAAGAGTGCGAGAGAGATAAAGATATGCTAAACCTAACGGTTATCTTATAACGCTCAGAACTTTAAATAATTTAATTTAATAATAAAATATGGGAGGTAGATAGATTTTATATTAATGGGCCTTTTAGGTCAATCGATCCTGATACTGATCAATATCAGGAAACGATTCCTTCAACCTGTTACATACTTTTTCTCAAGTGCAATATATCTTCTTACTCTTGGAGTGACTTAAAAACAAGAAAGGAAGCTACCTTCGGCCAGCCGAAGCTTATATACCCTTGCAGATAAAGTAGTGCTCACTCGGTGCTGTTCCAGGGATTCCAGATTTAGCGTTTCTATTTTTGAATTTTGTTTTTAAAGAATTCAAGAATTCAAGAATTAAAACGCCTACTTCCTACAAAGTAACAATGAATTTTCTTATATATCTTTGAATATTCCTATATATATTAAGATATAGTGGTCCGATTCGGCTCGCTCCGACATATGTACTACCTGCAATTGAAAGAAGACTTTTGGGAAAGTTTCATCGCGATATCTTTAAAACTGAGAGACTAGTTCGCATAGAAACGGACAGACGGACAGACGGACAGACGGACCGACGGACAGACGGACAGACGGACAGACGGACATGGCTAGATCGACTCGTCTAGTGATGCTGATCAAGAATATATATACTTTATGTGGTCGGAAACGTCTCCTTCACTGCGTTGCAAACATCTGACTGAAATTATAATACCCTCTACAAGGGTATAATTATACCCATTGATATAAAAATAGAAATTATAAATTAAACTAGAATTTGATGTTAAATTATTTTATGAATGCCATATATTTAATAAGGTAAAATTATAAAGCTAATATACGATTTTAGGTTCGGGAAAAAGAAAAATTAGGAATCGGGCGTAGATCAGGTCGTGTGTGTTCTAATGGAGTTTAATCACTTTGGTGTTTTTTGCTGTTTGTGCGCCTTCTGCGTTTTATGACTTTTTTGCTTGGTTTCCTCACAACCTTCCACTTTCTTTTTGTTGCTATTTTGCTAGCTGATGAAGCCACGGTTGTGGTTGTGGTTGTGGTCGTGGCGGATTCTGTAGTGGCCGAGGACGAGGCCGAGGCAGCTGTGGTGGTTGTGGTAGTGGTGGCGGCTTCTGTCGTAGTTGTGGAACTGGCCGCACTTGACTTGCCCACCAGGACACATGCCACGGTGACCAAAAGGAGCAGGGCACAGGTGAACTTCATACTTATGCTTGGTAAGTGAATGCGATCAACTGATACCGTTCTGGAGTTTTGACAGCGCTATTTATACCGCTTTCGGTGGGTGCAACAATGGTATTAGCAAACATTTGATCTGGCTCTATTAAGTCTGGTCTCTTCGGTATCAGCGTGAGAACTTGATGCCTAACAGGGTCAAGTAAACAAAAATTTGCGAAAAATTAAGTCTTAAGCAATTGTTTAAATATACATACACGTTTCAGCTGGGGATTTCTAATAATATGCTGCACGCGCTTATAAAAGCAAATATGGACTCTATAAGGCGTATGTATAGAGGATTAGTTTGTAACCATATAAAATGGAAATAGTCTTGATCAGGATCACTAGAGGAGTTGATCTATTATCTATTTCGCACTCTTTTTAGCTGAGTAACGGGTATCTGATATTCGAGGAACTTTTCCTTTTTAAATTAAGACCCCAAAATGACAATATCATAAGAAACATTAAATAACTTCAAATTACTGAATGTGTTTTAAAGATTAAAAAGTAGGTCAATATTCTAAATTATTTTGTATCTGGAAAAACCAACGGAAATACCAAAGAACGAATTCTTACACTTTTAGGAGGAAGTGGGAATGTGATTGAAGTGTTATATGTAAGCCAAATATTTCTATTCCGAAAAGATACGAACAATATGTTGTGGATTGATGCTAAACACATATATAATAAATAATTGGGTACATTGTACATATAAACAAATTGCAATCGCTTCGAATTCGTGATTGCGATACAGCCGAATGGCGCAAAAAGGCACAATTGAGCGCGCAATTGTAAATAAATAAATAAATACAAACAATAGCGGAGGCATCAATTTGTGTGAATGAATGCTGCGAGTAGCGAATCCCCAGAGATTGTATATGTTTATAAGTATGTTAATACATCCAAGAGGGAAACGCTCCGATTTTTTCCCATTGAAACCATTCTCGTATGCAGATAGGAAACAGCTGTTCAACAGAAACACTCCCACAAAAGCCATGAGTGTGTGTGCGTTTGGCGAAAGGAGAGGAAATGGAAGATAAGAAAATGCGAACCGGCGAGGGAGAGCCAAAGAGAGGAGAGAGAGAGGACTTTTGCCGCAAAGGTTAAGGTAAATCAATAGATTACAACAAATACAAGTTAACTATTCATAAACAACCAATCAGCTCAATTGATTGCCAATTTATTCGAGAGTCAAGTAAAGGAACCTCAGAGTGAAATTTGAAAACAATAATTTCGGTGGAAGGGCGAACGCAAGGCAAATGATAATGGAGATAGTCGTAATCGTAGTCATTAATATGCAGACCGTCTTCCTCTTTGTGATTCTCATTCGCATATTGCCAACTTACTCGCTTTTTGAGGTGTCACCTCTGCTGTTTTTTATAGGTTCCGTTTTTTACTTGCTGGGGCTTCGAATTTAGACCATCCGGTAAAGCGCTTTGTTTTCACTTCTTTTCCTTTTTATTTATATTATTATAACCAAATACCGAATGGTTGTAACTTTTCGGATGATTATTTTTTCTTTTTGGACGGGGAGGTGTTTCTCCTCCTACACACCTACTCCCACACACACAAACGAGACGAACAAACACGGAGACACACGCACAAACAGAAAACTGTGACGAAAAACTTAACATGCAAAACGCCAAAATACTGATAAAATTTGTCTTATTTTATATTATATTCCTTCACTATCACATGCTATTAACACTTTGGCTGAGTTATGTACATTAAAAGCAGCTTTTTTTGTGTGCAAATTCTTAACACACGAACAACACGAAATAACGCAAAACGGAATGCAACAAGCAAATTGAGATGGAACATATAGCGATATTTTTCGGCAACTATCGATTACAGTTGCGCGACAATGGGTTCGAGTCGCGGCTAAATATTCATCCGTGTTTCATTTAAGGTTTTATCAGATATAGTTGGCCGTTACAATTTATATTTAATTCTAATAATTCCAGGATTATCTCTTAAAAGTTTTATCTTAAATTCATTTATTCTTTGTTTTTAGTAAAAAAAAACTTTTTATGGCATTGAACTCCATTAAAATTGGTTCTCCCGACTGAGTTTCTATTTGAAGTTGGCCAAAAAAGCCTCATCTAGGTCGAGGTTTCTGCCATGATCCATGGCCACCTTGGAGTCATCGTCCAACCCACCAGCCAATCCGTAGTCGGCCTCGTCAAGGGAACTGCTAGGCGGAGCATTGTACATCCTGCGGTAGGAGGCCTCGATGTTCTCGTCCAGCATTCGCTCCACAATGTCACTCGGAGCCTGTCCCGGTTCTTGAGCGGACATCTTGAGCAGGAGCTCCGCGCTGCCGGTCGTCATTTGGGGCAACTGAAGGTCCGTGGTCGTCACGAGATTATTACTATTATTACCCCTTCGCAGGGCGATCTCTGCAGATTCGGCTCCCATTTTGCAGAGGGCACATCTGCTGCGTAGAATCTGCTTTTTAAGATTCACCAGAGCGATGCGATCCTGGGCGAGGAGCATGCGTTCCTGAGCCAGCTGTGCCTCCTTCTCGCCGAGATCCTGGGCCCGCTTGCCCATTATCTTGAGCTTGGCCTGGAGCAGCTGGTCCGCTTCGCGAGCCTTGTGCTCGGCCATGTGGGTGCGACTGGTGGCCAGTCGATAGGCGCCGGTGGCCTGGCCCAGTTCGTCCTCCTTGAGATTCAGGGCATTCTCCTTGTCCAAGAGGAGGCGCTTCCGCTGCTCCACCTCGCGCTGCAGCTTGTGGCAGCGATCGCGCTCCTCATCCGCCCGCCGAATGGCCTCGCGGGCCACCTGCAGTTGGGCCTCCAGCTCCCGGCGATCCTTGTCCAGGTCGCCGTGCCCGTGGAGCTGCTGCCTCAGCTCCATTTGCTGGCGTTCCACTGCCAGTTGATTGCGCTCCTGCTGAAGATCCTGATGCAGTCGCTCCGTCTCCGCCAGCTGCAGGGACTTCAGATCCTCCACACGCTTCTCGTCCCGCTGCATTTGCTCTCGATGAAAGTCCTTTTCGCGCTCGAAGGCCTTGCGCTCCGCCTCCAAACTGGACATTCGCTGACGCAGCTGCCAGTTCTCCTCCGCGGAGTCCTTGGACAGGCGGCCCAGTTGCAGCTCCAAGGTGCTGACCAGCTCCATCAGGCGGCGCTTTTCCTCATCGGCCGTCTCCTCGTCGATCTTCAAGCGGCGCTCCTGGTCGGCCAACCGACGTTCCCGTGCCTCCAACAGGCGCTCCTTCTCCTGGCTGCCACTCATCCCGTCGCGCAGCTCTTGGAGATTGCTGGAGGCCAGGCGAAGGGTCTCCAGGTAGTTGCCATGATCCTGCACCGCCGAGAGCTCCAGCATTTTGGCCTGCCGTATGCCCTCGAGGTCAAGTTCGTGGGATTGGCGCAGTTTGCGCACCTCGTCCTCGTGATCCTGCCTCAGATTGGAGATCAGCTCCACGTAGTCCTCCTTCTGCTTCTCCAGTTTGTCGGTGTAGTACTGACGCAACTCGGTGTTTTCTGACTTGAGGCGATCCTCGACGGCGGACAAGTGCTCCTCTAAAACTTTTATTTGCTTTCTGGAAAGAGAAATTTATAGATTTTACTTTATATTGCTTAACTTTTGATTTCCAGTTATAAAATCTACTTAAAATCGTTCAATTCTTGCCATTTTCTAATATTATTTCAATAAACAATTTTAACCAAAGAGTTGTAAGCATTAAAAATATATTCATTGAAAGTCTTTATCCCGAAAAATATAAATACAGCTCATTATTATGTACAATTAATACATCATTATGGATATATAAATATTATAATAATGTATAATATTTATATTATTATTTGCATTGGAAATATCTTCCTCTGCATTCCGTAAATATCTGAATATCTTATTGATAAAGCTTACATTTTAGGAGGTTTTTAAAAATATTTTAATGGTTTAAGAAATGTATGACCCTTTGGTTCAAAAAAATGTTTGATTAACCATTATTATTAACCATTATAGATTTCGAACTCGAAATTAAATATAAACTGTGTTAAAATAAAATAAAATATTTAAAAATAAGGAAGTGATTTCATATATTTTGTTTAAAAATAATAAAATGTTAACAGATAAAATGGATAGTGTAATCTAGCTTCATAACTCACTTATACGAGGTATCAATCATTTCGATCTCCTGCTCGTAGTTGACCTTCATGTTGGCCACCAGTTCATCTAGTCGCTGTTTCTCCAGCAGATTCCGCTTGGCCTCCATTTCGAGTAGGAGCATTTGCTCCTGATCCTGGCTGGCCGCCTTCTGGGCCTCCTTCGTTTCCGTTTCCGGTACAGGTTTCTCAGGAGGCGCGATTGCGGAAACCACTTCCTGGACATGCACAGGTTGCGACATCATCAGCTGAATGTGCATATTAATCCGCTCCTGCTGCCCCTTGATGTGCTCCTCCATTTGCTGCTGGCGCTGCAGTTGCTGTTGGATTAGCGCCTGGAACTTTCGGTCCTGGCTCTCCTGGCGCCTCTGCATTTCGAGCAGGGTCCTCTCCTGATTCTTCATTTGCGCAGCTATCACTAGTTGCGCCTCCTGTTGCTGCAGGGCATTGAATTTGTGATTGCTCTCCAGATTGAGATTGCTGAGCATCAGGATATTCTGGGTGGAGGCAGTGACGCCGGATGGAGCTGGAATAGTAGGTACTTCCGGTTCCTGCTCCATTTCGTTCTCATCGGAGTCGGGAAGACGCAGGATATCGGCTGCATTCTTCGATGGTCCTTCGCTGGACGACTGTTTCTTGGGGGTTTGTGGCTTTGGGGTCGTGGGTCGCTGCTCCGCCTCCTGCTCCAGACCCAACCAATCCGCGGTGTTGCCCCGCTTCCTGGAAACCGGCGTGGACATGCCCGAAACAGTGGCATTTGTATCCCGGTTAAAGAGACCCAAAGGATCTGCATTAATGGTGGCCGACTGAGCGGAACTCCTTCTTCCCGTTGAAGTCTTGGGCCTCGCCTGCGAATTATCCGTGGTGGTGTCCGTGGATTGGCGGGACATCGATGGCTTCGCGGTGGCCGGACGTTTGCCGGCATCTCCAGACAGAATCTCATCGAAGATGTTCTTCTTGGGCTCCGCATTGCTGGTTAGCAGGTCGTCAAACAGGCTCCTTTTGGCACCACCACTCTTGGGTCTTTTCGGATCGAACCCCAAGTCATCGTCCTCCGCAAGATCATCGTCCAGCGAGATCGAGGGCTTCTGTTTCACAATTCTGGGCGTGCTGGTGGCATTGGGCTTGATCCTGGCTCCCGATCCCTGACCCTGCACATCCGCCTCCGTCTCCTCCTGAATGCCAAACAAATCCTCCAGTTTGCCCTTGGGCTTTGCCACTTTGGCCGGTTTCTTGGGACCTCCTCCTCCTCCGCCTGGAGTGTCGAAAAAGTTGTCATTGTCCAGGCTATTATCGCTAAGCAGCTCCGCCAGTGGATCGTCGTTAAAATTCATTCTGAAGTCAATTGGGAATTGAATTTAAGGATGGGAAACTATAAACATGAATATAATACGGTTGCCTAGTAACGCATTTTGAATGTCTACAGCTAGGAAAGTTATCGAAAGGGATGGAGTTGCTAAATAGCCCATTTAAAATAATTTATAGTTCAAAAATATAACGAGCATCATTTAATTTTAAACATTTTAGGGAATTTCTAAAAATGGAAACGCTTTTAAGAGCATTTTACTGATCTTTTCAAAAATGATATTACAAATTTTTAAGAGGGACTTTCTCTTTATACCTTTAAATAACAAGAATAGGATATTATATTTTATTCACCTACTTATAAGAAGTAGACCGTTAATTTTATTCTTCTCGCTAAATAACGGTAATTTCCCAATATTATATTTCTCAGCTTTCAATGGTGTTTTTGTAAACTCTGCCTGCGGTCACATTGCCCGATAGGTATCGATAACAGCCTTGTTATTGTTTTCTCTAATGCACTGATTTGGGTGTTTTGTAAATTTTCTGGAAAAATGAGCAACATTTACATCCAGGAGCCGCCCACCTCGGGCAAGGTCCTTCTGAAGACCACCGTGGGCGACATAGACATCGAGTTGTGGGCGCGGGAGTGTCCAAAGGCTTGCAGGAACTTCGTGCAGCTCTGCATGGAGGGATACTACAAGAACACCGAGTTCCACCGGCTGGTCAAGGGCTTCATTGTCCAGGGAGGCGATCCAAATGGCGATGGCACCGGCGGCGAGTCGATCTACGGACAGCCCTTCAAGGACGAGTTCCACTCGCGACTGCGGTACACGCGTCGCGGTCTCGTGGGAATGGCCAACTCCGGCAAGGATGACAACGCCTCGCAGTTCTTCTTCACATTCGCACCCACGCCCGAGTTGCAGAATAAGAATACGCTATTTGGGAAGATCACCGGCGACACCATATTCAACATGCTCAAGCTCGAGGAGGGAATCGTTGATCACCAGGAGCGACCAATGCACCCGCATCGCATCGTTTCCACAGAGGTCCTCTCGAATCCGTTCGATGATATTGTGCCACGCATTTTGGCCAAACCGTCCTCCAAAAGCAAAAAGAGCAAGAAGGAACGCCAAGGAGTCAAGTAAGATATGCGTTCCTGAATCTATACCAATTAATTAATATCACATATAACTAAACACCGGAATACAGAGCAAAATTTATCAGAAATTGAAAATGTTATAGAAATGTTAGCAGTTTAACATACATTCCTGTGTTAAAAAACACGCTGTGTAAATAACACGCTGTGTAAAAAACACGTCGCGTTAATAACACAAATGACATGTGTGTGTTATTTATGTTTCTAACATATGTAGGCTACAATTTTTAACACACATGTCAATAACTTTTTTTGAACCTAACACTTTGACATTTAACATGTTAATAACACAAGTTATTTACGAACCCTGTTCCTAATCACATCACTATACTTAATATACTACATGACCGTAACCAAAAAATTGTAACTTAAACCATGACCATATTTAAACCATGACAAAAATTTGCTTCGGTGTCATTACTTTTTCTAACATCTCCAAATAATCCACAGGAACTTTGGCCTGCTTTCCTTTGGCGAAGAAGCCGAGGGCGATGAGGAGGAGACCAACGTTTACGTAAAACAGAACGCCGGTAAAGCTAAATCCTTGCACGACGTCGTAGATGATCCCAAACTAAGCAAGGAACCCATAAGCGTACCCAAATCACAAACTACCGAAATCGAGGATCCCCTGTCCGACGATTGCCCTGAAAATAATGACAAGGAGAAACCTTCAACTGCCAGCTCAGATCTCGTCAAAATGAAACTGTCCAAAAGTTCAAAGGGTCGATCGGAGAAGAAATCGAAGCCGGTTGTAGAAAAGTCTGATTCTGAGGACGAAGAGGATGTTCTGATGACGCGCGAGCAAGAACAAAGTCGGAAAGTCTCAGAGGAAAAGTAAGTTTTATTAAAATATAGCTTATCATTGTTAAATCATTTCCATAATGTATTTCAGATTAAAGATCCGAGAAGAAATTGCTTCTCTCAAGAAGCAATATCAAATGGACAAGCAGATCAAAGATAAACTAGTTTCGAATGGACAGGAAAAGCCAGCGAAATCGTCTGAGTTGAAGGGTTCTAGTGAAAATCATTACATAAACGATTTTATTGAGTCCAAGGAGAAGTATACCGCCAAAGTCAAACTTCAGCCAAAAGGACAGTCAAGGTGGAGTATATTTCATTTACAAAAAGGTCTTGTAAATAACAATTATTTTCTAAACCATTAGGGAGGCTTTTACACTGAGTTTACTCTCCAAGTTCCGCACCAAATTGGACAACTTGAAGCAAAAGACAACCTCGGATGATGGCGAGCCGGAACCCAAGGAATTGGACGATCGTTCTGTGGAGCAGGAAATAATCGGCGACGACTGGCTGTCGCACACCTTAAACTTCAACAGCACGGCTCCCGTTTTGGCTAAAGATGCCAATAAAAAGGGCGACGATTGGTACGATGCCTATGATCCGCGAAATCCTCTTAACAAACGCAAGCGGGGTGAAACTGGTTCGAGTTCGGGAAAGTCAAAAGCGAGTAAACGTGACTTTTAAGCAAATATACAAAATAAAAAATAAAATGTTGTTTTAGTGAAAAATTTTTTTGGAAAATCTTGCGTTTAGCTTACTCAGATTTTATTTTGAATTTTAAAATTAAATATTTTTAAAGTTAAAAAATTAACGGTTATTTGTTTAAAAATTGAACCAGGCAGCATCGATAGTACTATCGATAGTATAACTATAATGAGTACCTACTCGATTTACCGTTATCGCTATCGATTGCCTTGCAGCTCTGCCAGCCACTGTTAACCGACAAAAGACAAAAAAGCGTATTCAAGGTGAAGTAATTGGCTTCAAAATAACAGGTAATAATAGCTGATTGCCAAATCGATTTGCCCACTGGCTGAAGTGTCTGAAAAACTTCACAGTTTGCTGGTAAAACGGGCGCACAAGTGCCAAAATCAGATGGTTGCGTCAGGAGGGAATTATTGATTTTATTCGTCATTTGTTTTTTCTCGGTCGCCACAGCTACTGGACTTTTTTGAGGGGGAGCTGCCTGAGTCACTGAGTCACACCGAAGATATTTGGAGATGAGTGCCAAGAGCAGGAGACCCGGGACCGGCGGCAGCCAGACGCCCAACGAGTGCGTCCAGGTGGTGGTCCGATGCAGGCCGATGAGCAACCGCGAGCGCTCGGAAGGATCGCCGGAGGTGGTCAACGTCTATCCCAATCGGGGCGTCGTGGAGCTGCAGAATGTGGTGGACGCCAACAAGGAGCAGCGCAAGGTCTTCACCTACGATGCGGCCTACGATGCGAGCGCCTCGCAGACGACGCTCTACCACGAGGTGGTCTTTCCCTTGGTCAGCTCCGTTCTGGAGGGATTCAATGGTTGCATCTTCGCGTATGGGCAAACGGGCACTGGCAAAACCTTCACCATGGAGGGAGTGCGCGGAAATGACGACCTAATGGGCATCATACCGCGCACCTTCGAACAGATCTGGCTGCACATCAATCGCACCGAGAATTTCCAGTTCCTTGTGGATGTCTCCTATCTGGAGATCTACATGGAGGAGCTGCGCGATCTCCTCAAGCCGAACTCCAAGCACCTCGAGGTGCGGGAACGGGGATCGGGCGTCTACGTGCCCAATCTGCATGCCATCAACTGCAAGAGTGTGGAGGATATGATCAAGGTGATGCAGGTGGGCAACAAGAATCGCACCGTGGGATTCACCAACATGAATGAGCACAGTTCAAGGTGGGTAAAATTATCAAGGAATCTTTTTATCATAATACATAATAATATCTTGCAGATCCCATGCCATTTTCATGATTAAAATCGAAATGTGCGACACGGAGACGAACACCATCAAGGTGGGCAAGCTGAATCTCATCGATTTGGCCGGCAGCGAGCGGCAGTCGAAGACGGGAGCATCGGCGGAGCGCCTCAAGGAGGCCAGCAAGATCAATCTGGCGCTCTCTTCGCTGGGCAACGTCATCTCCGCCCTGGCCGAGAGTTCTCCCCATGTTCCCTACCGCGACTCGAAGCTAACGCGATTACTACAGGACTCCCTGGGTGGCAATTCCAAGACCATTATGATTGCCAACATTGGACCCTCCAACTACAACTATAACGAAACGCTAACCACCCTGCGTTACGCCTCGCGGGCCAAGTCCATTCAGAATCAGCCGATCAAGAACGAAGATCCGCAGGATGCCAAGCTGAAGGAGTACCAAGCCGAAATCGAGCGACTCAAGCGGCTGATTGCTCCGCAACAGCAGCAGCGCAGCGAGAAGCTGGTGACGATCAAGAAGCAGCGCGTCAAGAAGCCCAAAAAGGAGCCCGCAACCGACTCCCTGCAGGTCTCCGCCATTGAGCAGCCGGCGGAAGAGGAGAGCGAGGCAGAGGGCGCCGAATCCGAGTCGGACAAGGAAAACGAGGCCGAGGTGGCCAAGTCCAATGAGGAACTCGAGCGAGAGCGTGTGGAGAACACCAAGCTGGCCGCCAAGTTGGCCGAACTGGAAGGTCAACTGGTGCGCGGCGGCAAAAACCTGTTGGACACGTACAGCGAGCGGCAGATTGAGTTGGAGAAGAAGCTGGTGGAAATCGCGGAGCGCAAGAAGCGCGAAATCGAAATCCAACAGCAGCTGGAGCTGCAGGAGGAGACCACGCTGGAGATACGCGAACGGAACGTTTCACTCGAGCAGGAAGTGGAGCTGAAGAAGCGCAAGCTCTCCAAGTGCTATGCCAAGTACTTGGCGCTGCAGCAGGAGCTCAATGACTGCAAGTCGGACCACAACCAGGACCTCAGGGAACTCGAGATGGCCCAGAACGAACTGGTGAAGGAGTTGAAGCGCCAGCTGCTCATTATCGACAACTTTGTTCCCATCGAGGTGAAGCAGCGTCTCTACACGCAGGCCAAGTACGACGAGGAGCAGGAGGAGTGGAAGTTCTCCTCGATGTCCCTGCCCGCTCCCCCCGGTGGCGATGGCAAGTTCAGCAGCAGGCGACCCGTTTCGCATCCTCAGCGCAGGAGACCCATTTCCGAGCACGCCCTGCAGGAAGCCAAGTCGAATGCCCCGAGCTCGCTGCGCTTCAAGAGCGAGAATATAGTAAACTACGAGCTGGAGATGCCTTGCCGCACCACGCAGGAGTATCGCACGCCCAAGGTCTCGGCCTCGCTGCAGGCGGTGCTCGCCCAGGCCATGCAAACGGGCGGCGACGACATCGACATTGTGGATTCACACACAAATTCACTGCGCAGCCGTCTGGAGAACATCATCAATGCGAATGCGAATGGAGGAGCTAATCCTGGTGCTGGCTCAGCTGTGGGCAGCTCCATTCCCAATGTCCGAAATATTAAATCGAGCCGAGGTTTGCCCAGTGCCGCCTCCAATCTGGACTCCAACCGCCGTCCGCCCACGGGCCGTCTGCCGGCAAAGAAGCCAGCTTCGGCGTATCCCAAAGCCCGCGGCCTGGTCAACAAATAATCACAAGCGAATAGAATTATCATGCTAAAACACAACACTAACCAAAGTATTTCATAGTCATCGCAATATGTACACCTCGGTACTCCTAGCCCAATCTACTCACATTTCGCGCTTTGTAAAACGTTTCCTTTTGGTTTGAGACAACCAAAAGTTGCTTGTCCAACCGACCCCACTCTTTCCTTAATTGTTTTTATTTGTTACTCGACTCGAATTATGTTTTGTTGTTAATTTTTAGTCTATATGTATGTATGTTTGTGCTCGTTTAAGTTGGCGCGTGCATTTACCGAATGGAGCCAATCTTTCTTCTATCGTGCAATCTAAGTTTAAGTTAAAACCAACTGCAACAGTCTATTATTTACTTAGTAAATGATCTTTAGTTAATACTACGAACCAAATAAAGCAAATCCATAAACACAGGAATAAATATGATTCATTGGATGGCGGTTTTCAGAATCCACTATTAAAATCACCTCAGTATTCAAAGGATCATTTCTTAAAATTTTATTGGTAAATGCAGCACTTTTATTTAAATGCAAGATTAGACTTTTTAACAAATATTTCGAAGAATATAAATGCAATTTTCAATGCTTCACCCAGTTCTTTTACTGGATTACCAAATAAAGCAACTCCATAAATACAGAAATAAATATGATCCATTGGATGGCGGTTTTCGATAATCCACTATTAAAATCACTTTAGAATTCAAAAGGATCATTTCTTAAAACTATTGTTAAAAGCAGCAGTTTTTGACTTTTTTACAAATATTTCGAAGAATATAAATGCAATTTTCAATGCTTCACCCAGTTCTTTTACTGGATTACCAAATAAAGCAACTCCATAAATACAGAAATAAATATGATCCTTTGGAAGGCGGTTTTTGATAATCCACTATTAAAAACAACTTAGTATTCAAAGTATAATTTCTTAAAACTTTATTGGTAAATGCAGCAGTTTAATTTAAATGCAAGATTTGACTTTTTAACAAATATTTCGCAGAATTTAAATGCAATTTTCAATACTGAACCCAGTTATTTTACTGGATTACCTTCAGAGAGCGACCCACCTCAATGAATGCATCGATGGCCCGATCGATTTCAGCTTCAGTGTGGGCAGCGGATATTTGGACACGGATGCGGGCCTTTCCCTGAGGAACCACCGGGTAGCTAAAGCCGATGACATAGATGCCACGGGCTGGAAATAAAAAGATATCATAATATAATCTAGTTCAAAGGACAATAAAGTTCCAAACTCACTCAGCATTTCATCGGCGAACTTAGAGGCGAGCCGAGCATCGCCCAGCATCACGGGGCAAATGGGATGGTTCTCGCCGGCTATGGTGAATCCCGCCTTGGTCATGGCCTGCCGGAAACGCTGCGTGTTGCTCTGGACCCGCTGGGTGAGCTCGCTGGACTGGAGGAGCATATCCATGACCTTGAGGCCAACGGCCACCACTGCAGGCGGCAGAGTGTTGGAAAAAAGGTAAGGCCGGGATTTCTGGCGCAGGAAAGAGATTAGCTCGGTGGGACCAGTGGTGTAGCCACCGGAAGCTCCACCCAGAGCCTTGCCCAGCGTCGAGTTGATGATGTCCACCTGCCCCATGACATTGTCGTACTCCTCCGTACCGCGTCCCGTGGCTCCAAAGAATCCCGTGGCATGGCATTCATCCACAAACACCAGGGCATCGTACTTCTTGGCCAGCTCAACGATCCGCGCCAGAGGAGCGATATTTCCGTCCATGGAGAACACACCATCGGTGGCGATGAGCTTGAGCCGAGCATCGCTGGTTTTTAGCTGCTCCTCCAGGTTTTTTAAGTCCCGGTGCTTGTAGCGCTGCTTCTTGGCCTTGCACAGCCGGATTCCATCGATGATGGAGGCATGGTTCAGTTCATCCGAGAACACCGCATCCTCCGGCGTTAGGATGGCCTCAAAGATCCCGGCATTGGCGTCAAAGCAGGAGGCATACAGAATGGTATCCTCGCGTCCATGGAACTGGGCTATCTTTTTCTCCAGTTGCTTGTGTATATCCTGCGTGCCGCAAATGAAACGCACTGAGCTGAGACCAGCGCCATACTGCTCCAGCAGCTTCTGGCTGTGCTCCACGATCTCCGGATTGTTCTGGTGGTCAAAATATAATTTTTTAATTAATATTAATAAATTACACACATATTAAATTTCCCTACCGCCAGTCCTAGATAGTTGTTGGCGCAGAAGTTGAGTATCCTCTTATCGCTGCCTTCAACTGTTATCTGGGTGCTCTGCGAGGATGTGATGATTCGCTCTGCCTTGAAGGTGCCCGCCTCCTTAATCCCGGCCAGCTGCGTGCCCAAGATCTCCCGCAACTGAGTCTGAGCTGCGGCGCTATAATGACGTCCTCCCACTGGGAATTGGATGGTTAATTGCAGAAATACTTTAAGATGTTTTAATGTTTAAGAATAGTCGGAATATTTATATTTTAATTCTAAATACTTTTGCAAATATTATTTTTTGACCACAATCTATATTTTTTTTTTTTTTTTTTTTTAGATACATATACGAATACCAACAATGTGGTCCTAAATATTTCTTGTTTTAGGCAGATGAATATATAAATAAGAGATTATTTTTATTTTTACCAGTTATTTATAAGGTTTATGCGTTAATATTTTTATTATTTTATTATTATACATAGTTTTATTAACCGGCACGAGTTATGTGCTCATGGCTTACCTCCGCGAATGAGCATCATTTTTGAGAAAATTGACATAATGCCGCAGGTTTTTATATATAATTTTCTATTCGCGAATCTATATTTTCCGGCTGGCTGGTGTCCAGATCCGTTCGACTGCTCGCTCTCGACTAAATAATGGCAACCAGTCGACGTGGACAGAAAATGAAACAAGTCTCCCTAGTTGGGGGGCTCGCACTGCAAGCAGCTGACTTTTGTTTTTCACTTATAAATAGTACATGTGCCTATATCTATCTCCCACCAGCAAATACATGCCGGCTGGCTTTCGTTTTGACTGAATTGATTTAATTTGCTTTCACTCTCGTTGTCATGACGGCATATTTTCATAGGATACACATGAAGAGCAACTTAGATACAAATGTATCTGCTTATCTGATAACGTAGAACGAACAGATTGTGCAAATTGCTTCCAAGGTCATTGTCATTTGAGCTTTGCTTTCACTTCAATTGAATCCAATTCTAAAGATTTTCTGCTAAATGTGAACTAAACTGATAACGCAAAATGCAATATTCTGTAAATTATACTTATTTGAATATTTTTTAAATTTTTAAAAGAGTTTTTATATGTTATATTGTTATATTACCATTATCCATTTATTTATTAAATAGATTGTTAGCTAGCTATTCACTATTAATAAGAAAATAGAAAAAACTGTAAACGAGAAAAAATATGGGATAAAAAATCGAGTTAAATAAAAAACTTTCATGATTTCAGGTTCTACCGAGATTTGAACTCGGATCGCTGGATTCAAAGTCCAGAGTGCTAACCATTACACCATAGAACCGCTTAAATTTGGCTGCCCAAATTAGCTTATAAAAATAAACATCGTGCTTTAAAAACGAAACTCGTTGTTTAATTGCCTTTAGCTTTGAAACACATTTGTTATCAGTTAAATTTAATCGGGAATGGCTCGAGGTCAATATAATTAGATTGGAAAGTCAAAAATGAGTTGATAAATGGGTGATTAATATAATAAGAACATCTTTAAAATACACTTTAAGTGTATAAAACATACATATATGCATTGAGTTTAATATACTTGAAACTTAAATTTATGGCAAGTTTTAGTCGATGCTTAAATGCCCTTTCAGTTATGTGATGTTCAAATTTATAAGTCCGTTTTAAACTTTAAAGATATATTTATTGAAATAGAAGACAACTCTTAAAATAATTTTATAACGAAGTTTTCGTCGTTAACCTTATTTTTGGAAACAATTAAGACGTAAGCTTAAATATATAGTTGTAAACTAGTTTATTACATTCAGAAATAACTCGTATGTTCCGAAACACTGCTGAGCTCGAATTTCGATTAGATACAATTTTTTAAATAATATTCTCTAAAAATATTCAGGGGTAGTACACTGCGAAAAATGGGTCACTTAGAGAAGATCCAAATATTGTAATTTCTATGCTAAGAGCAATTCACCAATAGAAATTATGTTCCACAGTTCAGTTTTACCAGTATATCGTAGACGCCCACTTTTTGGCAGTATAAATTGAGAAACTCAAGTTCGAATGGCTCCAGTTTCCGTGGATATCGCCTGTCGTGTGGTTCAAGTTTTTTAAAACTTTCTAAATAATTAAAATCTTTAAATATTTATTAAAATAAACGCTGCCCCCAATTGTGAACTTGTGACCTAAAAAGAAAATGAAGAAAAATGATTCTTAAACTATTAATACTGGTGTTGTGCCTGCAAATCTACTCCGCCAGAGAAGCTAGTGATAATCTGGAGCAGCGTGCTCGGCTAGTGAGACAATCTAACAATAATCTGCTACTCGAGGCAGCAAGGGATCAGAATGTCACCCTGCGATTGATGGGTGAATCGGCCACCGTGACCGTAAATGGGGTGGACATGGTGTCGCTGCTCCGGCGGCGCCAAAAGATCATAGTCGATCGCCAGGCGGCGGCTCGAAGGGAGCCCCTCTCAGTGGAGGTGGTCAAGGATCAGTTTCGGGATGTGGAGCGCAGAATGGCGAGGATACAGCGTCGGGTCTTCAATGCCAGGAACTCCACGCGAAGGAGCGGACTCAAACAACGCACCCTGCGCCAGCAATTACAGAAGGTGGAACGCGTCAGTGGAATCCTGCGGACCCTCAGCGCAAATCTGGCCAAGAACGAGTGCGAATCCAATCCTTGCCAGAACGGCGGAACCTGCCACGACGCCTACAAGGGATTCCAGTGCGAGTGCTCTGCGGGTTGGCAAGTGAGTAAGCGGGGGCGTCTCCTCAGAGATTGGGGGCGTATATTGAAAAGAAAAAAAATAAATGTGATAAAATTATAAAGTCGGTGATTTAGCATACATATACTTTATGGCCAGATATCAGACGCTTAATTTGAAGTATTTTAATCCTAGCTTACAATTGATCATCATATTCTTCAGAGGTGTTTCCTTCATAAGGATTTTGGGCATATGAAGTTTGCTTTAAAATAAGATCACTAACAGGATTTTTTGTGCTATAGAAAGAGATAGAGTAATTGCAATATAGTGTGGTGTCAGTTTTCCCTAAAGCCTAGTACCCACTTCAATCACAAAAGCAACGAAACGAAAATTTCTATATGAAAATTTCATGTAAATTTCAGGTCATGCGAAACCCAGATCGTTTTCGACCAGGTCAAATTTACCTGGCCTCATATCAAATTAAAATTTATCTTAAATAAGGTAAAATTGACCTACGTTTCATATCGATTTTTTTTTGGGTGTAGAGATTTTCATTTCGTAGGCTGTTTGATTAAAGTGAGTAAGGATCATATGGCTTTACACCTTCCAGATTGAAATTCTGTGGTTTGAATTTAAATTTTATTTAATTAAATGCTTAATTTTATGCTTAAATTAGGGCGTCACATGTGAGGATGATGTGAATGAGTGCTTCACCTTGGCAGGAACGGATTTGGCCGGATGCCAGAACAATGGTCAGTGCATCAACACGCCCGGAAGCTATCGGTGAGTGGAAAAGTGCCTCCTCCCACAGCTACTTCAGTTCAAAAACTCTCCCCTTCAGTTGCATTTGCCGGAATGGCTTCTCGGGCACCCACTGTCGCCTCCGCCACAACACCTGCTGGGCCAGTGGATCCCGGGAGCTCTGCGGCGATCACGGCACCTGCCTCCAGGCGTCCAATTCCGCCGGCTATGTGTGCATCTGCGATCAGGGATGGACGTGGGCCGATCCCAATGCCACGGCGGCGAGTCCAAGTGCCTGCACGCGGGACGTGGACGAGTGTGAGCCACGGGTGAATCCCTGCCACGATGTGTGCATCAATCTGCCGGGTAGCTTTCGCTGCGGACCCTGTCCACCTGGTTACACGGGCGACGGAAGGTTTTGCCAGGACATAGACGAGTGTGCCGGCGAGGATAATGGCGGCTGTAGCCTGGAGCCCCGGGTGACCTGCACCAACACGGAGGGCTCCCATCGCTGTGGCCGCTGCCCCATCGGTTGGACCGGCGATGGACGCACTTGCACTGCTCGCAATTCGAACTCCTGCGACCAGGAGAAGATCTGTCATCCGCTGGCCAAGTGCGAGTACGTATCCGACACGGTGGTCTGCACCTGTCCGCTGGGCAGCTATGGTCATGGTTACGGGGCAGAGGGATGCACCTCGGATTCCGGGAGGCTGCCCTGCGATCAGCATCCGTGCCAGAACAATGGAACCTGTGTGCAGAACGGCAGGGGAACCACCTGCATATGCCAACCTGGCTACATGGGTGCCCTTTGCAACTCTTCGGATGCGTGTCATCATCCCAGTCCCTGTTTGAATGGCGGAACCTGTCGCCTGTTGCCCGAGAACAAGTACCAGTGCGTTTGCCCACGCGGCTACACCGGCACCACCTGCTCCCATCAGCGATTCTTCTGTGGCAATACCATCCATGGTCCTTCGGGCCAGTTGCACTACCCGCCCAGTGCGGCAGATGGCGGCTATCAGGCGGACGAACGCTGCCCCTTCATCATACGCACCACTGCCAATATGGTGCTGAACCTGACCTTCACCCAGTTCGAGCTGCAGGATAGTGCCGACTGCTCCGCCGACTTTCTGCAACTGCATGACGGTGGCTCCCTGTCCACGCGTCTAATTGGACGCTTCTGTGGCTCCCGTTTGCCGGGGGGAAATGGCACTGTGATCACCACCCAGGAGCAGGTATTCTTCTGGTTCCGATCGGATAACCAGACGCAGGGTAAGGGCTTCCATGTCATCTGGAACTCAATGCCCTTTGCGTGCGGTGAATCAATCTACATGAGATTATCGCAGACTGGCGTGGTGCGATCTCCAGGATATCCTGGCAAATCCCGGCCAGGACTCGACTGTCGCTGGCTGCTGACGGCGCCGTTTGGCAACCGACTGATCCTTCGGTTCTACGACATATCGCTGGGCAGCACAGAAACAAATTGCACCCAGGATTCCCTGATTGTCTACGATTCAGATCGCCAGCTGCTAAGGGCCTGCCAGTCCATTCAACCCGCTCCCTTGTACAGTTCCTCGAATAGCCTGCGCCTGGACTTCCACACGGACGCACTGCGTGCGGATAGCTCCTTCCAAATGCACTACGAGGTGGTGCCGGGCCAGCCGGGATGCGGTGGAGTGTTCACCGAGTCGCGCGGCCACATTCGTGGTTTCATAGACGCCGAGGAGTGCCTCTATCTGATCGAACAGCCACGGGGAACACAAGTGAAGCTGGTGATCAATGAAGCAAATCTTCGTAGTTGTCTGCTCCAAAATATTGAAATTTATGATGGAAGAACAACCGATTCGCCCCTCTTGCAACGCGTCTGTGGAATTGTGAATGACGGTGAACTGGAGCCCCTGATATCCACGGGAAATGTGATGCTAGTGCGCTATCAATACGCTTTAGCGGGCTTGGGAGCGGGAATAAGCTATGATTGGAGTTACACAAGAGGTAAGTCCTAGCAAACCAAAATATTCTATTGCAAAAGAACAGCCAAAAAGAATCGATATGAAACGTAGATCAATTTTACATTTTTTAAGATCAATTTTAATTTGATATGCGGCCAGGTCAATTTGACCTGGTCGAAAAGAGTTTTTTTGTTGTAAAAACTACATACAATTTCAATGGCCATATCGATTTTACGGGAGTATGCTTTTTTTGTGTGTAGTTACATAATACTTATACCTATAATATGTTGGGATAGGTAAAATAATAATAATATAATACATGTAACTTGGTATCCCAATCACTAGTGTGTTCCGGCAGCTTTGATGGTTCCTCTGGAGTCATTAGTACCCCAAATTACCCGGGTCCCTATCCCGATGACATGATCTGCACGTACAATTTGACTGGGCCGCTGGATACGGTTGCTGAGATTAAAGTCACAGACTTATCTTTGGGCTCTGCCAATAATGCAAATGAAACTACTTATTTGGATGTAAGTGACATGTTTAAATCATAAAAAACCTAAACTATAAACCTAAAATATTTTAGGTTTATTTATCACGCGATGAAAGGCGGCATATTGTAAAGTCCACGGATAACCTAGTTCTAATGTCCCATGTTAATCGGGCAAGCTTGGTCTTCCGAGGATCCGGTAGTGGCCGAGGATTACGATTGGAATACAAGTTTTTGCCCAGCAATTGCGGTGGATTTCTTCATGAGCCAGACAGGCGATTCATCAAACGCGTTTACTCGTCATTCTGTCAGTTTTTTATTGACGTTCCCGGAAGAAAACGAATAAATTTCCATTCAATAAAGTCCATGAATAAGCCCCCATGGGATATTGTCATATATGACAATAGCACAAGTCCAGGAATATTGTTAAATAGGTTTGTATTTCCCCATTGAAAAATAAAAATGTTTAAACTTTCAATAACTTTAGATACTCGGATGAGGTGCATGATGCTTTCGATGGAGATCTTTTGACCATAAACTTATTTAAGGATAGCGGTTTCGGAATGGCTATGATAAGCTTCGACATTATCGAGCAAGGTACTTAAATATATACATTGGTATAATTAATTATAAATAAATTAATTCGTGAAACTTTTTATTAATTAATTTAAATCAGGTGAATGTGGAGGAACATTTACGGGACATTTTGGCTACATAAGGTCTCCAAACTGGCCAAAGATATACGGAGCATCCGAGAAATGTGAGTGGATTATAAGAGCCCCATTTGGTCACCGCTTGGAATTAGTGGTGCATAACTTCACGCTGGAAGGTGGATATGGAACTAGCAATTGTCTGGCCGACTGGCTGGAGATAAGGTGAGATTTATGTCATCTGTAAGCTATTAATAGTCCTATTAATAGGCCTGTATTCTTCAGTTCAAAGGATATTTTAATAAAGGATTTTATATAGAATTCTTATTTTAACTTATTTAAATTATAGATTAGTTTGTTGGTATATAGAAATTATGTTTTCAATTATTTTTAATTGATGTACAAATTTAAAATTAAATTTAAAATTTTCCCTTGTTTCCCTTAGAAATGGTGACTCGAAATCCTCGCCGCTAATTGGACGATATTGCGGGTCCGAAATTCCCAGTAGGCTACCCTCGTTCGGAAATGCCCTGCACCTTAGTTTCGAATCAGATACCAGCATAGAGAAGAGCGGATTCCTTTTGAACTGGCAGCAGATCGGTGCCGGATGCGGCGGAAAACTGAATTCACCCACGGGCAGCATACACTCGCCCCATTTGTTGGAGGGAAATCGTGGTGTTCTCGCCTGCGACTGGCAGATTGCCGTCGCCGAGGGTTCCCGAGTGAATCTGCAGCTTGAGAGCAGTGACGAGCGTCTCTGCAGTGGTCAACTGACCATCTACGATGGCCCCACCACCGCCAGCAGACCCATGGTGATGCGATGCAATGGTACGAGTGCCCAACCCTTGCAGTCCACCGGCAATCGCATCCTCGTCCGCTACGATGTGAGTGAGGAAGAGGGATTGCTCGACGGCACCGACTTTGTGCTGGACTACCAAACCGATTGCCGAGTTCGATTGGAAGGCCTGCATGGTGCCATTGAAACGCCCAATTTCCCCGAGAACTATCCAGCTAATTTGAACTGCGAATGGGATATTCGCGCTGGCGGACGGAAGAATCATCTGCAGCTCGTCTTGTCCCATTTGTCCTTGGAAGGTTCCTCGTCGACCTGCATTGATTCTGTGATCCTAATCGACATGCTGGACGAGCAAAAGCTCAGCGAGAAGCGTCTTTGCAACGAAGATAATTTAGCCAACATCACCACTGCCGGCAATCGGTTGCTCCTGCGATTCAAAAGCGATCCTTCAGTGCAGAGGCAGGGCTTCCGGGCGGAGTACAGGCGTATGGGATGTGGAGAGCATTTCCAGGATATGGGCACCAACTTTGAGTCCCCGAAAGCGCCGTTCAGCGTGGACATGGACTGCGTTTGGGTCATCACCGCATCGGAGGGCCAGCAAATCCGTCTCATCCTTCATGAACTCCACTTTGAGGCGCCCCAAATGGATTGCAGCAATGCGGATTCTAGCCTCTCCCTATCCGCACCCAGTGGTTTCAACTCCTCGGTGGTGCTGTACCGCAGTTGCCACGAGGAGACCCAGTCGCAAACCTTTCTCTCGCCCGGTAATGAGCTCGATGTCCACTTTGTAAGCAGCTCTGTTCCGTCGAGGAAGTACTTCAAGGCCAGCTACGTCCAGGTGCCGGCCAGCTGTGGAGGACACATTGTCGCCAGCAATGGTATGATAACAACTCCTGGCTTCCACAATCTCCAAGACAGCAGCAACGTAGCAAATTACTCAACAAATGTCGAGTGCGTATGGACTGTGCAGGTGGGTTATTCAATGAATAATATTCATGCATCAAGATTAGGTTTTCTTTTTCTGATTTGTATTTTCATTACTCATACACCCAAAAAAAAATCAATATGAAACGTAGATCGATTTTACATTATTTAAGATCAATTTTAATTTGTTATGCGGCCAGGTAAATTTGATCTGGTCGAAAAGACATGGTCATATCGATTTTACGGGAACATGCTTTTTTGTGTTTTTTTTTTTTTATAACACCCAAAATTTATTACATTGATCAGCCAATTTAATGGCTATAAAATGTAGAGTACAAATATGAACAAATAACATAAAATACATAACAGAATGGAGATTAAAAAAATTTTATAACTTATACAACATAAATACAATTTTTTGTTGTGTGTAGTTATTATCCTACACCATAGTTAGAATATTTGGTAAAAAATTAATTTTGTAACTTTACTAGTTTGGGCTCTTAATTGATTCTTAACATTTTAGATTAAGTCTTATAAGTATATACAGCTGTACCAAATGAATATATTTACACACGAAGATATATTTATTTGGAAATGGATTAACAGAGTAGAGCTTATCTAGTAGCGTTTCTTCATGTTTTAGTGATAGCAATTAACTTTTTTTACATTTTGTAATACCCCTTCTTTAGGTAACCAATGGCTATGGTATTGGCTTGCGTTTCGACCAGTTCAACCTCACGGATTCGACCAATTGCTCGCTGAGCTCCGTGGAACTCACGAAGCTGGAGGCGGAGGGCAGTGAGCGACTCCTCGAGAGCGCCTGCGGGGAAGATTCGCCCATGATCCGAATAGTTCACGGACAACAGCTGCGAGTCCGGTTTAAAGCCCAAGCTGGAACCTGGGGTCGCTTCGCCATGTACTTCGAGCGCCAGTGTGGTGGTCCGCTTTCCACCGGCGAGGGCTACTTGCAATCCCGACTAGACGAGGACTGCAGCTGGCTGATCTCCTCACCGGAGGGAAGCAAACTCAGCCTTAACATCAATCAGCTAGAGTGTCCTAAGTGTACTGCCGTCTCGAACAATTGCTCCGAGGGACTTAAGCTGCTCAACGATGATGATCAGGTGGTGCTATATCAAATGTGCCGCGATCATCCGGCCAATTTGATTGTGCCCGCCAACAATGTTCGCATCCTGACCCAAGGAATAAGGCTGCAGGCGCAGTACAGCACCTTTGAGAACTCCTGCGGTGGGAAAATCACATCCGCCCGCGGCAGCCTCAGTTCGCCCAACTATCCGGACAGTTATCCGGCCAACATTGAGTGCGCCTGGACCATCGAAACGCGTCCGGGAAATGCTCTGGAAGTCACCTTCGAGGCCATGGACATTGTCCGCTCCGAGCACTGCAACGCGGACTTCCTGGAGCTGCGTTCTGGCGTCCAGGGTCAACTTCTGGGCCTCTACTGCGATAACAAACTGCCGGAGAGTCCGTTGGTGGTGCGATCTGAGCTTTGGATTAAGTTCCGCAGCAGACCGGCCAACACAGCCGGGGGTTTCCGTTTGCGATGGAACTACGGTAGGTGATCTTAGCCAATCCTTTTTTATACCCGTTACTCGTAAAGTTTGTCCGTCTGTATGAACACTGAGATCTCGGAAACTACAAAAGCTAGAAAGTTGGGATTACCCACAAACTATTCTTTGGCTTCCTACGCAGCGCAAGTTTGTTTCAGCCGATGGCCACGCCCCCTCTAACACCCACAATCGCCTTAAATGATTTTAAAAAGTGCCTGGCGTCCACATCTTTAAAGATTTTGGAAAATTAAAAATGCTGTATTATTGTGCTTATCAATACCTATAGAAATGTAAAAGAAATTTTTCAAATCGGACCATTCGTTCAAAAGTTATGCCTGATCAAAGTTTTATATGCCCCTTTAGCTTAGTAACGGGTATCTGATAGTCGTTCTCTCTTGTTGTATATCAAATGTTAAGTACCCTCTAATCTGAATCTCTACAGTACACGAAATTGAAGTTACAACGGCCACCAATGGGACCATCGAGCCTCCTCCACCGATATTCGTTAAAGGCGAGGATCAGCCCTTTACCTGGCGCCTTTTCACCGAGCGGGGGAATGTTTTGGTGTTGCAGTTTGAGGAATATATTGCAGGCCTTTTAGTAAGTATGATCTTACTTTACAATAACACTTTTAAATATATACCCTATATTTATTTTCCAGCTCATTAATGGCTTTGATGAAAGCGCTGTGGCGGTCGACATAGCAGCCAGTCCATGGACTTTTACCTCGAGCAGCAATGTAGTATTTTTAAAGACGGTTAATGCGGAACTCAGTGATTTCCGTGTGAAGTGGCACGTGCTCGACAGCCAATTAGTTGTGGGTAACCTCAGCCTGACCTCCAGTGATTGCACCAAAGAGCTGACAATGCGCGAGTTATCCAGCATGGAAATAACTTCGCCGGGATATCCACTAGGTTACGCAACCAATTTGAATTGCGAATGGATTATAAAACCAGAGCAGCCCTCACAACATATCTACGCGTATGGCTTTAAGGTGGATCTGGAGGACTTTCCCAATTGTGCAGCCGATTACCTTCAAGTTCAGAGTTCTAGTGATCTCAGTCACTGGACAAATGAGATGCGCACCTGCAAGAAATCATCGGCTGTGATTGCTCCAGTCCACGGAACGCCAAATCTGAGAATCCAGTTCCACAGTGATGTCTCCTTTAATGGAACTGGATTTTCGGCCAGACTTCGCACTCACTGTGGCTCCAATATGACGGGAAGTGTGGGCACAATTTCCCCGAACAACCTATTCTCCGAATGCGCCTGGCACATCGATGTGGGACCAGGTCGGAAAATAGACATCACCGTCAAATACAATGGCCCACCGTCACCTGAATGTAGTTCGTATGGACTTATCTACGATGGATTGGATGATCATGCTCCTCTGCTAGAACACAGAAAGTTTAGCAACCAGCAGGAGTTCAGAAAGAGGCAATTCCGGACGAATAACTCGCATGCGTACATCAAATACCATATCGGCAATTCGAGGCTCCAGGAGCAATGCCTTTGGACCCTCACGTACAGGGAGTTTAACGAGTGCAATGGAGAGATTCAGCTGACCCAGCAGGCTCCCAACTATACGGTCATGTCACCTGGTTATCCCTATTTGCCGCATCCTCATGCGGAATGCACTTGGTTGGTCATGGCGCCGGTGGGCGAGACCATAGCGGCCAATTTCGAGGAGCCATTCGAGCTGAGCGCCCGGCACTGCGACCAGGAGAATGTGGAGCTCTTCGATGGCTCTACCCAGCTGTCCCGCTCCTTGATCCGCACCTGCCACAAGCCACAGACAACGATTCGCACTTCGGGCAACCTACTCCTCGTCCACTATCAGACGCAGCTAAGCGAACCCAATGGAGGTTTTCGGCTCAATCTCTCGCTGAGCAAATGTGGTGGGCAGTTCGGCGGTTACTCTGGGTTTATCAGCTCGGAGAACTATCCCAATCTGGGTGGATATCCCAAGCCCTCGGTATGCGAGTACAGCATTCGCTTGCCTAAAGATCAATTCATCCGGTTGAACATCACGGACCTCCACCTGCCGTTCGATTCGAATGGAACCTCCTCCAAGGAAACCAGCGATCGCCTGGAAATCGTCGACTTTGCGGACCCCACTCAAGAGCTATTAATACTGGATGGAAGTACGGTTACTCCGAATCTCGTCACCCTGAACACCAATGCGGCCATCATCCGATTTGTGGCCATCAAGAATGTGAACAAATACCGAGGCTTCAAGTTGAAGTATCAGCGGGCCCTTGGAACGTGTTCGAGGGATATTAATGGAGCTGACGGGGACATCGTGATCCCACCAATGCCACCGACCACCTGGCTGAGATTCTGTCGCTTAACCATCAACGTGCCAAAGGGACAGAAGGTGCGTCTGAGTCTTCTAAACCTCGCTGATATTCGCGTTATTATTCGGAACGACACAGAGAGGTGAGTAACGTTTGTCTTACAATTACACAAATTTATATTTATATTTATTTGTTTATATCCTAACGCTACAAGTAAAAACTTATATTTATTGCGCAAGTCACATCGGATGAGTAACAAAAATAGTAATAATTTAATTTAAAAGTACTACTTAAAATTTAACAAAGTTGGGTTGATAACACTAGTTTACAAAATAATATTCTTGGTGTGCTCCCCAGCAATTGATGGCAAATTCAGTTAGTGTTGGACCTCTAGACCACGAAAATAGCATTAATTTTTTTTTCGATGGCACAGTTTTTTTTTAAAGATTTTTTAAAGTTCGAAATGTTAAATTTCGGACTTTTTTCGAATTTCTTCTTATATCTCGGCAGATATCCACCCGATTGGGCCAGTTTTAGTTTTATTTTAAAGTCAATAGATCAGAGCTTAACTTTGCCATACAGATCAATATGATTGGATAAGTAATGGCAGCGCAGAAACTTGACAAAGATGAAAAATGTGTTTTTTGGTCGACTGTAAGTCGGCTGTATATATCGTAAAAACTCGAAATAAATCCGTTGAAAAATCATAATGGTTACAAACTTAAAGTTTACATCCTACCGAATAAAACAAGCCGGATATGGCCCAAATCCATGGAAAACTGGATTTATGCTGGATTTTTAAAGATAGGATTTTTCCACTTTTTTCGGTTGACAGCGTCCAAATTTAAGATTTATCATAGGCGGCGACATGTAAACAAAAATGAGTGGTAACGACAGCCGGGTCAAATAATAGCTAAATTTAAAAGCTAGAAAATTATAAAATAAATTTAAGTTCTGAAAATTCCTTTAAAACATAAAATTGCTTGCGTTATGACTGTGAGTATTTTTAATTAAGTACTATCCATTTGGATAATTCATTCTTATGAAAAAAGTAACCTTAATTTCAAAAATTAAATTCATTTGAATAATTTTCTAGCTTTTAAATATCTGATTTAGCTATTTAGTGACCCGGCTGCCAACACCAATTATTTTTGTTTACATGTCGCCGCCTATGATAAATCTTAAATTTGGACTCTGTCAACCGAAAAAAGTGGAAAAATCCGAACTTTAAAAATCCACCATAAGCCCGGTTTTCCATGGATTTGGTCCATATTCGGCTTGTTTTATTCGGTAGGATCTAAACTTTAAGCTTGTACCCATTATGATTTTTCAACGGATTTATTTCGAGTTTTTACGATATATACAGCCGACTTACAGTCGACCTAAAAACACATTTTTCATCTTTGTCAAGTTTCTGCGCTGCCATTACTTATCCAATCATATTGATCTGTATGGCAAAGTTAAGCTCTGATCTATTGACTTTAAAATAAATCTAAAACTGGCCCAATCGAGTGGATATCTGCCGAGATATAAGAAGAAATTCGAAAAAAGTCAGAAATTTAACATTTCGAACTTTAAAAAATCTTTAAAAAAAAACTGTGCCATCGAAAAAAAAATTAATGCTATTTTCTGGGTCTAGAGGTCCAACACTAACTGAATTTACCATCAATTGCTGGGGAGCATTTCGGCTGTAAACTAGTGTAATACGATTATAAGTTTGCAACTAATTTTGATCTAGCATCAATTCTTTGATTTTCGATTTAAATTGAGACGTGCTTCTAATAGTTTTTAATTTTTTTAAATTTTTTTTATTTTTTTTTTTTTTGGGTTAATATTTCCTGATTATTTACCACTTCAAAAAATTAATTCCGTTTGATTCTTATAAAAACCGTATCTTGTTATTTATATTTCTACTTACCTATTTTATAAATATACCTTGCTAAACAACATATTTTCAGAACTATAAGGGGACTCGCCCGTTTAAGAAGTATGCCGCACTTCTCCTTTTACAACGACGCCAACTCCCTCTCCAAGATCACCGAATTCCGGATCGATGGGTACAACGGAAGTGGAATAATAGAGTCCACGGACAATTTTATGCTCGTTGTTGTGATGACCAATCAGTTGGATTTCAGTGCCACCGCACTGAGAGCTCGTTACAGCTCCAGCGAAGCCTCAGTCTGTCCACCGAATATCGGGGATCAGGCCTCGGGATCCCTGTCCATCCAAACTCTCCTCCAGCTGCCCAACTACCATTGTACTATCCACTTTACGAGCACTGCCAGTACAACGCTTACCTTCAAGGTCGAAGAGTACCTATTCCAGACCATCGGAGGTCCAGCTGTGGTGTTCCGGGATGATCTTTTTGGTAGTCCGGTCAAGGGGATGTACGCAAATGTCACGAATAGTTTTGTATCTCTGGCGACGACAGCTGGACGAGTGACACTACTGAATAGCCAGAACGTCAAATTGCGACGCTTCCGGGCCACATATCGTCGTCATGATTGCGGCGGACGACTGCAGGCAGCCGACGGAATCACCATCCAATTCGCTAGCACTCCCAATGATGGTGAACTTGAGTGCCTCTGGAATTTAGGCGACAGTAACGGCTATGTCCTGGAGGGCAATGTGACCCTAAGCGACCGATGCGATCGGGAGTACCTTGTGATCTTCAGCGGACAATTGGAGGTGAGTCGCATTTGTCGGGGTATGACGATGAACAGCACTCTTCTGGAAAGACCATACTCCAAGATCATCTACCATTCGGATGGGCCACTCCCTACGCGTAGTGAGTTTATCCTGCAGGCTACGAGATCCGTTTCCAGCGGCAATGTAATTCGCGTTAGCCAGCGACCATCGCCAGCGGTGACCATTGGGAGCTCGGATTACCTGAAGAGCAAGGAGCGCATTTGGGAGTTTGCGACCGAAGATGGGCTATCCCTAAAGCTGCACTTCCTGAATAGAATCTTCATTGTGACCTCACCGAACTGCACGGACGATCGATTGACGGTGGAGCGTTTCGATCGGATGAGTGGAGCATTTGTGGAAGTGACCAGTCTGTGTGGCAGGCCAGAACCCAATGATATCCTGGTGCAATCCTCCCGAATGCGGGTGGTATTCCGAACGAATTCCAGCACCCCGGGCGATGGATTCAGCTTCCAGGTCTCCCCGAGCTGTGATGCCGTCCTGCAGGCTGGGACAGAGATCCAAACCCTGGCCAGTCCGGGATGGGCGGCCAGCCGGTTGCAGTTCAACTGCAGCTACGTTATCCTTGCCAGCGAAGAGCACCAATTGGTGGCCAGTGTGAAGAGCAGAGGACGTCCCTGGGAGCCGTATATCTGCAGCAGATCCTATTTCGAGACCTATCGTCGTGGCGACAGGGAGGCGAAGGAGGAGAATCATGGCCGCTTTTGTCCCGAGTTCGAGGTGACTGGTTACGGAAGAATTCGTCTCAATTATCTTTCCCCAGTCTCACGTCTATTTGAGCTGCAATACCACCTAATTTCTTGCGGTGGCAACTACAGCAAACCCTTCACCCTGCGACCCCCACAAGATGAGGAGCCCGGAGGAGCCTATGCCCACAATTTGAAGTGCGAATGGAGGGTTACCGCTCCGCCACAGCATGCGATTGTAATAGAGTTCAAGTACTTTGATATGGAGAGCAGCAGGAAATGTCAATTCGACAGTCTGACCATTTACCGCGGCAAGGTGGCCAGCGAGGAGCAGAGAACCGAACAACTATGCGGCAATTTGACCAATCCTCGAGCCATCATGGTGAACAGCAATGAGGCACTGATTGCCCTCTCCACGGATAGCTCCAATAGTCACCGAGGATTCCTGGCCACCGTACGCTTCACTCAAAATTGTAATGAGCGTGTGAACCTGGATTTGGAACAGCCACGATTGAACTTCATGAGATTATACACCGTCAATGTCAGCGAACCACTACTGTGCCATTTCCAGGCCAGTGTTCCGCCGGATTACCGCCTCTCGTTGGAGGTCAGAAAGCTGCAACTCAACGATGTCACCTGTCGCACCTGCAGCTACTTGGAGATCCTTGATAGCGATGCTGGTGAGGAGCAGAGTCTTGGAAAATACTACGGAAATACTGGAGCTGCGAACTTGAACCGAACCAAGGTGTTCAGTTCCTACTCGGAATTGAGTTTCCATCTGAGCGCCAGTACCAGGCGATCGCAAATGAACATCAGCTTCGAGCTGATCCTGAAAATGGAACGCTCTATTTGTGGTCAAACGGAGTACGATTTGCGATTGAAAGAGGTAAGTAATGTTTGAAAAGTAACGTTTCTTCGATTTTCTCTCTCTGGTAATTATTAAAAAAAATTTTAAAAATAGGGAAAAGGAAAGGTAGAGGATATCAGGCTGGGCCTCCAGCACGATAATACCACAAGGAACTACGAGGGAAATATTCAATGTGTCTGGACAATTAAGGCTGACGGAGATGTGGAATTAGACTTTCAGAAGCTTCGGCTCAAGGAAATATCCCAGCGAACTGGGGAATGCGAGGATTACCTAAAACTGTCCAAACCATACGTAATATAGAAAAGCTAAACAGAGGTTTCCATCCGAGTTTTAATAACATATTTTTACAGTTCACTAGATCTTTCTGCGGACAACACGACAAGAGTTTTAAGATGATTGAATCAGTCGATGTGTCCAACCTACAACTCACCTTCCACAGCGAAGTCCTCGAAGAATCTCAAGGGTTTGAAGTTATCATAAGACCAAAGCCAAGTACGTAAACCCTATTAAATAACTCCATATTTTCCGTTTCACAAATGGATTACAACTTTTTTTTACAGATTGCAATCGGACCTACACGGAACTGAGTGCGGTGATAGATGCCAGCTCTCTGAATAACTGCACTGAATATATCCGAGTGCCCAGTGGTTACAGCATAACACTTTACATAATGTCCATATCGTTCGACAGTTTTGATCATAATTACTTTAATGTAAGTTAGTCATTATGAATCTTTAAGATGCCTTTAATATTTCGTATATGCTCGCACAGGTGACGGATCTTAAGTCAAACAAGACTATCTTCAGCACTTCGGAAATGCGGTGGGAAACCGCAGCACGAATTACGACTACCAACGAGCTGCGCCTTGATAGCAGCGGGGTATCCACCCTCAAATTCTTCTACTTTTCCACCAGCAACGATTTTCCCGGAGGCTGTGGAGGTGATCTAGCAGTGGTTGGATCGATGGGAAGTTACCTGGAGAATCCCTCCTACGAAGGTCGAAATAGCTCATTGTGCACCTGGAATATATCCGTACCCCCTGGCGGAAATCTGCAATTTAGTTTCTCAGGTCTGATAATGCTTTATCGATTTGTATCCCTCAAATACTAACTGCTTGCCTTTTAAGAATTCAACATGGGCTCGGAAACCAATTGTGATCTGGATAATGTGCAATTTTTCGACAACGGTACTGCCGCTCGGACACTTTTGAAAACCATCTGTGGATCAAGCATTCCTAATGATTTTACCTTTAACAACAACAAGATTGTTATAATTGCGAAAAAGTCGCCTAATTTCGATGGATTAGGGTTTAAGATGGATATAAAGCAAACGGGTTAAAACATCCAGATTTCATTCAACCAAAATAGTATTTTATAAATACAAAAAAAGTATCTACTTTAAAGTAAATATTATATTACTTGCGTATATCTAAAACGTGTATACTTTGGGCTACGATTTAAAATGAATTGTTTAAAACAATTTCTTTCACATCCTCCTATTTTGTGGGCCTGATTATGAATAATATGGTTGAAGATGGCGGCAAAAACAATTTCCTAAAAAAAATTGTTTAAAAAACTAATTTTTTAATAATTGATATTGATGAATGAACATTCATCTAAGGTACATATTTAATATTTAGTAACCTTTTTACATAAAGTTAATGCTCTCGGAGAAAAAGTAAAAAAAAAACGGTCGTTCTAGCAAAATGCGAAAAGTACCCCAGTGGAAACTGGATATAATGTATCCAAATTTCGTGTCGACTGTCCCATCTCTAATAACGGCACGAGCTAAGCGCTCATCCCTAATCAGAACAGGTTGAAAAAAGAAATGGACGAGGAATTGGAATTAATAAACAGAAATTTAAGCAACGCCCTGACCAAATTAAAAACCAGCAAAAACGATGACCTGCAGGATCGCAAGGAGAAGATGGCCCGGCTGATCCGCCAGCACTTGCAGCACGTGCGAACCACGGTGGTCACGCACAGGCGGAGGACGCAGCAGAGGACCAGGCGGAGATTCAGGATCCTGCGCTCCTTTTTCATGCGCCAGATGATGGAGATGCACTCGAACTACCTGCAGATGTACGCCATGCTGCGCCTGAAGCACTGCCAAGCGGAGGACACCGAAGACTCCGAGGAAGAAGACTCTCAAGAGCCAATGGATCTGCTGGCAGACTTTCCCAACTTCGATTCGCATTTCTTTGAGCATGTGATTCCCGAGATGAGCGAGGAGGAGTTCCTCAACACACTCCATGTCTCGCGGGGAACCTTCGAGACGCTGTGCAAGCAGTTGGCCCCCACTCTGCGGACTTCGGAGGAGCTGACGCGAAAGCTACCAGCTATTTCGCCGGAGAAATGCGTTGCCCTGGCCCTTTTCTTCCTGGCCAGCGGCGAGCGGCTCTCCCTGATTGCCGAGCGCTTTTCCCTGCCCCGTCCCAGGACCATCAAGTGCCTGAAGGTCTTCTGCAACGCCGTCATGTCCACCTTGGGCCGGGCGCTTCGTCAGTTGCCTCGCCATCCAGTGGACTGCAGCAGTGTGGCCGAGGGCTTTCAGCGCGAGAGCAACATGCCCGCCGCTCTGGTCGGCGTCGTGGGCGTCTGCTCCATCCCGATCCGTGCCAATGGCGAGGCCAAGAACTCGGTGCTGCGCATGGAGTACCTCCTCGATGATCGAATGCTCTTTCGGGAACTGCAATTGGGCTGTGGCCTGCGGGCCACCATGGCGCCCATGTTTTCGCATTCACCCAATACCCTCTCAATGCTGCCCAAATTCCGGATTAACTCCCGCCCGGTTCCTGCTTTTGTTCTGGCTCCAGTCAACCAAAACTATCCTTTACGTCCCTGGCTTCTCCAGCGCTATGTGGATCCGATTGCGCCGCACGAGCATGATTTCAACGAGGTGGCCGAGCATCTGCAGGAGTTGAGTGACTGCGCCCTGCATCGTCTCATGTCCCGCTGGAGTTTTCTCAGTCAGCCTTTGGACATTAGTTTCCACACAGCATCCTGCATCATCACAGCAGCCGCAGTGCTGCACAATCTACTGGAGGAGCTAAGCGAACCGCACATGCTGGAGTGGGGAAATACGGTGGATGTGTCCAAGTTTCGGGCGGAACCGATATCAGATTCAATTGACGAGGGCTCGCAATCGCATGCGGCACTTGAAATACGAGACTTTTTAGCCAGAACCATAAGTTCCACGGAAATTTAAGCCAAGCGTATAATAAATACAAATTTAGTTACATTATAAAAATGTAGGATCTTATTTATTTCCAGATATTAAAGAACAGCATCCACATTTAGTAGAGACGCTGGGGTGGGCCCATCGAGGACTTGACGTGCAGGGAGCGCACGTTCTGCCAGTTCTTCTTCAGCAGCGAGACCAAGAAGTTGATCGACAGGTTGACGTTCTGGGCCAGCTCGTCGGACTTCATGCCCACGTGGCCGACGGCAACGGACAGGCACAACACCTTCTTCATCTGGAACTTGATGGTCGACTTGACCTCCTCGATCTTGCCGATCATGGACTCCTGATGCGACAGCAGGGCAGGGAACTTGCCGGCCTTGTTGAGGCCAGGGCCAAGCAGACGGGGAATCTGCTTGATCAGTGACTCGGAGGCCAGGAAGGCGTCGTAGGACTTGGCCAGCTTCTTCACCAGCTTCTTGTTCTTGTTCAGCTTCTTCAGAGCCTCGGCATCCATGAAGTCAACGTTGTTGGCCTTGGCCTCGTCGCAATGCTGCTGATCGCCAAGGATGCACACCTTCATCTTGGGACGGGGGATGTGCTTCAACCTGGGGAAAGGTCAAGAAAAATCATATAATTAGCAGGGAATTCTCTGGATTAAAGTAATGGAAGGGGACGGGGCACGGAGGAAAACTTACAAAGCCCACGGGGGAGCACGTTTTCATTAAAAAAGGGGGGTCGGTGTCCATTTCTGGAGACCTACTCAAGTTTTTAAGACCCTGAGTGCAGGTCCGCCGAGATGTGGCAGCCACATGAGCTCGACTACCTGGATGCCGCGAAGGAGAGATGATGATGCTCTCCAAACACGTGCGCAGGTGATTTAGCCAACGTACTTGACGGTGCCGGAGAAACGCTTGTCCTTCTGGGGATCGTAGTTCTTCAGGCCGATCTGCAGCTCCACCGTCTCGAGGAAGCCGCGCTTCTTCTTGGCCGAGGCGTCCAGGAGGCCATTAACGCCCTCGTAGAGCGTATCACGTGAGACTTTCGATCTGTAATGTTAAATTCATTATTAGTAAAAATTCTAGGAATATTAAAATATCAAACTAAAGAGCTATTTAAACTGTTGAACCAATGCGCAAATGATGGCAGCCCACATATTAGTTGCATATTTAGCACAAAAATCACATTTTCTTTTGCAATCATTTCCAAACTGATGTGGACATGGAAGGTCTAAAAAGCTGGTTTCTGATTGCCAAAAATAATAAAAGCGGGCTTGTTGAAGTTTTATCTAAAGCCCTGATGCTAAATTACTTTAAAAACACACAAGATGTCTATAAATTTAAGAGATTTTCACTTACGCCATCTCAACTGTTCAACGAGCAATTTGAAAAGAAAAAAATAGTGAGAGGAAGGAAATAGCGATGGAAAAATGCGATGTCTAACTGGCGATATTTATCGATGTTTATTGAATTGGTTTTATCGATGCCTAACCATCGTTTGGATAGAGGTATTCCTCATAATAATCGTTGTGTTTGGAGTTGCAGGTTTGAGTAGAATTATTAAATTAAACTAAACCCCAGTTAAAATTAAAAAAAATATTTATAAAATGATTATTTTTCTATTGAAAGGGATTTCTGTGACACCCAAGAATAAACCTTTTTTTTTAGAAACACCCCTACCGATAACAGCGTATTTTATGCGATATTTTGGGTGCTGCCAACCGGTTTTCATGCAATTAATTTGGCAACCCTGGAATTGCGGCTTTGTTTGGAGCTGCAGAAATTGTTATTGAATTTGCAATTTTATCTCCGCTCAAGGTTCGCTGTGCCTGTGAAAATATAGCACATGCAGCCGTTTAAATACTGTGTAAGTATCTACAACCTGTGTGTTTGGTAACTTTGTTAATTAAACAAATTCCTTTCAGGTGTTGCGTTCCAAGAAGAGAGTAGAGAATTCCTAAAGAGAGGCAAAGAGAGTCTGCTTCGCTCTCTTGCGACCACTGAGAGTGCGTGGAAATGAAAAGAAAACATTGCTTTCACCATATCGCGATTTAGTCTGCATATTAGTTTAGTCGGCATTTCGCTGGTAGATATTAAAATAGTGCGTGGCGTCCGTTGCAATTGGCGGATTATATAAGGGGCTTCGAGCCGCAACTGCATTGATTTTCCATTGGCCATGGCCCGTCTCGTCGAGAGCAGTGTAAGTTAATTGCAACTAATTCCATTCACTGGTGTTTTTACATAACTCCCTATTTCGCATCCGCCGCCCCGCCCCCCTCTTTCTCCACTTTCTTCTTGTTCTTTCCCTCTCTGCCATTTCATAATTGTCAGCGATGATCTTTTGCTTTTCTTTACTTGGCCAAATGCCTCGGTGGTTTTGCATTTGCTTAAAATTGTTGGTCAACAGTGATGGGAACTATTCTAGACACATTCCTATGGATGTATCTTCAGATTAATGACATTCCCTAGATGCAAAGTAGGTACATATTCTTTTATGACAACAATAACTTATTAAGAAAGGTGTAAAATGTAAAATGTACCTATGTACTTTTTAAATTGTACCCATTTTGACCCATTTTGGCTACAATTTTTGTATATCTGAGTATTATTTCTGTTGTACCTATTTAATTGTACCTACTTTTTAAATGTTACTGTCTGGACCCATTTTGGGTACAATAAATGTATATCTGAGTATTTATTATTTTGTACCTATTTAAATGTACCTTTTTTAATTTTACTTTCTTGCCCAAATTGTGTACAATTTTTGTATATCTGAGTATTATTTCTATTGTACCTATTTAAGGTAAAATTTTTCTTTTTTTTTTAATTTCGAATAATTGACTACTTACTACTCTGCTTCTGGTAAATAAAATGTTCAAAATTCAACATTCCAATACTGGTTCAGTACAAAAACCTTGTACCTGTAATACAACGAAAAAATAGTTTATTTCCCATCACTGTTGGCCTGTGACGTCGCCGGTTTAAGAATAGCCATGATGTCCGCCTGGTGATCTGCGGAGATGAGTGATGCGGATCGTCTGGTGGCCAATCTGCGCCGGGTGCCCGTTCGTCTGCCCAAGGAGTTGGAGGTGCGCCAGCTGTGCCGATCCCTGAGTGAGCTGCTCGCCGGTGAGGCGAACCTGCTGAACCTACAGAGTCCGCAGATCGTGTGCGGCGACATTCACGGGCAGTTCCAGGATCTGCTGCACCTACTGGACTTGGGCGGATCGGTGCAGCAGCATCGCTACTTGTTCCTGGGCGACCTGGTGGATCGGGGCAAGAACAGCGTGGAGACCTTTCTGCTGCTGGCTGCCCTTAAGCTGCGACATCCTGGCCAGGTGAGCCTGTTGAGGGGCAACCATGAGTGCCGCAGTGCCACTCGATCCTATGGATTCTACGAGGAGTGCCTGGCCCAGTATGGATCCGCAAATGTCTGGAGGATGTGCTGTCGTGTCTTTGATCTCTTGCCCCTGGCCGCGATTATTGATGGAAAAATATTCTGCGTTCATGGCGGCCTATCGCCGGAAATCCAACATTTGGATGAGTTCCGTAAGCTGGATCGCTGCCATGAGATCCCCGAAAGCGGCTGCATAGCGGATCTGCTCTGGAGCGATCCCCAGGAAGCATCCGGATGGACTGCATCGCCGCGGGGACATGGACAACTCTTTGGCGGCGATGTGGTGGAGGAGTTTAGCCGAAGGAATGGAGTAACCCTCATTTGCAGGGCTCATCAGCTGGCCCAGGATGGTTTTCGCTGGCATTTCAACAAGCAGCTTGTGACCATCTGGTCGGCACCCAACTATTGCTATCGCTGCGGCAACAAGGCGGCCTTCCTGCGTGTAAATTCTGGCGAGGATTACGCCTTTGAGGTGTTCGAGGCGCAGGCGCTGCACACCAAACCGCAGCCAAAGAGACCCAAAAAGCGGTGTCGTCAGTTTTTCCTATGATGCAATCTTCCCGTGAATCTTATCCCAAGATAAACTACAATGTCAAGTTCACAGAGAGCCAGAATCAGCTGTTTCACCTAGTCGTACACCCACCCAAGCACTCTTAGGCCATAACTCTTTCATTCCACATTACTCTTAGTATCGTAATCAATAAAAACCGTACTCAGTATAACATTTGGGAGATTTCCCTTAACTGGCGTTGGCTGTGGCGGTCTCTTAATGCCTTTGCTTATCTGCATGCTCTTTAAACTTTACTTAAAATTGTAGGTTTGCTGTTTGTTTTTTATAAGTTATAGTTTAAAAACTTCAGGTTGAGAAAGAAAAATAAGAAAAATGCTTGAATGATTTTAAAAGATTGATTGAAAGAGGAAATGGTCCTTCGGAATTTACTTGTAAAGTTATTTTTTTAACTGCTTTTTAAGGAAGATTTTTTTTAAAGAATTCTAGTCTTTTTGGAATGTTTTCCTAAGTAAATTTGTAATCTAATGAATTATAATCGCAATTTAATTGTCAATTATTTTCAGAATATTTTTTTATTAACAGTCACCTAGTCATGACTTTTAACTTCTGTTTAAACCAGTTACTCCATACTTTTGGTAGTCACTGTGCTTACTCGTGCTGACTGTGCATTTTAATCGCAGAGAGGGAAAAAAGAGAGTAGCTGGGGCGACTATTCCACGCGACGACTCACTTCATTTCAATTGGAAATTGGAATCGGCGGCACGCGGTCACACGTTTTCGCTCGCTTTCAAGTTCGGTGTGCAATTCAAATCGCAAATTAGCCTGTTTTACAACAAGTGTTTTGTAATAAAATGACGGAATTTGATGTAAGTTCAAGTGAAAGCTTTCTCTGTCCGTTCTCTCTCCATTTCTCTTTTACAATACCGGCTCTCTGTTTATCTAAGCAGTGCTTGTGACGTCACGACTAATAAGTTGCGGATTTGTTGGTGAAGCAAAAATACATCCATATGCATGACTCAAGGTCGATTGTGATATGGGGCTAAAGTTTGATGTCTCAAACTGGTAACCCCAATTAGCCGCAGGTTTTTAGGGGCTTCGCAGCCACGAATATATCAGTTTCGAATACAAATAATCTCTATACGAGATTTGTGGGGCTTTACTTTTGTCATTTTCTTATCACTAGTGGCAGTTTCCACTAGCCAGACAGTTTCCACCAGCCATCGTGACCTTTCATCAACCTAAAAAGTCAGCCCATTGAAGAAACAATAAAAATATCAAGTGCTAACTCACCCATTACTAAGCTAAATATATGTTAAATAACAAATACCTAAATACGGTGTTAAAAAAATTTTTTCCCACGTAGAATTAACATGTTCTTAAGCTCAAATCAGATCACAAGTTTAATTTAAACTGTAAAGTTTCTCATTAGAATTTAGTAGCCCTATTAAGGGAACGTTTAAAATTAATGTATTCACTTACTTACACGAATGTTTTCTATTTTCCCACGACTTGGTAAAATAAATACACTGCATTTTTATTTGACTTACGTAAGCAAGCTTATAAACGCAATCAAGCATATACCATAAATGATTATTTTGAGTGAAATCTAAAAGATTACAAGTGTATTAGGCTTTATTTACAATCAATACGCAATTTGTATAGTTCAAAATAAATGTGCAATCAGCTAAAGGTAGGGGTCAATCTAAAGGGTCAACTTCCGGGGTTATTCATAATATTTATTACAGTTTTCGGTTTAAATTTAGCCGATTGATAGATTGCATAGGCGCCTAAACCGAATTTACCTATGATTTAGTTAATTTTTGTTGACTAAAGTATCTTACTTATCTCGTTTTCTTTGGACTATTTTCAGTTTGTGCCAATCGCCGTGGGTGTGGTGGCCGTAGTTGCCGGCGCCCTGATCGTCCACTATCTGCTGAACAAGAAGTCCACGAAGCCACGGAGGGAACCGAATCGCACCGCCCGCCTGCGCACACTGGTGGATCCGAATGACAAGTACCTGCTGCCCCTGATCGAAAAGGAAAATCTCAGTCACGACACCAGGAGATTCCGTTTCGGATTGCCCTCCAAGCAGCATGTTCTTGGTTTGCCCGTGGGTCAGCATATCCATCTGATCGCCACCATCGACAATGAGCTTGTCATTCGGCCCTACACACCCATCTCGTCCGACGAGGATGTGGGCTACGTTGACCTTGTGGTCAAGGTGTACTTCAAGGACTCGCATCCCAAGTTCCCAGCTGGCGGCAAGATGACCCAGCATTTGGAGCAGCTCGAGCTGGGCGACAAAATATCGTTCCGCGGTCCCTCGGGACGGCTGCAGTATCTCGGCAACGGCACCTTCTCCATCAAGAAGCTGCGCAAGGATCCGCCCAAGCATGTGACCGCCAAGCGGGTGAACATGATTGCCGGCGGCACTGGCATCACTCCCATGCTCCAACTGGCCAGAGAAGTGCTCAAGCGCAGCGACAAGGACAAGACTGAACTGGCGCTGCTGTTCGCCAATCAGGTATGATAACTCTTGCTGACCAATTTTATTAAAATTTTTATATTATATCTTCTTTTAAAGAGCGAAAAGGACATTCTGCTTCGTGCCGAGCTGGACGAACTGGCCCAGAAGCATCCTGACCAGTTCAAGGTCTGGTACACCGTCGATAAGGCCGGCGAAGGTGAGTTGTAGTCTTAACCGAGCTTAGGCATATATCGCGTTCATCAGATCGTAACATTTGTCCATGATTTGTCCATTTTAAACGATAATACTGTTTTTGGAACCATAAAACCAATTGAAATTTATACCAAGTTAAGCAACAATACCAAGTTTACAATCATAATATCATTTTTAAAAAGGTTTTTATTTTTCATTTAAAAGAAGCCTTTTAGCTTAGGATTGTATGAAATTTTAAGAACTGTGCCTTGCGCCTAATATTAAATGGTTAGTTTGTTAATCAAATTTATTCATTTTAGGATGCTGAATAGTTAAGACGATGTTTGTTCAGAACCGTACTTAAAATATCTTTAAATAAGTTTGCAAAGTTTGTTAATCAAATGTATACATTTTGGGATGCTTAATATTTAAGACGATGTTTGTTCAGAACCGTACTTAAAATATCTTAAAATAAGGTTACAAAAGGATTTCTTTCTTAATATCTTCCATAAACATTGAAGTTAGGATCACCATAAAATATTTTATTTTAGACTGCACCAATCTTTCCCTTAGCCACATTCTCATGCAGCATTTCTCATCAGCATCCGGAAATCATTGAGACAAATGCCAAGCATCTATTATGTTAAGAATCTTGTAACTGCCCCTGTCCCATGCTGCTCTCAAACGGATGCCGCGAACGGGGAATGCGCGGTTCGTAGCCTGGTCCTACAACACTGGCCATGTCAACGACGACATGATGAAGCAGCATCTGTATCCGCCGGATGAGGACACCTTGTGCCTGCTGTGCGGTCCTCCACCGATGGTTAACTACACATGTATTCCGGGCTTGGAGCGACTGGGCCACCGGGCCGAGCAGCGGTTTAGCTATTAGGATATTAGAAGCTACAGCCGATAAACTAGATACTATCTCTGTGTTTTGCTTTTATTTCAAAATGCCAAGATAGTGGGAAAGATTGGGTGCAGCAGGTCTCACTCAGAACATCTAAATTACTTGAAAATTCCCACTAATATGGTTTTTACTTTATGTTTTCATCTAGGTTGGCCGTACAGCGTTGGCTTCATCAACGAGGACATAATTGCCGCCCACCTGCTACCCGCCAAGGACGATACTATTGTGCTGCTCTGCGGCCCACCGCCCATGATCAACTTTGCCTGCAATCCTGCGCTGGACAAGCTCGGCTTCCACCCGGATACCCGTTTTGCCTACTAAAATTTAACGCCCAAGGCGTGCCGAACGGAAAAAAAATTGCATTTCGATTTTGTTACTTACCATAACTATCTGTTGCCCATATCATTTCATCAAAATTCCCAGAAATCCCCGAAATGCGGCTGTACAACATCGGTGCTGATTGTATATGCTCTTTTCTATGATTTGTTAATAAACATGTGTTGAAAAAATAATTGTATTTAATTTTCTGATCATTAATTAAAATTCTTATTTATTTCAATTCAGTTTTGCTTTTTCGGAATAAAAAGAGTTAAAGGAAAATAATTGTTTCCCCATTTTACGTGGCTAAATTATACTATAATTAAATTTGTATATAATTAAATATTTAAAACAAAAATACTTTTTTAAATTATTGGTATGTAAATGGTATTTTTTAACTAGAATGGTATAAATGGTATTTATTTTTATTCCCGGTGATATTTTTATCCTCCATCGCACGGTCACTTTAATACGTGATCGCGATATCCAAATACGATCACACTGTTCAAAGAAAAAAAAAAGGCGACGCGCGCGATTCACTGTATACAAGAAAATTAAATTTCAAAGAAACTAGAGTAAAAGAATTCAAAAATGTCACTCCAAGCCGTATTATGGATCGTACTTACAGCACAGCTGAGTTTGGGACACGGTTATTTTGAAAACAATCACAGGCACGAGGACCACAAAGGTCCTGTGCATCACAAGAACTGGATTCGCAACGAAAGGATGGACAACAATGGGCTGTACTGGCTGAAATGGTGGATAAATGCCACAGAGAATACGATTTACTTTGAGGTGACTGTTCAAACCCGAGGATTTGCTGGACTGGGTTTTTCCAAGGACGGTCGAATGGGAAAGGCAGATATGGTGCTGCTGTGGGTTGATGATACCACGGAACAAGCGAATGTGCTGGATTGTCATGGTCCGCAGGATCCTGCAAACGGCCCTTCGCTGCAGGACGATACACAAAACTACGATGTGATAGAAGGTTACCAGAATGCAACTCATACAAGTTTAACATTCAAACGTAAAATTGAAACCTGCGACCCATTCGATATTCCATTTTCGGCGGATACTTTTAAAGTACTTTGGTCTATCGGCGATGCGGATCCTTTGCACGGCAGCTTGGATTGGCATGGGCAGAGTAAAGGCGTAAAATCCTTGCGATTATTTTCACCAATGTTCTCGAAAGATAGTCGCAGTCCAAATTCGATGACATTCGATATGTCGGCCATACAAAACTGGGATATTACCGTGAGCAATGTAACCATTAAACGATCAATGGATACCCTATACTGGTGTAAAATCGTAAGAATACCGGAGCTAACTAAGAAGCAACATATTATTGGGTATGAGCCCCTGTTGTCGGGGAAATACGATCGAAATATGGTTCACCACATGACACTGTTTGAGTGCCAGACGAAGTTGTATCCTGGAAGCGATCCTGCATCCTGGGACATCTGGGTCAGAAGTTCCGGCACGGTGTGTAATAGTAACCTACTGACACCGCGTGATTGGGACTCCTGCTCCACGCCCGTTGCTGTTTGGTCGGCGGGATCTGATGGACAGTTTCTACCGCCCCATGCTGGAATTCCAATGGGAGGTGCATCCGGAGCTAGCTATTATATGCTAGAAATACACTATGACAATCCGAATGGAAAAATCTCTGTTGATCATTCGGGATTTCGGATACATTACACTCCGCATCTGCGAACCCACGATGCGGGAATCATGATAACTGGCGTCTCCATTTCGGACACTCAACTCATCCCGCCTGGTCAGAAAAGGTATCGAAACGTCGGCATTTGTGGACCCTCCTGTTCGAGCGTGATGTTTCCCGAGGACGGCATTAAAATAATTTCTGGAACCCTCCATTCACATCAAGCCGGTCGGGAAATAAGTCTTCGACATGTTCGTGAAGGTAAAGAGTTAAAGCAGATCATTGCTGACCAAAACTACGATTACAGACATCAAAAAGTCCACCAACTTGCTAACGAAACGGTTGTTCTACCTGGAGATTACCTAATTACAGACTGTTCTTATGAGACAAAACTTAGAAAAAGACCCACTTTCGGGGGTTATTCAACGAAAGAAGAAGTTTGTCTTACCTTCCTTACTTATTACCCCAAAATTGAGTTGTCTGGTTGTTATAGTATGACACCGGTGCGCGAGTTTTTCGAGATGTTCGGTGTTTACCAATTCTATTCGTTAAATATGACCGATATTGAGAACATGTTTCTTTACAATGGTGACTACATTGACTATAGTACAAATACAAGGAACACGACAGCGAAACCAAAGAACGGAAAAACGTCCAATGAGGATGTTACTTACCAAGAGTCCTTGTTAAATAAACTTGTTATATCCGATCCTCCCGAGTTTCACGATCGCACATTTTTATCGCATTTAAATCAATTGCCCTGGTTTGATCCTCTTTTTACCAAAAATGTAGAGCAAGAATTTATTACTGGGAAACATATGACGTTTTGTCGAGTTTCTAATGATTCAATATCAATTTCATCGGAGATTATTCGGTTCCCCGAATTTACTGCGTTCGTGAAGCCACCCACAGCCTGTTTAAACTATTTTTTCGCTGATAATGAAGAACTTCGTTCAGGCGGTTCAAGACTTCTTACAGATTTTACTTTTAGCCTACTTCTAATTAAAACTGGCTTGCAACAAACTCTTTTGTAGGAGTACAGTATTATTTATAACTTGATTCTCAGATACATAAACAATGGTGCGGTCAAAAAATGCTAACTTACCAATAATAAATTTTTCAGGTATATTTCAGTCAACAAATTAAATTAGAAATAAAAGATTTTTAATTCGATTTTTTATATTTTTTAGGGCTGACATGCCTTAAGTTTAATTTAAAATTATTGTAAGAAACATATCCTTAAAAACATTTTTAAATTTAGGAACAAAAACAACCAAAAATAATTGAGTGGACTCTCTGACTTGAAGTCTTTATAAGTTATGAAAGTTTGAATGTATATAATATGTTTATAAAATTGTACGGACTAGTTTTTAATCTAGATATAGAAATAATTTGAATAAAGAATTTTATTTATAGAGGAGATTGAGTATTTTTCTGAGTGTACTAAGTGCCTTTTCCCCCGTGCGGTATATTTGATCACAGGCCGCACGGTCACTCTGCCGAATTTGTTTACGCTTGTTGTTACAGCGCACGGATTGCAGTTGGACGGACGGCGAAACGAGCAACAACAAGGAAGGCGCGAGCATAAACAGATACCAACATGGCCGGCTTCGTGGCGGTGCACACAGGTTCGTATCTCGGTTCCGATCCGCCGGGCAGGCAGACAGACTACAGCCAGATGATTGATGGCCGCCATCCGTTTTCAGGGGCTGGGAACTGCATCGACGAGTCCAAGTACCAGCGGGTGATCAAGGAGGCTTGCATGCGGGCCACGGACATCCTGCGCAACGGCGGATCCGCCATGGACGCCTGCGAGGCGGCCATCGTGCGGCTGGAGAACTGCGGCTACACGAACGCCGGCTACGGCTCCAATCTCTGCATGGATGGATCCGTCCAGTGCGACGCAGCCATTATGGACGGCTCCACGCTGAACTTTGGCGCCTGCACCAATGTCAGCCGGGTGAAGAACCCCATCCAGTTGGCCAGACGCATCTGCGATGCCCAGTCCAGTCCACAGCTCCTGGAGCGCATTCCACCCATGATCCTCGCCGGCAGCGGAGCAGAGCGCTATGCCGACGAGGTGGGCTGCTCCATGGTGGAGCCCGGCGTGCTGATCTCATCGAAGGCCAAGTTCCAGTTCAATCACTACAAGAACAAATACGACCTGGTGGTCAGCAGCCGGCTGGGCAGCAAGGCGGCCTCCGAGGAGCCGGTGCCGGCGGTTCCAGAGCCTGGGAACGAGGTGGAACTCGGCGCCGCCCTGGACACCGTGGGTGCGGTGTGTGTGGATGGGGCGGGCAACACGGCAGCTGGCTGCAGCTCTGGCGGAATACTCCTCAAGGTTCCGGGGCGAGTGGGTCAGGCGGCAACCTATGGAGCCGGCTGCTGGGCCACCGATACGGATGAACTGGCCATAGCCACCTGCACAACCGGAAACGGTGAGTACCTGATGAAGACGCTGCTGGCCCGGGAGATTTGCGATGGAGCCTTCAGCAGCGACTGCGCGGTCACGAGTCTGCACAAGACATTCAAGTTGAAGTTCCTGGACTCTCCGCTGCTGCCGCGTCAGCAGGATCTCTACGCCGGAGCCCTGACCCTGCTCTACTATCCCGGCCAGAGCAGCGGCGAGGTGATGTGGAGCCACACGACGCAGTCGTTCTGTGTCGGCTACATGGCAACCAACCAGAGGGTGCCAAAGGTTCGTACACCCCATCCATCATTTTTCGTTTCTATATCTATCTATATTCTATGTTTATATTTGCAGTTTGTGCATTCACCGCTGCCCACGTACAGCGTCCCGGGACGATCGTGCGTCGTCAATGGCCATAATTTCCATTTGCGCATTTAAATGTGGGCTGGCCAACTAGCTCCTCGTCCTGCTCTGCAATCTGCATCTGCAATTCATTTGATTTAATGTTTAATTGCCGCGACAATCGCTGCCAATGACATATGGCAGAAGAAGGAGAAGCTGGGGGCAGAATTATGTATATGCTGATATTCTCTCGGCGAAATATTAAGATAATTAAGCGAAAAACTTTTATTGTAAATTCTCGTAGATCGTAATGTGTGTGCAGTACTCTAGTAGTAGGCAATGAAATAGGATTTCGAATATTGTTCTCCTCGTCGAACCGGGTGCGCTAGATAAATCAGACGGCGGCAGGCGAGTCGGTTCGGAATATCATATTCGAGTGGGCATATGTTTGTATCCGTTTGTATATTTAGACGCGCCGACTTGTGTGCGCATCTGTGTGTTTATGTCCAAGTGTTTACGGCCATCAATGTACAGAACTAAACCCATTAATTTCAGCTAAACAGAAGCCACAGCATGCACACACAATATCAAGGTCCATGGTATCGCGAGTTGTCCTCATAGTTGTGGAAATGCTTTTACTTTTAGCGTAAACCGATTTGTACATATAATACACATATGACGCGAGCTGTTTCAAACGCAACATTCATACATATTTTCTCCGTTTATGGGGTTTCGGCTAATAATCCTATGGTATTTCATGGCAAATGATTGCTAAACATCTCGAGGCTTTTTCATAAGTATCTACAACCCCACAAGAGAGTTCCATTAGCTGATGATTAATACTGCCTAAGTTTGTGTCCTTGATTTTAGTCATATTTAAAATCTTAAGATCCCAATAACGGTTATTCAGCCATAACTAATGCATAAATGTAACGTAATTATTATTTTGGATTTATTAAATGCTTATTAAAGATTGTCTACAAATCTAATATGTTTACAGTTGTTAGAAATTATTTTTTTATTTTTCCGCGGATGAATTACTGGTAGAAGAATCTACATCAGCCCGAACAGTTTAAGAAGAGTCCGTGGGATTCGTGGCATCAGTTGAAGAAGAATCTGTTGAGGGAGCATCAGTTGAAGAAGACTCCGTGGAAGAAGAATCCGTTGAAGAAGACTCCGTGGAAGAAGAATCAGTTGAAGAAGACTCCGTGGAAGAAGAATCAGTTGAAGAAGACTCCGTGGAAGAAGCATCAGTTGAAGAGGACTCAGTTGAAGAAGCCTCACTTGAAGAAGACTCAGTTGAAGAGGACTCAGTTGAAGAAGCCTCACTTGAAGAAGAATCAGTTGAAGAAGAATCAGTCGGGGAGGTCGTGGAAGTCGTGGTGGTGGTTACCGAGCAGCTGGCAGGCTTGGTCTTCACACATTTGCCAGTGGCCGAGTCAAAGAAGGGAGTCGAGGATCCACAAGTCATGAAGAGAGCTATCCAGTCGGTTCCTGATTTCTGGCAATACAAGTAGGTAGTGCACGTGGAGTCGTCAGTGTTCCTGGCAAAGAAGTACGAGTAACTGGTGGTGGGCTCGGCTGCAATGCAGTACTGCTCTTTTTGGGTAGCACTGGGAGTGGTTGTCGGAGCAGCTGTCGTTGTTGCGGGCTGGTAAACACTGTTGCTGCAAGAGGCATTATAGCCAACCTGTAAAAATAGTTAAACGTTAATAATAGTCCCTTTTCATATTCCGATCAGACATACGAATTCTGAGGCGCAGGAAGGCACACAGAGTGATCCAAAAGTAGAAAGAGACTGGATGATACAAATCTCATCGGAACCGCAGCTGTACACATTGGAGGTTACAGGAACTCCGCTGGAGGAGCAACGAACGTACTGGGTACTGCTGACACAGGCGTATTTGCTGGAACAAACTTCACACTGGGCACCGTTGCCGCCGGAGGATCCACAGACGTCCAATATGGTTGTGGACACCTCGGAGCTATCCACGCAGACGTCATCGGAATTGGAGCAAACCGTGCCCGTGGGACACAACACAATATCTCCAATCGGAGCATTTTCTAAGAAAAGATTTATTTGTAATTCTGTAAGATTTAAAATATCTTATCCTTACTCATGCAATTTTGATAGGCGGTCTGATTATGGCAGTAAACATCGTTATCCGTCTGGCACTCCTGACAAGTCTGCGCCTTCACGGAAGAAAGTCCAGTTGCCATTGCCAAAATGGCCACAATTGCGATTATCCTCTGCATTATTCTTTCTTCTTTTGCACGGTAATGTTGCTCAATCCAAACTGTTGAATGATATGATCCCAACCACCAATCTGCCGTCTTATATAGCCGAGGAGCTTGCTTTGCATCAACCTTCAATTTTTTATGGGTCCCTTGATAATATTGTTTGTCAGATTTGGTTCCGTCTGTCCCTGCCAAAAGTCTATGTACCGTCATAAAGTAATATTGAAGTGTTCTAAAAGAGCCGGAACGGCTATCAGCAAATGACAGCAACATGCTTTTGCCAATTTTATGTACTTCATACCTGGAAATACGGTTTATAGACCATTGTCTTCTTTATTGTTTTTTTGAAGGTTAATTGAAATTTCTCTTGCATACGAATAAATTTAGAGCTTTTATGGGACATTTAAACTATGAAATGCTTTAATAGTGCCGAAAAGAATATTTTAGAAACGTTTTATTACACGTATTAAAACCAAGAGCATATTTATAAAACATATTTTTAAAACCTAAAACAGGCTGTGCATCATAGAATCAATTTTATTTTATTAATTGTTTGTTTATATGGTTTTAGGATTTTTTAATTTACTCAAATTAGGAGCAACCAGTTGGTTTAGTTTCCACGCACACTTTTTTAGTGGAGTCATAATAAGGCTTGGTTTGGGGGCAGAAGAAATATACGGTTTCCCACTTGGAATCGCTTGTTTGGCAGTATAGATAGGTATGACAGGTAGTATCCGCTTCGTATATTGTGAAGAAGTACGTGATTGCATTAGAAGCTAGTCCAAGTTTCTCTCCTGCCTTGGAGCAGGCATTTTCTTTATCCTCAGTGCTGGGTGTAACAGTTGGCGGAGCTGCAGTTGTTGTCGTCGTGTATTCACTGTTGCTGCACGTGGCTTTCAAGTCCAGCTGTAAAAAAATTAAAAAATTAATTCAGTTGAATTAAATTACCTAAAAAGACGTACAAAATCCGCAGCGCATGAGGGTACACAAATATTGTTGTAATTTCTTAAAGCTTCAGAGTTACAAATCTCATCTGCATTGCAGTTGTATATATTAGAGTCGACTAAAACTTGTTTAGAACATCTCGCAAATTGATTTTGGCTGACACAAGCGTAATTTTCACTGGAGCACGTTGCACAGCCATTTCCTCCGGAGGTTCCGCACACATCCTCTATAGTTCCTGTAACTTCAGAACTTGGCACGCAAACCTCATCGGAATTAGTGCAAACCGTTCCTTCTGGACAGTTTAACACACTGCCAAAGGGACCACTTTCTGGGTAGAAAATAAAAGTCTCAGAAATGAATAACTCGGAAATCCTTCCTGAACTTACTTAAACAATTCCTATATGAAGTTTGGTTTACACAGTAAACATCATTATCCGTTAGGCACTCCTGACAATTTAGAGACTCCACAACGGATAGTCCACAAAAAACAATTGCAAAAATCGGTATGATGATCCTCATTTTTATAGGGAGTTCAAGCAGGTTCTTTACAGAAATGCAAAATAGTTTAATCAATTTTCACAATGCACTTGCCTTCTTATATATCTGAAAATCGAAAGCTCAAAAGCAAAGAAAGTCAACTTTTAATTACATTTTTATGGCTATTGTGATAATACTGTTTGTGAGATTTGATTATATTTGTAAATTTACATCAATAAAGAAATATTGAAGGAATATAAACTGGATAAATAACAATACAACAATCCTCTAATCTTCAATTGAAGTCACGAATTATTTCTTTTGAAATGCAGATATGGGATTATTTTTAAGCAAACGAAGAATCTAAAACTTTAATGTTGATCTTATCACAAAATAAATAAAAAACACACAATGCTGTCAATAAAAGAATTAACCTCAGAACACCTTGAATGAGAGATATCAGCGTCAAAATAATTGGCAGCTTGTTATCTAGAGAAAAATAAAAATTTCCGAGAAACCCACGACGACGTCTCATTCATCCTTGACAAGCCCAATGAAAAAGAACAAAAATTTGCTTGCGATCACATTTATTAAGTTTCGTATTTGAATCAAATTTTCTTAAATATTTTCTCACACAATTTTACATATTACACAATTCTCGTTTTAATGTTTGTTTATGCTTGATTATCGTTTCCATTTACGAGTAGAGTAACACAAAATCTCTTAAGCGAATTTAATAAATAACAGAAATATGCGTATGATCATTTGTTTCGTTATAAGCGAAAGTAAAATATAGTACGATGTAAATGTATATAATACGTTTCGAAGTGAAGGAGAAAACTAAAAGTGCCTGCTTAAACTAAGGTACTCAAATAATAGAAATAATAGTGCATCTGCAGTGAAACCCATCCTGATCTATAGGATAGCGCCATGGAGCTTCAGCAACAAAGTCTCCTCAGTTTATGGGTACACATACTACAGTTTTCGATGGCTTCACCGATGCCTATATATCTGAAGCACTAAACACAATTACAATTGGATGATAACGATTACACTTAGTAAGTTGACGCGTGGGCTGGTTTCGACACATCTCCGGACTCTCCCAACTGGCGGCCTGGATCCTCGATGATATTACACATTGAAATGTTGAACTTATGATTCTGTTGCTTTAAATATATATTATGTAATGTGTATATATAATTTATATATGAAAAAATATATATATATTTATATACGTATATGTATCATGTAGTTAAACTAATCTGTAATGTAACTAGGGCTCATTTGATGAATATGTTCTCAGTTTGTATGTAAAGGTTCTTGTTTTTGTTTTTCATTTCATTTCTTGCGATCTTCTGATCGTTATACACTTTGCGTATGTTTATGTAAATATAGTTAAGCTTGATTTGTGTAAGTTTATTTATAATTTGCTCTATTTCATATATAAAATTTGACCAAATACATAAGATTTTATTATTTTTTTATATAAAAACGAACGAAACAATTCTCAACGATATTTGAAACATGGTTTCACCTAATTCTTAGGGGCCTAACACAAATAATAAACAAATTTTGAAATTTTCACGCGAATATCCCGCTTTCGCTTACATCGCATTTCGCTTTAACATTCTCTCATTTTTTCAGCCTTTCTTCAGCTGGTAAATAAAGTAAAATTGTTGCTTCTCGATGATATAGGTTCTCAGACATACATACACTGAAAGTAAAACATAATTTCATTTACTTAATTTGCTAATTACTCTAATCAACGCGGCGTTCTCCTCCTTCAGGCGATGATTATCCGACTTGTAGGCATCGAGTTGCTGTTGAACGGATGAGAAGATATTAAATTAGTTCAAAATATACAGATATCCAAGTCAAAATACGATTATGGCAGGGGAAGCACAAGTCTTGAGGTTAGGTGTGCATGGGGCATGCTTCGTTAATCTATTGGGGATGCGGCAGCCGCAGCCACAGCAGCAACAACAACAGAAACAACAACAAACAATTAGTAATTACCTAAAAATGGAACTCATCTGGACACCCTAATCTCGAGAATAAAACCAGATAACATGCACTTAACCACAAACTACACTCGAAATCTGATTCGTGTATTCTTTATGACGCGTGTCGTGTGCTGTGATAAGCGAGCTATAGACGATCGATCATATAATGTCGAATGGATCTCATGAATTTTGATGCCTGATGCGAGTGTTCCGTAGACATACACCCACCCAATGTGGCGTATTCAAAATCAAACAATAAACAGCAATAAGTTGAATAAGAACGACAATGAGCAAAAGTTTTGTTTATTTCATCATATGTGTATATATAAAACTCAAGATCGATCGATGGTGTTGTAGTCGAGAACACACAAAAGGATAAACAAAATTGCAGATAAAACTGGTAACAATATTAACAACAAGAGGTATAAATCCATAGTATAGTTTAATAGACATTATTTAAGTGGTAGAGTATTAAGTAAGTATTGTTTATATGTACATTAAGAGTGTTTCAAAAAGTAAATCAAGGATAGATACACATAGGATAGAGACTTTTGGAAGTGCATGTTTTGGCAAAGAGTTGTAATCTAATTTTAGATTTTTTTCCAATTTATTAGAAATAATATTAGCATTCTTTAAGGCGCCAGAAAAGAGATAACAAAAGTATCTTACACTCAAAGATTTATAGTTTACTTAGTTAATTGCAACCATATTTAGAAAATACAAAACAACAGTTTGAAACACTCAATGTTACTGTTATAGCTAAAATATATTTATTATATTCTTTTTATGTGGTATGTGTATAACAACAAAACAACAGCCAGCTCATAATATTGGGGCGCAGGTTCTTAGAATGGCTCAATTCTGTGTCAGTGGTGGGGCATTTACCGTTAAGCTTCCAGCATCACCAACTTGACCACTTCGCTCTCCCTGATGTTCGACTTCTGGGGAACCTATATATAGCCTCCAGATCCTTGGGCCGCTGTGCTGATGCTGTATTACTTTTTTTTTGGTGGTTGGGGCTTGATGATTAATCTCGTTGGTTTCGATGAGCTTTACTTTGATTCGAGTGTGGGCTAACTTTTGATTTTAAAGTACTTATTAACCGTACAATGGTCTGTAGTTCCCATATGATATAGTTCGATAAGAGTTACAATATAAATTCGCAAACATTTTTACCTAACGCTATTTTGGTTATCAAAAACAATCAAGCCGTGAGATTAATATTTTTCTATTTAAAATTAACTACTTTTGAAGTTTGCGGTTTTATCAAAGAGTTTTTTGTAGTATATAATAACTCCCAAGGAGTGGTTGTATATAGTAATCTTTAAGGTTTACTTTTACCAGTGACCAGTCCAAAGCCAATGAGCTCAATGATAACTTAATTTAGCTACAATACATTTAGTTATTGTTTTTTCGGTTAAGCTTAAATATCCATATATGTATAACTCGTAACGACATCAAAGTGTGTTAAGTATTGTATTAAGTAAACTAGAGCCAGAAAAACATAGGTGATTATTGATAATCAATTTTTTCCCATGGTATACATCGATTTCTTTCCAGCTCTGATAAAAACGATATAACGATAATTGCGATATTTTTGCTCGTGAGCAGGGGGGCGTGAGAATTTTGGGCTGGTGCTGGGCAATCTAAATGCTTTTGATCTGCGCTTATTTGGTCTTGGCCAGCTGACTCTGAGCCGAGGTGGTCAGCTTGGAGACGACCCGCGTGAGGGCCCGATTCTCGGCTCGCAGACGATCGTTCTCAGTCTTTAGCTTCTGCAATAGCTAAAATCACACAAAAAAATAAGGACAACAGCGGCGACGCAAGAAAAATAAGTGGAAAACGCAAGTTTTTATTTGAGCGATTGCCGATTATCGATTGTTTCGACAGTTCGTTCGATTGTTTGTTCGATCGATGAGGCGCGTGGGAAGAGAGAGAGAAAAGAAAATCAAATTTGAGTGAGCGTATTGAATGAGAGCGCTTTGTTTTTAATTTTTAACAATTAGGTGAGTGCGATTGGTAGACGTATAACGATAAACGTGTAACGTATAAACTCATGGGAGCAGTGACCAAAAATCATAAAAGGTGGCGAATGACAGAGCGAGAGATGAGCGAGTGATGATTTGAGAAGATGACAGAGAAACATAATGGTCTTAAGATGAGAACATGTCTGATGTCTGGTTGTTGCTGTTGTGTGATATGAAAAAACGATAGAAAACAAATATATATGATCTGATCACGAGGCGCAGGTGGGGCGAAAATAAATTGGCAACGGAAATCAAAGCGATCGCTTCACTGTACAGCGGGGTGGCACAAAAAAACGATACTATACACAGGACATGGTAAATCAATTTCAAATCAAATCAGGTGCCATGGCATTCACACACAGAAGACGGCTAGTCAACTAGGTGGAGTATAAAGCGCCTCTGGCCAAAAAGGGAGGGGCAATCATAAAAAACGTTTGATTAAAATATAAGGGTGATAGAAAACGTTTGCTCCAACTCAGTGCGAGGAGAGGTGGTTTATGATTTTGGGTTATAAGAACAGAACGGCTCAATTCGAATTAATCAAAAGGGGGTTAATAAATCAAAATTTCAGACATGCAACAGGGGGTTTTCAGGAAGTATCAGAGTATCTTGGACAAATCATAAGGGGGGTAAACCAAAATAGCAATCAATTTCGAGTCCTGTTCTCAGAACACAAAAACAGCAACAGCGGCGGCAACGTTTAACGTTTAATGATTAGCAAAGGGACACATTTGTAATTACCTTGAGCTCTTCTTCCAACTCGGAAAGCTTGCGTTCCATAGCTCTTCTTTCGCGTTTCTCGAGTTCAGATAGTGAATTTTTCGTTGTCTGCGAATGTGAAATGAAACAAGATGTGGTTTTTTTTTCGATTTTTGATTCGGGTCTTAAGTTTTCTTGTTCTGTCTTTTTGTGGTGTTGTATTTGGGGTTTACTTGGTTCTTTAACAGATCGAAGATATATAATATACGAGAGCGGGGTTTAAAGAGCGAAAGAGAGCGCGAGCAGTAAGCTTCACATGAGGGGGAAAAAGAGGCAGCGAGGTGGGTTTATGTGTGATATAGAGATATACATTTTAGTGGCATCCTTGAGCTATAAGTTTATGGTGTTTCGTGTTGTTTTTTGTTGTTGGTTACTGCTGGCAGTTTGGTTCTTTTGTTTATATTTGTTTTTCGGCTTTTAGTTTGTAGTGGGCTGATGTGGGCGTGGCATGTTAGGGGCGTGTTTTTTGTACTTACGGCATTGGCGAATCTCTCCAGCGTTGCACGTGTCTGCACGGCTTCGTCGTCCTTCTGCTTGAGCATCTGCTTCAACTTATCGTTCTCCAATCTATATAGGATTAAAGGTTATTAATTTGGCTATGGTTTGGAATCTCCAAAAGCGGCTATACTCACTTGGCAGCTTCCCAGAGCGCCTTGTAGTCAATGCCATCACCATTCTCCGACTTATCGTTACTCTTCGACTCGCTGGTGGTGGCCGTACTGGCGGTGCTGCCCAGTCGGGAGCGAGAGGTCCGCTCACTGCCACTCTATAAGGAGGAAATCATAGAAAACCATTTAAGTAATTAAAAATACAATCAAGACTTAAGTTAAATACTGGGATAGAATTTTCCCGATATATGCTTGTATTCTACTATTACTAGCAAGGGCCTTAGGAATGTTTAGAACATAATAATCCATCCGATCAATAAGAGATTCTTTGAGGTTTATCAATTAAAACATTAGATTTCGATTTCTTTACATTATTTTAAGAAATACCGATAGTAATCGCAGGTAATTCAAGTTTTAATGATTTTCTTATCACCATTTTAAAGAATGTTTCGAGAATATTTTTAGAGTCCTTTTCTCGTCCGTTTGTTTAATTCAGAGTACGGTTTAAACCATGAAATTTTATGAGAAATCGGATTTTTAACCTCCCTTTAATTTAACAGACGAACGAGAAAACAGCCCTAAAGGTGCTTGAGGTCTATAACATTCTTAAATATATTAGAGATACCTTAAAAAATAATAATAAGTGCTTATTTGTATACCAACAACAACAGCATAAGATTAAATATACACCCACTTAATGCTAAACACCTGCTTACTTCATATCCCTCACTCTTTTCCGAGGAGGCACTAATGGATCGCTGAGCCGCGCTCTTTGACCGCGTTCGATTTCGAGACTTGCGCTCCTGTTCCCGCAGAGAGTTACTCCTGGTGGCCGCAATGGCAGCCACTGTGGCTCCGGCACTGGTCACTCCATTTGTGGCCGACGATGGACCACCATAGGCTGCATTCAGGCTACTATTCGATGCTGACAGGGATTTGGTCTTCAGCAGACGAGAATTCTTAAAGGAGTTCGACGAACTGAGGCCCGGTGACTTGAAGCTCAGCGAGGCGGTGGTCACCCCCTTGTCGTAGCTGCTCGAATAGGGACTGACATAACGATCGCTGGCTGAGTACGAAGATCCCGCCGAGGAATAGGAGCTGGGATTGTACCGGGAACTGTCGTAACCACCTGTTCCGTTGGCGGAGGCGGAGGACGACGACGACGAGGAGACGGTGGACAGAGAGGAGGAGAGAGCAGAGGCTTTAGACTGACCATATGAGTGGCTTTGGCTTAAATGCTTGCCCACCACCAGGTGGCTATAGTGGTGGCCTCCTCCCGAAGAAGCGGATGAAGCGGTGGTGGGCTGCAGCTGCAGATAGTAGCGATTGCCATGGTGCGTTTGCTGCGTTTTAGTTGCTGGCGTGGCATTGGACGCAGAAGCTATGGATGGGGCATGGCATGTGGAGGCGGATGAGGTTACATTCGTCGATGACCCACTGCTTGCGGTTGGCTGATGGGAATGCTGATTCGAATAGTGGTTGGAGCTGGTGAACTGCTGATGATGATGATGATACTTGGAGGCCCCGTAATCGTAGCGACTGCTGGCATTACCATAGGAAGTTCGGCCACCGCCGGAGGCTCCTCCACCGCCATACAAACTCTCCCTGGAGCTGTAGACACTGGCATAGGGACTCTGATAGCTGGAGGTCCCACTGCTGCTCGGAAAGTAACCCGTGCTCAGGGGTCGTCCCGTGCTGCCGGAACTGTTGTAGCTACTCCCATTGTAGTTATACACCCCGGATCCCCCAGTCGAGGGAGTCATTCGCGAACTGGACGACAGCGATCGCCGGCGGCTGGACAGCGGCGCCTGGGCTCGTGATCTCGAGCGAAAGGACATTTCGCTGGTGGAATAAGAACTATAAGAGATTCGGACCCCCATTAGCTTGCCATCTCGCCTGGCACTTCGTATATCAATCGTCAGAGCCAAAGTGCAATTACGCTTAAGCGTATTTAAATAGAACAACCAAAAAGCACACGACTTGAATGCTCTTTCCTATCCAAGGTATCTAACATCTGGGCACAGAAAAATTTTTTTAAATTCCCTTTTGAAAAAATTATATAGTTACTGAATTTCTAAAAAGAGTAAGTATTTAAAAAAAAACACTATGATATTGAATTAATAGTAAAACCCAATTGAATACTGGTACACTATAGATAAAAGGAAAAGCCTTTTACCCAATTTGACAGCTGCCATTCGAAAGACTCTTTGAACTTTAATTTGATTTTTAGTTTCAACATTCTATATAAAGAACGCATTTCAATTGAACAAGACCCCAGGGGATTAACCGCAATTGAAGGGCATTTAAACTTCGATTCTGATCGATTTGTGTTCCATTTTTAGACGTGCACACAAAAGGCAATTACAATTATAATCAAAGCGAACACAGAAAATGTTCTTGAATTCGGCATAAACAAAAATAAAGGAAAACAAACAGCTTTTCGCGTGTGTTTACATGTGTATAGTATATATACGTATTTTTCGAGCGATATTTCGATATGGAGAACGCAATATTGACATGTGGTTCGGGAATTGGTTTTGGCCGTGCACCGGGAAAACCAAAAATGACGTCAAGGCATAAATTTTGACAATTTTCTTTTTGGATTTTGAAACGTATCTTGTGGATCTCGCCGGGATGCTTTCGATGGGATTGAAAACACATAGAAAACGTGATATATGGAACCGACAATCCCGCTGCCGGCCTGGTATTTATTTGTTTCTCTGAGTTGATGCCTCTTATCCTCCGCCCACGCGATACAAACAACAAACATGAAACCGACCGTCAGACCAGAAAACGTTTTTCTTTTCAAGCAATTTTCCAATGCATATAATTTATGACGAACCGTTTCTGTTTCCTAGTACACTGATTCTATGTATCTGCCATATAAATGGCTCTATATCTATAGGACAATCGCCCATGAATGAAGCGGCGTTTTAAATGTTTGGCCTTTCGCAATAATTTTCCTCATTTATGCCTTTTCATTTGTGGTAATTCAAACATTTAGCATGGCAAATATCGCATAAAAAAGTTTAAAAACGAATCGTTTTAAAAATACCATTTTCTGTTGTGTCATGCCGAAGATAAAAGAACTGGCCGGTTCGCAGGGCACCATAAAATGGATTAGGAAATACGCGTAAATTAAAAAAAAATTATGAAGATATAAAATGAATTATTTGGTAATTGAGAAGAAAATACTTTGGAAAAATACTGTTGATTTTCTTTCATTTTAGTTTTAAATGACTCTATTTTTTAAAATTGTTTTGAAAATTATTTTAAAAAAATTACAATTTCAAGTGATATTAAAAAAATAAATCCAAAGTTGTATTAATTATTTAATTTAAGAATCAAATAAATGCAACTTTTAAATTCAATTAAACTTTGACATTTGGAGTCACCCAAAAAAATACAAATAAATTAAGCACGTTCACGAATCAAATTAAAAACTTATCAAAATAGTTGACCATATTTGCAGAAGCCACCTGAGAGAGCATCAACTTGAAATGTCCAAAAATTATGCGCAGTTTGCCGAAAAAGGCAACGCGGAGCGATTTCATCAAATGAAAACGAGCAAACTTGTTGCGGCTGGCAGTCAAATCATCAACTTCGGTTTGGAAAATCCCCTCCGGCCACAATTATCCCAGGGGTAAACTGATCTAAGCGTATTGCAATTCATTTTTTCCCCCACAATTCTTTGACACGTTCGACAGGTCGTGTGGTTTTTGGTCTCTCGTTGCACTTGACGTATTGAATTCTTGAGTTTAATTGGGATTTACATTGGGATTTAGAGTTGTTTGATTGGATTAGCTTGCTTTAGGTGCTCTGAACTGAATCGAACTGAGATGATCCGCTGTGCTGGGCGCACAAAACTCAACTGTGTTGCTCGCAGAAGATTTCAAATGTTTTATTTGAAAGCGAACGATCGGAAATAAACACGAAAGAGCGGCAAAAGAGTGCCCCCATAGAACTAAGAGCTACGAAAAGAGAGGAAAAGCCGGAAAAATAAAGCAAATCATGGGGAATATTTTAAACTCAAATATGAAAACAAGAAATAATAAGAGCAGGGAAAGGAGCCAAATTTTCACTTGAAATTGCGCACACAAAATATTCGCTGTTCGAGTTTTTCACCTGGTGGGCCAAAGTCTAAAATTAGTAAATCGCACACGTATTTGGCCCAATGTCCGAGACGCAAAATTGTTAACTATGCTGGGGTCAGAAAATCAGGGGAACGCAAGAAAAGAGAGCATTGCGAACTGGGCCAAAAGGCGAAGCACAGTCATTGACACATGACTGCACCGAATCACAGGGGGAAAAAAAACGCCAGCATAGGAAAAACTATTTTTGTTTTAGTTTAAATTTAGCGTCAAGTAAACGACAGGAGAATCCAATTTGGGAAGTTGCTGCCGTCTTTGCTCCCCCTTCGTAACTGGGCCAAAAGCATTCCCCTCCCCACAGAGTTTACACTTTCGTTGGATGCATTTTCCGGCTATAAATACCGAATGACGATCCTTTTGCCGCAGGGAGAATGAGGAAGCAAATGCCTGCAAACTGTTATAAATTTAGCCACACATATTCTCGCTTTTTCTGCAAAGTTCAACGTACGTGTGCCAGCTTTTCATATTATTCTACTTTTCTTTATATTTCCTTCGGTTTGGGTCGTGCCTCTGTAATTGCCCAATTTATAATAAAATGAAAACTGTCTGCAAAGACGGTTGTGAAAGTGATTTTCCCAGATGCATTTGCAAAACGACATCTGCGACAAAAAAACAAATAGAATAAATGCACAATGGCACACTTGACATCGTCAATCAGAGAGCGTCAGATGGTCTGCCGTCGTTTTGGATGGATCGTGTATATTATTAATTGCTTCTCGCCAATTATCAGCAGTTAATATAAAAAGTTCTGGGAAAATAGGCATCTTAAAAATTAAATTTCCACATATTTTCCATTTTAATGGATAAATTTCTGAAGGTATTAAACCAATTTAGACATCGTATTACATCATTCACTTCATGGAAATGTATTTTTAAGCACAATTTCTGGCAAGTAAATGACCAATTAAATTCACTTTTAACGGTTGCCTATAATGAGCAATAAATAACAATGAGGATGTACGAATTGCTTTGTTAAATATTTTAAACAAAGCGTTGTAGTATTGAGACTAGAATATAAATAGTTCTCTATCTTAAATATATCCTATCCGTTTACAAAGAATTTTTCTGCTTTTCAAAAATATTTAAATAGAACACTTTTAAAAACTCTATTTAAATTTACTTGGCAACAAATACTTTTGAAAGAATGTTCCTTAAATAAACAAAAAGTATTAAATCTTAGTATAGATTTCTGCCTAAATTAGCATTACCAACTAATTTAATACATAACACTTGAGATTTGAACCTGAGGCATTGGTGGAACGAATCATTTACAAAATACTCTACGAAACTAGCAAATAATGTTTTGTATCAATCATTGCTAGGCCGAATATATAAGATTTATGGTGCTTCTTTAATTGTCCAATGTGCCAAACAATTAATAATTCTGTGCAGAAACAAGCAAAAGCGCACGTTAATGACAAGATGCACTCAGAAATTGTGTCAGTTTTTAATAATAGGCGACACCGGCGCTGACACTTGCTCAGATAAATTGTTAACAGGTTCGGGCCAGACTCGTGATTTCTATGGACGCAAATTGGATGCGCACTAATAGTTCTGACCTCGGCCATGAAAGGATTTGCAATTGCCTTGCACTTACACTTAAATTCCCACACGAAAATTCCGAACCCACAATGCCACGTGCTCACTTTCCAAGTGGCAAATCATAATTTCGTTTTTGGGTCGCCCGCTAATTGGACCAGACATACGATGGGGAAAATTGTGGGGCAGCAGATAAGTGGAGGGGATACTCATCTACTTTGAAGGACGCGGAGCGCTCTAAAATTGTGACAAGGTGTGACGAAGGCAAAGGCAAGAATAAAGAAAAAATTGTCAGGTGCAGCGCGGAAATAAGAGGCTGACACAAAAATTCTAATTACTTGGCAAGGTGTGAAAATATTCAATAATAAGACCATATTCGTTGTTGCTGTTGTTGGTAGTTAACATATGGTAAGCACTAATTATCGGTGGACTCACCTCCTTTTCCTTCTCCTCGTTGTCGTTGTTGGACGATTCGTTCTGTCGCTCAGGATCCAGTTCCTGTAGCAGAACAAAAGAAATCTTTAATTTAGCATTTTCCTAATCTCCCGACTAATTAGCAATTTGGCTAGGAATAGTTGACATACGGCTCTTGGCCCATGGCTCATTTATTCTGACAAACTGCCTGGCAATTAGGCACACAAATGATGTATCTCCTAGCTATACTTACATCCATATCGATGTGCACCACGCCTGTTGATCTGCGCTTCGGCTTGCGTCGCCTCTGAATGACGGTCTGTGTGCGATTATCGTTCTCCTTGTCGTTATCTGTCGGAAGAAAAAATACAAAAAAAAAAACAAGTTAGTCTGGAGAAAAGGCTTTTTTTAACAACTGCTATAGGACATTTCCCATGATTATTTTAATGCAATAAATTCTGCTTCGTTTATAAAACAACTACTCAAGAAAAAGTTCTCAGTATTTAAAATTCAGAGAATTTATACCTGGATGTCTTTAAGTCGAATTATTAAATCATCTAGAGAATTAATTATTGTATTTATAATTGTTCGAATTATTAAATTCATTTTTCTTTAAGTGAGCAATATATTTTACAAATATACTAAAATTTCAAGCAACTTTTGAAGATACAGTAATATTGAAATAAACAGGCATTAAAAATGAATTTTTTCTGTTTTAATCCATTTGAACAAAATGCTAATTCATTTTTTTTTTGTTAAATTATTGTGTAAACTCTTAATAAAAGCACTCTTTAGTTGATTAATTAAAGCAACAGGTGCGGGATCCTTACCCTTATCGTCATGGTTTGACGTGGCGTTCGTTGCCGTAGCCGCTGCATGATTGGCACTGGTTGCAGACACTGAATTGGAGGTTGAGTTAGTAGTTGAGGCCGCTGCTGAGTTCGCCCCCGCTGACGTAGCATTCGCTTCGAATTTGCGAGCTGAGGACGTAACATAGGCACTGTTGTTTGTGCCCTCGCTGGGCGCGGAAACAGGACGACCCACAGAGTTAAGCGACTGATTGGAAGCATTTACTAAAACAGAAAGAATAAATTAAATATATGTCGTAAAAAAATGAGTAGTAATTCATTCAAAACCTACGTGCATTAGGACCGCTGCTGATGCGCCGTTGGACACCAGTTGTAGTAGATAAATTGACGGCTGCCATCACTGCCGGAGCACTCGGTATAATGGTGCTGTTGTTGGGCGGATAAGTGCCCCCGCTGGTTATGTCCTCCAGCTTGAACTGCATAAACATAAAGTCTTTTAATATGGGCTCAATTCGATTTTAAATATACATTGTGGATATTTCATAAATTTATGTTTTGAAATGTTTCTCTTTATTTGTTGTTTTTGTTTGGGCTGTGTGCAATGTGTTTGTTCTTACAAGAAGCTATGTCTTGAATCATTCGAATGCAGCGGGAGTTAGTTTATACTAAACATTTAGTAATAATTAACAAGTATCAGACACCATTTGCATTTAGAATCCATCTGTTGGAGCCCGCAACCCATTACCTAAGCTAAGCAATTTCTGTATTTCCTTGAACCATTTGAATGTATGTAGTAATTATTAAATCGAACAAAAATGTAGATGTTGTTATAAAAACATGCAAATAGTTTGATTTCGGTTCTTGTTAAAAACAAGCGCAACAAGTATGAAAAAGAAATTTAAAAAAATAAAAGTAATATAAAGGCAAGCAAAAATGTTCAAATTAGTAAGACAACTGCATGTATGTAATTATTTACACAACAATGGCCATCAGCCGAGTGAAATAGAATTTATGCTTCAATAAATACATGTGGTAACTAATAGAAATAAATGATTCTGTAAAATAATACATAGATATCAATATCTACTTATTTATGCAGTTACTTAGTTATACAGTATGGTAAGCATAAGTTATGAGAAAAAATACAGATGCTTAAATACAACTAAACGAAAAATGTAGGTCTTAAAATAAATATTTCAGGCGGTAAATAATATAATAAAATACATATTTTTGAAAGCGAATGAATTGAAAATATTAGTATTTCTCTTTCTAAGCAATAAGATTTCTTCCAATCATTTATAAGGTTTTATAAAATAAGTATAAGGTAGGCATTTAAATGGCAGCAAAACTAAATATATTGAAATAAATGATGACCTTAAACTAAAATTCAAAAAGCAATATAAAAACGATGAGGTTATTTATGAATGCGATCAAAGGTAAGGTAATTTTCACTTTGCTGAGCCTTAGATCTCCATCGATTACACACAAACTAATCAAAATAAATCCATGCTACACTTAGAGATTAACAAAAATATTTATGGCGCACACGAATTTGGCAACCGATCGAAAGATAGTATTGGATTAGGCTATCGGATTCGCTTAGAGGGCAGAGTTGGGTAGTGTGGGCATACCTTGGAGCCGGCATCGAATTTCAGGCGCCAAGACGGACGCCGTTCTGCTGCAGAAGTTGAAGTTGACGACGAGGCAGCTCCACTCGCACCACCTGCACCACCACCAGCACTTCCTCCTCCTGCGCTGCTGTCCGTTGTGCGTCGGGCGTACAGACTAAGTAGAGAGTCACGGGCATTGAAATCCGGATGTGAGGTCACGGGCGAGGCGGTATCGGACTTGGTTTCCGAGTCCTGGCTGCCGGACAATCCCCGCTTGTCCCGCAAGCGCACTGGACTCTCGAGGGCTGCGGGCGTCGTGGCCGCCGAGGATGATTTGATAGCTTCTGTGCTGGCAGCAGGAGCTGGAATCAGCGGCAGATCCGTGGGCCTGGCAAGCGGTGGTTCCTCTTCGCTGGAGCTTTTGGCAACTGGGTCAGTCTTTTGAGGAGTTCTCGGACTCTCCACATTCTCTGAGCTTTCAGGAAGCCTATCCCGCCTGGGCATTATCGTATAACTGGCACTGACCACCGACTGATCCTGATCGCCCTCCGGATCACTATTGGCATCGGCCTCGCCCGAAAGCGATCTTCGCATTGGAGCGGATAGGGTAAAACTAGCAGTGGTATCGTTCAGACTTTGGCCAGCCGGAGGATTGGCTATCACCTCCTCGATCTCCGTCTCATCGGTGGCCGTCGTTGTGGTGGGTATTATGGCTGGCGGTGGTGTGGTGGGCGGTGGTGGCGGTTGCGACTCGTCCCGCTGCTCATCGCTGTCGAGGTTCGATGATGATGATGCTGGAGCTGATGTCGATGATGCTGCTGAGCTTGTTTCGTTCTGTTAATAATATTAGTTCGGAACAAATAAAAAACAGTTGTCCTGAGGCGATGGACGCGAGTGTGTTTCAAACAAAAATCAAAAAGGTCTCACTATATCTATATAAATAATATAAATATCAATTGCATACTATAGTGATACTTAGGGTGACCCGATTTGATTGCGCATGCGAATGGGACATGCAAAATGATAATCATCAACATATTCCAAAGACATACAGTTTATTGCTATATAAACATAGAGCCTAGTGAGTAGTAGGAAAACTGAACATAGAGATAACTTAAAAGTTGTAACATAAATACAAGTCGGAATGGTAATTACGCTATGGTTCACTGATCTGCAGCTGCTTGATACTGATATGCCGACGATGATTGGAAATCATAAATATATAAAGCTAAGCTATAACGAGTACTCGCGAATTGATGAGGCGGGGGCGGTTCAAAGGGCGTGGCAGGGCGGGGCGGAGCGGAGCTGGGCAGAGGCGCAAAACGCAGAAATTGAACTCAACTTGATTGGTGGTTAAGTGTGATATTGCGATCGATCACGAACGAATAATCAAACGGATGGCAACGTACGCTAAATGAGCACTGATTGATCGATGAGACTCTGATTGAAATGATGACAGCTTAGGGCTGCTTTTTATTGGGATGAGACGAACAAAATGCAGCAGGTTCGAATTATACCCTTCAAGGTGGCTAACGGTGGCAATTTAAATCTGTATATCAGTCAAGATCATTAAAGGTGCTGACAACCCGTTGAAGTACTTGATTAATTAACAGCTTTAAATATTTTAAGCCACATTTACAATAAAATTAAAGGTATAGCACACTTTTCAGGGCAATCTTCGAACCTGTTGCATTCTGCTTACTACACGATTTCTCTAAACTACAATAACTATTTTAGTACATTTTTCACTCACTCACACAAACCACAATGATATGATATTAATATAATTTTTCTATGAACAGTTTTGTGTGAGTGAACATAATCGAACACATAAACAGAAAGAGGGATATCCAAATAATGGGGACACCATAACCATAAGCATTTATTTTTTCGGTTTTTGATCTGGTGTGTATCGCTCAACGTTTGAGTGGGTGTGAACTGCATGTGGACATCGTGTGTGGATGCTGTAATCCAAACTAAGATTACAGGCATGATCTACCAATGATTCTATGAAGATAACTTCCTCGAGTGTGAATGTTTTCGGTTTGATTTTTGTTGTGATAGCGTGGATGATTCGGTTAGAGTATCCATTTGGACACTTGACTACTTACGCCGCTGTTGCTGATGGTGTTCGTAGTGGTGGTGCTGATATTATTATTGTTATTGTTGTTGGCCATGCCCATGTTCTTCTTCTTGACCAGCTCCTCGGCACTCTTGATCTCGTCCAGAGTAACGCCTTGGGTGGACCGTCGAGTCTCCCTCACGCGCTTGGCATGTGCCTTTCGCTGCGTTTCACTCTCCTCATCGCGCACCGGTGGCACAAAAGATCTACAATTTGGTTGGAATAAATTGAAATAGTTTTAGAAAAGGTTTACAATTTAAAAATACGAATTGTATTAAAACAAAGGGCTATAGAATCGCTTCCCTTAAGGAAGTAAGTCGCAACACATCGAGCTGTTATTTATAAAATAGCTCAAGATTAACTAACACATGTTATCAATTTTTTAAAATATTTTTCCTTTCTTTGGATTATTAAACTAAATTGTTTAGCAATTGTTCTAGGTGAAGATTACAATTTTTAAGTAAATGCAGTATCTTTCTTTTTTGGGATACTTTTGCGTAAATCATGCTTTACAGAACAAGGCCTAGCTGGGAGCAAAAATGGGATTAGCAGCTGACTAGCGGGGTTAGCTCAACAACAATTAATTCTCTTGCTCTCATTACTTGAAGAAGTTTTTGATCATATTGCTCGTGGATTGTTTGGGCGGTGGCTTCGAGCTCTCCACATCGCTGACACTGGCCGTGGACGAGCTGCCATTATTGCTCTTTTCTGCTATTTTCGCTGTAACTTGGCTAATTGATCGACAACGGAGTTTTTAAGAAAATATTTTTAAAACAGGTACTTCAAAAACTAAACTCACCTGCGAATTGGTGGGGTCTGTACAGTTGTCGATGGAGAATTGAGCGCCGTATTAGCCGTGGCTGCCGCACTGGTGGGCGTAGCAATCGGTTTCCTGAGGGTAAGGAAAATAAAAGTATTTTATAGAAGGGTTCATAGGAAAATGGAGAATACAGCCAAGAAAGAGTAGACGACATTGGTGCGTGGCCTAGGAAAATATGTTAAATAGTTTGGTGCAATGAGTTTTGGTTCTGAAGGTGTAGACAAGAAGAAGCTAAGCAAAAGCACAGTTAGGTTAATAGTTACAAAAAATTGAGTTACTTAGTCAGTTATGAGTAGGCGTGGTTCCTTAAACTAGATCAGATTTTACAAATGTTACTATACAATATAAAGGTATAAAGATTCATTTTACAAATATAAAAGAAGGTATCTTAAACTATCATTGTTTAGTTACTTAAAAAATTACATCTAACATTTTTGATGACTTTTAAGGATAAAATTTTGTAATTATACTAAATACTTTAAAAACCAATAATTTAAACAAAATAAATATAAGAAATATTTTCCTTTTCTATAATTTAACAAAGTTTACATAATAAAACTAAGCAATCTGATCTAGTTTACTTTTTAGGACGTGTCGATTGCAAAACAAACCTGTAATACATTGAGTTATCTTTGAGTGAGGCCGATCTTTGTACGCTATATAATTGATTTGTGGCCGATGCTGCTGCTGCTGGTTGTTGTGTTGTGGTTGTGTTGTTGGTGTTCGAGTGGGTGTTGTTGAATGTACTGATTGTTGTTGTGGAGGTGCTTGTTGTTGTTGTGCCAGCAGCATATCCCAATAGCAGATCGCTTTTGTTGTTGTTATTGTTGTTATTATGATTGTTATTGCTACTAAGATTATTATTGTTATTGGAATTATTGGCAGCAGCGGCATTAGCATTCGCATTCGCCGGCAGAATGGGACAGGAATTGGCCTTTATGCGGGCCCGCAGCTCATTGTATTTTTGATAGAATCTGTCACACGGATTGATTTTCAGATGATGATTTTTCGAGCGATTTTCGAGGATTTTTTTATCGATCGTGCGGGCGTACAGGTGGGCGGGCGGAGCGAGCAGGTGGGCGAGCGGGCAGGTTAGATTTCGGGATAAGCGTTTTGATGAGTTTGTTGTTGGTTTTTTGGTTGGTTGTGGTGCGTTGGTGATACAATTTTTATTGTCGTATTTTTTTTTTGTTTATTTTAAAGGGTGGGAAAAAAAATAAAGCAAAACAATAACTTTAAAATCAATACAATACTTTGTTTTCCCTTATTTGTTGCCTTTTACAGTCAACGCTTCACTTTGCCAAATGCGAATGTTGTTATGGAAAAAGCTCATTAATGGAAAGCTTGTGATTCATGGAGATTCGGGAAGCTTTCCCAGATCATGATACCACCAGGGGTAAATTTAAACAATTACAAATACATTTCGTTTTCATTCGGTTTATCAATATATGTAGGAGTATTCTGCGAAAGGCTGAATGACTGGTTAAACATTTGAGTGTGAGTATGTGCGATAATGATAAGCAAATGCAATCGGCAAAAGTGAAAAGCCAACTGAAAAGTCAACCAATAAATCAAGACCTTTCGGTGCAATTTGGCCGATCAGTGTATGTAAATAATCATTATATATGTGGGTTAATCTGTGATGCGATTGTGTGTTTTTGTGTGTGAGCGGCACGCAATGTTTTATTTTCTTTGGATTCAACTCACTTTTGATCGTTCTCAAAGCTTTGCGTGCGTCGCAAAATGACGTCGTTGGCTGTTTCCGAGCTATTGCTGCTGAGCTCTCTATCAGGAACTTCTGCAAGATGATAATTATAATGATTATTATTATCAGATTCGATTGTGGTTTTTTTGCAGTTCGTTTCCAAGCCTTTAGATAACTGTGGCATTTTTAAGAAACAGTGTAACAACTATAAAATTATACATTTTTATTAACTAATTGTCTTTCAATTAATACCTTTTAAAATTATATCTTTAAAATTGTACCTTCTTTATATACTTTTATATACTTTTTATAAAAAAAATATATATTTTACTTCTGTAGATAAATCTTTTCTAGTATCTTGAGGCCTTGAAACTTGATTTTTACACAATCGACTTACGATTATTAGTGGGACTGTCGTTTGGTGTGCGTGGCAACTTGCGTCGCCAGGGCGCCTCATCCTCGACTGGATGCTCGGCGACGTGGATCTGCTGATTGGGCTTGACGTTCTCAGCTGGAAAAGCAATGGGTAAAACAACATAAGTTTTAATCTAAAAACCATAGACAATTGGGGCTAGGTTAGTGGCTCATAAGCGGGCTTAAAACAAACTAGGTTCGACGAGGAACTCCTCGATCAGGACGCAAAACAAGTGCCGACTACCTTCGCTTTCGGAAAGACTGGTCGAGTGTGAGCTTTCCGTGGAATCGCTCAGCTCTTCTGTATCGCTTTGGCCACTGGCCACCACTCCTTCACTTCCACTTCCACCACCATCATCATCATTATCATCAGCAGCAGGAGCAGGAGCGTTTGAAATCGAAGCCTCTGCTTCGGCGGATTCACTTGAGCCACTGGCAGCTGCAGTGTGCGTAATTTACAAGCAAAGACAATACACAAATACAGAGAGAGAGAAAGAGACACGATACAGATACAGAGAGAGAAATAAGGGATACTACTGATGGATGATCATGATCATGATGGAGGCAAATTATACTAGACAACGTGATCTTGAGTGACTAAAGTACGAGAGGCAGTGGCAAATGTTTTACGATTAAATGCTCCAACAACACAGGATTATCGCGCATGAGAGCCTAAACAGGATAATAAACAGGACAAACACAAGAGTGTGTGTGTGCGAGAAATCAAAGAAAGCTTTTCGTTTATATTATGTAGCCAAGGTAAAATTGGAGATAACTCTTAATCGTAGCATACGCACCATCCTTTGTGGCATCAGTTCTCACTTCGACGCGAACCAGTTTGGTGGGCGTCTTGTCCACGTGATTTTCAATCGTATCTGAGATTCTGCTGATAAAGATAAACAGTATGAGGATTAATTACATATTTTACTTTAAATGATTTTATTATGGAAAACTATAAAGCTTAAATCGAAATCTTAAATTCCATATTTATAATTTAAAATTTGTTAATGAACGATGCATGATTTTTTATCAAATATATTTATTATGAAAATGAATCAACAAAAAATACAGTCATAAATGTATGTATGCCAAGCTTATATAAAATCATCAGTTCTAAGGAAAAAATATTTTTAAAAACATTTTAAATGAATAGTGTAATTATTAAGGAAATGTTTTCTTATGTTTTTGATTTACATTTTATTTATAATTTTCCATACCAGAAATGACTAGACAATTTTTTGATTTTTCTCACCTGATTTGACTAGATGGTCGCCGCTTGTTGCGTTTGTTGGCACGCAGTTCTTCCAGGAATTTGACTATTTTGCGATCGGCCACATCGATGCATGACTGCCCGGCATAGTTGCGTATATCCATGTCGGCCAGTGACTCCACAAGCATCTCGGCCGTTTCCCGTTGACCCCAATGCGATGCTGCATGCAACGGCGTCCAGCCATCGTTATCCTGGCGATCCACATTGCCACGACCGGCCAGGAGCAGGCCCAGAACTTTCGTATAACCTTTAGCGGCGGCTACGTGAAGCGCTGTGGCTCCTGTTTTTGGGTGCGGTCTGTCCACCTCGGCGGCATCGCTTCTCAGCCACTTTTTGGCATCGTTCAGCATCGCCTGCTCCTCAGCCTTTCGAGCCTCATCCACATTTATGTTCAGCTCCTGCACCATCTTCTCCATATAGTCGATCATGGCCATGTGTTGAACATCGATGGCCAGGTCCAAGGCCAGATCGCCATCGCTGTTCACAGCGGCCACATCAGCGCCATTTTCCACCAAGTACCGAGCTATGCTCACAAAGCTGGGAAAACGAATAGGAAATATAAATTAGGAATTAAATTTTTTTTGTAAATTTGGATTTATAACTAACCCGCAGGAGGCAGTGGCATGCAAGGGCGTCCAGCCCTCATTATCCTGTCGGTTTATGTCGGCACCTCGCTCCACCAGAAACTCCACCATATCCAGATTGTCGTCTATGCAAGCCTGAAAAATATTAAGATTTAAATGTGAGTATACCATTAAGTAATAAGTGATTTTGTATTTATAAAAATAATAAAAAGAAAAACTCAGATTTATATGACAAACCAAACAATTCTAAAAGCTATAAATATTTTTTGAAATATATCTTTATAGAAATAAAGATAAATTAAATAGTTTAATTTCAAAAAGTTCATTAAAATGATTTAAAAATAGTGGGGCTATTGGCAATGTCAATGCGCTAAAGTCATGTTTATTACAATATGCCAACGTCTGTCTATAATAATGCATTGTAATTTCAAATTGAAAGGTCAAAACCATAAACATCAATCCTTGGAACCGTTCTACTTTGCCAAATGAAATGTATTTATTTAAATTTTTATAGCCAGAAAAACAAGTCGATTTCCCGAACGGAATCGTAAATGCAGTGCATCAAAAGTTGAATTAACTTTCGTAGAAGAGATTCGGTCGGTGTGCATTCGATTTGCTTTTATAAGAGCTAGTAAAATGTTTTAAAATTTCAGTGTTTATCTTGCTAAAACGTTAAAGTAAACAGCCAGTGAAGACACAAGCCAAAGCAGAGAGTATCCAGCATGGTTGGGTTGTTTATGCGGATTTCCGCTGAACCCGCCTAGACATCTTCTTCGTTTGGTTGGATGGCACATGCACGGCACTGAACGATGATATCATCGGCCGCGACTCCGGCGCTTCTTTGGGGCCGCTGCTATCTGTGAACCAGCGAGGAAACCAACCAACAAACCTACCCAACCCCACAAAAGTTGAATGGAGTCGACAACGCCTCGTAGTTGCAAATGCCGATAAGCATTCTTTGGCGCAAAAGCAACAGCTCAGCCAAAAGAATAGAAAGTAAAAGAGGCCCACAACAAAAGGCGCTAGCTCTATCAATGCACAGCATGAAAAAATCTACTACCATGACATTCCAAAATATTTGGGTTCTTATCTTTTAAAATATTTATAAGCTATGTTATTGGCATATGGTCAAAACTACTCTATTAGCATAGTTTGCTTATCAAACATTTCAATTTCAGGGCACGAAAGATATATTGATAGATATAGTTTCATATACTTGGGTATGTAAGTCAGAATAAATTATTAAATTTTTTAAAATAGTTCCCAAGATCATTCTTTTTTATTTTTAGATGGAATATAGATTCTGAAAAACCCGTCTTAGCTTCTGTCTTTCAATGTGAGCCCCCGTTTCTTTTATTTTCCTTGTGTATTTCCCTCGTAATCCCCCCTTGATAACAGAGCACGTTTAAGGAGTGGGGCGTTATAAAAATCAAATGACCGATTCTTGTCTGTGTCTCTCTATCTTTCTCTTCTTTTTCTTTCCTCGGCATATGTTAATTCACAATTTTTTACTGGCTGAGCTTCAAAGTAGCTTTTTTTTGCCGTTGCTTTTAAAATCCAAAAGCAATTTCCATTTCGCAGTAAAACAAATAAAAATTAAAAAAAAAAAGTCTAGAAAAAAAGAGAGAGAGAGAGAGAGAGACGGCGGGTGGGCCAAACAATTTGTAAATCTGGAACGCAGCCAATTAATTAATTATGAACAATTTTGATAAACTGACCGGCAGGAAAAGGGGTTTTGCGGAGCGGCAACGCCCACGCGTGACCATCCACAAACCGAGTGGACGACAATGCCCAGTGATTTTGTGGTATGCAAACATTTTTGACACGAGCTATTCCATCAGCGAATTCACTCGATTACCCAGACTTTGGGCCTTAATGTCAGAGCAACGGATTCTACGCTATTTCCATTTGCATTGCCAAACGAAAAGCAGTGAAAAAAGCGAAAAGAAAATGAAGGAAAAAAAACTGCATGCTAAGTTTAGCCTTTTGTTTTGGCACGCCATTGAGCGGCATTTTCAGCCGTTGCACGCCAAATGTTATTCACCTCGCCGCATTACGTATACGCCGCGTAGGCCAACAGCGACTTGTTGAGACGGCTATCAGACTCTGGGCCGCCAGCTTAACGTGGCTCATTACGCGGTAGTTTGCTAGGCGCCAAGCTCCATTTGGCCCCCGCTTTGTTAGCCCTCAATGCACATAATTCTGGCTTATAACTCAATAGCTTGAATAATTCCTTTGATGAAGAGGCAGGCACAAGAGTTCCATGGAAAACTCTTCTTGAAAGAGTAGGCTTTGGGGAAGGGGTTTAGCTCTCCTTAAATCCCATTTAATATTTAGGTTTTTATTGGTTCACTTAGATACTAAAATTTACATTACAAACAATTTAGAAAGATTCATGAATGATAAATAAAATCAGATATCCTTTGACCTCCATTAAAATACACAAAACTTTAAGATTCATACAAGTTTAAATATTAAATATTGAAATATTTAATTTTAAATTAAAGAGAGTTATTTCTTATGGTTTGATAATTCATTTAATAATGTTCTATTCCTTTCCACTCATCATACATAATCAGTGATTGTAAATCCCACATTAATTTTCTTATGATCCGCTAATAAAATACATAAAAGAAGCACAAATTAGTTGAATTTTAAAATACGTTTTAAAAAAACATTCCTTGCCACTCATTGACCTGCCGCCTTAGTATACAATTATTCGTTCAAGAAACCAAATGTACATATATTATAAACGAAATGCCAAAATAGACGAGCCAACCGCTTGAGTTCAATAAATTACAAATTTGAATTAGCGCCACAAGATAAAAGTAGAAAGAATCTACATAAACCATATGATATATACCCATACATATAGACCGGTATATGTATATCTAGACGTGCCTATATCCAACCGATTTCGGGGCATTTGCTCTGTGTGAAAAGTTCTAGCATATTGCAAAGCCTTCAAACAATTTCTTTCGTGTCTTTTTCTTTTATTTCTTCTTGAAGAAAAGTTCTCATGTATCTCAATAGTATTTTGCCACTAAAAATGCTTCGCATATTTTTGCCAAATTGTTCTTTTTTAACTTGGCCAGGTGGGGCCGAGACATCTGGCTGGACTGGAGGGAAGTGTGAAAAATAATGAACACAAGCGATTGCAAAATGAAAAATAAACAAACCAAAAGAATATCCAAACGGAAACAAGAATCTAGACAATTTCCTTATGATTCTAAAGATTTATGGTGAGCACTGGTGTGTGCTTAATTGTATTTGCTTTTGTAATTTTATTAAAAAAAAATATTACAAAAGAGAAAATTGTTAAGTAACTTTGAATTTTGCAAGGCTTGTGCTACTAAGCTTCATAGAAATAAAATCTTATCTTTTGAATGTTTATTTACCTAAGATTTCAAGTGTGAATAAGCTGATATGATAATCACTATTTCTACAATCTAAACTTTCACCTAAGCAAGTTGTCGGTTATAAAATATGGGTATATTTCTCAGATATATTTTAAGTGTTTATCGTGCGATAATAAATAAGTCAAAAGGAATTCCAGGAACTCGAATATAAAAGTCTATCGGTACTGGAAAATTATATATTTTAAAATAATTAAAAATAAATATTCCTAGAAAAAAAATATAAAAAAAGTACACAAAACACATATAAAACTTAATATATTTTTCCGCTGAACTATTTCTGAGGTCATGTCGTCATGGGTTGGCAAAAAAGTATAGTTCCCGCTGGTTTCGGTTCGTTTATCCATAAAACATCAGATTTTAAATCGTGTGTGTGCGGCGTGGCGCGTGCAAGCTAAATGTATAATAATTATAATCGGACGGCCGCAGAATTGGCAACCAGAAATAAGGAAAAGAAAAGAATTGGATAGGCCTAAGACCGAGAAACTCGGTTGTAAAACGAAACATTTTTAATGGCATATATTTTGTGGCTGGCTATGGCTAGAAATGGTATTATGCAACGCACACATCAATGTGCATAAAGTTAGCAATGCAACTTTTGAAAATGCAAATTTTTTTCTATCGACAATTTGCCGTTATTTATCCGTAAATTATTCGTGAAAGAAAAAAATTTGCCGCTCAATTATTTTTAAAATTATGAGATGTTCTGCTAAGTTGATATCAACTTAGCAGAACACCCCCACTAAAGTTCAAAATTTCCAAAATCTTTTTTAATGGGAATTTGCCGTTATTTTGCCGTAAATTATTCGTGAAAGAAAAAATTTAGTTGCTCTTGTTTTAACATTTTTTTTTTAAAAAAACATAGTTGTTTTGCTAAGTTGATATCAACTTAGCAGAACACCCCCACTAAAGTTCAAAATTTCCAAAATCTTTTCTAATGGGAATTTGCCGTTATTTTGCCGTAAATTATTCGTGAAAGAAAAAATTTAGTTGCTCTTGTTTTAACATTTTTTTTTAAAAAAACATAGTTGTTTTGCTAAGTTGATATCAACTTAGCAGAACACCCCCACTAAAGTTCAAAATTTCCAAAATCTTTTCTAATGGGAATTTGCCGTTATTTATCCGTAAATGATTCGCGAAAGAAAAAATTTTGTTGCTCTTGTTTTAACATTTTTTTTTTAAAAAACATAGTTGTTCTGCTAAGTTGATATCAACTTAGCAGAACACCCCCACTAAAGTTCAAAATTTCCAAAATCTTTTTTAATGGGAATTTGCCGTTATTTATCCGTAAATGATTCGCGAAAGAAAAAATTTTGTTGCTCTTGTTTTAACCTTTTTTTTAATAATAGTTGTTCTGCTAACATATGTATGTACAACGCGGACGGTAGCAGAGCTCTGCTGACGTCGACGTCAAATGTGTAAAATTCCCGCGAATTCTGCGTCCTGGAGGTTTATTAATTTCTGCAGTGAGTCTGAGTCAATATTATTTACAGAATTACACATAATCAAAAGTTAAAAATTTTAAACATGAAAAATGGATGTTGCTTCTCACAGAAGCAGAATTCGCGGAAATTGTACACATTTGACGTCGACGTCAGCAGAGCTCTGCTACCGTCCGCGTTGTACATACATATGTTAGCAGAACAACTATTATTAAAAAAAAGGTTAAAACAAGAGCAACAAAATTTTTTCTTTCGCGAATCATTTACGGATAAATAACGGCAAATTCCCATTAGAAAAGATTTTGGAAATTTTAAACTTTAGTGGGGGTGTTCTGCTAAGTTGATATCAACTTAGCAGAACAACTATGTTTTTTAAAAAAAAAAATGTTAAAACAAGAGCAACTAAATTTTTTCTTTCACGAATAATTTACGGCAAAATAACGGCGAATTCCCATTAAAAAATTTTGGAAATTTTGAACTTTAGTGGGGTGTTTTTGTTGTTGATATCAACTTAGCAGAACATCTCATAATTTTAAAAATAATTGAGCGGCAAATTTTTTTCTTTCACGAATAATTTACGGATAAATAACGGCAAATTGTCGATAGAAAAAAATTTGCATTTTCAAAAGTTGCATTGCTAACTTTATGCACATCACACATCAGATACTGGCAGATACAGATGCGGACTGCGGACTGCAGACATCACATCAAATTGTATCTGGCATAGAGCGAATTTTCATTTTCATTTTGATCATTCGCATTCGTTTGTTATTTTGGGTGTAAAACACGAAACGAGAAATAAATCAAATCAAGTGTAGCGACCGCATCGCATCCATTTATATACATACAACCTAACAGATACATCCAGAGATCATTCCGTATACACGCGCTGCTGATTCTTGAGGATATTCGATTTGTATCTGTTTGTGAATCTGTGAGTCTGTAGTCTGTAGTCTGTAGCTGTGCGTTTCAACAGCTGTCCGTCCCGTCAGTCCGTCGAGAACCGGGCCAAGGTTAGAAAACACGTCAATAAAGCGCGTTAGCCGACAGCAACAAATCTACTAGCGATCGCCAAGACAGAGTGCTTTTATTTGGGAAAACTCACGCAGCTTTTCCCAACTCCCCAAACGATCAGGACTCGTCATCGATCTGCGGCTCACGATCGTCATGTCAACGGATCGGCGATTGTTACGATTATTATATGCTGAGCTACTCAAGCCCCGACTATAGCTCAATTTAAGAGAAGTCTTGACAGAATAATTTCTTAATTTATGCGGCGCCAGTTCGCCTCTCCTGGCCCCCTACTAAAATCGAAATATATCAATTGCTAATTGGCAGAAAGGTATGTATATAAATCAATTCTTAATTTGAGCATATCATTGAAAGAGGCTGATTAAAGAAGAAACATAGATTCGCACTCAGGGGAAAAGAAAACCAGATTTTATACTGCTCAGAGTCTTTTATAAATGGATAAATTAAGCAAATTAAACCCAACCTTACATACAATAAATATAAATAATTCCTAATAAGTTAAACGTTAGGTAAGGTAGAAAAATGTATATCATCTTAATAGTTTCTCTTTAAAGTACCAAATGATTAATATGATTATAATTAGCGCATTTTTCCATTCGGCACACTAAATAAAATATATATATTTGTGTGAAACCCACGTATTTCCAAAATATTTCTAAATTTAACGTCCATAACTGATTCATTTGTAGAATGTGTGGACCATGAAATACAATTCTATAAAAGATATTTCGAAAAAAAATGCTCACATTATCCTTGAACTGTATTTAAATGTAAATATCCGAATCTGAACGCTTGTAAACACACGTAATTTATTGCCATTTCTTAGATAATTTCCCACTTGTCCCCCAGCGAGTTTGTACGTCAATGCACGCTGCTAGCTTGTAGGCCACATGAAAAATCAAAGTCAACCATGGATACACGGTCACTTGCAACAGCCCCTCCATCCTCCGTTTTCTATCTTCCTCTCCATCAGTCAACATCATTCAAATAAAGTCCAAGGCGAAACACTGTGGAACCAATATGCCACTGTGTTTTATTTAATTTAAAATATTTGAAAATAACGTAGCAAAAGGATTTTCTTTTTTAACGAGTCAAAATAAAGTAAAAGTATATTATTTTATCCTTATGAGTTTCAATGTAATACCAATATTTTTAAATCATTATTCTTGTTCTTTTGAATTAACTTTGTATTTTCTTATGATAACTCACTCTTGTACTTTTCAGTTCCTAGGCGCTCTTGAAAGTCTTTTTGATAACAATAATGACTTGGACAAGTATTAAATATTAAAAATTAGAGACAATATATTTGTATCGTTACAAAATGTCCTTTGATGAATAAAATTTAAAAACAATTTATAGTTGGGTTCGAACCACTGTAGCCTATCCCGTCTGCAGCAATCAAATCGCATGCCATTGAAAATGTGGTGCAGGTGTGGTGCTGTCGTTGTCAATGCTTATGAATGGAAGGCCCAAACATTGAAAATGTATGCATGTGAAATTGGTGCGGCATGGGCCAAAGGAAAGCCACGACTTATGTACATACAGACAAACAAAGAAAGCACGGGGGTGGACATTTGCAACCATTAGAGGACTTGTAAGTGCAGGCGATAAGATAATTATTTTAATAAATGCAATCGAAATTCTGCCTTGCGGTTTAGCAAAAACGACAACAGCAAGTGAAGCAAATAGCCGCAGGTTGCGACCGCACTTGCACCGCACACAATGTGGCAGGTAATTCAAAACGTTTGCACTGTTCCCATTGTTATTATTATTTATTATTGTGTTGTAGTTTCTGTTGCTGTAATTACAGTGCACTCCCAGACAGTGGTGCCCTCCCCGCGAAGCCCGCGCCGAGCAAATTAGCATCTGGTTAACAAGTGCGCCGCGGTTAAACGGTGAAAATCTACGACTCTTTGCTGGCGCAGCATAATTAGAATCAATTATATTGAATTGGAGCAGAGAGCACACAGTGAGTGCAAGATGGTAGTGGAAGAGCAGCGGGATTTGAAAATTTAATTAAGAATTTCGACCGAAAATCATTTTAGTAGCTATTCTCGGTTATTTAAGTTAAGTTTCCATTTGGTTAATATAAACCATCAGTTTTTCTATTCCCAAAGTTTATGATCCACTTTCAGCACAATTAAAATGAGGGCAAAATGGGTGTGGTACCCAAAATGATAAATTTATTCTTCAGTAAATAATTTAAGTTTTTAACCGCCCAAAAATGGAGATTAACTTTTTGTTAGCTATCGTGTTTAGGATAAAAATCCTTTTTCTTTAAAATAATATATTAAAAATATTTTATAATTAACGTAAAGAATTTATCTTTTTGATAATGCCAGAAAATTTTGGTTTTATATCATTTTCCTTGCCAACAAATATCATTAAATTTTTTTCATCGACATAGTACGAAAATGAGCCAAACAAATGAGAGGAAAACTGAAAATGATTTTGCGAAAATCTTTAGGCTTTTAATATGTAAACTGGCTTTCATGTATATGAGTATTGTATGTTTTTCTTGGTTGTTAAAAATAGAACATTTTGTATTTTTCTTATTTAATGCTTTTGGCCGTTTGCCTTTCGCTTGTTGTTGCTGTTGGTGTAGCTGTTCTGGCCATTCGACTTGTAAATCGTCGGCTTGCATTAGCCATGTATTTGTTAATATTCGAAATTCGAATTGTTGTTGCGGCGGCGGTGTTGAAACCGCAGAAAGAGCACGAAATACGCAACAAAAACAATGGTCGAGCGTCTAGCGAACGGCGCTGCACAGTGGGCCTAAAGAGGAGGCTACTCCTTGACCTTGATTGGGTCAGGGAAATACTTTGGGATATTATAAAAGAATATTCAAATTAAATAAGATGTCTTTTCAATATATTTTTTTATCTTTTCTTTTATTATGCATTGCATAATTCTGAGCAAAAATATATTATTTTACTGAAACAAATAAAAGAATATTCAAATTAAATAAGATGTCTTTTCAATCTTATCTTTTCTTTTTTTAGGCATTGCATAGTTCTGAGCAAAAATATATTATTTTACTGAAACAAAAATTTACCATTTAAAAATGCAATAACATTTATAAATCAATTTCAAAATTAAATTTCTTTAATATCTTCCTAACCTTTAAGACATTCCTGTTCCAGAATTGTAATAATATGATCAGTGGGCCATGGAATTTAACCCACAGTACGGCCCACGTCAGCACCACAGTTGGACGCAACGCAACAGTGTCGAAATTGCATGCCCCTGCGCCCGTTCCACCTCCACCACCCCCTCGCCTGGTCGCGTGATCGCAATTGCAGCAGACTGACGCAACGTCGAGCTCCCTTCTAAAGGGAAATAAATACCCAAGGAAAAGGGGATGCAAAATGGATATTCATAATTGATGAAGTAGAATTCCTAGTTCTACACATATAATCGCACTTAAAACTTATTAACAATTGCTTTGGTTAGGTATTTCAAATAAATTAAAATTCATAGAATTTTTTTTATATTTTGTGAACAAAATTTTAAAAACCTTTGATAACTTTGAGTTTAAATTATTAAGAACTGTTTCCACTTTTGGGAATGAGTCTTCTACATCTTCTCTCTTAATAACCCTTTTTATTTACGATCTTGTAAGTCTACTGAAAATTTGTGTTTCGAAAGACCTATATAATGCGTCGTACAAAAGCCATCGCCTTTTAAAGAATAATGATTCATGCTTCTAGTATTTGCAGTGAAGTGGATATGAGTTGATGTCCTTTGTGACATTTATTAGTATAAATCATAGTAGTCTTTTAAAAATGAAAATTAGGAATGCGGGGTGACACAGAAATCTCATTGGGCGGATTTCTGATGGAACTTCTATTGAAGCTTACGTACATTCCAATTAAATTTCGCCTGAAGAGATTTCTGGACAACTCCAGAAATTAGTCTTAATAGAATGGGATGAGTTAAGGGAGATAGACGCACCTGATGCAGGGCGGTCAGTCCGTCGACGTTGGCCGTGTTGATGTCGGCTCCCTGGTCCAGGAGCTGGATGACCTCGTCCTTGTCGCCGGAGAGGCAGGCGGCGAGGAAGACGCAGCCGGAGCTGAACTTGATCCGCCGGCCGTGCTCGTGGCGGGGGGTGGGGGCGGCGCGGTTGGTGTCCGACTCTTCCCAGCGCTTCAGCTGCTCCGCCCGCTTCATCATCGCCGAGTTGTTGCGCGCGTCCAGCGAGGACATCTTGGTGATCTTTTCTGCGACGATCCTTCAGATAATCCTGCTTTTTTCGCAGAGCGCGCGCTCTGTGAGATTGATGGACCGCTCCAGATATACCGTACGTATCGTTGTTGTATTGTTCGCTATATCCCTGGTTTTGTTATTGTTTTTATTGCGCTTTTGTTTGCACTGGGAATTTGATTTTGATTTTGCACTATTTATAGAAAATGCTTCACACTTTCGATTTTCGATCACAACTACACTTTTGCTGTTTGTACTGCTGCTGCTCCTGCTTCTTCTTCTCCTGCTGGCGGCTGATTATTATTATTTTTCGATTTTTCTATTTTCCATGCGTGTGTGCGTGTGCGTGGTGTGTGCGTGTGCCTGCTTTATCAGCCAACTTCTTGGCATTTTCTTTTCCCCTCACTCACACACGGGCAAATCGGATCGCACTCTTTCTTTCCCGCTCTCTCGCAAAACAATGCTATTTGTTGTTGTTAAACGCGCACCTTTGTTGTTGCATTCGATTGAAATTACACATATTAAATGCGAAAAAGAGAGGCAGAAAATAGGGTGGAAGATAAACAGTTAAAAACTAGGTATTTTTACAAGGGAATAGAATATTTTTCAACTGTTTTTACACGGGGTTTGCAATTGTTAAATAAAAGTGTTAAACAAACATATTTTCATATTAATTAAAAACACTTGCGGGCATTTTTACAGCCGCTTGTTTTTTTCACTTTGTTTATCATTCTCCCTTTTGCGCTCGCTCTCTCTCTCGCACTCACACACCCATGCAGCTAGGGCCTGCATACGCGCGCTCTCCGCCTGGCCTGCATGTGTGTGTGTTACCAATTTGACATAAATTCAACAGCCGCGACGCTGACGTCGCGAGTAAATAGAACGAAAATGGAAGCCGCGTAATTTTTCACGCACTGAAATGCGATGATTTTATGTAATTCTGCAAGCCAGCGGTTTGCATAAAAGTCCTCGCAATTGCCTATGTAATTATGTAAAGGCATTTTACATCGCCCCACTCCACGCACACATGCTCGCCTCGCACACACACACACACTCGTATGCCGCACACGCACGTAGAGAAAAATGGATTGCAGTAGAAACTTTTCACATACACCGAAAGGCGAATCGAAAAACGCACCTTTTCGCCGCGAAATTACCAGATTTGGGGCGGCTCTGGGGGCTCTACTGGCTGCGGGACGCTCCGCTGGGGCGCTCCTCGTCCGCGAGGCACTGGTATTTCACTTTATTTTGCATATTTTCGCTGGCTTTCAAATCGAATTTCCTCCGCACGAACTTCACAGACCAAGATTTTTTGACGATGTGAATATGTGAACAGGGTTGCCAGATGAAAATGTTGCTTTCCCTAAAAAACATCGCGGCCGGTCACACTGTTTTCGTCCGATTACAGTGTATCGATATTTTTAGCAGGGTGTCTTGGCTAACTTAGCCGAGACACACTCCTAACCTTTCTTTGACCCTCGGTATTTCTGGTATTTTTGTGGCACTATCGAGACAACACAGTTGTGTAAAATACCAAACCCAGTGTGACCCCAAGGAAATAATATTTTCAATTCAAAACCAGGGCAGTATTCCGCAAAAGCTTACAGCTGTAACGGTTTTATAACCTTTTTTTAAATTTAAAATGTGCAACAACGGAAAAAGCATTAATACCTCTATTAGTTTCAAAAAATTAAACTTTTGAAGCAGAGAGATAGCTAGAGCAAATGAGAGCGCATAACCCACCCCCTAAATAATTGCGCATCGCATGGGCGGCAAAAACTATTTCGACCGTTCCGCCCCGCTGACTCTCTCTCTTTCGCCCGCCGTCGCCCTCTCCCTCTCTAGAAAGCCAAGCAAAACAAAACAAATGAGAACGCAAAACCGACAAAAACAAATACCTATAGGAAAGTAGGCTAGGCGGCTCTATAAAACATATAGTTTTTGCGTAGTCGCAGCGAGGCACTCAAACCCACCGGTCGACGCGTGCACATCGAGTGAAATAATTTTATCTTTGCATTCTTGAAAAGTTTAGCAATAAACAATTCCCAGAGCGGCTAATAATCTTATCGTGCCGCGATAAGTAAACAAAAACACAATTCAATTTTTGGAGGTCAAAAAAATAAATAGAAAACATCCAATGATAAACTGATAAGTTATCTTGCGTTAAAATGTCTCCGGTAAGTGATTTTTTAAGCCTATAAGGATTTATTGTCAAAACAAAAATAAAATCATGTGCAAAAAGATGGTATCTTAAATTTAAAATTTTTTAATATTAGTCTGTTTAATTTTACTATATTTAAGCACGGAAGAAAAAAGGTTAAAGGGTTTGATTTACAATTGCCATATATGTATTGCATACATAAAGGCGCTCCTCTTTTTTTTCTAAATTCTCCTCTACTTTTTATGTTTTTCCTTCTACAACACTTTGGTTTTGTTTCTCTTCATTCATGTCCTCACCTCTCTCTGCCGCTTTCCAGTCATTTCGAAACTGTATGCAATCTAGAATCATCCCTCCCTTTTCGTTTGCCTCCCAATTCCACCCCCCACCTGAAATCTAACCATCCTGCTCTGACGCACATGGTCTTGCAGTGGGATATTATCTTACTTGCATTCTAGATTGCTCCATTGTACCTTTTATCTCCGCCGATGCTGAGCTCATTCGCATCGCATTTCATTCATGATGAAACCATTCCCACCCCATTCGAAAACCCCACCCACTCGTAGAGCGCGACTAGCTAGAATTTTCCTATTTTTAATTACCGCTCAATGTCATTTCCATTTACAACGCTGCGTAGGTTCCAAAGATTGATGGGTTTTCGCCTATATAATCAGCTGCTTACCTCACTCATTTTACTAGAACGAAATTCCACTCACCTAGCTGCATTTTGCATTGCGTCACTATGTGCTAAACTTAGCAAATAATAATGAATTCTCGCCAATAAACTTCCGTTTCTTCTGGCGCCAAGTGCTGTCCAAATGATAAGAACCTGACTTCAATGGGCAGATGTTTCTTTAAAACAATTGTCATAACAACCTCTAATCTTTTCCTAGTAACAATGACTGGCTCGCTAAAAAAAGTTACGAATCTTATTCATAAAATGAATCAAATAAACAGCAAGTGTTTAAACAATTTCAAGGTGCTATGTTTGCTATTTTATTAGCACACCCAATAAATATAAGCACTCATAACTTTGCACTACAAAGAAATTACACAATAAATTAGTAATGTTTAACATTAAAAAAAACATGCATCTTTAAATTTAAAACATCATAAACTATCTAACGAATACAAAGTAAAAAAGTAATTTTTTTCTTGAAAGGAATTTCCGAATACAAATGGAATTTACTGATAAACTTAATTGGATTTCCCCTTGAAAATTATCAATTACAGAGCTCACATGTGTTTTCCTCGATTTTTCGTCGAATTAATTTCTATGCACTTATCTTTTCGCAATTTTTAAAGTTACGCAATAACAATAAAGTAATTAAAAAAATAACTCAATTACTGTCATATGACAGCTTATAGTAAATTAATTTATTTTCATGTATTTGTTTTCAATGTCCCGATGAAGTGCTTGTTTAAAAGTTAAGCGCTCCCTCTTCAGGAATTTATGGAAGACAATAATAACGCCTAACATTCTTTCAATCATTCATATTACTACGTTCCTATCTTCACTCATAATTTTTATTGTTTCAACGACTTCTTCTGTTAAATCTTAGATTTGAAATGTACATTTCATTTTAAAAATCTTAATGATTTTCCAGGAATCAATAAGTTGATTAAATATTTATAATAAATCTGGTGATCAAATTATGAAACGTGTTTTAAAGTGATCGATTGAATTTATACCGTTTGCTCTATTCGGTCATCTACAAGTTTGGCCAAGACATCTTTGGATTAAAATTAATTGCTGTGCCTGTATATATGGTAAATACAAATGATTATAGCACATCGAAAAGTATGGTAGAACAGATCTCTTTGTGAGGATTCTCCATTTGACAGCAACAGATCCGCAGGACACCTCAGATCGACTGGATCTCGACAAAGGATCGTCGGCAGCTGGCGACGTCATGTGCCGCGCGATCCTTTCACTGGAAGCAGGCTCAAAACACAATAAGGATAAGGGCTGCCTGCCCCAAGAGCAGATGTTCCGATGGCTCCGTTTTCGGCGATCCTCTGATCGGTTTATTGTTGCCTGCCTCGCTTGCAGCTGCCGGCACACGTCCGCAATTGCCGATCCAGTTTGCTTATAGCCCTGATTGAGGCAGGTAATTATAGAGTGGCAGAAAAGAGAAAAGGGACCGACATGCAGCACATGTTGTAATAGGCAATAGGCAATCTAATCGAATCGTGCCCAACTCGCTGTTATGACACCTTTTGCCAATTGCCGCGCAAAAGAAGAGAATGCAAAAAAGGCAAACAGGTTTTCAGCCCGCTGGCTGCATTTGGCTGTCAATTAAAAAGCCACAGACAAAGTTAGCAAAAGCCAGTACGAAAAATGACAGTGGAACGTGCTTAGAGTGAACCTTTAATATAAATTAAGTCGCATTAAAATAAAAAAAAATTGTATGAGGGTTATGAGTCCGATCCCTTGACTCATAATGGACAAGATATTATCGCGTCAAGTAAAGTAAGTTATCTTAATAGGCCAACAAAGTGACTCAATTTCTTTAAAATACCTGTAGTCATGGTAAAAGTTACATTTGTTCAGTGAAAAGCTGAAACGTAAGTCATTCGTTGTAGGAAACTTCCACTGTAAATAAAATTAAGAGTATGGGTGAGCAATCAAAATCACAATAAGCAGCACCACCAACAAGAACGGGGCGAGTGCAACAACTTTAAAAGGCCTTGCAAGGCCGTTCGGCTCTGAGCCAGGGATTTTTCAACTCAAACTTGTCCGGCGACTCCGAGATCCGAACTCTGTGTGGTCAGCGGAGTGATCTTTTGAAACGGAAAAATCCAAATTGCCAAAGGCACTCCGCCACCGTCCGCAAATAGAATATATTGCCGCCACAATTTCGCTTAATTTCCACCAAAAGACCGCCTGCGATAGTGTCGCCTTGCAACATGTCAAAGTCGTCTAGACTCCGCATTTATAGGCAAATTTCTTAAATGCGTCGTGACATCTTCGTGGTAAATTTAGCAGAGTGTATTTATAAAATCCGAAAAGTTCAACCCGTTTGCGGGCGGACGCTATATGGCCGCGTCGCGCACTGTCGCCGGGGCACTTGCCATAAATGATTCAAACTTGGCAATCTTTTGTATTTCAGTCCTCGGACGTGTCGGCATTTCCTTTGCGCCATTATTACTCAAATATATGTGACTACGGAGCCATGTCATGGGTGCCTAATTAGAAAAGCTTGTAGGACTTAGATTAAAAATATTTTACTTATCGACAATCTATTGCATTCGACTCGTTCTAAGAATATACACGTAATCGCAAAGATTGTATCTGAAACGGCAGGAAATTACTTCATTGTTTAAAAATGGTATGATCAAAAATCTAATTTACCTAAAGAAATTTTAATACGATTTTATATATTTTACCACCATTATAGACAGCAAAAGTGGAAAAGTAAACTTTTTGTAGTTAAACAAAAAAAAAAAAAAATATTATTTTGTATGTAAAAACTGTATGAAAAGTCAACATTACTCAGAATCGCAATACTAGTATTGCTTGAAGCAAATATTTTTAGAAAACCTTTCTTAAATTTCTATTATCTTTTAGTACAAAACCATTTCCATTATTGTCGCTTCTTTAAAAGTCCATTATCCCTTAAGAAGGTATTCTTACAAAGCTTATCATACACTTTCTATGATAAGATTGACTTTATTTAAGACAGCAATAGATTTAATAGGCCTTGCATGGCCTTGTCTTATAGATAGTGACAACCACTTGGGTTTGTCCCGTAAATGTAGTCATTTTTGTTAAAATAGTTTTCATTTAATGGTCAGAAAACTTTGAATATTTAAATTTCCAAAAAATCATCTGTTCCTGCCAACTATAAAATATTACAGAGATTCTTATCTGCCCCTTGTGATAAAGGACGTCAGGACATTTCCAGCTGCTGTATTATGTGGAAGGCGAAGAAGAGACAGGTAAACCGAAAATGAGAGAGTGGGAAGGTGAGGGCGGAATGAGGTGCATACACAAAAAAACTGCAGCTGCCTGTCTGCTTCTGCTCTCTCTTCTCGCGACGTCTGGAAGGTGCAGAGGCAGCGGAAAGAGGGAGGAAGAAATGCGGTGCATTGACACGCGCCGCTTCCCTCGTTAGGCGCATGCTCTCCGCTCTCTTCCAGGACAGAAGCATAAAAATCAATGATCCTGGCTGCTGCGCCTGCAAGTGCGAAAGGGATAAGCATAGGCCTAACAGTTTTACGGTTATTACGGGCTGCGTACTAATACTAGTCGTAGTACAACAACACTATGCAAATGCATTTACCTATTTAAATAGGTAAAACTGCAACAATAATAGCCAGACTTATTTATTTTAAAATAGTCGATTTGCCTTACCTTGTAAAGTGGTTTTCTACTTTGCGAAGGTTTTTCCAAAATTACAGCTGCGGAAAGGCCGAATGAGCAACTGCATTCAAGACTCCACATCTCGCTCACGCTGCAGCTGAAGGACTTTCTGTCTCTCTCAATCGGCTCTAGTGTTGACGATAATAACCTACAGTGTTAAAAATAAAAGTAGCTAGAAATATAATGGTACCTTTATAGAATACTTTTTTTTAAAAGATATGTTTTGAAATTACTAAAGACTCGACTCCAACCGAATTCTGTTATAGTTCTTCGGTACATCAAAGTACAAAACAAACCTTCTTTCGTTCGAAGAGATTTCTGTTACACCCCTGAAAAGGAATACATTCAAGATTTGTTTTATTTATAATAAAAAGGCTGCTGAATAGAAAAACCGCCAGACTGGCGATTTTCCCGCTAGACACGGCTGCTCTCTGAAAGCGGCTCGGCTTCGCTCGTCTCGTTCGTTCGCGTCAGTTCGCGTCAGTTCGGAATCGAAACTCAACAACTCAACACGTACGGAGCAATGGATTACTGAGCTACTCTCGATACTAATTTATGCATTTAAAGCTAGAATAAAGTACAAAAATAAAGTATTTACCGGACTCAATTGTGATAGTTGGCTTTGTAACAACAAGCAAGAGCAACAACAAAGAAACGAACGAGATAACAGAGAACGCGTGCTTGTCTAAGTGTAACTGTAACATTATTGTGTTTTTCCGTTCATTTTGTTCACGGAAAATCAATATTGACTGTGAAAGCGCATTATTATACGATTTCCATATCGTCGAATCTCATCGCAGAGGAAATTTCCAGCGGGAACTTGAGTTTTTCAAGAAAAAGAGAAAAGCCGTCAAGGTGAGCTGAAGTCCGTAGTGTTGTAGTGCATAGTATTTTGTGTACCCTAGCCGAATTTAACCCCAAAATTTTAATGAAAACGTGACATCAGAAAGGCGGACAGCAAAAGCTAAAATTTTATTTTTGTTGTTTGCTTTGCTTGTACGTTTACCCAGCCGCATACATACACACGCTATCTGAACACATACAAGCATAAAAGTGTCCAGAAGACAAAATTGTCGCATGAGATTTGGTTGCAAATAATGATTTGTTTACTTTATAAGATCATCACTTATTAGTTAAGGAAGTAAACATACGATTACAACAGTAAATAAATGTAAACAATCAGCAAGAGCTTTAATTTATACTGCCAAGTAGAGCGAAAACGTTTTCTTATTTTTCGTCGGGTGTCTGCCGTTTGTTTTGTGTTCCCGTTTCGTTCGCCCTGTCTCGCTCGCACTTCAACGACCGCAGCGACGAGAGATTGTTTCATAAAAAGATGGCGACCGTAGAGTTGCTAAATACTCGCACTCTTGTTTTACTCCAAATTATTTAAAAAATTACCAACTTCTGTTTACCCCACGAATTCGGCGAATTTTTCTGTTTCGGTAAACAACACTTTAAATGACACATGTTTGTTTGCACGGCTTTTCAGGCTAAGGCAACGCGAAACTTTCCGCCATATGGTAACCCTCTTTTTGCATTTAGTGATTTCATACGAAATTCCACACCCCGCACATCCCCTGCGATCGTCAATGGTCGTTTAAAAACAACATTCTCAATTGGGCATAATGTGGATGGAGAAGAATAAGGGGCGGTTATTGTACCATACAATGCCATTAATTTTATATTCATCCGAATTTCGGACTACGCAATATGTACTTTTTTTCGTCTACGGTTAAAATTAAGCGATGACTGCAGCCTCCAAAATATTCCAGTTTACCCAATTTTTAGCAGATTCGAAGGTCACCCTATGTGTCATCCATCAGAAGAGAACTCCATCCTGTTCTAATTAAATTTAATTTACTTGTTTCAACACGGAAAACAAATTTAGATCATAGTGGACCTGATCTTATAATGTCGACATTTCTTATTTTGTATTTTACTGCTGTACAAATTTAAATTCCTAAAATATATTTAAATTTAAATATTTTTCTGAAATATCTGACATATAAATGGACTCTGATATCATAAGATACAGCTGTTATGACTAATGTTTTGTGTATTTTTCTAAACTAAGCTTCAAACGTGTTTAAAAATAAAACCTTTTTTTTCCGTGCATCTGAATAAACAGATGACGCGTCAGTTTGCTGGGTATATACACATACTTTACTCCGTACGATATACGATTACACTATGTGTAAGGCACTTCCTCTTTTACGCACACACTCACTCGCATAATCCGGCCCAACCCACCACCACCACCGATTCCGGACCATGGAGCATTAGCTTCTTTGTCTGGCACATCCGCTGCCAACGGAAGTGGTGCACTCATGCGTGTTTTCCACTCTGCAGAAATGGAGAGAAAAAGAGTCGAAGTATAATGGTAATGTCGAGAAACCATTGCCACAGAGACGAGCTCGAAAAACCGTTTGAGCTGTTGCCAATTTTCACTATGCTTTTTTTCGCGCCGAGTGCAGTTTTATTTTTTGCGCACTGTGCCGCTTTTTATGCTTCATTGCTTTGAACTTTTGCGTTCATTTTTCGCCGAACAAAGAGAAAGTCTCGGCAGTCTCTCAGTTTCTCAACTTGAGCTGAGCTTCAGTTTACAGCTGAATACAGTCCAACTTCCATAGCTGAAACTTCCCTTATCGGAAAACATAAATAAACTCTAAACTATCATATTAATTGTGCCGATCAAATTAGACTACACAGTTTTATAACATAGAATATTTGATTTTGAAAATCGAAATACTCGCTTTTTTGGTATAATGTGTAATTTTCTTATCCTTTTTACTGCAACGATTAATCGAATCAAAAAATATAAAAACGTCTGGCTAAATTGCACTTTCCTTATAGGGGTTATAAATTGTGGCCTGTATTTTTCGTGGGCAACGTTGCAGTGCCACAACTTTTTCCATTATCGCCGCACCCACACACCATCCATCGATGGTGGTCCCTGCGCCCACATTTCCCACTCCCACGAATCGGATCGAGACGAGTCGAGACAATTCGTTAATAAAACGATAGATAAGGTGCTTAATAAACAACAAACAGTTCTCACGTAAATGCTGGGAGTAGAATTTACCCGAAAATAGAATAGATCCTATTGTCTCGTCTGTCCTCTCCTGAGTTCCATTTGTTATCGGCAGCAGACGCGACGGCAATCAGCACATGAATGGAAATGGACCAAGGCGGCCCTTGAAAGAGGAGATGGAGATGAGAAACCCGGACAAGACTGAGCATAAGATGAAGAAAATTACATTTCGGTATTCCCGGAATTCTCGATGCTCTCAAGCTGAATCATCTCGTCGCCTCCACGACCTTTGAGCCGGGGCCGCGTGAAAAACGACCTTTCAGCTATTATTTCCACTAACGAGGCCTTCCCTTTCCCGTCCCTTCCCTGATCTTCATCTCACTCTTCCATGAGATCGTACCCACATTCCTAGTCCCATAGAGATGCTGCGATGATAAATGTTTTGCCATCTCACTCGCACACGACTTGACTTTGGGTTTGAGAACAATTTTCCTTTGGTTTTCCTAGGAAAAACGCTGGCGGCGTCGGCGGTTCTACGGCTTTGAACCGAGCCGCCGTTAGTTTTTTGGACAATCGATCAATGTTCAATAGGGAAAAAAAGAGTGAGAGAGAGAGAGAGAGGGGAGAAAGGCATGAGAGAAGAGCCGATCTTAATGCATTCTTTAGCAGCTCGGATCGGGGCGCATTTATTATGATTACAATATTGCCCTTTGTTGGCCAGCATCCCCGAATCGTTGTTGTTGTTGCTGTTGTTCCATCTCTGTTTTCTTCTCGTATTATCGACGTCGGCGGTCGTTTTGTTGCTGCATTTCTTGGAAGGCCACAACACGCACGCACACACTTTCATATAGATCATGCAAGAATGTTCTTTGTGTGTGTTGCATTTATTTATTTTCCGCATCCTCTCCTGTATGGCTCTCCTTCTTCATGTTCGGATTCTTCCACTTCGGATTCTTCATCTTCTTCTTCTCGAGTTCTGAGCACGATGACGACTCATGCAGCAGCAGGGGGATCTTCCCTCCTGCTCCGGTTTGCCCCCTCTTTTAACCCTAGCTTGGTGTTGTTGGTGTTGTTTTTGTTGTTCTTGTCGTATCTGGTATCACCGCATTCCAATCTCGGTTTTTTTTGTCGAAGACAACAACAACAAAAAGAATGGTAAAGTGTTTACAATAGTTTCCCACAGTCGAGCTCATGTCTCCGGGGCTCCCAAGGTATAATCAAAACAGCTGTGGTCAAAATTCTAGTTCTAATCAATTTTTCAAAGTTTTTCCATCTTAAAAAATAAGTATTCTGTTACTATTCTCATTTAGTTTTGCTTTAAGAATAATGAAAAAAAATGTTTTTTAAATTTAACTGCATTATCTAAAAATAATATCATTGGACAAATCTTAAATGAAAAAAATTTCTTCGATACAATGTCTGAATCTTAATTGCTTGTAGGATTTGGAGGGATAATATTACTATTACTTCGCCCTCGTCTGTAGTTACAGAACGCAGACCTTTTCCACGGCTTTGGACCTCTGCGGTTACCTTCACTTACTACAACGATAGCAACAGCAAAACTCCAATCACTTGGACCCAGCTTTGCTTGCAGACTGGGAACGGAATGAACTGGCCTGGCTTGGCTTGTTCCAATCAGAAAACCCGAAAGGCAGCTCCAACCGAACTCCAACTCCAGTTTGATTTTCTGTGGCGGAGTTTTGTAGAAAAGTTGTCCGACTGCATTCCATTGTAGGTTCGTTCGTTTGGTTTTGGTCTTGTCTTTCGTATTCGTTTGTTCTTCTGTGTGTTTTTTTTTCTCTGAGTTTTCTGTTTGTTGCCTTGCCTTGCCTCCTGGGCCTAGCCTTTTGCTTTGGCCTTTGATTATGATTTTCTTTGCTGCGGAGTGGTATTTTCTTCTGGTCTCTGGGATCTAGCGTTGTTGTTGTGCTCCCATGCCATTCATGCGCCGCCCAGGAGGCCTTGTCTTTTCAGTCGGTCTTCGGTTGGTGTTGGGTGAAGGCGCTGCTCACGGTTTATATTCATCGCTCGATATAATTTAGTTCCTTGATTTCCAGTAAAATAAATATAAATTTATTTATATTTAAATTCTAAAAATTCATTTCAAATTTCACCAAGTTTTTTGTGTTTCAAACGAAACTGGTAAGTGTTAACGTACCCTGCTTTTGGCTTTTGAACTTTCCACGGAATTTCCTGATATAGCTCAAGTGAAATTCCAATAGTCGGTTTACATTACAATTGTTAATGGGTTTGGCATTCCACAATAACGAATAACAGACGTCGGCAGAGGCAGCTGTAATTGCACTTTGTACTGGCTAGAAAAGCAAAACAAACAATAATGGGGGGGCAGCTGGTCAGACCGAACTTTTGAATACTCTTGCTGTAAATTTCTATGGATTGATATGAAACTTTATCAAATCATATATGTTCTATTTATTTAACTATCTGTTTAAGTTTTATAAGATTTTTATTTAAAATAGCTAAGATATTTAATTTTGAAGTTGTACAATTTACTTACCGTACACTGCAAATAAGATCTAAAGACCTTGCAAAATTCTAGAAAAGTATCCCCTGTAAGGGCAGACAAATAGCAATTACTATTGCAGACAGCATCTCGAGCTTTTCGTGTTCGTGTCTGTGTACTGCTCGTTGCTCCACTTCAAAAACAATGCGCAATCTCTGCAGAGAAACAGACCCCCATCTTTAGCAACCCCCAATCCAGAAGCATCATGAAACCATCATCCTCCATATATCCCGAGCTCCAGAAGTCAGCATTTGTAATTTACAATTGCTTTTGTTTTTGCTGCACTTTATGTGTACTTTTTTTTTCTCATCTGCGCTGCGCTGCACTCTGTTTTTCCTGTGGTTAGTTGTTTTTCCCATTGATGGTTTCGTCTTTGCACCACATGGCCGTCTCGCTTGCACCGCCAGGCTTCCAATGTGCATTTATGCTGCGCTTTATGCTGCAAGTCGGGCTCCATGGTGGTGGTGCTGGAGTCGCCGAGTGCGCCGTCGCCAGAGTGGTTTGACTGCATTCCATTAAAACTTTCTCACAGTCGGCTAGCTTGGAGTGCTCCACAGTGCATGGCACTGCCAGCTAACCCACCGATGGCCCCGGCCCCCCCTAGCACCACTATAGCCTCCCCAACCACCCGATCCGTTGCAATTGTTTGGCGAGTTTGGCTGGTTTGTGGTTGAAATTTGGACTTTGAACACGGGGCCCAACTCAGCGGTCGTGCTGAGTTTTTGCTGCTTACTGGTGGCCCAGGCGCAGTAAATGTCGAAATACGGCTGTACAATCTCCTTTGAAGGAGGCAGAGACCACCGCAGATACAGTTTAGGTCCCCAGGCAGCGTTCGATCGTTAGCAATACATGAGGCTATCTATAGGAAGCAAGTTTTTTGGGGGATAAAAAAAAAAATTTTTTTTTAATATTTTTTGATTTAATACAAATACATTTTATATATCGATTTCAGTACTCGATTCATTTTCTCATTTAAGATTTTAAAAACTTATAAATTAATAGTATACTATTTATAATAAAAGCAATAAATTAAAAAAAATTAGTTATGTAGTCTCTTTAAAATACATATGCATATGCTTTTCCTGTCATTACTATAATTGCCAACTCAACAACTGACGAGCAATTGAAATTGCCGTGTGGGCTGCCCCTCGATTAGCATACTGATTTATCTGTTGCCGCTTTTTGTGACTACAATTTTTTGCCATTATTATTGAAATTATTTACTCGGTGTGGTGTGGTGAGTCAGATCGAGAATCGTTATCGGGCAACGTCTGGCTGGCGCCACCCACCGTCCTACGAAAAAACACCCACTCAGGCACTCGTGTCTGGTGGTGCTGTTCTGAGGATAAAATACTAATACTCACTGCGATTCGGCGCACTGGGAAAACGAGCGGTTGTAACATTGCGTACTCTATACCACTACGTATATTTTTTCCATTGCAACTCGGGAGTTTTTCCCGAAAGGAAAACCACCCTCGGCTCGAGTGCGAGCGGGACAACCGCTGTGTTTTCCATCAGCTAAGGGCTCTTAAAGTTCGTTGATGCTGCATCTCCAGTTTCTTGAACTGCGTTTCAGTTTTTCCCTGCATTGTACATACACACTCTGAAAAACGTAGAAGTGCGACGAAAAAGTGTCTGAAGCTTTGGCAAAAAATATTTTAATTATCAAATGAAAGGTATTTACTAAGCCATAACATGATTGAGTGAATTTTAAATCTTAAAAGCAAAGATTAGATAAATGTAACAAAAAGAAAAATACTTGGTTTAATCTAAAAATTAGTCATTGATTAAATAAAGTTTTCCATTAATTATTCAAAGAACTTTTGTTTTTAAGTCTACACCCTTTTAAAGTGCCCTAGTCATGTTGTTCAATGGAAAACAAAAGTTTAATCTTGAAATATACAGTAAAAAGATAGGAAATAGTAAAATTCTTTGTTATATATATAGCTATAGTTAATTATTCCATGTCTATGGTGGTTCGTCTTAGGGAAGTCTGACTGCTTTGACATTCCCATTGACGCCTATTACCTATCTCTCATTCGACCTTATCAATAATTGCTATAGAAGTCGGGGCAAGTCAAAGTTCTATGAACAGCTCTATCGTTTGCCATTTCATTTTAAATGTTAGTTGCTCACGAGCAATCTGTACGATGTCATGCACTCGTACCGCGTAGTGCTTCCCAGAAGGAGAAGTTTCGCGTCGGTTTGGGAAATCTAGCTGTATCCTTATCTTTATCAGGTTGATAGCGTCTATCTGAACGTGCACGATAAACATTTATATTGATGGCATTCCTCTTTCTTTCTTTCATTCCAGTTTCGAGCTCAGAGGGTAGCAGCCGGAGAAGTATTTAAGGATCAACAGTCTTGTGGAGATAACCAATACCAGAACGCAACATGGCAACATTTGTGCTAGCCGATCTTCCGTCGTATGGACCCAGCGCTTTCGACCTAGTACACGATCAGGTGGATAACAATACGAACGCGACGACGACGCAGCTATTCAAGAACAATATCTACACCATAATGAACGATTTAAACCGCGAGGAGGCGCGCCTGAAGACCTTCACCAACTGGCCGCTGGAGTGGCTGGATAAACGCCAATTGGCCCAGACGGGCATGTTCTACACCCACGTCGACGACAAGGTGAAATGCTATTTCTGCGGCGTGGAAATCGGACGCTGGGAGCAGGAGGATCTACCCGTTCCGGAGCATCAGCGATGGTCGCCCAACTGCCCGCTGCTGCGCCGACGCACCACAAACAATGTGCCCGTCAATGGGGAGGCATTGGATCGCATCCTGCCGCCGATCAGCTACGATATCTGCGGTGCCAACGACTCGACGACGGCGGTGGAGCTGCGGGAGCATGCCTACGCCGAAGGACGCATACCCATGTCGCAGCTGATCCAGTCGATAGGCGTGAATACAGCGAATGCGGCCGCTTCTGTCGCTGGAATATCATCCTCCCCGCCGCCAATGAGCTCGATTGCCGCCACGCATGCGTCAACGGCCACGCAGGCCAACGGCGATGTCCAGCCGGAGACGTGTCGTGCCCCAGCCGCCAGTGGCAATTATTTTCCCGAGTATCCCGAATACGCCGTCGAGTCGGCACGCCTGCGCACCTTCGAGGCGTGGCCGCGGAACCTAAAACAAAAGCCCCACCAGCTGGCCGAGGCGGGTTTCTTCTACACGGGCGTTGGAGATCGCGTCCGCTGCTTCAGTTGCGGCGGTGGTCTCAAGGACTGGGACGACAACGACGAGCCCTGGGAACAGCATGCCCTGTGGCTCAGTCAGTGTCGTTTCGTCAAGCTGATGAAGGGTCAACTCTACATCGATACTGTGGCTGCCAAACCAGAACCAGCCGAGGAGAAGGAGGAGGAGAGTTCGATAGTAGGAGTCGAGGTGGCCAGCAGACAGGTCTCAGCGGAGGAGGAGGCATCGCAGGCGGCCAGTTCGGGGGATGTTGCCCCGTCCGTGGCTCCCACGGCAGCCACCCGCATCTTCGAGAAAATTCAGGAGGCATCATCATCGGTGGCCTTGGCCTCCAACAACAGCGGCTCCTCCTCCTCCATACCCGAGGAGAAGCTGTGCAAGATCTGCTACGGCGCCGAGTACAATACGGCATTCCTGCCCTGCGGTCATGTGGTGGCCTGCGCCAAGTGCGCCTCCTCCGTGACCAAGTGCCCGCTGTGCCGGAAACCCTTCACCGATGTGATGCGTGTATATTTTTCTTAAAATCCCTAACCTGCAGTCAGGTTGAATTCAAATTAAGAATTAACATTATGAAACCCATCATCTGCAAGTGTGTTAATCAAAAGTGTAAGAAAAAATCGGGGTTCAACCGGCGATCGCAACGGCCAGCTGTTGGGCAGCCCGGCAGCTGGCCGTTGCCTTTAGTAAGAACACCAAGCCTGGTAGAGATCGTAAGCCTCCAATGTAATATTAGTTTAGTGCAGCACTTATATGCGTTATTTATAATAAAACTAACATATTACCGAAAACTCATTGCCGTTTGTCATTTCTGGGTGTGGGCATTGGTTACAAAAGGCGTCGACGCCAGGCCACGTCGATGAGTTCACGCCCTGGGCTGGATAATCATCAAGGGGATTCACAAATGCCGATTGGAGCAATCACTCACGGCTGGCTTGGTTTCGGAAATTCAATATTAACCGCTTCAATTATTAGGTTGTGTATGAAATATATTATTTAGAATTCTAAATTCAACTGTTGAACTCATCGAACTGATGTGACCGAATCAGATTTATAAATAAAGATTTCTCACGAAAATTTTTTTTTTTCAACCCTACACCAATTTGTATATAAACTGTTGTACGAAATAATAGGAATCCATTTAATAATTCACTAAAAGTATGCAATTAGTAATAATTAAAGTTTGTAATTAAGTAAAGGGTTTTGATATTTGTAAAAAATATGAAAGCGAAGTTACATATATAGTTTTATTATCAAGCTGTTAACAATTTCAAAGTAATAGCCCGATGTCGTTTCAGGTATTTTGCAATTTGTGGTAATCTTAGACCAAACAATGGACTTACATACTTATATAGCACGTGCCAGATCCTTTGTCAAAACTAATAAAAAGAGGCCCTTATCAGTCATTGGATTTAAGGGGGCAACAATTAATCATTCACCCACGCCTAAACAAAGTGCATTCAACTGCAATTAAAAGTGTTCATCTCTTTGTTTAAGGTTATCTTTATTTCTGAAATTACAGGTTTTTTTTGGAGCTCAGATTCGGACTTAAGCTTTTCCACCTCATCAGATAAGCTCGCAGTGCATTTCAATTAGTTTAGCGCGATCGGACAGATCCGGTTTCGGATTAGCCAAGGTGAGAAATGCTGCACACCCTGCGAGCGGGCAAGTGCGACTGATGGGTTGCATCACCCACCCATATGCATATGGATTTTTAATCCATACGATTGCACACGTGCCAGATAGCAGGCTCTTTGAAATTTATTATTACGAAATGCCTTAATGAATGAAACATTTACCTGAGTCATCGGTTCCTAGAACTGGAAAAGAATGTCACTTACTATGTGCTGGTGGGCTGCAAATATCAGAGATCATAACTGGAATGGCATTTGACAGTCGATATTATGCAAATTGCTGATCTAGATTCAGTATTCTGTAGAGATCGTACAGACAGGCGCTGACCTTAGATTGCGTGAGGTTTTCAATTAGCAGGCGAAGGTCTACCGGCCTTAAGTTAAATATACATATTTAGAAGAAATTACAAATGGGCTTTTTTCTTGCCATTTAAAAAAATTAACTTGCCACTTTTAGTTAAAACTTACATTTTTCAAGAATTTTTTTTCCAAAAAACGGTTTTTTGAAATCTGTAGAAATTTGTCAAAAGATAACTTTTGTAAAACTTTCCGCAAGTGATGTGAACTATTTGATTTTGTTATTAGGTAGGGAAAGCTTACATTAACTGCTGATATTTGAATTTGAATTATAATTAATTAAAAAAAAAGAATGTGATATGATCAATTAGGTTTGAATATTTCATGCAGCTATCACAGGTTTTAGAACAGGCTATTTTGGTTCGTATACTTGTTAATTGGTTTTTGTACTGAATAAAATTGGAAGTGCTTTTGCTATTGGTTTATAAATAAGCTTAATGGGCTGCCCACTTTTCTAAAAACTGTGTTTAAAATACACTGAACGAATAACTTGAAATGTAAAAAATGTAGTTAATAACATTTTTCATTACAATTGCTAAGCTCTAAAACTAATAAAAATAAAGTAAAAATTCTTATCAAATTTTTAAAGTAACAAACTCAGTCACAAAATATTATTTTTGGCCTTTTAAAATATATATTTTTAAAACGTGCAATTTGGGGCTTGCATTCTTCAACACAAATTCAAAATATCCAAATTGACATAGTCTTCGTTGGCCATGATAAAGGCTTTGTGAGCATTCACTTGTATGGCCAGGTCCACAATATTGGTATTGCTGAAATAGTCCATAGCAACGACATTGGCATTGTTGCCCCAAGGACCTTTTAGCCACTGATTAACTTTGGGATTGAGTGCCGCCGCCCGCTGCTTGGCGGTCAGCAGTTGATGGGCGTTGAGCGACTGCTCCATGCTTCTCACGGCGGTGAATATCCAGCCATCGTCGCGAACCGGCGAATCCGGCTTCTTGCTGAACAATAGACGCATATAATCCAGGGTCTGCGAGATGTTCATGAAGCTACTGCTAAAGCGTTGCCACGGCGGGCAGATCAGATTCGATTCTGAAAGGGATATGATGATTAAATGATTGCTTTAAAATAAAACTAGTTAAAATTACCATTCTCTGGATAGGGCAGCTCCTGGGAGGGAAATAATATCACTAGATGTCTATTCTGCTGCAGTAGTTCCCGGAAATTTCGATCAGCACAATGCTCGTTCTTGGTCACATTGCGCCTATAGGCCTCATCGCCAAGCTCCTGTCGAAGAAGGCGGAATAGCGAACTGTAGATTTCCGGGTGCTTGTAAAACCCAATGGGAAAGCTACTGAAATCCAGTATTATCAACTCCCCAGAACGCTTTACAAACTGACGAACATCACGCAGAATTCCGACCAAAGGTGTTATGAGCATGTTCTCGTTGGCTATCCAGAAATTGTCCGCATCATTTTCGGTGTTCATGTTCTTGTAACTGGTGAATGAATAAAATAAGTTAAATATTTTCGCCAAATTATAAAATATAGAAACGAATTCATCTTTTAAGATGTGATTTACACCCAAAAAATCTCTATGAAACGTAGATCGATTTTACATTATTTAAGGTAAATTTGACTTGGTCGAAAAAAGTATTTCATATAAAAAGGAAATGGGTTTCGCATGATCTTAAATTTACATATACGATAAGGGGTATGAAGGGTCTACCGTTTCTTGCTGGGTTTCTAATCCTTACCATATTTACCCTTATATTACTTACCCTATACTAAAATCCAGATAGCGAATGCCAAAGACGAGCTGCGACCAAATATCGAATTGCTGGGCCACCAGATAATCCCTGACCAGAATCGAATTTGTCTTACTGGAGCTCCCGACGACGGCTCCCGAGGCATGTGTGCCAGGCAGAAAGATGTTCTTCAGCGGCATCTGACTGACGTCCTTGATCTGGGCCAACCAGTTGGGCTGGATCTTGAGGCAATCCACGGTGAGCAGCTCGGTGCCATTGTAACTGGCCACATAATGCGGCAGACACTTGCCAGTGGGATATTGGGTTACAGGCTGATCGCTACCATCCTGCCGATTCCAGCCGCCAGGGAAATGAAGTTTGCCCAGTTTAATGGGCGTTATCATCTTGCCCGTCCTATTGGCTATCCCATTGATACGAAGGTCGGGCTCAAAATTGGAGATGGTCGGATCCTGGCCATAGATGCCCACCCACTGGGGCGGCCCATAGCAGTTGGGACCCCAATTTATCTCCAGAAAGGTGTCCTGAAGTGTCTTGCCAGTTAGAGAAATTGTAAGGTATACAGGGCAACCCGCTGATATAAAAAGATTAAATGCAAATTCTGATTAAAAGGGGGGAATTATTGCAAATGTATTTATACTGCCCAATTCTTGTAATAAACCTTCTTCCATCATACAACTTGTAAACATCACAATAGATGATACAACTTTTTTAAACAAAGTTGTTGAAGTTAATACCCACCTTCCAGGGAGCCAATCAAAAGAATTGACTGCAGCAAAGGCACCACTAATATTTTCATTTGAATCATCTTTAAACTTGACACTCAATTAGAAATTACGTGCACTCTGAATAGATTTGGCGTGTTGTTTGCTCGGCAGCCAGTGCCGAATTGAGGCGAGAGATACATTTCTTAGCATTTGTATCTCGATGTCCCGCAATTGAAGCAACCATTTGCGCCCCCGCAACGCCTTTAACCGCCATTTGAGCTCAGTAATTGAGCGTTTTCGCATACTCAGCTTTGAGATCGTTTGACCTGAGAGGAAGTTAGATAGGGCTAGAAAATATTCACTCCGATGTGAGTAAATCTAAGTAACCAAAATAAATTTAATCAGAGACTAGCATAAAAAAGAAGGAGGAACGAGTGACTCGACTATCAGATACCTGTTAATCTGATGACATTTTCAAAATAAAAGTTCCTTCAGAACGCCTTCAGGCGCTAGAATAAATTATATTTTATGTATCTATCTAAATATATTTTAGTTTATTTTAGTTTAGTTTACTAATTATTTAATGACTCCTTACCCTAATTTCTATTTTACTTCTTAAATAATTGTCCGCCCAGAAAAGTTTTGGCAACTAATCAAAAGAAATACCGTTAAATTTGAACAGTCTGGCAACTTCCAAGGAATACCCTTATTGTCTTCTTCTTGTCTGATAAGCCTTCCACTCTAGAAGGCTTATTGCGTCACTGCAAGCGCGGTCACACTAAGTAAACAGATTAATTAATATTCAAAATTATATTCAAAATTTGTACATTATGCGACTGCTGGTGCTTTACGGCAGTCAAACCGGCACTGCCCAGGATGTGGCGGAGCAAATCTGGCGGGAGTCGCATCAACTGGGCTTCCAGGGCCCGGTGCTGCCCTTCGAGGAGTACGACATGTCCAGGCTGATCGAGGAGCGCCTCGTGGTCTTCGTGGTGGCCACCACCGGCGATGGAGTGGAGCCGGACAACATGAAGCTGGCCTGGCGGTTCCTGCTGAAGCGCAGTCTGCCCGCTCAATCCCTGCAAGGAATGCAGTTCGCCTGCCTCGGACTGGGCGATTCCAGCTATCCGAAGTTCAACTATGCCGCCAAGAAACTGAGCAAGAGGCTGCAGAATCTGGGAGCCACATCCGTGTGTCCAGTGGGTCTGTGCGATGATCAGCATGACTACGGGCATTTGGGCGTGTCCCTCGTCTGGACGAAGGATCTTTGGGTGGCACTAAAGAACATTTCTGGCTTGGATGAAAGCAAACTAAATGGCAGTAACCAAACCATACAAAAGTGGTTGGTAAAGGAGCTACCCAAAGATTCCGAAATCACCGCCACGGAAAGCCTGCTCTGGACACAAAAGCAGACCTCCCACTCCTTTAAAATCCAGGATAACCAAAGAACTACGGCAGAGGATCACTTTCAGGACGTGCGCTTCCTAAGGTTGCAATGTTCGAATGAAGAACTAAGTTGGGAACCTGGCGATGTGCTAGATGTTCAGCCGCAAAACAGCGATGAAGCTGTCAAGACATTCTTCGATCTAATCCACGAACACAGCTTGAGATTCGATGAGGACACTGTGGTGGCGGTGACCAGTGCCCATTTGGACATGCCGGTGCCCAAAGCCTATGCCATGCCTTTAAGCCTGCAGCAGGCTGCGAAATATGTCTGGGATTTGAGTGCCAAGCCGCGTCAGCGATTTCTCGAGGTGCTGGGCCAGAATTGTAGCGATGAAATGGAAAAGGAGAAGCTCCTCGAGTTCTGCTCCGCCGAGGGAATCGACGACCTGGTGGCTTATGTGAACAGACCGCGGAGGAGTCTCCTGGAGGTTCTGGAGGATTTCCGGCACGCCACCTCGAGTTTAACTCTTCAGCAGCTCTTCGAGATGATGCCGTTGATCCAACCTCGCAGCTTTTCCATAGCCTCGGATGTGACTTCCTCAACTTTGGATTTGCTGGTGGCTGTGGTGGAATATAAAACCATTATGCATACACCGCGTCTGGGCTTGTGCTCCAATTGGCTGAAGAACCTGCGTTCGGAAACGGAACTGCGAGGAGTGGTGAAGAAGGGAACCATGGTCTGGCCAAAGGATTTGACTATACCCCTAATTATGGTGGGACCTGGCACGGGCATCGCTCCATTCCGTAGCGTTATCCATAACCGATTGCATGCTCAATCACAAGGTTCCACCATTGGTCCTTTAATTGTTTTCTTTGGCTGCCGAAATAAGACTGCTGACTTTCACTTTGAAAAGGACTTCTCCACGTGGTCAGAAGGCAAACAAGTAGAACCTTACATTGCCTTTTCGCGGGACCAGGATCACAAGGTCTATGTCCAGCATTTAATAACCAAGAATGGTAATCACCTCGCAAAGCTTATCAAAGACCTAAATGCCTTCATTTACGTGGCTGGAAACTCTAATAACATGCCAAAGTCCGTGAGAGAAGCCTTCATCGAAATCCTTGGTGGAGATGCCGATTACGTGGATTTGATGATCAAGCAGCGACGATATCAGGAGGAAACCTGGGCGTAACACCTCGTTTATTTGGGTATAGTTCCTATTTGTACAGTTCTGGACGGAAATTATACACTAAGTAAGGCAATCCTAAAAGTCTTCCAACAACTTTTCCGACGACGTGTGGCAAAAGGGACAGTAGCCCTTCTGCAGAACCTGCAGCTCAAAGTCCTCAGCATAGAATAGCTATAAAAACGATTACTTAATCATCATGGAAAAATATAGAAATATAGAAAATATAAACTCACGAGCAGACATTGCGGACAATAGGTAACCTGTAGATCGGGCAGAATATTGCGATAGTAGACATTCCGTACATTCTTTCCCCTCCGCTTAAGGATGAGAACATGATTGGGATCTATGGCACGCAGGCCATTGCGATCCAGACTCAAAGGCAAGGCACTGGCCACATCCTCGTTAAAGGGATCCGAATCCTCGGCATGTTTTGCCGGAGCCAACAGCAAACGTTCGGCTTCCGAATCTGATATATCCACTTCAGGATAAAATTGTACTAAAGGTAATATTTCTGAAAGAAAAACATAATTAAAAGAATGCTAATTGCTGGGATAATTTTTTTACCGAAGGAAACGAATGAGAAAATGTAATCCTGCCGGCAGGTGGGACAGCAATTGCTATTCAAATGTTGACTGTAATTGGAGCACTTGTAACAAAGTGGCAGAAGCTCCTCGGGATCATTGAAGCCACTCTTGCAGGCCTTGCTGTTCAGGAAATTGAGCTAAAAAGTTCTTTAATGTAGCAGTCTATCAAAATATCACCTTAATTACTCACATCAATCTGCTCTTGGACTCCAGCCGGTGGCTTCAGGGACTGCAATCTCTTGTTAATTAGCAGACACAATTTGTTGGCCTGCAAAAACTTGGCTTGCTTTGCCAGGGTGAAAAGAACGGAACTAAAAGCATGAATACATTGATTAATCTATAATCTTTCTGGGCTTATATCCTTTAACTTACAACATGCTTACACCTTTGGGAACGCCTTTCTGATCCACTTCGTTGAGTATAAAGCGGCTCACGTTAAAAAGACTCACTGGCGAGTGCGTGGTAAAAGGTTCTTTCATATAGGAATATATGACGCCGTAGGCATAATAGACCTTGGCAATACGTAAATGATTTTTGTACTCTGTCAGGTGATGATCGATAGGATTTTGTTCACTGAAGACGAGAAAAGTATGTAAATGATTCAAAAAGAAAGCTTTAAATAGTGTGTAACTTACTCCTTGGCATGATAGACATCTAAACATTGCTTAGCCAAGAGCCAATAAAAATAGCTGGCATCTAAGTAGCGCTCCTCTAAGATGGCCGTATTGCTGAGTTGTTTCAGCAAACGATTGGCTTCCTTAGTGCGTCCTGCCTTTAAGTAAGCTAAAGGGAAAAGTTTAATATTTTATAAATCTGCCAATTCAAATCTACTCACCCTGATGGGCCTCTATGAACTGATCCGTTTCCGCAAGCCATTGCCCATGCTGGTAATGCACTGTGGGCAGCAGTTCTGGCAAAGATTCCGCCAGCCGAAAGGCCTCCGGCCAGTCACGCACCTCTATGTGCAGCTGCACCACTTGGGCCTCATCGCCCAGCTTCTTGAAAATCTCAGCAGCCAGGGGAAGAGCTTTAAGGGTCTTTAGATTTTGCGCCACTGATTCCAAGGCATCGCGTTCTGTGAGACTCAATCGACGTCCAATGTCAAATAGCCTAAAATATTATATTAATTTTATCCAGGGTTAGGAAAATAACACACACTGTAAATATCTTGTGTTATAAACATGTTAAATGTCAAAGTGTTAAGTTCAAAAAAAATTATTGACATGTGTGTTAAAATTTAAAAATTTTTACACGATGTGTTATTAACACGACGTGTTTTTTACACAGCGTGTTTTTAACACAATGAGTTTTTGACATTTAAGTGACAGCTCACAATATATGTAAATTTTTATCTGCAGAATTCCTAAGTTAATTCTTATGATTCACTTACACATCGGCCCATCCCTGCTCGGCAACTATATCAATGGCCTTCTGGTTTTCTCCAGCCGAGAGCAAAAGCTCGGCAGCAGCTCGTGGCTCCTTGACCGAATAGGCCCACTCAGCCCGCTTGCGTACGAGTTCCTTCTTCTCCTGCGCAGTGCCGTCCTTGATGTATTCCTGCGCTAGATCAAACATCCGCAGATCTGTGTACATTTCAAGTGCTCGTGATGACTGTCCGCATTTGAGAAATAGCCGGGCTGCTTCCTTAAACTTTCCGGCGAAGGCGCAGTTCTCCGCCAGGAGCACCTCCTTGGGAACAGCCGATCGCTGCTGCTGATCTCGCAGCTCGCCGATCAGCTTGAGCCAGGGAAGGTTCCTCACTTTCACGTAGGCGTCACGGGCTATGTTGATGTGTAGTGCCTCCAAGGCGGATTGGGCCAATCCCTCCCAGTCGCTGGTGGTCACACCCAGGCAGGCAACCTGGTAAGCTTCCCTGGAATCAAAGAAAACATCTATTAATTGTGGAGGCCAAAAAGAAAGAGGATATTGCGTACTCAAACAAACCAGCTTCAATGAACTGCCACATGGTAGAACCCAAAGCCAAGGGAGTATTGTGCATGATGTTCCCGCGCAGACAGAAGGCGGTGGCTCCACAAAGTCCAACCACCACGCCGTGCATGTTTTGTGGAGCCCTCGGCGGCAGGTTTCCAACTCTAACACTTAATCCTCCCGTGGAATGAGTGTAGCAGAGCATGGAGTCCAAATGCGTGTTCCAGGTGACACTGTTCACTCCCGTATCCTGGTACAAAATCGTATCGTTGATAATGTCCCGCACCACCAGACGACCCACATCATCCACGACGGCGATCTTGCTGCGCTTTGAGTTGATATCCAAGCAACGCACAGCAGACACGGCTGTGGTTATGAGCAGCGGCAGTGAGTTGTTGAGAAAGATCCGGAACACCTGGCCGTTCTTCAGGCCCACCATCAGTCCTTCTCTGCCCACCGGACCGCCGGTGACCTTGATGTAGCGTATAAACGAGTCCATGATCCACTCTCGCTGCAGGACACCCATGAAATCCAGGCACTGCAGTCGCTTCTCCTGGCACAAAACGATGTGGCGGCCACAGACGACCAGCAAGCTGCAGTCGAATTTCTGCTGGATCTTCTCGCGCACTTTGTAGTGCATCGGCTGATCCTCGCCAGAGCTCAGCTCGTACAGAACCACACGTTCCGGCAGCTGGACGGCCAACCGATTGCGATATATGGCTATCTTTTGCACCAAATCCCGGCACTTGATGCGCACCTTCTGCCCAGAGATCAGATGCTGAATGATCACGTCGCACATGTTCTCCCGGAAGGCATAGCGTTCGCGATACAGAGCGTGCACCGTACTCGAAGCAATGTTGAAGCAAGCGAGTGTTCCATCCTGACAGCCAATCGTGTAGGACTGGCCATTCGGATGCAGGGCCACCGTCCAGATCCACGTGTCGAAGCTATCGCCCAGCGTGCCCAGGCGAATGCCCTCCCGCGTGAAGAAGTGCAGTCCTCCGGTGCAGCCGCCCACCAGGCAAAACTCCCCGTTGGGAAAGTACTGCAGGCACAGAGGATCGAATCCCAGAGTTCGCTCCTTGCCAATCATCTGGCCGCTCAGGGTGTGAAAAGACAGCGTTTGGCTCCAGTCCACCACGCCAATGGTGTCCACACTGCCGGGTCCACTGGCCGGACAGCACTGGACACTGAAGACGTTGCTGTTGGGGCCACCGGGCCTATCGATGCGCCCCTTTTCCTCGCCCAACTTGTTCCTGATCGATATAACGCCATTGGCCAGCCCCAGGATCAGGTACTGCCCGTCGTTTGTCCAGGAGCAGCCATTCACGCGGGCGGAGATCTTGTACTTTTGCACCGCCTTCTGATCCGCCGACCAGAAGGCAAAGTCCGACAAGGAACAGGAGGCCAGGTGGTGTGACACGGGATTGAAGCTCATGCACTGAATCGAGTCGCCGTGCCTGTAAAAATATATATTTTTTAATATAAAATATATCAAATAAAAATATTTTAAGATTTAAAAAGATCTTTGTGCTTAAAATGATATTTTAAAAGCAAATTAATTTTTATTCTATTTTGATTTAATAAATAAAGTTGAAAGCACTTTTAATAGTTTCTATAATGACAATATTCCTTTCACAAAATAATATTTTAAAAAAATATGAAATTTTATTTTTTTTTTATCAATCAATAAGGTTATAATACTTTTAATAGTTTTTTAAAAAGCTAATAGTTCATTTCCTTTAATTTAAAAAATATCAAATAAATATATTTTAACATACTAAAAAAATATTAGTGTTTAAAATGATATTTGAAAAATAAATGAAGAATTTTTTTTATATTTTGATTTAATAAATAGAGTTAGGAGGACTTTTAATAGTTTCTATAATGACAAATTCATCAATTATTTTGATTTAATCAATAAGTTTAAAAGGACTTTTAATATATTTTAAAATGATAATATTTTCTTTCTTTTAATTTAAAAGATATCAAATTAATTAAAAAGATATAAATTAATAATTTTAAAAAATTATGAACTTGTATCTTATTCTGATTTTATCAATAATGTTAAAAACACTTTTGATAGTTTCTAAAACGATAATATTTCCTTTCACATATCTATTTTTCTCTGTGTACTCACGAATACTTGAGCAGTCCCTCCAGCTGTGGTGACCACACGATGACCATTTTATCGGAGGCTCCGCTGGCGAACCGCTTGCCATCCCTCGAGTAGGCCACACAGTTCACCGTGTCCTTGTGGGCCTTCAGGGTATTCAGCAGGGATCCATCGTTGGGATCGTAGATGAGCAGGCGATCCCCCGCAGCCACCACCAATTGGCTGCCGTCGGGAGCGTAGCAAACATTGTGGACACTGGAAAAAGGGGTTTTTCGATTACCGTTATGGAGCAACAGGTTGTGGTTTTTTCCGGGCGTGTAAGCTTTACCTGATCTCGTTTTCTTTGCTATTCGGAAACTCGATGCGTTCCAGCCACTTGAGAACGCCCCTCATTATTGCACAAATCGAATTGGATTACGCCTGCATAGTTGGTAAAAAATTCCTAAATGCAGGTGCGTTGTTTACACAGAGAATCCATGGCAACCAAATCCACAACAAAAGTTGGCGTCTTGGGCTAGTGATGGTACTTTGGCTTGTTTTCCCGTTAGATTTGGCTTTTTAGTACTAGGTTTGAGAAATAAATTAGAATATTTAGCTTAAATAAATTAGAGGAATACTTATATTAAATTTATTGTTATATGGGGCTATTTAAAATTACAATTTAAATAATTTACCTCTTGTTAAAATGTCCGTAACAATTAAATTTAGTACTAAGTAGTTGGCAACGCGGCAGTGTGACCAACGTGTCTATACCTTAAAATGCCAAACTTCTTGCAACCAAAATAAAAGACAAGAATTTTTTTACACTTTAGCAACAATTATTTGTTTTTAAACGATTTTAACCAAATAAAGGCTTGAAAATGAACAATCTGGATAGTTCATTGCAGGCGCACAATAAATTGGAAAAGGTACAGTCAGTTGTCAGCTTGAAAAACCCTGTATTAACCGTAAATCTCCGTAGGAAGCGACCAATTTGGCTTTGCTGAAAGACCGAGTGGATAAATATCATGATCTCTCCACCCAAATGTCAAGTATACTTACAATCTTTGAGAAGCGTTTGGGAAACCTGGAACAGACCATATTACCCGTTTACCAGGAGACGGAGCAGCTTCAGAAAAGGCAGCAGAGTAGGTTGCGAGATAACTCATGGGATTCCCAGAAAACTAATGGGTCACCGCCTCTTTTTTTCAGATCTGGAGGCCACTCTGAATTGCCTGGAAAGTGTCCTCTCCCACTACGATGTCTCCCAGGAGGTGTGCCAGCTGATCCACCAGGGTCCGGTGGAGGGAAACATCTCCGTGTTCCTGGACGCACTGGCCAAACTTCGCGATGCCAATGATTACTTCCGGCACAACAATTCGCAGAGTGTGGAGCTGGAAAATGTCACCAGTTTGTTTAACACCGGATGCGAGGGTCTCAATCAGCACTACAGCATGCTCTTGAAGAAGCACAGCGCTCCGTTGAAGCCCGTGGAGCTGTTGGATCTCATCTACATAGAGGACGACTCCAGCGATGAGTACACCTCTTTCCGGCAGCTGTCGCAAACCACTCGCGAGGAGCTGTACACCATCTCCCACTGGCTGGAGCAAAATCTGAGGGAGTACACCCACATCTACGCCACGGAACGGGGCGATGTGGTCCTCCGATCGCTGCAGCTGCTCAAGGATCACCAGAAGAGCAACAGCTGGGGACACGAGGCGCTGGTGAGTAATCATTTCACTTTCAGTGTTGCACTTTCTCTTGTAAAAGGTACTTGTTTTTAAATATATCTTTGTTTTCTGAAGATCATATTTATATATTTTTAGTTCTAAATAGCCATTAGAGCCCTGCATGAATGGATTCAATGAATTTTCAGTTTTATATGAATGAATTAATTAGAATTTTGAGTTTAATAGAATTGAATGAATATGAATTTTAAGTTTAATAGAATTGATTGAATGAATGGCATGAATTCCGAAATAATTCAAACGAAAATTTCTTTTGAAGAAAAAAAGGGCCATAATTGTGTAATTAAATCTGCCTGAATTTTATTTACTACGCAGATAACATTGATTTGTTAAAAATTCTCTACTTTTTGTTCTCAAAAGAAAGCACAAAAAATCTGGCAAATTCAAAAAATTCATAAAAATTATTCATTCATTCATTTAATTTGAAATGAATTAGAAAAACATTCAATCAGAAATTTTATGGCATACTATGATAAAACAAAAATTTAATTATTCACGCAGGGCTTTAATAGCCATAGACAATTTCCAATTATAAATAAGTTATGCGATTAATAACAATGTTAAGTCTCTAAAACAGAGATATATGACTTGTAGTGTTGAAAATTTTACTTTTCACATCTCTTTCGGTTTCGGGTAACGGAATCGGTTCGAAAAAGCTCCAAAACTAGCGGCATTTGAGGTCGACTTCGATGTCCGCCATTTGCCAGCTTGAATTCGCAAAGAACGCATCGTTTTCCGTGTCATAAAATCTAAACTAAAGTGCCGCCAAAATGGAGAACTGTCGTACACCCACAAACAAGACCAAAATTACCTTTAACCGGACTCCAACGTTAAAGGAGCGCAGATGGAACACTCTGAAGGTGAACACCACCAATGTGCGCTGCTCCACTCCGATTTTCGGCAACTTCCGTTCGCCGAATCTCTCGCCCATCGAGAATATGGGCACGAAGAAGAGTCCGGCTTCACCCATGCTGTTCAAGAAGCCGCCGCTGAAGGTACACCATCAACAGCAACACCACCAGCATATTCATCGCAATCACCTCAAACCGCCGGTCTTCAATTTGCCCAAAGCGCAGGAGGAGATCATCGAGCCGGAGCGGGAATCCAAGAGCTGCAGCAGCCCGGACACCTGTTCGGATGACTCGAATATGGAGACCTCGATGGCCCGGGAGTCGCGTCGCCGTTCCATAAAGGCATCCAACCACTCGTACGTAGTCAACCATGCCGCCAATGTGGAGCAGATTCTCATGCACATGGGCCTGGAGAACTATGTGACCAACTTCGAGGAGGCTCACATCGACCTGGTGGAACTGGCCTCCATGGAGCGGGCTGATCTCATCAAAATTGGCCTAAACACCGATGAGGATTGCAACCGCATTATGGATGTCCTCCACACTCTTTAATCGGATCGCTGGAAGGTCCAATATTTTATCTTAGAATACAATTTTAAAATGTTTCATGTAAAAAAACTCTTTTTAATGTTAATACATGTGGATAATTGAGGCTTATTGTAAAAGACCTGGTGTCTTAGAGCCCAAAAAAAAAACACACACAAAAAATAATTATTAAATAAATCTCGAAGATGTTGTACACTTTGTCACTAATTTAAAAAAAGTCAACATTTGTTTATTGTAAACCTTCATTTCCTAATACATTAAATAAAAAAACTTTTAAGTACCTACCAAAATTTTAAAATAATGTTTGATTTAAATTTGAAAATCATTAAGAAATATTATAATGTTTTCGTTAATTCAACTTTAAAATTGTGTAACTTTTTGCAGAGACCTCGGCACAATGGACGCCAAACGGAAACCAAAAAGACTACCTCAGCCCGCCTGCAGCAAATGTATGAATCAAATCGTATTCACTTAACATTCCAAAGAAATAACCCAAACTCATCATTTTTAGTTTCGAAAAGAAGGCCAATAAGTTATATCTGCGTGCGACCCAGACCATAGAGCAGTCCACCGGCTTCTCCATTAAGAAGGCATCGTCTCACAGCGATCACCTGACGTCCGAGGATCTGCTGGATGGAGATCAGGAGCTGGACAAGTACTTGGTAATGCTACTGGGTCTGCAGCGCCTGCTCAACTGGGAGCGAGCCATTATGCACGACATTATTCCCACGTCGAAACACAACGAAGTATTCGCCCGATTGGCTTACAATGCCATCGATTTGGTGGTCAAGGACGCCGAGTCCATCACTCAACGCATCTTGCGCTGCATCTCACGCAAGGAGTGGACCTCGGCGTTGGGTATATTCTCCGCCCTGAAACGGGTGATCCTGCTCCAGCCGGATATCGAACGCACCTATGATCCGGCACAAAGGGAACAGCTAACGAAGGTGCTGAACAAATTGCAACACACTGGAGCCAAGGCATTGGAGCACTTTCTGGACGTGGTCAAAGGGGAATCGAGCACCAACATTGTGGGCCAGAGCAATGTTCCCAAAGATGCCACCGTTCACGAGCTGACCTCCAATACGATCTGGTTTATTGAGCACTTGTACGAGCACTTTGATGTTATCGGTTCCATTTTGGCCCAGGATGTCCTGTACTCCACGCAATTGGACACCATTTTGATGAAGAAGGCGCTGCCAGGCGATGAACGAAACAAGGCACTTCTAGCTATTTACATAAGTAAGATTGAAGAGTTTCTTAAGCTCCTTTCTAAATACCCTTCATTTTTTTTTCCAGAGAAAGCTTTGGCTGAGCTGAACCTTTCCATTATGAACAAGTGCGAGCAATATAATGACCAGGCCACCAAGCATCTCTTCCGCCTCAACAACATCCACTATATCCTCAAGTCGCTGCAGCGCTCCAATCTGATTGATTTGGTCACCCTGGCAGAGCCGGAATGCGAACACAGCTACATGGAGATGATACGCGAACTGAAGGCCAGCTATCAGAAGACCTGGTCCAAAATGCTGGTGGGCATCTACTCCTTGGATGAACTGCCCAAGCCAGTGGCCGGCAAGGTCAAGGATAAGGACCGCAGTGTTCTCAAGGAGAGATTTTCTGTAGGTCTAAAAGCTCTAAAATGCTTGAAAATTCTTTGAAAATTGTATGGGATAATATAAATTATACCTGTTGTTTAAATCTTCATTGCAGAACTTCAACAAGGACTTTGAGGAGGCCTGTAAAATACAGCGAGGCATCTCAATACCCGATGTCATTCTGCGAGAAGGCATCAAACGTGATAATGTGGAGCACATTTTACCCAAATACAATAGATTCTACGAAATGTACGTTAACCTAGGGTTTCTCTATTTGTACACAACTAATTTTTATAACTTTCAGTTACTCTGGCGTGCACTTTAGCAAAAATCCCGATAAATACGTCAAGTACAGACAGCATGAGATCAACGCTATGCTAAGCAAGCTCTTCGATGATTCGGCCTAGACCTAATTTTCCAGGCCAGGGTTCAAGTGCATTCCTTGTAAGTTCGTTGGGGGGCTTTAATTCAAACTCAATAAATATCGTTTTTAAAAAATTACAATACAAGACTAAGCCTAAAAATATTAAATGCCAAGTGAAATGAAGGCGCCACGCATGCGTTTCCTAGTAGAGGAAGTTAGTGGATGGTGCTTCGGGGCGGCCACAGGCGCCGTAGTAGTTGACGTTGACCGTCTGGTTCGCCCTGCAGTTCTCGATCTCCAGGAAGCAGTCGTTCAGATATGTCTTATTGTCGCTGCCGCAAACGGGCTCGAATTCCCTGGGACAGATGCGGGCACATCCCTTCAGCTGGAAGGCGGCCAGGCAGCGCTTGAGCGGCACCACAAACACATGCTTGCCGCAGTTCTCCTTGCGCATGTGACACTCCGACTTGTACAGGTTGTTATCCGATCCGCAGACGAAACTCGGAGGCTGGGCATCACAATCGGATTCACAGTCTGCGGTCAGGGCGCAGTTCTTCAGCGAAACGGGCACCACACGGAGATTGCAAGTGCGCCGCTTGAATTCGCACATCGAGGCGAAGGTGTTGCCATCTGATCCACACACCGGTTGCTGCTCCAAATCCGCCCGAGTGCAGGCATCTCCGCAATCCTTGGTGGGCGAATTGAGATCCGTGCAGGGTCCAATGTGGGCCAGATTTACGCCGCGTCTGCAACAGATAAAAAATTGGTTTTACAAATGAAAAAAAAATATATTTTAATTATTCAGTAGTAAGAAGTATTGATATTCAATTTAAAGAAACTTTTTTGGCTTCCCATAAATTAAATTAAAACGTAAAAATGGTATAAATATCAGGGACCGTAAATATTCGTTATTTGAAATTTTTATTTTAAAATTACTACTGTGATATTTTGTTTTAAACGTCAAAAATAACGTTCTTTTTACTCTTGTCCACAAAGTCAAAAAATCTGGAGAGCAAATGAACTGTTATTTGTTCATGTCTATAAAGTGCATAAAAACCAGTTGAATTGTTGATTAAAACATGTACAAATCTCAGTAGAAGTAGTAGTAACGATTTTCGGTCCCTGATATATATAAATAAATATTTAAAAAACTTTTAGGTGAAAAGTCTTATTGAGGATCTTATATTTATTCAGTTTATATTTAATCGGTACTTACAGGCAGGTGGCGTGGGCCAGCTCACACTCATTGCTATAAGTCTTCGCATCCGTTCCGCAGAGCTTGTCATTTCGCTTCGAGCTGAAGATGGACCCGAACAGGCTGTTGAAATCCTTGCAAGGAGGCAGCTGCTTGCAGCGCGTCAGGCGACTCTTGCACTTGTCCATGCTCACTTTTTGGATGGACTTGCGCTGGGGGCTAAAATATCAAATTTAATCCGGTTTTTCCCTTTATATTTATACCCAAATCCAATCAAAACTCACCCGCAGTTGAGCATTTTCAGTTCGCAGAGTGAGGAGTATATGTTGCCATCGCTTCCGCACACGTACTGCGATGAGGAATCGGCCTCCGGCTTGGGACACTCGGTGGGACAGGCGTCGGAGGCACTGCCGTGCCTCTCCTGCGGCATGCAGAAGGACAGGGGAATCTCGAAGACGTGCTTGCCGCAGTTGGAGGAGCGCATCTTGCAGGGACTCGCATACAGTCGTCCGTCGGATCCGCAGGTGGGTCGTGCTACCCGCCAGCAGGACTCCCTGCACATCCTCGTCGACTGGCAATGCTTCCTGCTCGTCTTCACCACACCCTGTCCACACGTATGCAGCTTCATCTCGCACGTGGAGTTGTAGACATTGCCATCGGATGAGCAAACTGGTCCATCCTTGGGTGCACTATTGCAATCCACCGGACAGGATTCGCGCACAGCACTCGTATTGCTGCAAGGACCCACATGCGACAGTTTAACGGCTGCCAATCCCACGCGACAGGATTGCACCCTCAACATGCAGCGATTCAAGTAAGTCCTTCCGTCAGTTCCGCAAACCGGATCCTTTTCCGTGCTGCAGCGATGCTTGCAATCCGAGCCCTTGGACCGCTCGCAGCCATCGCGGACATCCTTGATCAGGGAAACTCCGCTGCGGGAGCAAGTCTTCTTGCGCAGCTCACAGAGATTGGCGTAGATCAGGCCATCACTTCCGCACACGGGATCAGCGCCCACCGTTATGCTGGGCGGACAAGATCGGGGACAATTGCCGGTGGTTGTGGCACTGGCCCGGTTCCGCCTGCCCATCTGCGCCAGCTGCTGCTGCTCCGTCTCCTCGCGCAGCAGCGACTCCAAAGCAGCCGCCGCCGCTCCCGGTGCCTGCATCAACGTGGAGGACAACTCCGGCTGGGCATCCTGGCGGTAGTTGATCAGCAGCGAGTCCGGCGCCGCATCAGCACTGCGATAGCGGATGACTGGCGCCTGCGCCGGCAGCCGGATAATCTTGATGGGGGAGTCTGTTACAGCGCCTATATGAAATAAGGGTTTTTAATTTAAATTAGTTGTTAAATTCTAGATTAAGTATAAAAAGTGGTATTGACGTAATACTAAATAATACAAATTCTATACTCAGTAGTATTAATTTCATGTTTTGTAGTTTCATTTCTTTACCAAAAGTTTTAATTTACTACTTTTTAAAGAATTCATTTAATACTCAACTTATTGATGCCAATTTGACACTTAATAGTGTAGAACTCATGAAACAATAGTTTCATTATTCAATATTTTAGATTCTAAACCAGTTTTAGAATTTATATAACGTTTTGTTGCCAGAATCGGATTTTCTGCGCTATAATAGGATTTAGAAACTAATACTATACAATCTTAAATAATCCAAATTTAAATTAATTTCGATGATATGGGCACTTCCAAAAAAAAGTCCACCAAGCCAAAAACCTTGAAACTTGAATAAAACATATTTCCACATGATTTTGCCCCGATATTAGTTTCTAATTAGTTGGATACTGAGCTTAACTACAAATGTGGAGTATAGTTTGATTATTTTTTTGACAAACCCCACCAATATACGCAAAAATCAGTTTTTGGCTATTTTTTTGTTATTTTTTGGACCTGTCTTCTGTTGTTAATTTATCCTATAGGAATGCTAGTATGTGACATTTTTCTGTACTGAATGCTTCATTCACATGCTAAACTATTAAGTTAAAAGCAAAACATCCAGCAATTGAGAGATAGAGGTAAAGAAATCCGCTTTACAAAACAGTCGGAAAAAATGTCCCGAGCGACATGTCCCGAGCGAATGTGGTTGAACCTGCATTAAAAAAAAACGGCAAGGAATTTTAGAGTAAAACCAAGAGCATTTCACAGCGACATGTTTGAACAACATTCTAAAAAAAATTGCATTCAAATATTTCATCAGAATTCGCTAATTTCTGGTGTTGTATGAACTTCCCCGAAATCCACTTCTATTTTTGTCCCGAGCGAATACGGCAGTTTTTTAACGATATCTTAAAAACTTAAAGTGGTACAAAATCAAGATTTTTACCAAAAATAGAGCTTGGGAAGAGTGAAAAGAAAAGCCCATAATTAAAATTAAAATCCATTGTTTTAAAATTTTTCTTTAACTTTAAATCAGTCTGGTAAACTAACTAAAATCAAAATATATTTACTTCTTTTTTGTATATCTAATCAAATTAATTATATTCTGATTGTTAGTAATAGACTTAAGACTTAAGTCTTAAAAAAATAAGTAAATATATTTTAAATTTAATTTTACCCTGCTGATACTAACAAAAAATTTTAAAATATTTTACATCGAAATGAATTTGAATTTTTATTATTTAAGATGGTATAATATTATATCGCTTGTATCTCATACTTTCCCACTTTCAATGTATAACATAACCTATTTCTTTGAATTTTCCCAGGGTAACTGAGTCTCGAGCCCGCTGAAATAAACTTTCCCTTTGCATTTTCCTCAGCTCGTTGGCGGCATGCGGAAGAGTCGGCTCTGGGCATACAAATGTCAGATTAGCCGCACGATCATAGGGCATTTTGCGCAGTTGTGACCCACTGTTTGGCCCACCTCCAGGCCCTCCCCCTCGCACTCCCCGCAACCCCACTCCCCCGCAGCGTCCGAAGTTCTGGAGTGATCGCATGACCGACTCAAGTAACCAGCCATTAACTTGAATAATTCGGGAGGCCATAGGAAGAGGAGCGGGGAGTTCCCTTCCTCACTAACGGTAACGGCAAATGTTACCCGTCTTCAAATCTCGATTCCAAGTAAACGACACAATGGCATTTATGGTTGAGATTCGAGCACAAGTATTATTATATGTGTATATAGGTACATTCATACAGACAGACAGACTATCAACGACCTCCATCTATAATTGTTCATGCTAATCCCCTCCAGAAATCGTAAGCTTAATCTGTGCTAAAAACTGCAAGTGAAATTTCCACACTAATTGCCTCCGGCACCGAAACTTTTCTGTTGTCTTTGGTCGGATGTGGCACCGCTGGTTTAGTTTGGTTCGGTTTGCCCAGCTGGCTGGGATTTGTTTGCAAAGAAAGCTGTGAGAGCCGCCTCCGGAGGAAGCACTCAACGCAACTTAACTCAGTTAGAGATATACACATATACCCACTAGCAGTAGAAAATCTATTAGCGCTCTTTGAGGCTGCCACGATTGTTTGGCTGCGATAATTGAACCCACGTTCATTATTCCAATTTGTTGCTGCCGGCCATAAAGATGGAAATTTCAACATCCAGCCAGGCAGTCAGCCAGCTAGACGCATTCCCAGCTTAATGGACTCGGACTCTGGCTGGATGATATGAATCCGAATCTGAATCGGTGGCGGAGGCAGATGCAGAGGCATCAAGCCATTAAGCTCGGAGAAAATTAAGCGGCGTTAGGAATTAATGCACATGTAAACGATCCGCTGGAATGGTCAGGGGCAAAATCCGAGACCGCAGCCTATCTCATTCAGCACTGCAACTATGCGACCTCAACCGCCCCACCCACTCTTACCATTGCGACACTCGAAGAAAAATATAAATCTGCAAGCTAAAATATAAGAACAGGACTAAAGGATTCGTCTAAGGTCTTTGCTCTAAAACAAAGATCTTTAAAAATCATTTTTAAACAAGCAAATTATACTAATAAATACTCCCAAAAAAATCAATATGAAACGTAGATCGATTTTACATTATTTAAGATCAATTTTAATTTGATAGGAAAATGTGACCTGGTCAAAAAGGGTGTTTCATGTAAAAACGATGTGGGATTTGCATGACCTGAAATTTACATAGCCATATCGATTTTACGGGAACATGCTTTCATTGTGTGTAATGATATATTAAAAACTCCGCTAAATCAATTTGGAAAAGCATATTTACAAGATGATATTACAATCTAAATATTTCTTTGTTATTATTATTTCTAGTTTAATATACATTTTCTAAATTCCACCAAGAATAATATTGGTTATCTTAAAGGAGCCTGGAAATCCTCGATTAAGTTAAACTATTTTTCCAAGTGCAGGCGCATTTTCCTGGCCTCCAGCGAATTGCTGCCAGGCTCCTGCCTATCGGATGCCATCAATTGCAAAAAAAAAAAGAGAAAAAAGGCGAGAGAAATAATAAAAGCAGCCACCGTATAATTTTCAAAAGTGGAAAAATCCAGCAACCAACGCACTGCATTGCTGGGCAGGGACTTTTGCATGATATATACACAGTATATATACAATGTGTGAGCTCGGTTTGCTCTGGTTTGGTGTGGTACAGTGGAAAGCAGAGGCAAGCAGAGACCAAGCCCAGAGATGAATCACGGCGCCACTGATTGGGGCCATTAAATTCCTATGTGAGATCACAGCGCTCGATACTAATTGATCTTTCACCCATCAATCTCCGATAAAGTGCTGTTATCAATTAACCAAATGATCGCGCTTACAAGTAAAACAAATCATTTCGCTCCGGGTCAACTTTAAACGATATAGTATGTATGTATGTATGTAGTATTCCCCCCATTAAACCCCCTCTGGCCGTTTAACACGATTTCAAGCTCGTTTCCACTGTGCGGTCAGCTTGATTTCCCCATGAACTATTCCCCTTTCAGTGCCCCTGGCTTCTGTATCTCCCCTTCGTGCTTTTAATGAATTTATTTGAATGTTGGACAAATTGTGCACGAAAATATTTACGAGCATGTTGTGCGTCGAGGAGCGAGGTCTTTAAATGCTGAAAATGGGGAGTTCGGGGGTCCCGGGGTCTCTGCGAGAGCCTCTCGTGTGTGCCAGTTTACATTCACTTTGCGGAGTAGTACCTTAGAAATTAATAGCTGCTACGACGGCCTTTCTACCACCGCACAGCTGTAGGTCTTAGATCCGGACCCCGATTCACATTCTCCGTTTCAACACCCAGAGAAATTGAGCTGTAATTGAGACAGCACTCGGCAGGCTAGTCTGTCTACAACTTTCCTTTAGCGCAAAATCAGTTGGGGTTTTCCACTTGAGAAGTGGAAGTTCTCAAGAACCTCGGATGGTTATTAGTAAGTCTAGAACCTAACTACTTTACAATGATCTTTGCTTAAAAATGATATAGTATTGCATTAAAACTACTGTAAACTCTTTTGCATTATAAAGATGAAATTCATGAAATACATTTATCAAGCTTAAAAGGCAAAAATACTTATTAAGACATTTTGCTTTGGCTAAAAAAACTTCTTTAATGTTATAAACTAGAATATAGAGATACCTTTTTGTGGCTGGCTTATCATAAGATAGCTTACTAAGCTTAGCACTAATTTCCTATTAAATAAACTAGTAGAAAACTAATTGTTTAATTTCTACTAAAGATGGTATAGGATGAGAAAAAGATTTTAGTAGGTCAGAGAGTTCCTTAAAAAGATTTGTACCTTAATTTGAATGCTATCATCTATTGGGGGCTTATAAACTTAGCTTTGAAGGACTTGACATGATTTGTAAAACTTTTGAATGACCTAGGTAGCTTTTCCTAACCAATTTTCTCCATTCTTCTTTTGAGTTTCTCTCAGTGTAGGGCTTGTATGACTTACCATTGGTGGTTGACGCTAATACCGCCAACATGAACACGGCCAGCAGTGCGCCAAACAGCTGTCGCTGGCTCTTCGGGCCACTGAGACTGAGGCTCAGACTGGGGCTGTGGTTATAGCCGCATCTCTTGATCTGGCTTAGAGTCTGGCTAAGTCTGTGGGTCTGCGTTTGGGTGGCTTTTAAGGCGGGGGGATGGTGATGGCGATGGAGATGCTGTTTCTGCTGCGACTGGTACATTTTCGCTGCTTTGCCGTCTGCTGCACTTTTCCTGCTATTTGTTTTGTTGCTTTTGTGCGTGACGTGACGGGCGGCGCTTTCGCTCGTTAACAATTGAAATTGAAATAGTGGCAAACTTTTATGCGGCCGAGGAAGTTCACACTAGTTATGCGAAGAAGAAAGTTTTTCTCTCTCTGTCTATCTAACTGGTAGACTGTATAAATGCTCGTAATACCGCTGAAGCTGTTCGAATTAACGGTATTCTTGCGGTCATTTGGGCTTGGCCTGCTCTTCTTCTTCTGCTGCTGCTACTGCTACTGCTATTGCCCTCTCTCTTGCCCTTTTATGAGTTCATTCGTTTCGTTTGCCTATTAACATTAAACTTGCATCTATCTCTCTCCTTTCTTCTTTTGCCTGCCGGGCACTTGACCTCTCACACAATCGCACAATGGAGCATAATTTCTTTTTTATCGCCCTGGCTTTATTCCTTTTTTTTATTTTTTGCACGGCCCGCCTTTAATTTGATTTCAATTACGTTCTGGTAAGGCTTTATTTTCTTTTTTATTATCTTTTTTCGGTTCGTATTATGCACACAAAACAATTCGCTTTTGTCCGTTACTCTTTCGCCGTTTGAATTTGACTTTGATGCGCGCTCTTCGAGTTTCGATTCGCATATGAAAAATGATCTCTCTTTCGGATTTTGATGCTGCTACTGTTTCCCAGCCTCTGCTGACGCCTACTGCGACGCCGACTGCAACTGCGACTGCGGCGATTGCATTTTGTATTTCATTTACTTTTATTGTTGTTGAATGAATGAATGGACACTAACACACACGCGCTCGCATCCGATTTGTACAATTTGTATTGTCGTCTTCGTTTTGTTTTTTACTTTTTTTCTTCTTATTTTCCCCTGGCTTTTCAGGTCTTTGTAGTTTGTGAAGTCTCTCAGAAATCTCGAAAAGCTTAGCTCCAAATGCGACTGAAAGGTTTGACAATGCGCCGACGAATGGCAAAAAATTTGCAATGAAAAGAAATTTATATGGGTGAAAGGCAGCGCAGTCGGCGGCGGCAGAGCAGAGCATCCAGCGGCAGTTGTTGTGGCCGCTACACTCGAGATAAAAAGCTTGCACTTCACCTAAATGTCGCTAAAGGAAATAAACATTTAGAAGAATTAATCCTAATTTGAAGGATAAGTATGCAACATTTTTTGAAATTTAATATTTTATATAAACATTCTTTAAAATCAAATACATTTAAAATTTCCACACGTTTTCAAGGTTAAAGACGGAAAAACAGCCCTTCAGATACAAATCTTTAGTAAAAGTATCTCAAATGTAAATATATCTTTAATTTTAAATTTCTTAAAATATTTTAAAAATGATTTTTTAAATTATCTAGCAAAATTGTTGATTCTTTATTTATCTATTTCGTTTACGTTAAATGTTTGATTTATATTTGTAAATGATTAATTTAAAGTTTAAATTTTAAACATTTCGAACTATTTATTACTTTTGGCAAAGAGGATCTTTATAATGCATATTTATAATTACCAATTATTGTAAGCAGAGTATTATAACTTATATTGTTACTGCAAAAGTAAAAGCATTTACATAGCATAAAGTTTTTTCCTTACTTTTCCAATGCCAACAGTTTTTCTAGTGCATTGTTGCCTGCCTGGGCATATTGATTAAATGGAGTTGTCGGTATTTAAAATAACAACTTGGTCATGTCTGCTGGCCTAATCGGTTTGCGTACAAATTTAATTTGCCAAAAGTGGCAGCAAAATGCAACCAAAAAGGGGAGCCGCATTTGAAATTATAACGCACACACACGATCCTAACCAAACCAAAACCGATCCGATCAGATCCATCTCCATCCGTGCCTCTCCAATATCTCCAGTATCCCACATCCAATGTACAATATACAATATCCACGATCCACGATTCAGTTTCAGTGGTTGCGGCAGTGGCATTGGCAGTTGCAGTTGCAGTAGAAAGTGCAGCCTGGAAGCTGTGTTTATAGACTTGTAGACTTTAAAGCCATAAATTTTACGCCTCAGCGGCTGTTGCGAATAAGGGTCACCACACACACACTCTCCCAAATAGCCCACTCTCACGGCGCACATTGTCCTGATTTTTAAAATTTTTGGGAATTTCTAACTACATTTTATTTTGCTGATAAGGTTATACATTTTCTCTTACATATCCTACAAATAATAATATTCATGAATTTGGAATTTCATTAGCAATTAGTTTGGATCGCTATTTCCCCAAAAACTTCATAAATTGGAAACTAGGTCCGAACTTCGATATAAGAGATTCGAGTGATTGAACGAATTGTACAGTTTATGTGTCTCTTTTACAAAAACCAAGTTCGGATTATAAATACATTGAAACTTGAAAAATTAAATTGTTTATTTAGAGTGCATTATATTTAAAATATCAAATCATAATTTATTAAAGGGTCTTTATGTTCATATTTATAAAAAACACAAATCACAAAACTTTTATTTACTTTGTAACACTTTTCTTTAAAGTATCTAAAGGGACTGTGGTTAAGAACAATAAAAAGATCTATTTTTCGAAACCAAGCCACAGTTGATGTAACCACTATATTCTTAATACATTTTCTGTGAAGTATTTAAGTGTTTTATCCCGAGATCTAAGGCAATAAAAATTGATTTTTAACCTATTTTTGTTCCACTGTGCTTCGGCGGCGGGTGGAGGAAGATGAAGAAGCAGATCATTGGCGGCAGAGTCGCGTGCATTAAAGAAAATTGAGTGGAGGTGGAAGTTGCCGCCGAAAAAGAGGTCAGTAAGTGAATGTTTACAGTTAGCTTTTTGGGCAGATCAGAGAGAGCCAGAGCCAAAAGCCGAGCTCAACAAAAAAAGCCAAACTGCATATGACAGGCGTGACTCGGCTTTAAGCGCCAGCACCCAGAACTAATACCACAAACACGACAACTTGCAGGTCCCAAAACCGAACCCATCCAAAAAATAAAAAATAAGAAAATAAAAAAAAACACAAAAACCAAATTTAATTAAAAGAAAGCCAGGCCGGAGACGTAAAAACCTTTTGGCAGCCGTGCAGTTTCTTTTTTGGCCAAATATTTGACGTTCGCCTGCGGTTGCCAATAAAAATGGAAAGTGAAAATTGCGGCTGCAGTGGCAGTGCATATTAAAAAATAGAAAAAAGCGATAGAAACAACCGTGTGCGAAAAGATGTCCATAATAAACGATAGAAGGCAAGAGCCACGCACCTGTTCTGCGGGTTTTCTTTCCATCTAATCACAGCTTTAGTCGGCGATCCAAACCAGTGCGGGTATTATATAAATATAAACGCAAGGCTGTGAATCAAAAGATAAATGGCGCGAATTATATGGCAAGGGGAGAGTTCTCGCCCCAGTCGGAAAAATATAGCACACATGAGTGGAAAACTTTACTCCCTATCAATTTACGAAGCCTACTATTAACGTTCACAAGTTATTTCACGTCAAATATAAAAACTCCAGTGGCTGTCTCTTCTTGTCATAGCATATTTTTATGGTTTTAGGCTAGTTTTCCTTTTAAGCAATGACGTCCATTTATAGGAACCATCCCAACACATAGTACATTTTATAAATCTTTTTTACCCTTGTTTCCTTTATTGTTTAGTTTGGCCGTTTCAAACATTTAGTTTTAAATATTTTAAGTATTTGACTATCACTTTATTAAACGTTAAAATTTTTTTCGTAGCTTTTTAAGGATCTAATCTTTTCAATGTGTTTTCTAGATACCGATACGGATATCCGTATATATATAGTCTTTTACCCTACATGAATTTCAATAACAAATAAATGCTCCTTGAAACTAAATTAAAGCATACAGAGACAAAGGATTAGAAGACAAAATTCTCACATTTTATAGAGCGTAACTGTAATCTTGACGACATGTTCCGTGGAAAATGGATAAAAACTGGTTTGGTTTCTTTTATAATATGGTGTTAAATTTAAATTTTTGTAACCGCCATTTGTAACGGTTTAATTTTTCATCAGGTCAACAGTGACGTCACAGCCGAGTGCAGCCCTCTGTATAGTGTGCCCACCTGCGACCGAGTTTCGTGGTATTTACTGGCGTTGCAGCCACGGTCACACCCCGTCGCATTCATTGAAAAAATATTGTGTGGGTTAAAAAACGAAAACGTCGCCAAATCGCGTAGCCCCAAATGCACACGCCGAGTGCCGAGTTAAAGATACTGCCAGTCCCCAAGGATTGCATGCCGTGAAGATCGGGGGAAAGTCGGATAAATCGGATTTGGGATAGCTCATAGAAGTCACCACTACCACTACAGGGCCAACAACAACAACAAGGAGAAGAGCAAGAAGCAGAGGCAGCGCAGTCGGCAGCGCAGCGGCAGAGAGAAAAGATGGCGACGAGAGGCAGTGGAACCCGTGTGCAATCGCAGCCAAAGATTTTCCCATCGCTGCTTTCCAAGCTCCACGGCGCCATCTCGGAAGCTTGTGTCTCCCAGCGCCTGTCCACCGACAAGAAGACGCTGGAGAAGACCTGGAAGCTGATGGACAAGGTGGTCAAGCTGTGCCAGCAGCCCAAGATGAACCTGAAGAACAGTCCACCGTTTATTTTGGACATCCTGCCGGATACGTATCAGCGCCTGAGATTGATCTACTCGAAGAACGAGGACCAGATGCACCTGCTCCATGCCAACGAGCACTTCAACGTGTTCATCAACAACCTGATGCGAAAGTGCAAGCAGGCCATCAAGCTCTTCAAGGAGGGCAAGGAGAAGATGTTCGACGAGAACTCCCACTACCGCCGGAATCTCACCAAGCTAAGCCTGGTCTTCTCGCACATGCTCAGCGAACTGAAGGCCATCTTCCCCAACGGCGTCTTTGCCGGGGATCAGTTCCGGATCACCAAGGCGGATGCGGCCGACTTTTGGAAGAGCAACTTCGGTAACAGGTGAGTTGGGTTGCTGTGGGATATGGCAACATTTAAATATCACAAAATCAGGGCTTTATTTGAAAAGTTTAGCTATACCAATACAATTTGATTTTGGATAATTTCTAAAGAAACTCTACTTTGAAAGTGCAATATCGTATCAGAACCAAACCAGTTTCAACCGGTTCAATACCATGCTAGCCCTGTTACTCCAGGCTAAAACATTTTTAGAATAATACACAAAAGTATTATAACTTTTACTGATTATACAAAAGATTTAAAACTTTTTTAAAATGTATCCATACACCATAATAATTATAATTTAATTATCTGTAAATACTATTTTTATTACAATACAATACTTTTGTTTTTGTTATCACTTAGTTATTTATAATTTATCTCAAACAGTTTGTAACCCAAACAACTCTCTTATCAGTTATGTGGTAAAATGATTCCATCTACAAAACTGTTTTCTTAGTTAAATTTGCGGAAGTGAAATTAGGATTAAGATTGTTTCATGTTTCCATTATTCCATTAGTAGAATAGGAATTTATTAAAAAAATTATTTAAAATTTTTAAAAATTATTTAAATTGTTTTAAAAATTTCTGCAACCCAAGACAATACGAATACTCACACCTTTTCCTCTGTATTGCAGCACATTGGTTCCCTGGAAGATCTTCCGGCAGGAGCTGAACAAAGTACATCCCATAATTTCCGGCTTGGAGGCCATGGCCCTAAAGACTACCATCGATCTGACCTGCAACGACTTCATTTCCAACTTCGAGTTCGACGTATTCACACGCCTCTTTCAGCCCTGGGTAACACTGCTGCGCAACTGGCAAATCCTGGCCGTCACACATCCGGGCTACGTGGCCTTCCTCACCTACGACGAGGTAAAGGCTCGCCTGCAGCGCTACATCCTCAAGGCGGGCAGCTACGTCTTCCGGCTCTCCTGCACGCGGTTGGGCCAGTGGGCCATCGGCTATGTGACCGCCGAGGGAGAGATTCTGCAGACAATCCCGCAGAACAAATCGCTTTGCCAGGCGTTGCTCGATGGCCATCGGTAAGTTATGAATAACATTTGAACGGTATTTCATTACTAATTATTATTATTATGACATTTCAGTGAGGGCTTCTACTTGTATCCAGATGGCCAAGCCTACAATCCGGATCTATCGTCTGCCGTTCAAAGTCCCACCGAGGATCACATAACCGTAACCCAAGAGCAATACGAACTATACTGTGAAATGGGTGAGTTTGCAAACGTAATTCCACCTCTATAAATATGTTACTCAACAAAAATATTTCTCGGTATTATAGGCAGCACCTTCCAGCTGTGCAAGATCTGTGCGGAGAACGACAAGGATATTCGCATTGAGCCCTGCGGGCACTTGTTGTGCACGCCCTGCCTCACCTCCTGGCAAGTGGATTCCGAGGGACAGGTGAGCATTGCCAGTTGATTAATCAAATGAGATATCACTAACCCATGATTTCTTGCAGGGCTGTCCCTTCTGTAGGGCCGAGATCAAGGGCACCGAACAGATCGTCGTGGACGCCTTCGATCCGCGCAAGCAACATAACCGCAACGTCACCAATGGGCGACAGCAGCAGCAGGAAGAAGACGACACTGAGGTATAGTTTTGTTCACAGCCTGATCCGCCTGCTCCGCTGCCGCCTGTGCTGCTATTTATATATATATATACATTACTCTTATGATTACCTTTGGTTCGTTTAAACAGTTATATATGCCTATATATACATTATATATTTTAGATTTTACAACTGCTATTGTTTATATAAGTTTAATGTTTAGCCTGCATTTGCAGTTGCAGTTTCGAGTTTAATTTTGTTTGTTTAGCTGTAACATATTTAAATTATTAGCCAAACTCATGCAACTAACACTCACGGACCCACGCACACACGCTCAACCGCAACCATTGTCCATCACGCACACATGCATAACGTAGTTAAAGTTCTTTGACCGGAAGTCGCTCATCAACCATCGTTTGTTATCGCTTCCTCTGTTTTCTCTCCGCTGGTTTGGCTTGTGTGCGTTCGTTTAGTTGTTCGTTCTTCCTCTCTCACGCTCTCTCTATCTATTGATCACGTTCGCCTCTGTTTATGAATCATTTTGAATCGGTTCGATTCGCCCTCGATTGCACTTTTGTACATAGGCACTATGGAATTTATAATTGTAACCTGTTCTGTATTATTTTGTATTTTCTCTTCCACATCGAGCTTAATTATCACTTTCTGTGTAGCGCAGTACTCTTTGTATCTATCCCTTACTCTAGAATCATGCTCTTGTTCATTTTACTCCGTTATGTGTTTATTTCATTTTAGTTTATTGTTTAATACTTCCAAAGATATATTTAGTTTGTAGTAGCGTGCGTTTACTTCCCCTCATCCATTCAATTTTATTTGTAAGCAGCCACCGCGCTGCCCTAAGACTGTAATTTATTATTAACAAAAAAAAACAAGTGAAAATTAAGAAATCAGGCTAAACCACATAGAAGGCCTCGAATCAATCGATAATTTAGTTAGATCGTATGTAAATTAATTTTTGATTTCCTGTGTCACAAGGCCAGAATTTATAGCGCTCGTTGCTATCAAAAATACGAACGAAAAGTATTAGCAGAGAAATTTCAAAAATCGAACTCACATTTCGGCTCATTTCGTTAACTTAATACAACACTAAAACAGATCGCATTAATGTACACGATAATGAATATTTATATAATACATCTAATGCAATTTTTATACATTTAGCGTTTAGTTTTTGATTTCCTTAATAAGTTTACGGCTAAAAACAAAACAACAACACAACCACAAAAAAAAATGAAACAAAACAAAATATATGCATAATACGAATATTTAAATTTGGTTTGAATTGATTTTTATGTTTCCTTATTTATTTAGCTGTGTTTCTCCTAGAGACTTCTTATTTTCCTCAGATTTTCTGTTTGATGTGCATGCCCATTTCCTCCAGCCAGCAGCGGCATGCTCTATGATCAGCGAAACATTTGCTTAAGGGGTCTACTATGTTCAGATGGAATCTATCACATGGAATTTGTATTAAAATAAAAAATTCAAATTAGTTGTACCTGGTTAAACTTTCTCTTTTTTGAATAAATGACCGAAAAAGTACTTGTTAAAAATACATTTAAAATTCAGAGAAAAACTTACAATTTACTTACCTTTTACCAGAGGAAATATCTTTTTAATTACTAATTTTTAAACTGTTTATTTCTATCAATTATAAAGTAGTTATTATTTTTAAATTTTCCAACTCATTGTCAGCTTAGATATTTTTATAATTCCATGATTAGTTACTTCTACTTACCTGTTACCAGAGGAAATATCTTTTTAATTACTGATTTTTAAACTGTTTTTTTTTTCTTTTCAATTATAAAGTACTTCTTTAATATTTCCCAATTGTCAGCTTAGATACTTTTATAATTCCATGATTAGTTCCAACTGAACTTTAAGGAGACCTTTAATCTGATTTCTGTTCTGGATATGTTTAGGACATGGGCGACTTCAACATAGCCACCTCATCGCTGCACGCACTCAGCACATCCTCCACGGTGGCGGCTGAGAAGCACAGTCCGCACACATCGCCCCGTTTGGGACGCCGAAGCACCACGCCCAGTCTGATGGCCGTGCAGAACGATCTCTATGCCGGCGGAACGCCCACCCTCAGCCTGCCCAGCAGCTCGTGCTCCTCCATTGCCGCCGCCTCCACATCTTCCTCCTCCTCCTCCTCAGTATCAGCAGCCACAGTGGGCGCATCGACGTCCTCCTCCCAGCATCAGCAGCCCCAGCCCTCCGCTCCTCCTGCTTCGGCGGTCCTCAGCAATGGAGGCGGCGGCGGCGGCGGCGGAATCAGCACCAGTCAGAAGAACACCAACCGGATGAGTGCTCCGCTAATTGGCTCCTGTGTGGCCAACTCCACCTATGGCCAGAAGTTGCCCCAGAACTCCAGCAGCAACAGCAGCACGACCAGCGACAATGCCTCCAGCTCGAGTTCATATGCCATTTTGCAGAATCTCCATGATCCGGGGACACCTTCGACGGCAGCAGCAGCGGTGGTGGCTCCGCCCCTGCCGCCCAGGAAATCCTCACCGGGCGTGGAGACACCCAGCAAGGCAACGGCACCGCCACCGCCCAGCAGTAGCAAGAGCATCGACAACATCCAGTGCAGCCTGGACAATGTGCCGCCCCAGACGACGGCGCCCCCGATTCCACCACATGTCTCGTCCAGCGTGGACACCTTGGCCGAGGATCTGATGCGCCAACAGCGCATAGCAACGAGTACCACGTCGCCGGTGCTCTCGCTGCTGGACGAGGACATCGTGGAGGTGGGTCCGGCGGAAACTATAAGCGGCGTAATCGATACCCGCCCCCTGGAGGCGCGTGGCGTCACCTTGAGCCGCCAGGACTCGGCCTCCTCGCACTACACTCAACTCTGCACCACGAGCAGTGGTGGTGGTGCCGTCTCAGCAGCGGTGGCCAACGGCAAGAGGGTCATCCCGGCCAAGCAGAGCCAGACCACAACGACGACAACGCCGGCAGCGGTGGCGGGCAATGGGGCTAATCCCCTCCAGCAATCGCAACCGCTGCTCTATGCGAACGTGACGATCAATCAAAAAGACTGCGGCTCCGTGCCCTACGAAAACATTAACCTGGAGTACATAGCCCGGCTGATGAACGCGGGCTACTCAAAGGAGAACGCGATCACCGCTCTGGGGATATCGCGGAACAACATCGAGATGGCCGGCGACATCCTGCGCGAGTTTGTCTCCAAGAACAGCGCCTGAAGTGCCATGTCGGCTAACTGCTAAGTCAGATGATAGGGCTACACCCAAAGCAAAACAAAAAATCAATCACCAGTCGAACTTCTCTAACTCGAAACAATATGGAAATTTATTTTCAATTTCCTAATATTTAAAAAAGAATTTTAATTGGTTGTTAAAAATTAGGATTTTATATTCGGTGAATTTGTTTTTATGAAAAATGTAAATCATGTTAGAAAGAAATTTAATTATTTAGTTTTTTTGTAGTAAATTACAAAAACCAATTATATTATTTAGAATTGTAGGAAACTCAGTCGTTAAACGCTAGTGCCATTCAATTTTAGTTAGAGTTAGAGAAGGTCGACTGTAATCAAGAAAAATTTGAATTCGAATCATGGTAAATATTCTTCGATTTAGGAGCACCAAACACACTCCCCTGTCCCACAGTTACGCTAAGTTAGGCGATCCCGGAAGATTGAACCCTCAGAAGTCCCCACTTGGCGTAGCCAGCACAAGCAATTCAAGTTTCCCCGTTCAAAAACTTATTGAAGAATAAAAATTAAAATATTGCTAGAAAGGCGAAAAAAAAATTAAGCACAACCTTTGGATATCAAATATAGCTATGTACACTTAAATTAAGACTATCTAACTTCTTCCTATTAAGAGCAAACAAATATATAAGAAATTATAACTCGTATATACGCAGTTCTGGAAAGAAAAACTTGCCCACCCCAAAAAAACACGAAAAATATATTAAAATTTTCCCTCGCTCTCTCTCGTATTAGAATAACAAATCAAAAACAAAGAAAAGACAAGGTCAGATAAGATAAGGTAAGATACATAATGTATCTCAAGTAGGTCGATGCTTTCTTTCACTATCATGTGCATGAGCCCATGTAGAAGCAGTCCATCGTTTCGTCCCAAGAAAAACCAAGAATGTTTAAATTGGATGCATCATTGTAGCGGATCAGAATCAATCACAGCCATTATTGAAATGCCTTCGGCGGCAAATGCCTCCAAAAAAACACAGAACTCTGAGTTTCCCCCTAACACCAATTGCAAGCAAGGATTAACCAAGTAAAGGACACAACACCCAAACAGATCCGATGCACTATCAAGTTTACCTCGATTTTTTATACAAAGCTCGAACGTTTTTGTAATAGTACTTGTAAGTTCGAATCGAATCAATTAATCTCCCAAACAAAGTTAAACGAGAAAATAATCAATTCAATTTGTATTACGAATCCCTTTTTACTGGCTTTATATACGATAATCGATCGATCGGTTTTTAAATTCGTCAAAAAAGTTCTAGTCCCACACAAAGACACCATTTTTGCCATACTCGTATATCTACTAAACCTAAGCGATATATATTTATAAATAGGCGATATATTAAACGTGCGACAACCAAAAATCGAATCGAAATCAATGCAATATATTCACTAAACGAGAAATCAATGCAAGCGTTAAATCATAAGATATTTGACATAACCTCAACACATACGAGTATAGAAGTATATAAACGAAGAACGGGAGGATCTTGAATTTTAAGCAGCGTAAGAGCAAACGAAACGAATTGCAATTCCCAGCATATAGAGAGCCCAACAACCGAAAAGAAAAGTCAATAAACTGTAAGGTTTAAAGAAGCGTACGAGAGTCTAAAAAAAAGGAAATGCGATACGATGATACCATACCATAGTCATGTCATGTAACCAAACGAATCTAAGCAGATATAAATTATTCTTATAAATAAAAACAAAAATTTAAACCGAAAACTAAATCTCTCTTTGGAATTAAAATGTTTTGAATGGTGCGGGTTATAAATCTTCAGAACTCCACAGTAAACCAATGAAATGCACATATTGACTTTTTAGTTTATTGAAATATGTATTTATTATTTATTCTGTTGTTGTTGTATTATTTGACTTATATAGTTTGCGATTTTTTTTTCGTATTCAAGCACATATGTATGTATGTATTTTTCTTGTATTTTTTGTATCTTTTTTGATGTTTTTGTTACATTTTGAGTTTTTTTCGATTTTTTTTGTGTTTTATTTGAAATATTTTTTGTTGTTTTTGTTGGTTTTTCGTAATAAGGATTTTAGTTACTGTGCTGTTCATTTCTTGCATTGCATGAAAGACAAAACGCCCAGGTGCCGGCCGCTTTGAAAATGTTTTGGGCAGCGATGGCGTTTGGCATTTCTGTCGACTATTTCATCAACCTCAGTTACCCCACCCGCCCTGCAGGATATATCCCTCGGGATGTATATCCGGCATATATCTATATATATGTAGATGTATAATCGTTATACAATATTAAAGTTACTATTTTTTCTTGCTCTTTGTTCTGGTTTTGTCTGTGAGTGTCTGTGTTGCTTAGTGTAAGTTCTTGTTTTTGTGGTTTTTGCTGTTGTAGTTGTATATAACATGGCTATAATAGGACGTACTGATCCCAAATTTGTTGTTAGCTTGTTAAATGTTTTTTTGTGTTTTTTTTTGTTACATTAGTTTTTTTGTTTCTTAGTAATTGAAATTCATAATTTTCACAATATTTGCTCTTTGTTACCGACACACGACACGCTCATAAGGTTTGGTTTTTAGTTTTATTTTTTTTTTAGATTTTTTTCGTATATGTATATAGATTTTTTAAAAATTATTTTTATAATCTTCATTAAATGGTTTCAACAGATTTGGCGCAGCAAATTTAATTTGCTCTTCATCGTCACACAAAACTTTTCGTAATTTACTTCTCTCCTCAATATTTTTTTGTGAGTTTTCTTAATGCGTTTTGTTGTTGCTTTAAATAAATATTTAAGATGTAGCATGTATGTATGTTTTTGTATAATATGTTACGTAATAAGTTAATGCAACCGTCTGAATGCAACAAAAGATTTGGCGAAACAACTTGGGGGTGTTCACAAGCAAAGATCAAATTAAAGGAAATAATAACATTAATATTAGTTTTGTTTACGTTAATGAATATGTAAAATATATATGTACTTGTAGATATAAATACTTTTTCTTGCTTCACTCCATTGATTGATTTCTTGTTGATGTTGATGTTGCTGCTGCGATTGTTGTTCTACCTTAACTGTTGCTGCCGCAGTACAATAATTATTCAATAAATATAAATCGTTAACAGTAAGATTGAAAGCAGTGAAAGAACAGTTTTCGAGAAGTACAAAAGAATACGAGTAGAGCAAGATACAGTAAAAGCAGCTATAGATAAATGTATTTAGAGAGTGTTGCTTTTATACAATTTCTAACGCAATTATGCAAGGATTTCGTTGCCATTCTATAATAAATACTTCATAGATTATGTTGCTTGTTTCCTTCATCTCACTTTGTTTTGTTTTTCGCATTGATTTTTTAATTAGTTAAAATTAAAGCAAACTAGTAGAAAATAGTATACGTATACAAACGTTTTGGTTTCATCTCTCAGACACTTGGATTTCAATTTCATTTTGCTTCAAACTGGCCACAACTCGGATCACGGTTGCGTCTAGTTGAAAACAAAGCGTTACAATGGTGGAGGGGTTAGTTGGTAATATTACAAATAAGTTTCGATTTCAGACACGAAGAGTTCTCTTGTTGAGTTGCCGTTAAGTAGTTTCGTAAATATTAATTGTATGCCTTTGCTATCAATTATTATCAATTAGATCGTTTCCAATAGTGTTTGTTTGCTTCTAGGGATTATATTCGTTATAAATGTTTGTGTATATGGTTAGGGCGACAAGTTCACGTTGCTGTTAGTTGGTTGATTGGTAGCCTGCTCATTTATGGCTTGCGTACAAGAATATATATAGCTGTAGGTAATTGTCTTTGATGTGCATCTAATATCTGGCTTGCTAATGCAACATTTTCAGCAATCTACTCCACCAAATTGCCTGAAAAATTAGATTTTGTTAAGTAAAACCGCTGCATACATTTTTGCGGTTTATTTTCTCACCTGGAATGCGTGGATGACGCGCTAGAACAGAAAAGCCTTTGCCCTGCGGTCCCTTTGGTGCGCGAATGAGGATTAGGCGCGGCACAGTGTCATCGCCGTTGAGCTTGAGGCGCGAGATCAGACGATCCGGACGATCGTTTATTTTTAGAACATTGCAAGCCGAAGACTTTCCATTACGCTGATGAGAAAATATATGGTTGAATGTTAGAATCTCAACCAAATAATAGCAAGCATCAACTCACCTGATTGGTAACCACGGAGAACTCCACAGTATCTCCTGGATGTAAGGCGACAGTATTGCCCTGCACCTCGGACATGTGGAAGAACAACTTCTTACCATCCTCCACCTCAAAGTTGAGAAAACCAAACTGCCCCTTAATGGAGTCCACAGTGGCGCGTTTCTTTTGCCTAACGGCATTTACGTTCGCTGCCCGGCCGCTCTCATCAATGCGGAAGCTAACAAGATCGCCCTTCTGGAGCAGATCCCTCTTGTTCACCAGACTAGTGATCCCGAACTCATGTTGCGAAATGACGGTGGTGCGCAGCTCATCGAGAATTTCAATGAGACCGGCGTACTCCTGCTGGTCGGGATTGATGCAGCGCAGCGGACGAGCCACCACGCCATTGTGCGTGGTTTCCAGCACAGCCGGCTGAGGAATAGAGTTCTTTGGCAGCATGCGAACATTCTCCGCAGGCAGGCAGTTTCCAGAAACGGAAGTATTTCCGTTGCGGGCCAGAGTGTACTCAACCTCCTGACCCAACTCCAACCAATTGGGGTTGCCCAGATAATTGCTGAAGTGAAAGAAGACCTCCTCGTCGTGGGACAAAGTCTCAATGAATCCAAAATTCTCCTTCATCACGGCTATGAAGCCGCGGTACACCTGACCGGCCTCGGTTCCGGCATGATTGTTGTTCTCCAGCTTAAAGTCGTCCAGGTGACCAGGATTGTTGCTGCCCACGCTGCTAGTGCTGCCACCGGGGCTGCCGTGCATGACATAGCCATTCTGCAGCGAGGCATTCGAGCTGCTGCTACTGACTCCATTCGACAATCCTGCAAGCTGGTCATTCTGGTTTATGTTTGCTCCAGCAATCGGCTGATTAAGAAGCATCTGCTGTTGCTGCTGCTGTTGTTGCTGCAGCGAAACTAGCTGTACGTTGACGGCTATACACTCCTTGTTACGTTTGACCTGCCGTATTAAAGGAATTTTTAGATTTCGATTGCTGAATTTGCTAAATTTTTCAACTTACCATGTAAATATCGAAGCGTACTCGCTCCCCAATCCTTGGTGGTTTTTCGCAGTCTTTAAGAAAATACATTATAGTCTTTTTAACATCGGCATGTTCGTAGGTAATCACACCGCCCTCGACGCGATCTTGAGATTTAATTGGGCTCTTAGGGGCCTCTCGTGTTACGCAACCTGATCATAGATTTCACGCATTAGAAAAAGTATAAATAGAAATGGTAATAAATAGAGCATACCCTCTATGTTGCTGGCCATTAGAGTTTCGAATTGCACTGAGTTGGGCGGCAAGTGTTTAATGCGTATGGCCTGCAAACGCGAGTTATTATAGGCCAATCCAGGCTCCTGAATAACAGTGAATTCCACCTCATCGTTGACATCGATTTCGCGGCTCTGTAATAAGAAAAAATAAATTACTGAAGAAGTGTAATAAACATATAAAATTATATTATTCTTACCGTATCTAAAACTTCAGTAAAATGGAAAAATAGACGGGCCTGTCGCTCTACGCAGCGCAGGAAGCCGAAGCCCTCCTTTAGTGAGGCGATGGTGCCCTGCTCTCTCTTCTCGCCGGACACCTTGAAGGTCTCGTCCAACAGGGCAATCGAAGTGGCCCGCTGCAATTGATCACGCCGATCGGTGGCCAGGAGAAACTGCACCCAGTCACCGTGGCGCAGGGTGAAGTCACCCTTCTGGTCCTTGTCCCCGAACGGTACCTCCACCTCGGAGTAATCCAAAGCCCTGTAACGGATGCGACCCGGCAAGGGATCATTGTTCTGACGCACCGGATTGTTGCGATCAAGCGACTTGAGCACTTGGCCCTTATACACCGTGCTGTCCACGTCCTCGAAGATCACCGATCCCGGTGCTAGGCGCGTGATGTTGCACGCAAATTCACGGCCCTGCGGAGGCACAGATGCAGACTGCATTTTTGATTGTAGGAGGTTGGGGTTGGTCGGATCGCCGCTGCCACTTACGCTCCGCGTCTGGATGGTGAACTCGACATCGTCACCGGGACGCAGCTCCACATTGCCCTCGGCCTCAGAGAAGTGAAAGAAAATCTCCTTAACCACATCGGCGCGTTCGATAAAGCCGAACGACTCCTTCATCGAACAGACCACGCCACGATACTTGACCGGCTGCGCCGGATTCTCCAGGCGAATATGGCAGGCGCCTAGATTACCTCTGCGGAAAAGAAGAAATGGAATTAATTTATGTGAAGATGTAAATTATTTAATCATCAAATAGTCCTCACCTTTGGTTCGTTGCGATTTGGAAGCTGACCTTGTCGCCAGCGCGCAAGTTGACATTGCCTTCCACATCGTCTTTGGTATAGGGTAAGAAGAAGCATTCGCCTCGGTTCTCATAGCTTATGCGACCGGTGGTCTCGCTGGAGTTGAGCACATTGTTGGCGCTATCCGTGCGCAGCTCGGTGGTCACCGTGCCGGTGACACGCTCCTCGGAAAGTACAACCTCTGGGGCTATCTTAGACACTTGACTAGCTATCGGCTTGCCGGTACGGCGATCATAGGTCATCTCAAACTCCACGGGATCTCCGATTTTCAAATGATCAATATTACCGCTGAATTGCGAGAAATGAAAGAAGAGACGCGCCTGCCGCTCGCAGCACTGAATAAATCCATAGGAGTGCTATAATTAAGCCGGAATAAATAGCGTAAAATTAGATATTGCGGTCAAGTGAAAGTTCCCCCATTTCTACTCACCAGCAGCTTCTCGATGATGCCAGTTTCCCGGGTGGTCTGGCTGGGATCCGCAGCTGCGGCCGAAGAATTGCTCGACTGGGAGCCAAAGATCGAAGAGGAGCTCCCAGCTCCATTGGTCAAAACACTGTTAGATTGAAATACACCGATTTGAGGAGGATTCTGGATGACATCGTTAACCTCGTTGGCATCAAACATTCCAATGCTCTGATGTTGTTGCTGCTGCTGTTGTTGATGCTGCTGCTGCTGTTGATGTTGCTGCTGCTGTTGATGTTGTTGCTGCTGCTGTTGGTGTTGCTGCTGCTGTTGCATATGCTGCTGCTGCTGCTGCTGTTGTTGGTGCTGCTGCTGCTGTTGGTGATGATGCATATTTTGCTGCTGCTGCTGCTGATGTTGCTGAGACGGCCCCTGACCTTGCGGCTGCAATCCCAAAGTGGTTGAGTCAAGCGTAAAGGTTCCAATGGTCGGGAATGTAGTCGGGATTCCCAGATTGCGAATGGCATTCATGTTGAAATAACCATCGCATGGCAAGTTGTCATAGATTTCTGAAGCATTAAATTGGAGGAGAAGAAATATAAAATATTATAAGGAAGAAAATTATCAACTTTTTGCATTATATGCACATCTTCTTAACATTTATTTTCTCCCCTTTAAAATCTAGTTTATAGTTATAAAATCAAATCAACAACTTTACTTTAAGATTCAAAATTCTACAAATATAAAATTATTTATTTTCAAATAAGATAATCATAATTATCAAATTCTATAAATATTTTTAATTAAAGACTTGCGGAAATAGATTTTTGAATAAAATATATAAAAAGATTTAGGTCAATTCACAAAGTAATCAAAGTAATCAAAGTAATAAATTAAGTCAGAACCCGTTCTTAAATGTGGCCTAAATGTTCTGTAAATAAGAGACCCAATTCCCCACTTACCTTCGCCGGTGCGGTACACCTTCGATTGGGTATTCATGTTGAATTGATTGATTGGATATTAACAAACAAAGAAAAATGCTGATAAGGACTAGCAAATTGGAGACTGGTTCTTGGCGACGGTGATTGCGATGTTGTTGGTATTGGGTGGTCAGTGATATAACCCGATAATGGATGCGAATGACGAGAACGATTGGAACGAGAGTTGAAGTTGAAGAAAACGCGAAAATTACCGAAAACAGATTTTTGATATCTTTTCTTTATCTTTAGGATATTTTTATATTTCGTTTTTTTTAGATTTTTTGTGTATTTTTATATCAAAGAGAAAAAAACTAAGCAATAAATACGTATTTGTTTTTTATTTGTTGTTTGTTTTGTTTTTTGTGTATATATATTTTGGCTAAACACTGGCACAAGAGGCACTGAAATTCCTTGTCTTCGAAGTTAATAAAAATTTTTGTCTTTTCTTGAGGGCATGCCCCGCAAAAAAAATGGTTGTTTTTCTTAGCTTTCCTTTGCTGTTGTTGGTTTGTTTTTGTGTTCCTTGTTGTTGTGTGTTTTTTTTCTTGTAAAAAATGCCGACAAATATTGTAACGTTGTTGGTTTGTTTTGGTAGTTTGAAGTTCCTTCCTGGGTCTGTTTTGTAGGTTGTTTTTTCTAAAGTTTTTTTATTTTTATATTTTTGCTTGTTTTGTGTATTCAAAATATTGTTGTTTTACGATGAAAATGCATACCAGCTGCTGCCGTTGGTGTTTTTTGTTTTGTTTTTGTTCGAGTTTGAATTATCATTGAATTATTGCATTTTGTTTGAAATGATTTTGGTTGATTTTTTTATATTTTTACTTTAGTTTTACTAGAAAAATACACTGGGAATACTTTTACTTTTGGGTTAGATTAGCTTGATATTTGAATATTTTGTGTGTTTTGCTTGATTATATTGTTTTTTGTTTTCTATATAGTATACATATATATAATATATATTTTGTAGGCAATCGTTGTGGTTTATAGGAAGTAGTAGTGATTTAATTTTAATTTACTTTCGAATACCCTTAGTACAACGATGATTTTTGGGGACGAGGTTCGAATCTGCTTCTTCTTCTCCTGCTGCTTCTCCTTCTCGGGGCTTCCGTTTCCGGTTCCTCTTTCTCTCAGTGTCGATTTCCTATTTTGTTTCGCTGTACGTTGCTATTACTTTTCGGTTGCACAATTTGTATAATTTGTTTGTTGTTGTTGTTGCTGTTTTATTGCTGTTTCATTTACTATTCACTAAGCAAAAATTATGAGTTTAAGGTTTTTCTTTTTCTTTATATATAATAGATATAGGACACCCGTTATGTGGAGTTATCCTCGCTCATTTACTATGTTGAACTTTAATCCTACGATTTATTTTGTTTTGTTTAAATATATATATTTTTTGAATGCGTTTTGAAGTCTTTTTTATAACCTAGGGTTTTTATTTTTGCTTTGTGTTGGTTGGTTTTGTTATTTTTCACTTATTCCGTTGTTTTGTTTTGTTTTCTCGGTTCTCGCTTACTAGATTTAAGCTTATTTTAATAGTTTATATAATATAATATATAATATACTATAGTATATATGTATCGAAGTCCTTTAAGATATCACGAATTTGTTTCAATGTTTTTTATCTTTTCATTTGCATTTGCTCTTAAGTGTAAAGTTGTTGTTGTTGGTTTAAGATGTTTTCTGTTTTCAGCTTCTTCTTTCGCTCCTTCTTCGCTCCTTCTATTGTTTAAAATTACGGGGTTTGCCTTTCATTCCATTAGAGATTTTTTTGTGTTTTTTCTTTGCGTTTTTCTTTTTTGTTTATTTAAATTTATAAATTTACAGTAATTATCACAGAGTTGTTAAATCTTTCTTTGAATTTGTTTTGTTTTTCTTTTCTCCGTTTTACTTCCGTTTGTTGCAGTTGCTTTTGCTGTTTTAGACTTTTAACATTTCTCACTAGGTACACTTATAAAAAAAAACTGAATTGAAAACTAGTAAAAACAATGTTTTGTTGGAAAAATAAAAACTGTTTTTTGGCGCAAGGCCGCAGTTTTGAATTTGTTATGCGTTCTCTATGTATATTTTCTTAATCCGTTTAATTTTCTACTAATTTATTGGTTTTTATTTTGTTTAATTTATTGGCTAAGTTAATTTGCTGGTGTTGTTGTACGTCTGTGTAAAACGTGACTTAAAACTTATAGAATTCTTGTAGATTTTTGGTTTTAAATGTTTTCTTTATTGTTACCGTTATTTTTGTAGTATATATTTTTATTCACACTTTTTGCGGCACAATTGTTGCTTAATCGGTTTTAATCTGCTCTCCTTCTTTCTCTCACTTCCTTTTCGCCCAGCTGGGCTTTTCTCAGTTTTTATTTTGACTTAAATTCTAGCAGTGTTTTTTGTTTATTTAGTTAAATAATTTAGATTGATGTTGCGTTTTAAATTATATCGTTTTTAATATGTTTAAATTATTTGTTGTTGATTTACTCCCGGTTATTTTGTACTTTAAAACATTAATTCAGTTGTTTGTTGTTGGTTGGTTGTTTGTTTGTTGTTGCTGCTGCTTTTGTAGCTCTGTTGCTGTTGTTGTCTTAATTTAAATTAATTAGCAAATTGAATTCACTTTGACTTAACAACAAAAAATTCGTAATTAAATTAAAGCTTTTCAGGAAAAATAATGAGGAATTTTGGGATTGATTTAGCGTTTTTTAAAGTGTATTTTTTCGGTTTTGTTTTTTATTCGAGAGTTCGAACGCCGCAGCGCCGTTGCCTTTACTTTCCCGTTAGTTTCGTTTCCCGTTGCTTTTTGTTTTCAGTGCTTTTGCCGTTTTCTTATTGAACTCCGCTTTACTTGCTCCTCCGTAGTTTGCCTTTTATTTTTTGCTTTTCTTTTATTTATTTATTTGTTGGTGCTTTTGAGTATTGACGAGTTAATTTCACAGCGTTTCAATTTGTTTGGTTTGTTGTTGTTGTTGGTTTTGTTGTTGTTTTATTTGAAAGTCTTCGTTTCAAGCTTGGCTTGTTTTTTTTTGTTGTTTGTTTTTTTATTTGCGCAGTCGCTTTATCTCCCTCTCTCTGTCTGTCTCGCTCACACCCACGGGCGGCGTAAAAATTCTCGTTTTTCCGTTTTGTGTGTGATTTTTCTTTGCAAAGCAAACGAAACAAAAACAAAGAGTCCAAAAAACTTAAAAAGTTTTCGCTTTGAATTTTCCTTTTGAGCTATGTTGTTGTTGGTTTTTTCATGTATTTTTTCTGTAACTTTCAATTATTTGCGTTTTATATTTTGTATGTATTATTTTTTGATTCGTTTTCGATGGTTTTTTATATTTCTATCATATTTTTTGTTGTTGTATTTTTATATTATTATTATTTTTATTCAGATTATGATGAAAGTGATGTCAAAACGGAGTTTTAGTTACAAAAGCTGTGGGGTGAAAAAAGAGAAAGGTGGAAACGATTAGGATAATCATTTTTTTTTTTTTTTTATTAATTTGTTCGGTTTTTTGGCTAGTGAAATCTACACCGAAAGTCTTGCTGCAGTTTTATCGATTTTTCAGGGTTGCAAACGGAGAGTTTTTGCCTGCCGGAAAAAATTGCACACACACAGGCCCAACCTACTACGCACACACACATGCACGCTCATACACACGCACACGCAATTGCAATTGTAAACTATTTTTACACATTATTGTTGTGGTTTTTTGCGTAAAATTAGCAGGCGAGCCGACTGTACGCACACATGCAAAGGCACCGCAGTGCCAAGTTGGTAGAGAAAAAGATTTTTCTTCCTCAACTTTTTTTTCGGGCTGCAAATTTTGGTACCCTCAAACGCACACACACACACACAGGCGCACAAAAACTGGCAGGCCAGCGAGAAAAACGTTATTTGGCCGCATAAAACCTTGTTTCCCTGGCACTTTTCATGTTTATCCATCACAGCTTGGTTCAAGGAACATTTTCTGCCAATTTTCGTTGCGAATTTGAGTTAAATAATAGTCCTATTCGAAGCGAAAAGAATTTTCTGGACCAGCACACGTACCACACGACAGCACAACAACTGCTAGCGGACGCCATATTTGCCGGACCCCGACGAGCGTTGCCACCTTTCGGCAATCGGTAGGTACAGCAGCGCTGAAATATTTTTGACTTTGATTTGTAACTTTTGAACTCATTTCGGATTCCAGGAGATTTCGCCGAACTATAATGTTTCTAAAGGACAAGCGCCCCCAAACTGGAATTGGCAGAGTACAGGCTGATCATACCGATCATCTGCGTCGGAAGTGTGGCGCAGCCGGCCTGCGACCTGTTGATTGCGTCCAAGGAGCTCTGATCCCGGTCTACGGAGTTGGCAACCAGGAGGTGATCGAGTGGAAGGAGCACAGGGGCGAGGTCATCTATGGCGGCGGCGGCAATGCATCCACAGATGCTTTCCTGTTCGTCCGGGAGCTGAACGAACTCTGCAAGGATTTCCTTCAGCTGCGCAATGGCGGCGATGGGAGTTTTAAGCCCACGGTGCCCAAGACCTGGAACTTACTCCTCGGAAACGATGTAACGAAACGGTTTGAACGTCTATGTATATTTGCCGGTGGTTTCAAATAATTGTTAATCTTTTGGTGTAGAATAAAAGGGATTGCTGGCCCTGAGCTCCCGGAAAAACTCGCTGCCATGCTCCTGGTGGTCCAAGCACACATGCTCCCAACTAGTCACCTAGAGTGGGCTCATCCGATACGTAGATGGCAAACTATGACTGGAACGGACGCATCTCCAGGAACTGCTCCCATTTGCCATGCGGCTCGGCCAGCCGGTCTGCCTGGGACTCGCGCTCTGGGGGCTTGCGCATCTTGTCCAGCTTCTCCTGCTGCTGTTGGGTCGCGGAGTCCATCTAGTCCAGTGCCGAAGTCAAGGAATCTTCGGCGAAGGCCTGCTAAGTGGCAGCCGTCTTCTTCTTGGGATCCTTGCGCAGATTTGTCAGCACTTTGCGGAAGCGCAGGTCCGGTTCCTTGGAGTCGCTCCAGCCCACGCGGCACTCGTAGGATCCATTGTCGATTACCACCAATCTCAGTAGATTTATTTTATTTTTTCATCCAGCACCCAGTTTTGCCTTCCCACCGATTCGTAAACAAAGCAAAAGAAAGGTTCTGTTTCAATAATTAACAGCTGTACTAACTATCGATAAATATCGGCGGAAGTGGGTACGAATCACCCTGTGGGCCTGGTTTGTTCGAGTTTTTGGCGCCAAATGGAACGAATGCAATTTAATTTGATTTTTAAGGATCTTATTTTCCACTTTATTAAGTTTGATATTTTGAGAAAATTTATTGAAAGAAATTTTGTAATATTTCATTAAAGTTTTATTTTAAATTCATTGAGAGAAACTCTCCGCTGAAAGCTTGTAAAAATGTTCGTATTGGGTATTTAGTATTTATTATCAATAAATTTAAATTTCCAATAAGTGATAAGAAAGTCGGGCATACGTATCACAAAGTACATGGTCCAGAATTAAGACAAAATATCCATAAAAAACACAGTCAAAATTTAGCTTTTAGGTTTTAAACGATCTTTTATTTACGGCTTCCTAAGCAGCTAGGTGCCTAATTATCATTTACTTAAATTCTGTATGATGTTATAATGGGTTCCTCTATGCTGGTAATTTTTTGAACCTTGATACATTTTTCATAGATTTTAAGTTTACAAAATCTAGTTAATCGGTTACGGTGCCCTTTTATACATTCGACAGTGCAAAATGTTATAAACATGAATAGGTTATCAAAACGCCCTTGGTAAATATGTCTGTGGGCTAACTTTAGTCAAAAAGATTTAATATCTTGCTTCGGTTAATGCATAAATGTCTTATCAAGCACCTTGATTTGGTCACACAATAAATTGCATCTGGTTTGGGTAAAATTGGGTAAATTAATAGCCTGCATGCAGTACTATACACATTTGGAAAGGGTCTAAAGTTTGGTCTCTGTGTATGTACTGAGTTTAGATATTTTTTGTGAGAATATTTTGTATTTGGTGCAGTTTAAAGATAATATGTTTGATTTTATGTATGTACAGTGCAATTTTAAGTTTTAAAACCGTTTAAATTGGGACATAATATTGATAAAAGAAAGAATGAATTGTTTGGTTAATAATTAAAATATTTTGCAGTATTAAAAACGTTATCAAATTGACTCTTAATCGCAGTTTAATTCATCAGATAACTCCATTAATCATAATACACTTTTTATGGCTTTAAAAGTGGAAATAAAACAAAAATTCACCTGATGACGAATTGCAAATACATTTTAATCTTACTGGCAAAATCAAGATATTTGAACATAACACGGTCATGAATAACAATACAGAAGTCAAGAATTCCTGGCAGTTTGCCCACTCATGTGTAATACAAACTTGACAATTGCGGACACGGGTAATTTACAAATGTTAAGTACAACAAGCAAAACTGAAACCGAAACCTAAATGTAAATGCTCAATGAGTTTCACATACACAATTGATTGCTATGTAGGTAATAACTAACGTTACATGTTATTCTTAACTTAAGAACTATGTAAATATCTGCAATTAACTAAGAAAACAAGTTGCGGCAAGGCGAGAACAAGGGTTCCAGTTTAGGGCTTGCTATCAAAGCCAGCGAAATCCGATGCCTCCGACTCGTCCTCATCCCTTTCCACGCCGATGCAGTGGATCCCGGTGCGCAGCATGGGCGTTCCCTTGCCCTTTCCCAAAACCCGGGCGGCGATCACCAGTTGCAGAAGCTCCTTGTCATTCGACGAGCTGACGATGTGAAGAACCTCGCGCAGCAGCTTCTCCTTGTAGGCGAAGAACTCGATTTTCATCTCGAAAAAGTCGTGCTCGTCATGCTTGGTGCCCGCGAACTCCGTGATCCTGCAGTGCAGACTCGGTGTGGCACTGACCACTGGCTCAAACTTGCTGCCCAGCGTCCCCGCGTCGCCAAAAAGCGACGTTGGCACTTTCAAGTCGATCAGGTAGCGATGGTTGATCTGTAGAAAGCCCAGGCTAACAACAATCGTGTCGCCCGACCTTTGATATGTGACACAACTGTCCGACTCGAAGGCATCCTTCACCGTGTTCGTGTCAAAGTGCACATGGTGGTCTACAAAGGAAGAGGATATGTGTGAGATTTTCGGAAATTCAAGAGGTATCTTAGTATTAAATATTTAATTTATAAATAATGATACTTAAAATATGGATTTATATTTAAGGCAGGTTCTGATATAAAACCGGAAAAATGTAGGTTTAGTTGTCAAGAATAATTACAAATGAAATGTATGCAATCACCTGTTCTGTAATCTTATTTTTCGGTCTTTATTTTTATTTGATTTTATTATTAATATTTAAATAAATTAAGTAAATATTACAATTTTTTATTTGATATTATTATTAACAGTTAAATAATTTAAGTAAATATTAACATTTTTAGAACCTATCTATAAACCTGACCTTCAGCGAGATAAACAAACAGACAAACAGAAGTCTCGGCCCCGCCTAGGGTAAATTTTCCCCAGCGGCATTTGCAGCGGAAATTGCGTGTAAGCGTGTAATTAAACGCCCCTCCCGCTGCTTCCCTGTTCTTACACAAGAAACAATTTGTTTGACTAGATATTATTGGTGGAAGATTTCCTATTAAATTAAATTGATTATTTCATCGCCTATTGAATAATAATTATTTCTAATATTTTCTTCATGTATCAATTTTTATAAAATTTTTATATTAATTAGGACATAGTTTAGAGTATTTATAGAAATTCTATATGGTAAAAAAAAGTTTCTTTGTGTAAGAAACGACAAATGAATGGGGAATTGGGGAACTGGACAGTCCTAGGGCTTAAATCACATTAAAATTGGGTCAATTGGGACCAACTGCACTGGCTGTTGTTTTGATATTTGAAGAGTCAAATTTCGCACAATTCTCGCACTTCGAAATTGAATTTATAAATAAAAACCTTTCGTCGTCTTCTAATTGCTGCCAACACATGCCAATTGTGCGGTAACAATGATGAATGAGCAAAGCACATCGAAGAAAATTTGGAAGAAAAATAACTTAACTTAACTTAATAAAAGCTTAAAAAAATATTTAACTTTAAAATAAGTATTCTATTTTATTTATACAATTTACCCCTTAATATTTGATTACCTAATATATACATGACAACTAAAACACTGCCTAACTGACACCTCTGCCTTGCATCAGATGACCGTCTATAAATAAGAATCATTGTTAATTTTTTATAAAAAAACACAATTGAAATTGGCGCTTAAAACGTAGCAATGCGAAGCGTGCTAATCATTGAAAAAAGGCAAAATATAATCAAAAATAGATAGTTTTTATCAGACCGCTTGTTTTGCCTTGCAATTAACAAATCGCTGACAAATGTTTCTGCAGCTATAACAATTTGACAGCCAAAAGAGCCTTTAATCAGGCTTCTAATCACAACCGAGCAATGCCCTGAGATATCTAAAAAGTCGCCTAGTTAATCATAGGCGATTGCCTCAGATATTGTTCGCCATATTTCATGGCCCCGAAAAAGTCGAGTCTCCGCTAAAAATAGAACCCTTGACTAGTTGGTCATGGCACTGGCATCGGCAATTGTGGCAAAAGTTTGTTCTTTTCGGCAAAAGCATTTCCACATGAATGTGGAAATAGAGACAGTGCGTTTCGAAAACTTAAAATATGTGTGATTTACAGATTGGAAAAGTTGTTAATAAGAGATTAGCCTTATAAATTTAATCTTTAGTTTTTGAAAAATGTTTAAGCAAGAGTTTGTTTAAATGCCCCTTTTTAAGTTACAGAATTTAATGATTCTATTTTTTAATGAGCACTTTCTTTTGCAGTTTGTTTTTGAAACGTATTGTATCTTTTATTTTCCGTTTTCAAATAGATATTTTGTTCTGTTCTGGTGTCGCAAGCAATGGAATGTCTGCGCAAACGGTTGATATTTTATTTTCCTTTTTTTCTTAACCATTCCCCGGTATTCTGTTGTTTATTTTGGCGATCCGCCCGCTCAGCAGAACGTAATAATTCAATTCTGCACTTTAATGTGCAGGAAATGTGGACATGATTTTTATTTGTAATTTATTTCATTTTTTGTAAACTCAGACGAATGTGAATTAAAGCAATTTTCCGGTCGTTCCTTTGCCATTTCCCAGTATGTAAGCAATTTATCGTAATCCAGCTTAATCTGCTTACGGCCGATTCAACAATGGAGGCGACTTTCGTCTACAATGCCAATTCATCCGCTGTGCCAAGTGTCGCGGGAGAAAAGTCGATTGTTCTTTTTATAAATTTCATTTAGAGTCATGCGCCACACTCAAAAATCTAGGGTAAAGCAGTCTCACGTGCCCCCCAATCACCATTGATTAACCATTAATGGAAATTTACACTCAACTCGGCGCAACTGTTATTGCTAGAAATTCAAATTTCAGTAGACAATTTTTGGGATTTCATCGCTGCCATCGCCGCAATAGCTTCCAATTTTGTATTCAGATAAATTATCTGATGCATATCTGACAGATTGTCTACCAATTGAATTCTCGTTGGCTTTCTCTATGTTTTTCAATTGGTTCGTTTACTCAAATATATTCTAATTTAATGTCTGGGAATGGATGCTAGACAATCCATGAAGCTCTTCATGCGATGAACTAATCATGATCGGGGTATATCTATTCTTTAAAGAGATTCGATCTTAGAGCTTTGGATATTTTTGTCAAAATATCTTTCAAATTCCAATTATTTTAAAATAAGGTGTTCTTAATTAATATTATTCTGTCTAGCTAGCCCAATTTGTCAAGTGCCAACTGGCCTTTGTCCAGTTTTCCTCCCCCACATTCTGAATTATATAATTCTTACCCATCAGATTTTATGGTTTTTTTGTTGGGTGGTACTTGTGGGTCTGCCCCATAACTAATGCAGGTGCCTTCCTATTTCCCTGTGGGGGATGCCATAAAAAGACAACCGTACGTGCAAAATCGAATGTAGAAAATGCAAAACAAAAACAAAATGCAAACATGCATAACAATATTGTAAATTGTGTTTCTCAGATTCTCAAATCAAAACAATTGAAAAGGTGCCCGTGTCCCAACGAGACAAATATCAATCACGAACACCTCATTGGCGGTGGGCGATGGATTTGGGTGGAGAAAGGGGGTGGGGGTGGTGTCAGAAGTGCCCCCAAGTGGTGCTCCCTCATGCAACAAAAACAACGAGGCCAAACAACGTGCCCGTTGGTTTCCCCGACTTTAAAAATAGACCAACTGATGAGGATTGCACAATTGCATATCACTTTATAGAAAACAATAAGCAACAAAAAAATGACTACAACAATGGAAACCTCTGCTGGCGGTCAGGTTATATGCAATTTAATTAGCCCACCGGTAGGGGATCGTTGTCATCGTTTTAATGGCCTTTGTTGTTGCCTTTGGGCTTGGGTTCTGGGGTGCTGAAACTATAATCTCCGGACGGGCGCTAAATGAATTTACAATTAGCATTGCTCATGAAACGCTCGGCAAATATTATCAAGCGCTAACTCACGACAATTTGCATGGTTTGGCGATAAAGTGTAGGGGAAGGAATTTTTTTAAATACTCTAGAAGCGACCACGTTTAGGTAGAAACAAACGATTTAAATATATAATGGATATTTTTTAAATTTATCACGTAAGATTGTTTTGTTTTGTTTTCTATACTAATAAATCATTTAAATGCTAATAAAAACATTTAATAAATAGTAGAAATTTAATTTATAATTTAGACTTTAACTGACTCATACAAAATTATTCACCATAATAGATCGAATATAACCGCCACTTGAAAGTGCCCCCAAAAAAGCCAGATAAACCCTAATTGATAAACCCTAATTGATAAAAAATGAAAATTATTTTCGTTTTCCATGTGTTTATGGCACACAATTCATTAAGTTCTGTCAGGAGATCATAAATTAAAATTAATCTACGACAATTTAAGAACGCTTGAACAGGCTCAGCTGCCACTGATAAAATTCTGGTCGAGCGCCGTTTGGAAAGATAAGAGAACCCATTTAAGTCACGCGAATTGCGGCAAAACCCTAAAGCGGGAAATTGAAAACCATCGATTCCGTCGACAAATGTCAAATGATTTCTGCAAGGGCGGCAAAGTGGGTGGTAGGTGGGGAAAATTGGCTTAGCTTTGGCCATGAACAAATATTATTTTTAATATTGCGGCAGAAAACCAGGAAGAGGTCAGGGAACAACAATAAGTGGCGAAAGAGAGAGGGGGTAAAAGCGAATGTGTGAAGTGGACAGGAAGGAAATGGCAAAACACTCGTGCCTATATACACAAAAACAAATTCTTAGTACCATTTATTGAAAAAATATAATTATTTAAGGACGTAAATTTGCACGAAAAAATTATTAAGATCTGGCAGTGGTTAAGAAATTATTCACGTTGAAAGAGTCTTTTAAATAGCTAAGATGAAAGATTAACTTAAAAATTTTCCAGTAAATAAAAAATTGGTAATTTTAAGTACGTTAACATCAAGTTAAAAAAAAAACAATTTTTTCGAGATCACATTTTTTATATCCATTCTAATTCATCACTTAATTTTCACAACCACTTTCCTCAGTGTAGACCGAAATGCAGCTGTCCTGAGTCCCAGAAAAGGTCAACAGGAAACGATTTTTCTTGAGTTTGCCTGACTTGCCTAAATTTAGCGTACTTCTCTTTTCTTATAATTAAGCGGAATTATTCGCCAAAATCCACGCAATTACCCCTGCTACCCCCTTTAATTTTATTAGCCAAGAAAACCCCAAACCGCCGGTCGCCTAATGATATTTTAACGCACTTGAGGAGTTTCTGTACAAATATTAGAGCGCCACTTAAAGGCTATGCAAATGGGTTGAGCAAACACCGGGAAAGAACGAATTTTTACCTTGATGCTCCACATTTTCGGTGGCGGCTTCGTCGCACATTTTAGGATCCAAAAATGAGCAGCTTCTGATGAACTTATTTGTTGGTGGGAGGTTAAGTGCCAGCGATTTATAGTTTTTCCCGAATTTAAAGGAACCAGACAGACGCTTCTCTCAAGTTTTAAATTATCGTTAGCAGCGAAATGATCAAAATCCGTTTCCAATCCAACAGCGTCCAATAACAAAATAAACATGGTAGAGGTGGGGGAACATCGGTTAGGGATGTGAAAAATATATCAAATATCAACATACCGATATTTTTTGAATAAAAATAAATTTTTTATCACCAGGTAAAAAACTCACCATTTGTCGGGGATCCTTTCTTTATTATCGCACCTCGAAATCTGCTCTGGCACAGTATTCTATTACAAATTATTCAGTCCACGGCATTTTTTAACTGAATTTTTAAAATATTTTTAAGGCTACCATCCCTTGAATTGAACTAGTTCCACCGTTCGACGGTGGATGGTGGGAGGCGAAACCGACGTAGCCTCCCTGGGTGGCTCATTTGAATCTGATGAATAATGGTATGAATAATGATGAATAATGATATATATGGTGTAATAATGGTTAGATTATAACTACTGTTCGCTGTCCCGCTTGATTAGCAATTAATTAATAAAAAAAATGAAAATGATGAGATGATAAGTATGTTAAATGATCTGGGATCTAGAATTTCTAAGTAATCAGGTATCATGTTGTTCTGCTGAACGCGCCCAATATTAAAAATACCTTTTTAAAAACCGATAACACTGTAAAACACTGCTTGTAAAAATCGAAAAAAGTGAAAATCGGCTCCGATAACAAATGGTTTTTGTCTTTGCTGTTTTGGATTCCTCGACTGCAAGCGTTGCCACTCTGCCCACCTTCAAAAGCTGATTGCTATGCAACAACTGCTGGCTTTTTTAGCCCCTAACCAGCGCCAGCGTTGCCAGACCCCGCAAAGTATATATTTTTACAAAATGGTGGCTTCTTCGCGGAGAAATTCGTAGTGGCGATTATTAACAAAAAGCACGCATTTTGGCCAGCCAATTATAGCAAATTGTTGGCGAAAACACTCGCAACGACGCTGGCTGCGGTGTTTCGCTGGAAAACTCGCGGAAAAGCAACCAAAAAGCGCGCACGAACCCAGTGAAAATAACTGAAAGCGAAGGCAGGCAATAAAAAAACGCAAGCAAGCAACCAAAGTGCGTGCCTGTGTGTGTGTTTGTGTCTGTGTGTGCTGCTCTCTGTCTGTGCCTCTGTGTGAGTGTGTCTCTCTGTTAGTGTGTGTGTGTGCGCAAAGTGTATGCAAAAAAAGGAAGAAGAAAAACGGAGAAGAGCATTAAAAAAAAACAGCGTACGACGAGTTTCACGCGCCCAACAACAATAACACCAAAAGCAGCAGCAACAAAAACAACAGCACTTGGCAGCGGCAGCAATAAAAACAACAAACAGCAGCAGTTAAAAACGTAAGGAAAATCTACAACAAGTGTGCGAAAATTAATTATTACTAAGTGTGTCACTAATTTAATTTGAAATCGCAGTTGCGCAGCGTGCAAATCATTTAAATTTATGCGACGTCTAACGGCTATGAAAAAAAAAAACTGAAGAAACGGAGAAAAAAAACAGAAAAAACAGTGGCGTACCCCCTCTCCGATTTTTAAGGGGCTGCGGGCGAATCCAGTCTATTATGAACTTTTTGGGGTAGAACAATGCAAACACGAACGAAGGCTCAACAAATTTGCTGAAAAGGAATCGCAAGCGCAGCAGCGGCAGCAACAACAAGGCGAAATCCAAGCGTCAGCAGTAAAGGCAACAACTAAAATAAAACAACAAAAACAAGGCCAGCAACCCACCACCGTTGTTTGCCCCTTTGTTGTTGTTGTTTTTGTTGTTATCGTCGGCGTCACCACCGACGCGACGCTCTTGCGGCCAGCGCACCCACCACCCCCAAGGATGCTCCTGCTATTGACCCCCCTCCGAATCCTCATCCTCCTCCTTCGACGCCCCTGTTCCCGTGACCGCTCCTGCTGCTTGTGCTTCTTCTTATTCAACTGCTGCTGCTGACGTTGTCGGAAAATGTGTCTTGTTGCCTTTTGTCGGCTGATCCATAAGCTGAAATTCTTACTATTTATGTTACATGACTGTTCAGGATATCCCCTGAGTTTAAATATTCACAATCCATAAAAGTTTCATATTATATAGTCAAACTTTCGTAACCCTGACTGTCTAGAAGTTTAAAGACTACTGTTTTTATTGGCAATAGGTTGTAAAAAAAATATATTCTATGTATCTAACTTAATTTACAAGATATATTTATAAATTCTGATTTTTATATTTCTAATTTTATTTGTTTGAAAACAAAATAATTCTCAGATCCAAAAAAGGATATAATTTTTTTTTAAACCTAGTTTAAATTACACATAACCAACGTATAAGCGTAAGTTCTATAACCCCATTTCTGACCGCTTTTCACAGAAAGCATGCTACTGTTGCATTGTTTTTCTGTGGGGATTTCTACCGCCCCCACTTGCTCAATTCTTTAGTTAGGTTCTTTTATTTTCCTTTCTCTGCTTAATCATCTCCGTCGCCTCGACTCTCACCTACGTCATCTCTTCGCCTTCCAGCTGTGTTTGTGCAAATTAACCAAAATATACATTTCCGGCTACTCGCTGCCCCCTCGCTGAGCAACAACAAGAACAACAACTGGAACAACGATATCAAGAACAACAGGAGCAGAGCAACAACAACAACCAAGACCGCCCATCCCCTTGCACACCATCATCATCATCATCGTCAACTGGAGTCTGGAATCTGGAGACGGAGGCCAGGGACCGGAGTTACTTTGCCGCCTGCTGCTGGAGAGTGGAGCTTCTTCGGGAGTAACGCCTCGACGATACACAACCCCGACCCCGGATTCATGGTGAGCCAAGACATCTGCTCAACCGGGCACACATTTAATTATAATTATTTGTTTGCTTAATTCGATACTTCACGCTGGCCCCGTCTCATGTGTCACATCCCCTGTTGTTCCGTTCGTTCGGAAGGGTTCCTGGGCTAATGGAGGAAACTATTTTTCAATGGGATCCCAAATTTAAGTAGACTTCTGGGGGCGTGTGCCATAATCCGTTGCTATTGTTGGCCATATTCGGATTTCTGCTGTTCATTTTTGGTCTGGTATTTAGGGGAAATACGATTAGTTCCCAGATAAGGTTTATACCATACCCCACTAAACCAGATCTTTATCGCTGCTATTGTAGACGGCTAATGAGTTGCCTTGTAGGGCAATTATAATACTCTTGTTTCGGGCAGAATAATATTGAACGGGGTGAATCAGATGAGAAATTGTACAGGCTTGATGGCGTGGGCTTGTAAAAACAAGTGTTTTCCATAATTTTCCACTTGTTAATAGGTACAGGAATTTGCAAAACTGCTTCAAATCTCTAATTGTTGTTACACAACTTTTTTTAATAGTTCAGCTGCTATAAATCAGAGCAATTAAAAGAAAATTGATTAAAAAAATATGTTTAAAATTTTTTATTTTTTTATATTATTCTATTTATTGGTTTATTGTTTTACAGCCTCTTATAGCAGCTTAACCCAAATCTAGTTAAATAGGTTGGCTTGATATTGTACTCAAAGTTACCAGTAGGCCACTTGCTATTCAAATATTATTGTGCAGGTTTAAGTTCGAGCTAATGAGGGATTACCAGTCATATGATACCCGCATTTACTCATTGTGTGCCGTGGATTTACGGATCACGTTATCTCTTCTAATGAAGTGGCTCTTTACCTTTAACCTGCTTTTCGGCAGGTGAAATCCCAGTGAGCTGGTTCTTGGAAAATGGAGATTGATTTCGAGGAAATACCCAGACAATTTGCACCGCTGTCGATGCTTATCTCATTTCCACATTTTCATTTGCTTAGCCCACCCGCTTATCTCCACCGCCCAAACCACGAAGAAGGCGGTGGCGGCGGCGGCGACGAGGCCATCTGATTAGAGACGCATTAAAAGGCTGGAGTGTTTAATTAATAAATAACGTGCTAATAATGCATTTAATAAAAAAGCGAGACGAACGACGCGAACGGAAACTTCAGGCGCGCAAATAACACGAATATTTCAGAAATACAAATACCAAAAAAAGAAACATAAAATGCTGTTGAGAAATGGATGAGTTCCCTTGCGGTTTTCCTGCTCTTCTGGTTTGGTTTGGTTCGGTTTTATATTTTGTGTTGAGCTTTTTTTTCTGCTGTGTTACACAGTTGATGGCTGCCTTTGATGTTGGGGTTTTGTGCGCGCTTTCATATTTTATTATTAGTCATTTGGCTTATTTATAAGGTGCCGTTAAAGTTTAACTTTTATTAATCTGTTTTGTTGCGCTTTTAATTTATAAGTGCTGCTTATCTGATTGAAAAGTCCGTCCGTCCATCCGCGCACACTTGACTCGAGTGTGTCGATTTATTGATGTCGATTAGAAGTAAACGGAAGGTTTCCCCTGTTCAACTTTCCAGAGTTCTCCCCCATTTGGCTTTGCTATCCATTACATAAGCGAATTAATTAGCATTGCTGACTGGGCAGCCAAGCGGCTTGATCTAAGCTATCCCCTCGACTAAGCTGCCTCAGAGTGTTGGAAAAACCTTCGCCCTAGAGGTGTGTACGTGAGATTAACTCGTGTGGTGGTAATTGGTAAATGAAAGTGTAAACAGAAGAACATTTGTTTACTTTATGCCTCTGTCTGACACACGCAGAAAAATAATAATCAATTATAATAGATTTATTATCGTTCCCATTTAAAAATAAGCACGCATAGTTGACATAATTGAGTTGAGTATTGTTTTCACGCGCATCCGGCATGAAGGACCAATTTGAATATCCACTTAGACAAAGTATAAGGTTCTTGTCTTAAATTTTAAGTTTAAATGCAATTTGCTTATAGACAAAACTAAAATACAAACTTTAGCTAATATACGCAACCATAAAAACTACAAAAAATATTATTAAAATTTTTCTTTTGAATGGTACACCTAATATCTCCTCACGATGCCATCGTTAGTCGAGCAGTGGCAGTGCTAAATCAAATCCAGTTACTGTTTCTGTTACGTGTTAACTCCATTTAGCGATAAGATAATTAGCACACACAAAGTGCTTATTAAAATATACAATGCCGAGCGATTTATGTATGGGTTTGTTGCTGTATGTCAGAGTATTATTATTATTTATACTTTATTTATAATGCGAGCGAGAAAATATGAATAATTAAGCTCGTGTTAATCAGTGTAAAATCAATGAACAGGCCAAAATGGGTGAGAATATAATGCAAAAGCGTGTTAAATGGGCCCATAAATCTTTGGCGTTGTGTGTAATTCTATTAGCCGAGCGAAATAATGTGGGGTAAGTGTTGGAGGCACATGCAAAGAGCTCATTTACAAACATACAGCCACTCGTGCAATGGCAAACAAACAAATAACGACAGTTCCATAAACACTAGAAAAAAAGGGACAGCGACGAGGAATAAAAAGGCAAAAAGGAAAAAGGGCCATCCCAGACACAGGCGCCCCGCACATCCTGCTCATCCTTCTCTGCCGCCTCCAGACAAGACACATCCCGACATAAGTAACACGAAACAATTTCCAAATGAAGCGCGGATAAGCCGCAAAATCCTTAAAATACTCGATAAAATTACATAAAACTAATCGCACAAGCACACGCACACACACCAAGCCGCAGACTACAGAATTGGCTGGATACTTGGGGCGGAAAAAAGGGGGTTGGAGGATGAGGCAGAGGCGGAGGCGGAGGACGGCGTGCAAAATGATGAAGGTATCTACACCGACAATCTGTTTAACAACTTCATGAGCAAATCCAACAAATCGTATGAAACGAAGCCGACAGCAGGCCAACAGACACGAGCGGACGTCGTTCTACGATTCGGATTCGGATTCGTTTTCGGATTCAGATTCGGTTTCGGATGCAGACGACCCCAGTTCGGATCGGTTCAGTTCGCATCGGATCGGGCCAATGAATTTGCACCTGGGGTGGACCTTGTGTTCAGGATTTATGGGAAATAAAAAGCGTTAAGAACTTGCAGTTTAACTTTGTTCTGCTATGTTAAAAAAAAAATTTTTGTTTTACCAATTTAAAAAAATATTAAATGGTTATAAAAAACGTTGACAAGATTTATTTTTGTATGTGAAATTAATATTTTTTAGTTTTGTAAATTTTTAATTGAATATCTAAATGAAAAAATTGTATACTTGGTGATAGATTGGCTCTGATAGAAGGTCCACCCTAGAGGAGGCGAGTGCAGGGGCAGCGTTGTGGGTCGTTTATTTGGCTTTTGGAGCGTTGACTCGTCGTCGTCGGCTGTGCGATGATGATGACGACGACGTCGGAGACGAGGCTGCTTGAATAGATGCTCAATCGTTTGGGTTGAATGAAGAAAAGCATGTGGAGTGGCGAGTGGAATGGAGTGAAGTGCCCTGAAGTCCGTGTCCATGTCCGCATCCGTGTGTGTGGCAGAGATTGGAGCATGAATAGGAATGCCATGGAGGCAACGAGGAGGAGAAGGAGGAGGGGCAGAAGTAGCACCAGCGTGAGTGCCACTGCGGTGGCATAATGTTCTTGTTGATGTTGAGTAATGGGCATAACAACTGTAAGCTGCTGCCTTGCCTGTCCAGACAAAAACGAACCTGGAACCAGAAACAAACTCTCGTAGCGCAGAGAGTCGAAAAATGTCCAACAGAAGCAAACAATTCCATTACCCGGGCGAAGAAAAGAGAAATTTGTTTTATGGGTTTTTGGTTAAACGCTTTGCCCCTCTCCCAGCCAACAGCCTTTGTTTGTTTCTTTCTGACTTCTGCAACGTCTGTTTTGACTTGTTGTGAAAATTTGGCTTTCACAACACGAATACGGACGGCTACACTCATATATACACACACAAGTTGTCTCTGCAAAGTGTCTACGAACATTTAATGGGATTTCCGTACTTGACACGAACCCTTCAAATGGACAGATGCCCAGGCACACACCGTTATTCACTCAAATGGGCTCTATATAGTAGGTATATACCCCCTGTACCTAATCCCCTCATGGTCAAAATGCCTATGACGAACTCAATTGGCCATGCTGCATGGTTAAATTTGTGTGTACCGGCTCGTCTTGGTAATTAAATGGACTCCTCTCAAACGCCTTAATAGAGAGGCTTTTGTTATGCCCTCGGGAATGCGGCGGAGATGGGTAATTTAAGTTGGGTTATTTAGGTGAGGTTTTTAGGGGCTTTCAAACGGTTAAATTAGGGGAATTTCTCAAGCGAGCTCAGGAATTTACAGAAATTAATGTAGATGGGAAAAGGAATTCAGATGAATGCCTATGAATTCTATTGTTTATAGCATAAACAAAATGAAAGCACATCTAAGAAGTTGTGGACAGCTAATTTATTGATCAATATATTGGCTGGAAATACATAAATAGTCGAATGTATTATGCAACTGGAAATTCATATTTATAAAGCAAACTGAAATGTATAAAGTATTATATAACGAAATTCTTGAGTGCACTTGAGTGTGTTAATTTAAAGGTCTAAGCTGAATGAATCATTGAATACGCAAATGGTCTATAAATAAAATAAACAAAATAGCCCATATACAGAATACAGGAATACAACTGGGATCAAAGGTTCGGTTGAGTGGTTCAATTGAAAGTTCCGGTCGATTGGACAAGTTCAGAGCGATTGAACCCCACTCGAGTTGTGGCGAGTCAATTGAAAAGTGAAGGATTCCACGTTTTCCACCCTTTCGAGGGATGGATAGATTGACGGAAAACGGGGAACGGAGTGGTCGCTCAATCACAGCCGGGGGTCTAATTCATTTACAGCCATATCACTTAAACTTGGCCATCGCGAGGACCGGGGAACTAACCTAATAATCTCTCACTGAGAGCCCCGTGCAGATAAGGATAAAGTCTCCGGTTTTATGGCCACCCTTAATGTACAGTTGCGGCGTTGATGGCATAAGGGGTTTTTTCAGCTGTCTGTGTGTCTGTCTGACGCTCTTATTAACGCCATCGTAGTAGTAGTTGTTGCTGTAGCTTGATGCCTATTTGTCAGTCAATTAGTCAGCTTATTGGCAAGCGATGATTACAAAGAGAAAAACAAGCTAAAAGCTAAAGCTAAGCGGGAGAGCCAAACAGCCGACAAGCCAGCCGACGACAGTCGACAGCTTTTCCATTTCAAAATTATACTCGGCGAGGCTAAAAGAGTGAGTGAGAGCGAAACAGAGAGCTAAAGAGAGAGAGAGAGAGAGACAGACCTCGTCGGATTTTCCCCACTTTTCCTGCACCACCCCCCTTTCCCCCTTGGGGAGCCACTCGCGTCCGTTTAGCCGCGTGCGTACACACAATTTTCCGCTACTCATGCTACAAATTGTTTATTGAATTTCCTCTTGCTGCCGCCGTTGTCGATGTTGTTGGTTGTTACACAGAGAAAAAAACAAAGATAACCTCTATTACTTAGACACCTGATATAATCCTCATTTAAATTAGTAAGACCAATGAAAAAAAAATTTTTTTATCTAATCATTTTATATTTTTTAATAAATTCAATTTTTAAAGATTCATTTTATACAAATTTTTGAAATATTAAAATATTAAATAGTTGCAAATGATTTGATTTTAGAAAATTCCAATAAATCATTTTTTTTCGTGTATTTTGGCCGCCGTTGGCTTTCCAAGTTTTTATTTTCATTTACATTTCTCGCTTTGTTTTCGTTTATGTTTATGGGCTGTTTAGAAAACAATTTCCAGCCACAGATAGGGGGCGAGTCGAAGTTGTTAATCCAGTGTAACTTTATAATATGCGATGACATTAATTGAGCGAAGACGGACGCGCCAGTTGAGAATGACAGCATTATTGGCCTTAAATTTGCACGCAGGTCAGATGGGCAGGGGAAATCTGGGGGGCCTGGAAAGAGCCAAGCCAAAGAGCCAAGCTGGATCCCAATCCCCACCGACATGGCTGACTCACAGAGTGAGAGCCAAGTACTCGAGAACGTCACGTAGTCAATGTACAGACTCTACCCAACTCGTGCCGTCTCTCTCGCTTTCCGTATTCCTCTCTCTTTCTCCGGGTTGTGCCATAATTTGTGGTCTTTTACAGGGAAAAAGGGACCGTAGAGCAGGCGGGAAAGGCAGGAAAGGCAGGAAAAGCGGAAAAGCAGGAAAGCAGGGGAGTGCCAAACACACGGAGGGCACTTTTCGGTGGTGGCAAATGTGTTCGAGCCTTTCGTTTTGTCTTTTCAGATTTTATGGCTTTGTGCGTTTACAACGTCGCTTTTTGTAGTACATTTGTTTTATAACAGCCAGCGGAAAGCCGCCACAGAATAGAGCAAGAGCCCACAGGCGGCGGGAGGAACAGCTTAGCACATTGCCAGCAGTTATTACACAATTTTTCCCCAAGCGCCAGCCAACCAGCAGCCCACCAGGCAATGCACAGAGGAAAATGCAGTAATAAATCAGGGGTATAGAGGTATAACTTTTTGGGCAAAGATTAATTCGATTATTTTCCGGGGTGACTGAATTACAACCCTTGTTTTTCGGTTATTGCTTTATGGGTAGTTTATGAACATAATCGGGAAGCAAATTGAATGAAATAGGGAATACTTTGTATTAGTAGGGAAATTTTGTATTGGTTTTTAAATAAAATCAGTTGAGTTTAGAACTTTTAGGATGTGAATCCAGATATGTTATAGTTTCATCACGATTTTCTTTCTGTGCAGCAGCCCGGGGGCAACAGCAGCTATCCACCGACAATGCTCGGCATGTGGGGATCGGGATTCAGTCGGTCGCGTGCCCTGCGCCCTGGTGGCCACCGCCACCTTGTGTGTGTTTATATGAAATTTTTCCACTCACGACTCCCCCATAAAAAAGTTTGCTGCCAGTTAAACCAACCAGCCAAGCAGTCAAAACCCAACCAGGCCAACAGGGCCAGGCCAAAGCCAAAGCCAAAGCAAGTAACCTGGTCTGGTGTGGTGTGGTTTCGGATGGAGTGGTGTGGTATTGTATGGGGTATGGTATGGTATGGTGTTGCTGCTGATGTCGTTGATAAGTGTTGGCCCCAAACGCAGACCGTTCGCTGCACAGTGGGGCAAAATTTTGGGGGAACTGTATACCAGATGATTAAATTCGGGATTCCAATCCCTTTATTTTACTACAGCATTTTAATTTTTCTCTTTTTCAAATCAAATTTCCCTCATAGAGATAGCAAATACCTTGAGGGCTATGAAGAAATAAGTAGAGCACTACTGATACCGAAAAGCAATCCATTGATATCTCGGCTTTTACGCTGGGTAAACAATTATTCATAAGTAAACATTCATTGGCATATTTCGCTTGGCAGTCAAACAAAAGGCCGCAGAAATACTCGTATTTCTGCACCCCCCTCGACTGCTGACGGTCATGAATATTTCATTTGGGTTCGTGTGCCGAGGGGATTACCGAATCGAATCGAATCGAATGCGACCACGGTGCAACCCCGGGTCCAGGTCCTCCACTCCCAGGCGCTTTGTGCCCCTCCTCCAGGTCCACCTCCTCGGGGATCGTGGTGTGGAACCCTCCTCCTCGCCCGCTCGCCGTTGTCGTCAGTCATTTAGGCGGCGTGTCGTGCCTTATTGAGTGTAAATCTGTCGACAATGCTCACACACACCTCTATATAGGTATACCTATATACGTATGTATATATATCTGTTTTTTTTTTTGGCCTGCCTGTGCAGATCCGATGCGATGTGAGTCGTCGGGCAGCCGTAGTCGTCGCTCCCGTAGCTGTCGCTGCATTTAATTAATTGATTTTAATTGCCATAATTTGTGTGCCGCTGCCACACAACCGCAACACCGCCGGCATTCCTGATGTGAGACGGCAGGCAACGCACTACGTCCGTTCGTCTCTCTGTCCGTTCGTCTGTCCGTATCTCCCTCCGTTTGCCTGTCATTGTGCATTGCCAATGATATTGATTCATAAGCAAATTTAATGATAATTCCCCTTGGTGGGGTTGATGGGGTTGGTAGGGGTATATGGGGAATTATGGGGGTATGGGAGTATGACTGTTTGGGACCGGAGGAGGCTTACTTAACCGCCTCGTTACAGTTATTCGCGGACTTACTTAAGCAGAAAATCTGTTTACAGCTGCACGCACACTCGAGAGACAGCGTCAGACAGGGCGAAGAAAAAACCACTGATGGCCGGAAAAAATTGAGTAAAAAATGGAAAAAAAAGAGCTATGTGGGCAACCGAAGCTTTAAATACCCTTGCGATGATACCTATTTTTAATAAAAACTCAATATATCATAAAAAAGAAAATTATATAGGGGGACATATAAAGTGCTAATTACTAAAGTAAAGTAGAGTAATGTATTTTAAAACTTACGTTTTAGAAAATAGTTTTTTTTTAAATAATTTATTTTTTTTTAAGAAGAATGTCTGTATTTTTCCCCTTACAACAGTTTACCAAATGAGCAAGATTATTAAAAATAAGGCCTTTAGATCACACACTTTAGATTATAACTATAAAGCCTCTTGCTAAAGGGTATAATGGAAGAGTGAGTAGAATAAAGAGAAGCAAAAGCGTACCGAAAGCAAAACCATTCGTCTGTCAGAGCCGCAATCCTCCGATTCCCGAGTCCCTCGGGGTCTGTACGTGGCGGGCGCATTAACATATGCAGGCGATTAAGTGGCAGAGAGCTCAATCGTCCGACAGCGTAAACCCCTAATTTCCCTGCCCCGTCTGTCGTGGCCCCTCCCCTATCCCCTTCCCCGCGCCATCATCACAACTCCATCGTTCGCACATTACACGGCATTATTTTTATGGATTATTTATTTATGCATGTTGATATGAACTTCATCGCTTTATTGAAAATGCCCTTTACCCCGCCCATTGCCCCTGGTTGCCGTGCGTTCTCTCTCTGGTTGAATCCTTTTTTTTAACGAATTTTCTCTGTGTGCTTGGATCTATTTGCAGTTGAATTTTCATATCGTAGAGGGCATAAAAAGGCTTAACACTGGACCGGAAGCGTGTTTTTAAAGGGTGATGGCGGCCTCCACTCAAGGAGAAATTCGAGTGGGTCCCGGCCACCAGGTAAACGATGTCTATGTACGTACATAACTCTCACAAATCAGAAATTCAGCTCACGGTAACAAAAAGAAAAAAAAACAAAACAAAGAACTACAAAATTTAACAATTATGCAAAACGAAAAAAATCCCTTTATTTCTTTTGTTTATAGCAAAAGTTGAAATTTATATTCCTTTGTTCTTCCTCTTGGATGTCTTGAACAACAACAAATCTTTCCCAAACTTTTTTTCGCATGTAGCCTTTGAAGGAACGGAAAATAAGTAAAGAAATTAATGGTCCTGTTTCCGTTTTCGGATTCAATCAAGTTTCGCGATCACAAAATCCATTTTTCACTTTTTTTCCCGTCACTGACTAACTCAATAATTCTTGAAATAATTCTTTGAGAAACAAGACGCATAAATTCTTAGTAATATTCAACATTTTATATGTTTATCAGTGAATTATTCAACTTGTTAAGTACCAGATCTCTTGAACAAGTATATTTTTCCTGTTAATTATTTTGCATTCATTACCGAAGTTCTTTACTTGAGCTCATCACTATTCTATGTCATCAGATTCGACCGTTTCCTTCGAAAAGGCTATAGCGACATGCATTTCTTAAAATATTTCGGTTGCTCTTAGCATAACCCTTTCCAAAGTTTCCCTGTACATAATGCCTAATCCTTGTAAATAATTTGTAGTTCTAGCGTTTATGCAATTGGCTATTACTAGTTCGAATCCTCGACGATTAGAAGTTGACCCAGAACCAGATCCTTGCTCCCATCCCCAATCCCCAACATCCAAAATCCGTGTTCTTCGTTCGAGGAAATCCGTAGCACACATTATACATTATTCATCCATAATCATGCATTAGACTTAAGTTTGTGTATCATCTCGTGGGTGCTGGTAATCCCCCCGGATTGCCGGCACTAGCTGTCTTGCCTGTGGTGTGTATTGTGTGTATATTGTGCGTGGTGTGGTTGTCTGTGTGTGACTAACCCATCAATCGTTCTCCTGGAGTTTTTGAACTAATCCCAGAACTTTTCGTTTGTCTCCTATGACGACTGAAGGCAAAACTGCCCGATTATAATCCAATCTCAAGCTTCCCCATCGACAAGGAAACCGATGAACGTGAACTAGAGGAATCAAGATGGAGTCCAGGCGTTGTGGCCGATGGCGACTTGTTAATGTTCTTGCGTGCGGCTCGCTCGATGGCTGCATTTCAAGGAATGTGTGATGGCGGTTTAGAAGACGGTTGTTTGGCTGCCAGTCGCGACGACACCACAATAAACGCACTCGACGTGGTGAGTTGATATATCTTTATATAGCATAGCACTCTCTAATCCTAAATCCTATTCGCAGCTCCACGATTCTGGCTACGATCCAGGCAAAGCTCTACAAGCGCTCGTAAAGTGCCCCGTTTCCAAGGGCATCGACAAGAAGTGGACGGAGGACGAAACAAAGAAATTCATCAAGGGTCTGCGACAGTTCGGGAAGAACTTCTTCCGCATCCACAAGGACCTGCTGCCGCACAAGGACACGCCGGAGCTGGTCGAGTTCTACTATCTGTGGAAGAAGACGCCCGGCGCGAACAACAACAGGCCGCACAGGCGGCGTAGACAGAGCGCCCTGCGCCGCAATCGTGTCACGCGGGCCAACAACAGCAACAGCAACACACCTCCCAAGAAGGAGGACACTCCGGAACCACAAACTGCGACGACGGCGGCGACGGCGACGGCGACGGCAAGCGCGGCGTCCGAGACGGCGAGTCGCTCCTCGCCCGCTGTCTCCAAGGAGGAGAACAGCTCGCTCACCGAGGACGACGCCAGCGAGTGCGACAGTGATTCGAGTCTGACCCACAAAAGGGATGAATCACCCTCAAGGATGAGGACGCGAAATAAGCAACAGAACAGCAACAGCAGCAACCAGAACAGCAGCAACACCACCAGCAGCAGCAGCAGCAGCGGCGGCGGCAGCAACAACGCCGCTTCCGGCAACGCCACTTCCATAGGCAGCGGTTCGAGCGGCGGCGGTGCCGCTGGCGGCAACAGCTCCTCGTCCAAGGACCAGTCAGCCAACGCCAACGCCGTGGCTAATGGCAAGAGGCCCAAGCGAGGCTCCGAAACACCGGATGTGGCCGGCGGCGGAGCCTCGGTCGATAGTCCCAAGACGCCGACGAAAGCGGTGGCCGAGAGTTCGGCCAACAAGCGCAAGGGCGGCAAGCAGGATACGCCCAACAAGAAGAAGCGAACGGAACAGGAGGAACGCAGCAGCGAGCCAGCGAGTGCCCAGGAGGAGCCGAATGCCGTCAAGGAGAAGTCGCGCAAGCGACCGGACAGCCCGGTGGAGAGCATGAACTCGGACAGCCGGCCGGACTCGGTGCTCGACGATGGCGAGTCGAATACGACGGACACCACCACCGCCGAGCAGCAGTCCACCAAGGACAGCAAGGAGACGACGGTCAGCTGCAAGGAGGAGCGCGATATGATCACCAACAGTGATCTGGAGGCCAAGGCGGAGGAAGCGAAGGCCTTCAAGGCGGAGGCTTTGGCGGCGGAGGACAGCAAGGATAGCGCCATTAAGAACATGGACGAGGAGACGAATATCCAGGCGCCGAGCAGTCTGGATGCGAGTTCGGTGGAGGGACCCCCTGTGGTCAATCCCGTGGCGCCGCCCATTACCATGAAGGTGCCCACAATTGCCACTGTGGAGGCGCTGAATGCTTCGGTGGATCGCAAGGAGGCCATCGAGAAAATGGAGTCCTGCGACAGCGATCCAGAGATGCTCAAGAAGCTGGCCACCATCAAGCAGGAGGTTTCTCCGCAGCAGCAGCACCAGCAGCAGCAGCAATCCCAACAGCAGCAGTTGCAACAGCAACTTGCTCCCATGGGCATTCAGCCACCTCCAATTAGCGCCCCCTCAGAATCGATCTACATCAAGAAGGAGCCCATGGAGGACTCCATGGACGCCACCTGCAATCAGAACAGCAACGAGCCGCAGGATCTCAAGGTGAAGATCGAGATTAAGAATGAGGATGCACTGAAGCACAGTGCGGGAGGAGGTCTGCCGCCCACGGGACCAGGTGCACCACATCCGCTCTCCGGAGCTCCCGTAGAAAGTAATCAGGAGCCGCTGCACCTGCAACATCTGCCTCCGCAACCGCCTCCTGGCTACCTGATCGATGGCCAGCTGAAGTACGGACCACCGGGACAGGGAGTGCCGCCGCAGCCACCGCAGCTGCATAGCGATGCGGCTGGAGGAGCACCGCCCGGAGCAGCGCCTACAACGCCGCAGAAATACCCCCCCGAGCTGGAGATGAAGTTTGCTCCCCAGGATCTCAAGTATCCACCACCGCCACCGCTGGATGCACTCAAGTACAGCCAGGAGATGCAGGCGGCGGCGGCTGCAGCGGCTGCTGCCGGCAAGTACGACATGAAGTACATGATGGAGCAGCAGGGCAAGTATCCCGTGGAGTTGTCCGCTGCCCATCAGCCGCCTAGCAAGCCGGGCTACCAGGATTCGCTAAAGATTCCCGATGTAAAGGCCGGCTTTGGTCACCTGCCGCACAACGTGGGCTCTCCGCTGGACGTGGCCCACAAATACGGACCGCCACCCACATCCCAAGAGTCCCAGCAGCAGCAGCAATCGCAGCAGCAGCAGCAGTCGCAGCCGCCGGGAGCCACACCTCCGCCTGGCATCGCCATGCCCAAGCCGCACTACCAGCACGACGTGCAGACGCCTCCCTTGGGACGACCCTTCGAGCCCACTGGCTTGATGCTCAAGTACGGCGATCCATTGGCGGCTAAGTACGGTCCGCCGCAGGATCTCAAGTACCCCATGCCACCGGTTTCGCAGGCAGGAGGACCTGCGGACGTGAAGCCCTATGGCGGCGAGAATCTGATCAAATCCTCGCCTTACGGGCCTCCGCCCGAGAGTCCAATCGACGCCTCTGCGCGCTCTACTCCTGGCCAAGATAGCCAGGGCAGCAATAGTAATTCGCAGCCGCCGTCGATGCCACCGCAACCGCAGCAGTTCCAGTCGCCGCATCCCTCGCCGCACATGCCTTCGCCAGCGGGAGGTGGCCTGCCGCCGGGAATGCATCCGCAAAATCTCATCCACGGCCCGCCAACAGGCGCCCCTCAGCCGCCGCCACCGCCCACGTCGTTGCATCAGCCCACGCCGACGGCTCCAGGTCCTCCAAGTCTACAGCATGGCCTGCATCCCGGACATCCGGGACACCCGCAACTGTCGGTGGCTTCATCGATGCCCCCGAGCTCCATTGGCATACCTCCCACGCTCTCGACGATGGCGCCCTCGCACATGCATCCTCACCTTCATCCGCACGCCCATCTGCAGGGTCTCCATCGGCCGCACGATCTGCCACCCAGTATGCATCCGCATGCTCCGATGCCGCTGTCGCTCCAGGGACATCCGCCACATGGTCACGGTGGACTGCCGCAGTCGCATGCTCCCCAGCAGCAGCAGCAGCAACAGCCAACTGGCACGGTGCGTACGCCATCACCTGCCCAGCAGCAGCAGCAGCCGCCGAGGTCTCTGCACGATCCGCAATCCTCGCGGGAGCCGCCCAGCTCGCAGCCCTCGACCACGATGGCAGCGGGATCGAGTGGCGGCGGCCCACCGCCGCAACAGTCGCCGCATGCGCATCGCACATCGCCGTTGCCCGGGCTCTCGGGTAGTGGTCCTCCGCCGCCGGGACTCATTGGGCATCCGATGGCCATACACCCGCACCTGGCCCACCTGCCACCGGGTCATCCGGCCCACGCAGCGCTCGCCCATCCGGGACACCATCTGCTCTCGCATTCGATAGCAGGCCTGGGACCGGGCGGTGGACCCATCGCCTTGCTAGCCGGACCCGGTGGCCTGGGAGGTATTCCCGAGTCCGCTCTCAGTCGCCGCACCCCGCCCTCTCACCTGCCACACGCCTCGCACGCCTCCGCGGCCCCGCTGACGCCGCATTCGGTGGCCAGCATGACCTCCAGCAGCATGTCGCTGACCACCAGCACGGTGCCATCGTCTGCCTTCAGTCGCGCCAGTCCCAGCGTACAGATCTCGAGCGGTGGAGGAGGAGGAGGACCAAGCTCCTCAGGACCCGGCAGCGTTGGACTGGCCAACTCCTCGGCAGCGGCGGCGGCGGCTGCAGCGGCAGCTGCCCATCGAGCGGCCTCGCCGGCGTCCAGCGTTAGCAGCCTGAGTCGCCAGAGCCCGCTGCATCCGGTGCCACAGTCGCCGCTCAGCCATCATCCCTCGTCCTCTGCGCTCTCCGCCGCGGCAGCCGCTGTGGCGGAAAGGGATCGGCATGCGCTGATGCGTCAGCAGTCGCCGCACATGACGCCACCGCCGGTGTCGCAGGCCTCGCTGATGGCCAGTCCGCTGAGCAAGATGTACGCTCCTCAACCGGGTCAGCGGGGTTTGGGAACATCTCCGCCGCCGCATTTGCGGCCAGGAGCCTCGCCGCCGGTCATCCGCCATCCTCAGATGCCGCTGCCGTTGCCGCTGATTGCACCTGGCGGGGGAATTCCGCAGATTGGAGTGCATCCCGGGCAGTCGCCGTATCCGCACCCGCTGCTGCATCCCTCGGTCTTCTACTCGCCGCATCACCATCCCTTCAATTCGCCATATGGATATGCGCCCTATGGTCCTGGTTTTCCGGCCTACATGAAGCCGCCGCCACAGCCGGGACAACTTGACCCCGCTGCCGTGATGGCCGCTCACCATGCCGGATTGCAAGGTCCGCCGCCGCAGCAGATGCGTCAGGATGAGCAGAATGCAGCGGCGGCCGCAGCAGCAGCTGCAGCTGCTGAGAAGCAACACCAGGCGGCTGCAGCAGCGGCCGCCCAGCAGCACAAGGCGCCGCAGCAACAGCCGCCCGGCGGAATGCCACCGAACAAGCCGCCGACGCCAAAGACGCCGCAGGGTCCGGGCGGTGGGATGCCTCCCGGAATGGGTGGACCGGGAACACCGACGGGACTGCCGCCTGGTGCCTACCCCGGCAGCCATATGCCGGGATATCCACAGGGACCGCCGCATGGATCGCCCTTCGCGCCGCAAGATGGTCAGCCTCACGGTCTGAAGCCCACGTCGCACATGGACGCCCTGCGAGCGCACGCACACTCGGCCAATTCGGCGGGAATGGGCGGCGGACATCATCCCACGGAGCCATGTAGGATATTCCCTCTCAAAATGGAATTTAATTTAATAATATTATTTTTTTTTATAGTGCCCATTGATATTGAGCCGGATCCGGAGCCAGAGATTCCCAGTCCCACGCACAACATACCACGTGGTCCCAGTCCCGAAGCGAAACCGGACGACACCGAGTGCCATCGCTCTCAGTCTGCCATGTAAATGATATAATGCCCATAAGTTGTTTTATTATTATTAATTTCATCGGTTTAACCCACAGATTTGTGCGCCACATCGATCGTGGGGATTACAACTCATGCACGAGAACGGATTTGATCTTCAAGCCGGTGGCCGACTCAAAGTTGGCTCGCAAGCGCGAAGAGCGCGACCGCAAGCTGGCCGAAAAGGAGCGAGAGCGGCGTCAGGTGAGTTAACATGGCACCTACATGTAGTCCAAATCTAATCCAATCCAATCCTTCACAGCAGCAGCAACAACAGCAACAGCAGCAGCAACAACAGCAGGCAGCAGCCGCTCAACAGGCGGCGCAGCAGGCCAAGATGAAGGCGGAGCTGAAGCCGCCGTATGCGGATACGCCAGCACTGCGCCAACTGTCGGAGTACGCTCGTCCCCACGTCGCCTTCAGGTGAGTTTCGCTGGATGGAAGAATCACGTTCCCCCCCGAAGTCTTTCGTCTGGTGTTTAGGATTCAGTTCACTTACCTTCCGTCGTTTCTCAAGTCCACTAAGTCGCGTTCTTTGATTGTAATTATTTCCATTCGATTCAATTTCAGTCCTGTTGAGCAGATGGTGCCATATCATCATCCAATGGGCCCCATGTACAGAGAGAGGTACAGTACCAAAGCCTGCCAATAGCCCTTACTTCAATGCGAAAGCCATATCACATATCCCAACACATTAACCCTTTCACGCCTCATAAATTCCATTCACACCTCGCAAAATCTCAATATTCACCATCACCCTCACATTTTCCTGTACTCATATGTTTACAGTGCGTTTCGGGAGCTTTAAATTAATGTAAAATTTAATTTAATAATTTTGTTATTAATTATGAATTACACTTATAAAAATTAATTTCTAAATTTTTAGAAAGCTCGCCATTGAATCGGCCTACCTTTGAAAATAGAAACAAAATTTCTTGTTATTGGAAAATTTGCCTTTGAATATAGAAAACCTTTCTAGATGAAGAAAATTCAAGAAAGAATTTTCTAGATTTTAAGGAAGTTCTTCGATTTTTTTACCTATTTTATTACTCTTCAATGATACAATTAAAACTTAAAGAAAAAATGCATTCACTAACTTAATAAGAGATTCTGAAACGCACTAACAAAATCATCAATTAAAACCTATCCATTCGGATATCGACATCTCCCCTGCCTTAAAACCCGCCCGCTTTTCAAGAATTCGGTATATTATGCGCACGTCAAAATTTCTGCTTGAGCTATTTATCATTTGCAATTTTCCCCACTCCAAGTCATGACTCCCTAACCAAAACACATCGATGCTAAAAGCCGACTAGCTTTTAATCCCTGTAATCGTACTAAATACTTAAATATTTGCAGGGAACTGGAAGAGATCAAGAACGCACAAGCTGCTGCGGCGAGTCAATCCCGACTAGATCCGCACTGGATGGAGTACTATCGACGGTGGGTTAAAGCATTATATATATTATGACACGGAACTAATTTCGTAGATCTCTTTCCAACCATCCCCACAGCGGCATCCACCCCTCGCAGTTCCCCCTGTATGCGAATCCCGCGATATCGCAGATGGAGAGGGAGCGTCTGGGAATTCCACCTCCGCACCATGTGGGGTTGGACCCGGGCGAGCACATGGTGCGTATGGTAGGCTACACTTCTTTTTTACTCCACTCGACTCATATTCACAAAATCAATCGTATTTGGAACGTCAAGCGATCGAACCGCAAAACCGAACCAATCACTACTATGTCCACTTGTCAGCTCACCTGTTAACCAGTCCAAAACCCAAGCACGTCTCCCGTCATGCTGTTCATGTTCTGTGCTAACCATTTGTTTGCCATGCCATGCTTTTGACCTCTCAATGGGGCACCTAACCAAACCAAACCAAAAATCAAAATCAAAATCAAATCGACATTTGTCGCCATCTAACCCGCATTACGCATCGTTACATAAAACTCTGTTAATCTTCTATTGGCGCCCACGCCCACGCAGCACTGGCTCTTTTGAAACTTTCTACGATATTCGATAATTTTCAGATACGATTGACGAGAGAATATCATGCACACTCTCATACTCATTTACATTTGCCTTTGCATCCACAGCCGCAACCACCGGAGGCCGGTTTCCAACTGCCACGTGAGTTTGTATAGCCCTCGAGGTTTTCGCCAAGTTTTATAGCCCCCAGCAGGACATGAAAATAACTGATCCACCTTTATCTTCCCTCCCTTTACTTTTCAGCGAATGTTGGCCAGTATCCGCGGCCAAATATGCTTATACCTAGGGAGCCGCACTCGGATGTCCTGCTGCGCATGTCCTATGCCGACCAACTACAGGTTTCCCAATGCCCCAACCCACCTCCTAACTCATTAATTACATATATACAGTATTTACAGGCCGCCGAGTTCCAGCGACAGTCCCTGCACGATCAGTACTTTAGGTGAGTTTTCTTGGCCATAAATAAACCAGATGATACCTGATAATGGGTTGATATGATCTGTGTGAATCCAAGATATCCGACAAGTGTATCCAAATTTAAAGCTAGGCTCATCCACCCCATTATGATATAGTTTATCACCGTTTATGTTGCATTTATGTTTCCGTTTCCGTTTGATCATCGCCCGCTCTCTCTCATTCCCACAGACAACGGCCCAGATAAGTGGACAGACAGCAATTGTAGAGAGCAAGCAACTGAACAAAGACAATACTCGGGCCGCGGCCGTGAGGAACTGCTTTGTGTGATTTTTGTGTTCAAGCGTTTACATTTTGTTTTCCACTCCACACACACACAATCCCCACATACTCATCATATAAGAAAAAACATCAAGATCATCATCAGCAGAGACGACGTCAGCGTATGGCTCAAGAATCCAGAAACCAGAAATCCCAGCGACTCTAAGTTGCGCAACGCCTTGTCAAGTTTTTATGTAAAAAGTTAGTAAGCAATTTTTGATTTACACACTTGGCTCATCCTTATGCTTACAATCATCTAGTGAATGTTTATCTCGAGATTTTGCTATACATATACTAATGAGATACTTTGATAAACAGGAATCAGCTGCGTTAATCGGGAGTGGATCACACCACACTTCACACCAGACACTTACTGACCAAGGCATCCAGAATCAAAAAGCAGAAACCAACTACAAAACTAAACTAAACAAAACAGGACACGATGGTCGCAATATCTTAAGTATCCTCTTCATAGTGTATAGTGTTAAATTCTTAAACCTAAGATACGGAGCATGTTAATACGGTTTAGACTTATTAAGGCAATGGAACAAAAACGAACTCGGCACACAAATTTTTATTGAGGTTTTCAAACAGCTTATCTATGTGCTGCACTTCGACAAGAACTATCTAGTAAGCTCCACAAATCAATTGATTTTGACACGATAATAACTAAGCAAAACCAAAACACAAACTCAACCGCACTTGCTGCAGGAGGCAAGGTACATAAATTAGTATAGTAAAACGATTAAGGATAGACACCGGATGGAGCGTTCATTTATTCGAGTGTACTGTACAAATGGATTTGGAGATAGACTTTCGTTTTACAACACATTTTGACACTCTAACCAATAGATACGCCTAATTTAATTTAAATGTACTTCCAACCACAATTGAACTATTTAATGTACGGTTTATACATATATGCTTGCTGCTTTCGACTTTTTAGCTAAAATAAAATGGAAAACGAATCACGCCAATGCCTAGATTTCGCTTTTTGTAGTCCCGTTTGTGTTAGCCTAGCAAGCAGCTTTGCCTACCAACTAACTGCTACTCATTATTTATTATTTTGCTATGACTAGAGTATTATAGGGGCGGGAGATAAAAGTTTGTAAAAAGTGCATAAAAAATAACGAAATAATGATATGGGTATTATATGTGAATAATTTGATGCTGCTCTCAAACCCAAAAGCACAGCACAGCGATTTATAAGTGTGTCATGCCAGCATTTGAAGCAGCTGTAATTTCGAGTGCTTAATTTATATTAGTAATTTATACAACTATTATACGCAAAAAAATGCATTAAATACACAAAATATTTAAAAAGGTTTAAATGATAAGGCCAACAAACCGCAACAGTGGGATGATTGATTGGCGCAAAAAGAGAAAAACAAAGGAAACATATTTTTAAATACATTTTTTTATTTCACATTTTGAATATACACATTGATATAAATATATTGTAGCTATATACACAAATTATGAAAGTTTATTGTAGGAGTCTTGCAAGCATATTCAATGGCACACAAACGACAAGAAAAACAAAACAGAAATAAAAAAGATTCGCGTAGTTAACATTTAAGAATTGTAAAGTGAAGATCCATACATATTTATATATATACAAAACAAAAAACAAACAAATGCAGCTATATTATTGCAGCTATATTACTAAATAAATTATAAAACAAAAAAAAAAACAGATCATACGGAAAAAATAAATTATTAAAACCTGTAAAAACTAAGTAAAACAAAATAAAATTAGTTACATTAGTTACCAAATCCCAGAATAATTTCTCTGCTTTAACACACGGTGGTATAAGAACTTCTATAAAAGGTTTTCAAAAGTGGTCCGAACGGAATTCTATTTAGGGCAAGAGTTCTGATTTAAAGTATAGAGAAGTAAAACACAATTTTTTGTTTCAATATTCAATTTAACAGTTTATTTTTGCTAAGTCATATTCTATAAAATCTATTATCTTAGGGGGATATTATTAAAGGTTTACTTAAATAATTGAATACATTTTAATCAGTGGCTTGTCTATGTAGATGAGTTATAAGTAAAATCAGTTTTTTTAAGGACTATGAAAGTAATAAATACATGCAATAATAAATTAATGGAACTAGGGATCGCGTAGGTCTAGACAAGTCGGGCAGATGAGCAGGTTGCCCCCGAGGTAGCACTTTGCTGTTCCACCTCGCTCCCCTTTCCAATCCCCACCAGGCTAACCGCTCCTCCGGTGGCGCTGGCCAGAATTCGTTTGTAGTTGCTGCTGCACTGGGAATCCGCCACAGATCGTCCGTCGCCCTCGTCACGTCGACAAAGATCCACGGAGTACGGGGCTGCTGAGGTGGACGTGGTGTGAATCTCCAGTCGTCGCTCCAAAATATCCGCTGTCGTCAGTTCGCTGGCCTGCACCAAGCTGCTATCGGGGACATTGCTTAGCCAAGGCTTGAGGATGCTCTTCTTCTGAATGGTGGCCGCCTTGCAGCGGCAGATGACGTCGGCGGGATCACCGCAAATGGGGCAGGTGGCTTCTACGACGGTTGCCGAGGTTACCTCCACCTCGCTTCCTCCTCCTCCTCCACCCACCACCGTGGGCATGGTGGCTCCCGAGGAGCTGCCACTTAGCTCCAACTCACTAACAGCATCCACCAGAGTTTTCAAGCCAGCGCTAGATTGGGAACAGCTGTCTGCCATGGAAACCACCTCCTGCTCCTCGTAGTTGGGACTCAAGAGCAGCTTGGACAGCGGTGGAGCCATGCCAAGGTTCAGATTTCGCTCGTGATACATCTCCGTAAGGCTGGGTGTCAGTTCGCGGTTCATGTGACGCATCATGCTGTCCTGCAGGCTCTTTCCATTCGACTTTACAGCCGGTGGAGCCTCCTCCTGCTTGGCTTCGCTGAGCAAATCGGTGTCCGATTGTGAAAAGTACAAGCTGGATGGGCTGAAGACTACATTGGAGACCTCCTCCTCCTCGGGCAGGGCGAGAGGCTTCCTTGCTGCAGTTCCGCCGTTCATGGTGTTACCTCCTCCGGGAGCACTTAGCTCCGTCCTTACACTCAGTCTGTCCATGAAGAGGGCATGTTCCTTGTTAACCCGTGCCGCCAGAGAGCTCTGAGCACTGCCCAGCTTGATCTTGGGCTTGCTGCGTCCTCCAGCGCCCACGCCTAAGTTATGATAGGTTGGTGGGCGTGGCGGTGGCAGTGGTGGCGGCTGTTGAGGCATTGCTGCACTGCGTCTCAGCACTGTGGCATGTCCGGATCCCTCCCAATCCGTAGTGCTGCTGGCCGAACTGGAACTATCTGGTCTTCTACTCAACGTTGTTGATGCTGGAGGAGCAGATGCTGCCGAGCTGGTCTGGGAATACAGACTTCTAATGCGCGTTTGGTGGGCGAGGGCCAGGGACAAACTGGGATCGGTCACCGGTGGACTGGGCGTGAAGGCGGCATCGCTCTCGCCACCGCCTCCGGGGCGGGAAACCCTCACCGGAGCACGCATGCTGGCATAGCCGAGGCGAGCAAAGCCCGGTTGCGTGGCATAGCCATCGGACAAGGAGTGCTCGCTATCGGTGGTGTTGGCCAGACTGGAATCTAATGTGCCATTTCCTATACCACCTCCGATGGCTTCTGTTCTTCCGCCATCCGGTTCTCCACGACGTCGGACATACGAGATGAAGGCACTGCGCGGATGCAGCGGAAGTGGAGCCTTAGTGGCCCCGTTCACGGAGGGAGTACTGCTGGCCGCAGGCGGCACAGGAGGGGCATCCATTTCCGGTTCGGCCAGAGACTCGCAGCTGCTGCTTTGGTCAGAGTCCATCGGATCCATCGAACCGAGACTTTTGAGGGCCTCACGGGTATCTAGAGTGGGTAAACAGAGAACATTAGGGATATATCGAACATTAAACAAGAGAGAACTCTATAGCATCTAGCAGTGCGAGAGATAGAGATAAAAAACTTTGATTGCGCATAACTTTTTAATAAATGGTCCGATTTGAATAATGTCTTCTACATTTCGATAGGTATTAATAAACACTATAAAATTGCATTTATACATTTTTAAAATATTAAAAGATGTGGCCGCCAGACACATTTTAAAATCGTGTGTGGGTAATCCCAACTTTCTAGCTTTTGTAGTTTCCGGGATCTCAGCGTTTATACAGACAGACAGACAGACAGACGGACAGACAGACGGACAGACGGTCATGGCTAGATCGACTCGGCTAGTGACCCTGATCAAGATCAATATCTATATATATACTTTATAGGGTCGGAAACGCTTTCTTCTAGCTGTTACATACTTTTGCACGAATACAAAATACCCTTTTACTCTACGAGTAACGGGTATAAAAAGTGATTCCACTTACCAAACAAAGCGAGGAGTGCCTGCAGCACGAACTGGCAGTGACGTCGATTGGCCTGCTTGCCCGTGCGCAGGATCACCTGGTCGGCACCCACCTCGGTCAGATCGAAGCCCACCGATGCGAGGAGTTCATGGCAACCAGCCACCCGCCAGAGTCTCACACTCAGCGGCATCTCAATGAAGCAGGATTCGGCGATCACATCCGATTTGATGGAACCCGAGGAACTGGCGGCTGGAGGATTGGAGGCCGGGAACTGGGCGAGGATATTCCGCATCACGGCAATCACGTCGCCCGCATATTCGGCACTATTTACATGGACCAATTTGGCCAAAGCCTGCAGCGTGGCCGGAGTCAGGGCGAGAAGTGCTTGGAGACTGGCCGAGCACTGGGAGAGTCGCTCCTCGGGATCCGCTTGAGGAAAGAATACGCTGGACGGAATCCCATTGGCGGCTGGTTCGAAACGAAAGCCCACTGCCATCAGCAGATCCTTCCAGCCACCCACGGGACCTGCCTTATTCTCAATGCTCTGCTGGGTGGTGTACATGGCGTTCTTCTGGCCACGATGGATCCGCTGCAGACTCTTCTCCACTAGGTGCAGGCAGACGCGCAGCGCATCGCGACAACGCTCCGGGGTCCGGAGGAGTTCGCAAAGGGCATGACCCAGGGCCACCTTGTTCGATAGCCTGATATTGCTGCCCACCAGAAGGAAGCCAGCCCAGTTGGCCGGATGGGCAAAGTGCTTGGTGTGCTGCACTGTTTGCATGGCTTCCGCCAGGGCGCTGAAAGAGATAATTAATAGTCATTAATAAATATTAACATTTGAAGTAAGCAAAAGAAAAAGAAAAAAAAGAACTCTTCTTGAGATATAAGAACTCGGAATTACGTATTAAAAAAATCTTAAAAATACCATTTTATAGCGGTTTTTTAACCCTAATTTCTTTAAATCAAGGCCAATATCTGAAAAAACAACATAACATAAGCTAAAGATAACCACCACTTTCCCGGAATTTCGTGGTTTGACATCATAATTTTTTGGAAAAAATTACAAAAAATAAAATTTTCAGTTTAGAATGTCAACTGATTGGGAATTTAATTACTATCTCAAAGAGACTTGATATACCGTATTCGGGCACTATTTCGGCTAAAAAACTGATTTATTTATTAAAGAAAAATAAGGATTTTTAAAAAAATGTCAAATAAAACTTTTAACTTTTGAACTCGGAATTACGTATTAAAAAAATCTTAAAAATACCATTTTATAGCGGTTTTTTAACCCTAATTTCTTTAAATCAAGGCCAATATCTGAAAAAACAACCGTTTTGAGCAGCTAATAACATAAGCTAAAGATAACCACCACTTTCCCGGAATTTCGTGGTTTGACATCATAATTTTTTGGAAAAAATTACAAAAAATAAAATTTTCAGTTTAGAATGTCAACTGATTGACATTTAATTACTATCTCAAAGAGACTTGATATACCGTATTCGGGCACTATTTCGGCTAAAAAACTGATTTATTTATTAAAGAAAAATAAGGATTTTTAAAAAATGTCAAATAAAACTTTTAAGTTATCAGTAACTATATAGTCCTGAGTTTAATAATAAAACACATGTTTACTATTGATTTATACAAATAAAACTTACAAGTGATATCTTTGTGAGAATTTTTGTTGTAGTGCAGGAAAATTATAAATAATTTAGTTTAATTTAGTTAAAATTGTGGTTGCAAATATTTGTTGAAAAAATATCTCAAGATGGTTTCTCTGAACAATATTATACGTTTAAAAAAAAGAATTATAAAAAAGATAACTTACCCGGCTGCTCGGGCACCCTGCAGCAAGGCGGAGTAGAAGGCGCGCAACAGGATCTTGGCCGCCGTTTCGGGAACCGGCCACAGGGAGATGAGCACAGCTCCAGCTCCGGCCAGGAGCCAGCCACCCGCCAGTTGGGCCACTCCGGATCCGGTGATGGGTTCCACCGAGTGATACGAGCTCAGCACCACCAGACGGGCACTCAAACGCAGCTGACGCAACTCGGCGGCTGCCAAAGTGAAGTCGGCCATTTGCGGTTCGTGTGGTTCCTTCTGCTGCTGCTGCTCGGCAGTGACCACATCGCCGGGACTCAGGACCACGGCTCCCGATTGCCAGCTAAGATTGGCCGCAAAGTGAATGCAGTCGGCGGACGGCAGCTCGGCCAAAACGGACTCCTTGGTGGCATTGGAACCGGCCAGAGCGGTGGCCTGCAGCATATCCGCCACCATGGCGGCCTCCTGAAGGGCAGCCGGTGATTCCGCTCCAGCCCAACCCCAGCGTTCCGCGAGGGAGCAGGGAATGCGTGGTGCTCCCACCACCAGAGCCTTGGGCGGACGAGCCCGATCTCTTCGGGTCCTCGGACGACCACGAAGCGATTGCAGCGAGGGAGCGGTCAGGATGGCACATCTCTCGGACAGATATTCGCCATCCTCTCGGGCAGCCCGCAAAATGGCAAAGGGTACTAAATAGAGCGAGCTATCGAGCACCAGGATGAGTTCCCTTCTCCCTTGTCGACTGGCACTTGCTCCTCCAGCGGGCAGCAGATCATCGAATGGAGCCAACAGCAGATTGTACAGGGTGTGCAGGCAGGAGGGTCCTCGCCATGCAGGCAGGGCCGGTGCTCTCCGGGAACTGCGGCTTCCCAGGGATCTTGAAGAGCCCTGCAGACTGGCCACTGAGCCACCAACCGATCCCACAGAGAATAACGAACTCAGGGAGTAGTTCGAGGAGTTCAGTAGTTGATTGCGGCTCACCATGCGCAGGAAGCCACCTCCGCCGGATCCCCCGGCTCCAGGCAGATCCTCCAGCAGCTGCTCCGTGCTGGCACGCCAACCACTGCCGTCGCCTTCGTGCAGGAGACTCTGGGAGTTCACGCCCAGATTGTCCCTCACCAGGCCGACATAGCGTTCTAGTAATCCACTGGACTGCATGGAACTACCTTGATCTTCTCCCAGTCCCAGTTCTCTCTCCATTTCGAGTTCCTCCTCCTCCTCCTCCTCCTCGCTGAGGGACAACGGGAGCTGCAAACTGTGGGCATCTATCTTGGCCGCATGGAACCGCACGATTCCAGTTTGTGGCTGCAGCAGCCAGGCGAATAGTTGCTCCCCCGCCAAGCTGTAGTAGAGAACGGGCTTCCTGCCGCGATTCACCGTCTCCTGGATGACCTCGCTGTTGGCCAGCGGCACCTTGGAGCTCTCCCCGCTCACGTTGTCGGCTCCTCCGCGAGCCTTGCACCGCTCGGCGGCCACCAGAGCATCCTCGTTGCGATTCAGCGCCACCAGGATGAGTTGCAGCAGATGGTAGCAGCTCGTCTGCAGATCGTAGAGTGCCAGTCGCGTCTCCGGACTGCGCTGTTCATGGCGCACGGATTCCAGCAGCTGGGCGGCCGTTTCCAGTTGGAGGTGGGCTCCTTCGGCGTCGCCAGAGGAGCGTAGAGCAAGACCTGCAAAGGAGGATTTGGAAAACAGGTTATACATGGATTGTGTTTAGGTAGGGAGAGGTCTGTAGGTTGGGAAACCCTTATTTCTCAAACCTTTTTCACTAAAAAATGTTTCTTATTTTTTTTTCGAGTCGTTTTTAGTAACAAAACTTTTGGGTAAAACATTAGAAGCCAGGCTTAAGCCAGATTTTTCACAAAAAAGTTTTTGACCACTTTTTTCAAAACTCGATAAAAAATTAATAACGGGATTAAATATATTTGGTAAAATGCTTAAAGCATAGGTAATTAAATGCTCAACAAATATTAAAAATAACAGAATAATTTGACAGTCAAAAAAAAAAGTTATTATAGACTCCCCATTCGATCAGTTCACTCATAAAAACTTATTTCTAAATTTTAAAAAATCTCGCCATTAAATCGGCCTACCTTTCAAAATAGAAAAACAATTTCTTGTTTTTAGAAAATTTGCCTTTGAATATAGAAAACCTTTCTAGATGTAGAAAATTCAAGAAAGAATTTTCTAGATTTTAAGGAAATTATTCGACTTTGCAAATATTTGCAAAAATAACTCACCTAGTTGATGTCTTATCTTGGCCTCCTCCTCCGACTTTCCCATGGACTGAGCACTGGCCAATCCCTGCCGCAGATAGTCCACCGCCTGACCGTGCTGCTCCAGCTGATGGTGCACCCTTCCCAGGGCCAAGCAGGCCATCGCCTTGGCCAATCGATCTGCACTCAACTCCAATTGCCGTTCGTAGCACTTGAGGGCCTCGGCCTGCTGACCCAGCGATTCGTGGACGGATCCCAGGTTGCTCAAGGCCCTGGCCTGCAGGGCGGGAGCAGCGAGTTCGGTGCAGATCTCCAGATCCTGCCGGTGCAGCTCCAGTGCCTCCGCGTGCTGACCCATTCGCTGTTGCACCTGGCCGAGGGCGCACATGGCGTCCGATTCCAGGGCTCGATCCTGCAGGCCCTGGGCCAGTTCACGTTGATGTTCCAGGCAGTTCAGCGCCTGCGAATGGTTTCCCAGAGCAGCATGGACGTGTCCCAGGTCTCCGTAGGCCAGGGCCTTGATCTCGGGACTGTGCAGCTCGTGGGCCACCACCAGACGCTTCTCGAGGCAAACCAAGGCAGCCGGCAGCTGTCCCAGTGCTCTCCTCGCCTGACCCAATCCTCGATAGGCGCGCTCCTGATCCCGATGGCTAGTCAATCCTAAGGCCAGCTGAAGCTGCCGTTCGTGGCACTTGAGCGCCTCCTCGTAATCTCCCAGGGCGGCGTAGCAATCTCCCAAATGTCCCAGGGCTCGAGCACGATCCGCTTGGGTGGATGGCAAGGACACACGCTCCAGGGTGCCCAACTGGGCCTCCAGGCAACCAATGGCCGCCTCATAGTGGGCCATATTTAGACGGGCAATCCCCAGATTGCCATGCGCCTGGGCCTCCACTGCAGCATCCCGTTGCTCCTGAGCCCGCTCCAATTGCTCCTGATAGCACTTCACTGCATTTGTCCAGCTGCACAGGGCCATGTGAACGGCGCCTAAGTGACCGTGGGCACGACATTCGCCCGACAAGTCGCCCAGCTCCTGGCGCAGCGTTAACTCCTGGGTGTGATGACCCAACGCCTTGTCCCAGCGTCGCATCAATCGGTGGGCCAATCCCAGGGCTCCACAGGCAGCCGCCTCCATCGAGCGATCTCCTGCAGCTCTGGCTAGGGCTAGTTGACGTTGATACAGCTTGATGGCCTCCTGGATAATATAAAAAAAATTGAAGAACAAAGATATTTAATAAGGATTATGGTCTTTTAAAAGACTTTAAGAGGATTCTGTTTCGTTCTCGGTATGAAAAAAACGATTATATGCCTTAATCGAGTGTGAAAGTCTGCGATTTGGTTCATATCACTCATGTAATGTAATTTTAGACATTTAATGGATTAATCTTTAACACGATCACAAATATTTTGAATGAAAGAACATTACAAAGTAGTCTTTTCTTACAGCTTTACACTAACCAATAAAATAAGAGATACACAGATATGATGAGAATTAAAGCTCTCTATGGAATTCAAAGTTTTAGGATGCGAAATAAAATAAATACTTATAAAATATGATATGAGAAATATTTTAAGATATTGGATATATTACATATTGGAACTATGAGAATTTAAGCTATCTATGGAATTCAAAGTTTTAGGATGCAAAATAATATAAATACTTATAAAATATGATATGCGAATATTTAAAGATATTGGATTTATTACATATTGGAACTATGAGAATTAAAGCTGTCTATGGAATTCAAAGTTTTAAAATGCAAAATAATATAAATATAAATAAATAAATACATAAATTTTAAGATATTGGAGAGAATTAAAGCTATCTACGGAATTCAAAGTTTTAGGATGCCCAATAATATAAATACTTATAAAATATGATATGCAAAATATTTTAAGATATTGGATATATTACAAATTGCAACTACAGAATATTCTCTTCCGATATTTAAGGAACTATAAATAATAATACCTCTTGCAAGGGTATATAAAAAGTACGATTATTTTTTCATTACAAAATTTTAATTATGAAAACTGAAATATGGAATATCCTTTAGTACATACCTCATGTGATCCCGTTCGTATGAGAATGTCACCGATGTTCCCCAGAGCCCTGAACTTGGCCGGCAGCTGGTTGGTGGCATGGGCCACCGCCAGAAAGAGCTGCTGGCACTCCAGGGCGGCGGCAGTGTGTCCCAGGGCGAGATGGGCCAGACCCAGATTGCAGTAGGCCCGGCCCATGTTGGGTCTATGCTGGGCATCCTTGGCCAGGGCCAGATCCTGGTCGTAGTACCTCACAGCAGCCCGGTAATTCCCCAGCGAGAAATGCGCATAGCCGAGCAGATGACACGCCTTGCCCTCGGCGGCCACGTCACCCAATTCCTGGGCGAGCATCAGGTAGCTCTCGTAGTGCGGCACCGCCTCCTCGTACTCCTGCCTCCCACTGAGGCAGTTGCCCAGGTTGAGCAGGGCACAGGCCTCGCCGGCGGTGTCCTTCAGCGAACGGGCGGTGGCCAAATGGGCCCGATAGTGGGTGAGGGCTGCATCATGGGCACCCAGCGCCTGATAGGCCACCGCCAGATTGCCGTGCGTGGCCGCCTCGGCACTGCGATCGTTCACCGCCTGATTGATGGCCAGCTCCTGTTTGTGGTACTTCACCGCCGCCTCGTAGGATCCCGCCATGTGCGCCATCCTGGCCATGTTGCCATAGGCCTTTCCCATCCCAGTCCGATCGCCCAGGGAGCGGGCAATGCCCAGGTGCGCCTGGTGGAGCTTCAAAGCCGCATCATGGGAGCCCAGCATCTGGTATACTATACCCAGATTCGAGCACGCCCTGCCCTCGCCCAGTTTATCCCTCGCCGCGAGGGCCATGGCCAGCTGACGCTCGTGGAATCGCTTGGAGGCACTCGCATCGCCGGCACAGCGCGCCGCATGACCCAATCCCGCATAGGCGGCCGCCTCCATGGACCGATCGCCCAGTGACTGGGCAATCCGGAGCACCTGCTCGTGACAGGCCGCCGCCTGGGTGAACTGCCGTCGCTGATGATGAGCAGAACCCAGATTCGAATACGCCCTGGCCTCCTCCACCTGGTCGTGCAGCTTGCGGGCCAAACGCAGGTGCTGCGAATGGCAATCCAAGGCGGCTTCACACTCGCCCAGCGAAAGGTAGACCGCTCCCACGTTGCCAATCTCCCGGGCCTCCTGCAAACGATCTCCCAGCTGCTTGAACAGCTGCACACACTGTTTGTGGGAGGCCAAAGCATTGGGGTAATCCCCGCTAGCCGTGTACACGTGACCCAGCGAGGTCAATGCCGCAGCCGCCGCCTGGGTATCCTTGCATTTCATGGCCAAAACCAATTGGTAGCGATGCGCCGTGAGCGCCTCCTTGTGGGCTCCCTGGCTGAAGTAGGCGGAGCCGAGATTACCATGTGCTCGACATTCACCAGCCGTGTCTCCCAAAGATTTAGCCACCGCCAGATCCTGTTGCATATAGCCAATCGCCTGATCCAATTGATTCAAGGCCCAGTGGGCGGAACTCAAAGCGCTGAAGACGGAGCCCCTTAGTTTCAACGAGCAACTGCCAATCCTGAGGGCAGCCTCCAGGACGGAGACCGCCGCCGGATACTGGGAGGCCTGGAGGAGCTCCTGACCCACCACCGAGCTGACCACAAAGGGCGACTCCTGCAGCTGCATGGTGCGCAACTGCTGCAAAGTGGGTTCCAAGGCATTTCGCAAAGGACTCTTTAAAGAGGCCTCTACGAGACCTCCCATCAGCTGCTTGTTCGACGGCTCCTGGGCCAAACCGGCGGCAAAGGAGGCCAGTGCCTCGCCATAGCGGCCTAGACATTGCAGTGCCACGCCCTGGCGAAAGTACGCCTTCGGCCACTTGGGACACAGGTCCCTCGCCTGCGTCGCATCCTGCAGGGCGGCCGCAAATTGTCCCTGCTTCAGCAGCGCCGCCGATCGATTGCTGTACAGGATGTGGTTGCCCGGATCCAGCTGCAGGGCGTCCGTGTAGAGCAGCACTGCCGTCGCGAAGTCACCGCTTTGGCACGCGGCGTTCGACTGACGCACCTTCTCCAGGAAGAGCGCGCGGTTCGCGGCGGGCAACTCCGGCGTGCATTCCGGCTCATTCTGGGGAGAAACGCAAAAGACAGAAATTTGGGATTAAAAATTAATAATATAATATAAGAAGTAAAAAAATACCTAAAAAGTTCCCATTAATTCGAAATTAGATGATAAAAACAAGAAAGAACGCTATAGTCGGGTTGTTGTCCCGACTATCTAATACCCGTCACTCAGCTAAAGGGAGTGCGAACGCTGTGTCGGGTTGGTGTCCCGACTAATAATCGTAACTCAGCTAAAGGGAGTGCGAGGGAGATAGATATATAATTTTTGATTGCGTATAACTTTTTAATGAATGGTCCGATTTGAAAAAAGTCTTCTACATTTCGATAGGTATAAATATACACAACAAAATTGCATTTATACTTTTCGGAAATCTTTAAAGATGTGGGCGCAGGACCCATTTTAAAATCGTTAGTGGGCGATTGTGGGCGTTAGAGGGGCGTGGCGCTCGGCTAAAATAAACTTGCGCTGCGTAGGAAGCCAAAGAATATGTGGGGGAAATCTCAACCTTCTAGCTTTTGTAGTTTCTGAGATCTCAGCGTTCATACAGACGGACAGACGGACAGACGGACAGACGGACAGACGGACAGACGGACATGGCTAGATCGACTCGGCTAGTGACCCTGATCAAGAATATATATACTTTATGGGGTCGGAAACGCTTCCTTCTAGCTGTTACATACTTTTGCACCAATCTAGTATACCCTTTTACTCTACGAGTAACGGGTATAAAAATAAATGTTTAAAGGAAACAATTTGAATCATTATACCCGTTACTCGTAGAGTAAAAGGGTATACTAGATTCGTGCAAAAGTATGTAACAGCTAGAAGGAAGCGTTTCCGACCCCATAAAGTATATATATTCTTGATCAGGGTCACTAGCCGAGTCGATCTAGCCATGTCCGTCTGTCCGTCTGTCCGTCTGTCCGTCTGTATGAACGCTGAGATCTCAGAAACTACAAAAGCTAGAAGGTTGAGATTTCCCACACATATTCTTTGGCTTCCTACGCAGCGCAAGTTTATTTTAGCCGAGCGCCACGCCCCCTCTAACGCCCACAATCGCCCACTAACGATTTTAAAATGGGTCCTGCGCCCACATCTTTAAAGATTTCCGAGAAGTATAAATGCAATTTTGTTGTGTATATTTATACCTATCGAAATGTAGAAGACATTTTTCAAATCGGACCATTCATTAAAAAGTTATACGCAATCAAAAATTATATATCTATCTCCCTCGCACTCCCTTTAGCTGAGTAACGATTATTAGTCGGGACACCAACCCGACACAGCGTTCGCACTCCCTTTAGCTGAGTGACGGGTATTAGATAGTCGGGACAACAATCCGACTATAGCGTTCTCTCTTGTTATTAGCTCTTTTCATGATAACCAGTGAAATTGTGAATACACACAAAAAGAATCATGTTCCCGTAAAATCGATATGGCCATGTAAATTTCAGGTCATGCAAAACCCATATCGTTTTTACATGAAAGAAATACTCTTTTCGACCAGTTTAAGCTTATCTGGCCGCATATCAAATTAAAATTGTTCTTAAATAATGTAAAATCAATCTACGTTTCAGATCGTTTTTTTTTGAGTGCAGTGAAATTGTAAATATGTAATTTTTAATTTTCAGCTTTGACGTGAAATATCAAAGACATGGACAATGGTTACTGGGATATATAGTAATTTTGTGTAGTATCGTGGTTTAATGAGTGTATGTTTTAGCAAAAAACATTAAGATAAGTCCAATTCTATGAGACACATAATTGCAAATGTCTTAATACTGCGGATTTTCGCTTTAATTTCATGTATACAATTTAGCCATTATATTACATTTGATACTCCAAAAAAGAATCACTCTGGATTATGTTTTTCCCTGTGTAGAGTTAGCATTGATTAGGGCCAAATTACTAACATGAAGAGCATTCCACAATGCGATGGCCTAAGTAGAGCAATAAACACAACTGTACAAAGGCGGAGGAGCAGGCGGAGAGGGGAGTGGCAGGAGAGGATTTGCAGAATTGAGGAAAGAGTCTGGATGATTGCACATCTGCCGCTGTTATTGGGAAGAACAGTGGGTCACATATGTATCAGTCAGATGCAAAAAATACTCCTTTCGATTGGTGGTTTAAGATTCATAGTTAGTCTACAATATTGATAGAAATAATAACTTGTTCTGTACAAATTATGCAATTTTCTTTTAACTTTCTTATGCTTTGGATCTGAAATTAAATATGAAAGGTCCTTTAATGTAACAAACAGAGTAAGGAATGTGTTAAGGATTAATTTAATTTTTTGTTGAGTTTTTGTAGTAATCTGTAAATCTGTAGTAAAACAGCAGGATATTATTTCAAAGTCTCCTTGACTGGTTGTCTTAATTGGATGGACTCAGGACCTTTTCCTGGAACTGAACCTCCTGCCGCGACCGCTTGACCCACTGTGCAGTCGTCACTGGGTTGTAATTATGTTAAATGCCGACGCACCAGCTTGGCGGCTAAGTCGCCTGCCCTCGGAGCCTGGAACACAGGTATGCGGCCACCGAGTCACGTTTCCCGGCCAACTGCTGTTCACAGCTCACATCTCGCAGCTCTCGGCTGCCGAGCTCCCAGTTCCCGATCTCCCGATCCTGTTGGCCGGCCATCAAATGCGGAAGCAATTCCACGAATTCGTGGCCCAAGAACTGAGCTGAGCCCACGACTGGTGGTGAATCAGTAGCCTGGTAGTTGGTAGTTTGTAGCTGGTAGCCTTTTTTGGCATAGGTCCATGGACCATGGTCACGGCCACATCGCTGGGACGTTTTCGAAACGAAACGAAACGAAACGAGACGAGACCGTGACAACGACATTTTTACATATTTTTTGAAGCAATTAAATGCAATGAGTATGCAAATGCATTAGAGGCCAGCACCGAAATGGCCAGTCCTTGATTTGGGATGGGATAGGATAGAAACGTGGCCAGCAAGTGCGGGGCGTGAGTCTCCTCGGATACCGTGGCTAGATTGGCCTTCTGGCCGCAGCTCCGAATAAATCAGCCAGCTACAAAGTATCTGACAGATGCAGAACGCAATTTTCGTTTTATGCAGCTTATAAAAGCCGGCAACGGACTTGGCCCCAGCGATAAGCCCCAAATGAAGAGGGCGTTACCAAAAAAAATAACAAAAAGAAAGCGAAAACAGAAGAAAAACAAAAAGATAGGTTGAGTTTGGGAAACGAATTTAAAAATACCCTCACTGATTATAAGAAATAAAATAGATTTTTTAAACCAAATCGCTATAAAACTTTGTATAGAGATGTTTTTAGACGTATCAAATTATTTATCAATTAAAAATAGTTAGTAAAATATTTCTAGTGTTCCTAACTCTTATTTAAATTTAAAATACCCTCTGCCAGGGCAACAAAAGCAACCTGGACTCCCCAACTTCGGAGCGTTGGCGGTGCTAGCCGAGTAGATCTTGCAGACGAGATTGCGGGGCTGCTGCCAATGGTCAAAGTCAAATAAACACGCACAGAGGAACATGCCCTCCAAATGGCCAACGAAGATCTCCGGCGGAAGGGAGCGCCGCTCTGGGAATCCAGACGGAATGGCATTAGCAGATGTTATCACTCTGACTAAAATAATAATAATAATAATAGCAGTCGGTCCGACGGAGTTAAGGGGAACTTGAGCCGGAATGTCGATGGCTTAGGATAAGCCCAAGCTGTGGGAATGCTGAATAGGAATAACGTGATCCAGCGATGACAGATGGCAGACTTTACTTTAAGTGTAGTTGGGATTTTTTATTTCTCAAAGAAAGGTTCTTAGATCAAAGCATTTTCTTATTTTCCAGACCCAACAAAAAATTCGATATGAAACGTAGATCGAATTTACATTATGTAAGATCTAGTTTAACTTAATATGCGGCCAGGTAAATTTGACCTGGTCGAAAAGTGTAGGTATTTAATAAAAATTTACATAGTCATTTCGATTTTACATGCTTTTTCTTGCTCACTAAAATGCATATAAAAACAGTTAAAGTTATTGATTTAATTTCTTTTAAATAGTTTTTACCGCCATAATAAACTCTTCCCATTTTTAAATGCCTTCTTTAGCCATTTTTTCCTTTACCAGCTTATCGGCGGATTAGTAACAGGCACTTCTCTTTATGTGTATCTCCTAATTAACTGCCTTTCTTTCTTTTCCAGAGGGTTGGGAATCTCAGTGGATCTTTTCCAGCATTCGCTGCCCTTTCGCTCCGTTTTTGTTGCGCCGTGCTGTATGTCAATTCAGGAATTGGCGCCCAAATGGCACATAGAGAAGTCATGTAAAGTGATAGGCCAGCTATCTCGCCTCGCCAATTCCAGCTAAATTGGCAGCAGCAGTTGCAGTTGCAGCAGCAACATGGCCAACAGCAACAGCAGCCCAAGAGCAACATCGGCAAGCCAACAGCAGCAGCATTTTAGAAAATAGTAAAAGACGGACAAGAATTCTATGCAACGAGAAAGGGAGAAAAAGCGGGTAGAGAAAGGAAGTCGGCGTTGGAATTCAGGAATGCCAGAGAAAAACCTGCGATTCGAGAACTGGTCGCAGTTGCTTGGCTGTCCGCCCAGCAAAAAAAAAAAGAAAAAAAGATACAGCGCTCAGTAAGACAAAAAGTGGCACCCATAGATGCACTCGGGCGGCTGCCTGGAACCAAACGGGCTAGTATGTGTTGGCCAAGTCGGTTCATATACGTATATGTGCATTTGTGTTTGTTAGCCCCTCAGGCTGGAGCATCGATAAAGTCCGCCGCATTGGAATGCGAACAATTTCACGATTGCTCGTGGCGCACACTGGCATGTTTTGCGCTCAACTCGAGAATTTTGTTGCAATTTAACGCGTAATAAAATAATTAGCTGCGGGCCGAGGTCCTCCTGCACCTCCACCTCCTCCTCCTTCTTCTCTTCCCCCAAAAATCGCACACGCTGCGCGGATAATCCCCGATTATCCCATTGCAGCGTAGGCAGGAAGTCTAAGTCCTCTATGAAATTAACTCCAGGCATTCAACTCTTCATGTTATTAGCCACCTCCTTTTGTGCGCTTCTCATGAGCTTGATCGGTATTATGTTCCTTTAGTTATTTTCTACGTTTCCATAATAAAACCTTTCTGTAATGCTGAGGTTCTAAATCTTATGAGCACCAGGAACTTTAGTATCAATTTAAATTTTAATTATGTTATGGAGCTTTGAAATTCTTATAAATCATAAATTTAAAATTTTTTTTTATATTATTTATTTAAAAAAAGATTTTCCTTAAGAAACTTGTTATAAAACTAAATAAAAATCAAAATGTAAAAATAATAAAAGAATCCACCTGCCATAAAAGCTACTCCACCTATGCTAATTAAATAAACTCAAGGCCTATTTGACTCATCATACCGCCTTTAAAGCCAAGTTTAAATATTCTGTTGCTTAGGCTTTAATAGGAATCGACATTAGTCTGGAATTTATGCACTCATTTGGCTGCTGTATCCCCCACCTCGCTGCCCAAAATTCCTGGCCACGCTTCTCTGATTGCAGAATCTGGGGGAATGGGAATGGGATTGGGTCTTGGAAGGGGAATACGAATGGTCACTTCCTATCGTCTGTCTAGAAAAAGGGACACTCGAAAGGCAGCCAGTCAGTCAGTCAGTCGGCGAGACAGGCCGCAGGGGTCTGAATTGTGGATGCTCGACTCCGAGTTCGAGTTCGAGGATTCCGAATTCTGGACTGGTACGTCGCGCAGACAGCGACTGAAACTTATCCAACATCGTTGACGTTGTCGTCTGCTCCTCAAGTTGTTGGATCTTTTTTTGTTCTTGCCCCTGACATGACAGCGCGGAATATGATGAAAGGGCCGGGCAAAAAGTCAGGGTCAGGAGCTGGGGGTTAGTCCGATTCCCATTCCCATTCCCAATCCCAGTACCATTCGCAATCCATGAGGTTTTGCGTTTTGGCATTTTTATCTCCCCGCTCGGCTGGGCTTTTGTTTAATTTGGCCCTTGTAGCTAAGCCCTTTTGTAGTCTTGCCGCTGAGTTAATCAACATTGAAATCATTTTGCCATCATTTTGATTATTGCCCCTGATTGTTTTATTTTGTATTTTTTCCTGTACTCTGTCTCTGCTTTTTTTCTCATATGTCTGTATGCTTCAGTATCATCTCTTTGTTGAAATTTTGGAGAGCCGAGCGGCGTAATGCCTGATTAAGTTTTATATATTTGAAGGCCATAAATAATTGTCATGGTGTTTGAACTGCAAACTGGAAATACACGGCCGGCAAACATGTTTTCTTTGTGGTAAGGCAGTGGAAAGGGGAGGGACTGAGGTGAGTTGGTTATAAAGCAAGTTACAAAACAATAATTGAACAATAATTCGATTTCCTTTCGCCTTTCGACTTACCTCGGAGAAATCCCGCTGCGACATCTTATTCAGCAGCTGCTCGCCAGCGACGGCAATTTTGGCATTGTTCTCATTATTATTACTGGCGTGATTATTTGCATTAAAGTTTAATGGCAAATTTATAATGTTCTCATAATTCGTCATTTGTGTGCCAGCGAGGAATCATTAGGTGGCTCTCTGATCTCGGTTTTTATTATGTTTCTGATTCTCAGTCTGCAAACAAAAGAAGGGTAGATGGTGTTTATTTATAGAGCGGTTTTGAAATAATAAAAAAAAAGTAAAGAAAACAAACAAAAGCCCTGACAATGAGACTTTCAAATGCCAGGGAATTCTAGGGAACCAAGGGACGCCTCTTATGCAAATATTGGCCGATCCTCAGCCGCAGTCACATAAACTTGACAATTGAATGTGGCCATAAATTTGTGCCTCCAGATCTTGCCCCTTTTTCCCCTTCAAAAAAGACCCAGACTTGGCGCACAGTGGCCTCAACTTCGGTGAGAATTCTGTTTCCACTTTGGGCTTGGGTTTGAGTTTGGTTTGCTTTTGGTGTCGGCTTTGGGTTGCCGAGATTCTGATTGCGCCATTCACTTGCCAGCGGCGCCTGCCTATCATCAGCATCGGAATTGAAAACCGCCTCTTCCCTTCGAATTTGTTATCATTTAATTGGCTCGCCTTCTAGAGAAAGTTGCGAAAAGCAAACAAGAAGCGGTAATTAAAAGCATCCGAAGCGAAATCAATTAAGGCACCTTTTCAAATTTCATAAGCGGAAATTCGCATTCCCTGAGATGCGATACGATGTGATTTGATCCCTTTTCATGTGGCAATAGTGCGTGTCTTTTAATAGGCTTCCATTGTTGGCCAGAAGCCATAGATACAGGGCCTTAATTGAAATGTTAGGCCTCGTGACAAGAGCAACTTGAGTGACAGGCCTAGGAAAACCGCAAAAAAAGGTACGTTACCCCCTGAATTAATTTCCAGTGCAACTGCCTTGGAATTCTAATGAGATAGTTGGGACTTTGGAATTTCCACAGTCAAATTTTATTGAGTGCACAATGCAACTACTGACTGCTGACTACTGACCACCGGCAATTATGTTTCGCTCTGGCATATTTTTACGATCGTAGCTGTGCTCTCAATTCGCTGCGATCCTCGGGAAAATGACCAACAAATGGGCGTAAAAAAATCATAAACCGTAATGCATTCAGCCTGCTGTCGTAAAGCGCTTATCAATTGGTCAGCGTCTGCGTGGCGGCACTTTTAACAGTTCGCTTTTATTACTTTTATTGGTTGTGTTTTCTTATTTTCCCCCGACTGCTCGCCATTTTTTTTCCACCACAATTATCATTCGTTTCTGCGATTGCGAGTTTTTTGCTTGACTTTTTAACGATTATGATGCCCGGTTTCATAGCAAATGAGCTAATTTAGATGCCTTAATGGTTTTATAATTGTACTTGGTCGCAGCTTTTTATGGGCGGTGTTTCAGTTTTTGTGTGTGAGCTGGATTATGATTATTCGCTTTTGATTAAGTTTTTTCGACAACTTTTTGCTGGGGGAGCCAACAAGTTCGTGCCCTAAGTCTTTTGTATTTTCTTTCAGCTGCTTGGAAATAAAGTCATCGAAAATGTTTCTTATTTAAATAAGTAAAACATTTGAAATGTAACTTTTAATAAAAAAATTTTCCTCCTGCAGAAGATGTTTGTTAAAAAAATATATACTCAGTTCAAAATATCACTACATAAATATTATCCCATTTCTTGAACACTTTAAAAAGGTATCCACATACTTCTGAAAGTAATGAAAATATTAAAAAGGTGTTTTTATTGTTATCCATTTTGAATGTAAAAACTAAAATTTTGGTTTTTTTTTTTTAATTTTTACAACTTTACACCCTGCATACCGCATTTCGCGATTGGGGAAACACATTTTTTATTGCCCCAAATAAGGAATAGAGTGTAGTTTCATGTCTCTTTTTGTGCCTAATGAACTCTCCCAGTTTATTTGCACCCAAAAGTCAACAAATGCCACACCACAACAGCACCAGCGACAACGAGAACCGCTTTGAATTGCTTTTGTCAGGTCATTAGCGTTCACTAAAGTCGCCTTAACTTAGGCTCCTTTGGAGGGGTACCAGCACCCCTCCTCCTGGCCAAGCCGAAGCCACTGTCACAGTAACAAAGTGTTGCAACAATCTTGCATTTGGCTACGTTGGCGGTCGTTTAACGAGCACAAAACCCAGCCCTGGGCAACATGGCAACAACAACACGGCTGAGGAGGAGGACTCGTCCGCATCAACCGAAAAAAAACATGACCACCGATGGTTCAGATGGTCCAGAGGCGGCGGCGGGCATGCTGAGACTTTATTACAACTTCTATAAATGATTTCCGCTATTAAAGTGAAACATTTTTGCATAATTTTTCACTTAGAAAGGACAACAAGGAACGGCACCAACGAAATCGATCAGGAACTAAGGGAGGCAGAGGAAGGGGGCATCGGGGAAATTCCTCACGCTTCATGAGGCCCGCCAGGTATGCCCGAAAATTCCACACCACAACGCCTACCCAGACCCATATACCATATACTCGAGATCCGAGTTAAGGGCCTCCTCCTGCCACATTTCGTCCATCGTCATCGTCAACGTCTTCTTCGCTCGGTTTTTGATAATGCAGAGGTTCTCCTCCTCCATCTCCGGCTAAAGACCCCTCCTCCGATTCGTCCATCTCGTAACCTGTTGAAATGTGTGACAAATTGGGCGTAAAGAGGCCTCGGTCTTGTCCTTCCCTTCCCGAGATTCTGTCCCAGAGAGAGATTCTGTCCCATTAAACCCCCGAGCATGAAACGTGGGCGTGACAGCACCGATTTTGCTTCAGATTTTTTTTAGGGCTTTTCTCTTGCTCAAAAGGCCGAAAAATATATTTGGTGCGTTCTCAGTGCAGAAATTGAGTCATAAATTATTATGTTTATTACAGTTTGAGCTTAAGTGCACTTTGGTGGGATGTCTTAATGCTATAAAATATGATATACATAAAAAATATGATATACTAAGCATAGCGAGTCGATAAAACCTATCCCATAAATGTTTCAGGCATTAGAGATATTTGAATATGTCTCTAAACTAATTTCCTTGATCTTTCGAATTTATGTGAATTCATTTTCAGATTTACATAGTTATCTTTATTAGTTAGCTATTTATTATTAATGTTTATCATTTTTAAAATATATTGCTTTAATGTGAAATGAATGCCGTCCATTTGATTGCAAAATTTTTTTTTCATCTCACTTTTCTTTACAAAAAAATATAAAATACATACACAAACCCTCCTGTTCCCAATTGAATTTCCCAGGGTTTTCATCGCTGTCACTTTCCCCCTTAAACGGCCGTGTCTTTTTCCACACATTGGACACTTGTTAGCGAACAAATCGGCAGCAAAATTAATCACACAACATGAGTTGTGTTGCGGCTAAAAGGCGTTTATGTTTTTCGTAGGCCTTGCGATTTCGCAGCCGTAACTGGCATCTTGTACAATTTCTGAAAAACTCATTAAAATTGTTGGCTGGCAAAGAAACATACGAGTGTAGAGATATATTTGCCAGTTGCCGCAACATGGAAACAGCATTGAATAGAAAAAGGAAACAAGGCGAACGAAAGAAGAAAGATGCAGGCAGAGGCAGGCCAACGAAAAGCAATTTTAATGAAGCCAAAGTCGCAGTCACTTGTTGCAGTTGCAGTTGTTTCTGTGGCAGGCCGCATTGTTGCTGCCTTATAAGCACGGCATGCATTTGTTGCCCGCAATGCGAGTGGCACGATGTAATTGACATCATTAGACTAAAGCGCAGCGGGTTCGACTAGAAAGTGGCCAGCTCTTCCTCTTTCTCTTCCTTCCCGGCTGCGCGGCACCGTTAGCCATATTACCGTTCTACGGGCGACACAACCCACAACCCGCCACCCACCGCAAGTTCGTGTCCTGAGTCTTTTGTATTTTTTGTTTGGGTCGTATGGAAAATACTTTCTACTATACTATCTGACCATGAAAGAAATTATTTGCATTAAGATTCAAAGTAATAAGCCTAATAAAATAAAAGACATCAAAATAACAAATTAAATTTTATTTGTTTCAAAATTAAATAAAAATGAGAATTAAAAAGGTTCGTGTCCTAAGTCTTTTGATATTTTTGGGAAATATATTTAAAAATATCTTTAAATCATTAAACTTCATGAATATGTAAAAAACCTTAATTAGACTTAAATTTAAACGCATAAAATAATCAACGGTCAGTGGCTTAAGGACTTGTTTTATGCCATCGTGCTAAGATGTAATTCGACATCATTAAATTAAAGTCCGACTTAGAAATAACCCCTGCCCTGCGCTGCACTGTTAGCCCGATTACCGTTCTTGGGGCCGCACGACCCACCGCGATGGGGAAAATCCCAAGGAACCCCACAGCGAGCCAACGAGGGCCCAATTATGCAAATTATTAAATGAAAATAAAATCTAATATAATTATTTCGTGCTGGAGATTCGAATTCCTAATGCCATTGTCACATAAATTTCGAGTTTAAGCATTTTCGGTCAAGACTTTCGTTGGGAATTTATGGGGATTCATGCTCACCATGGAATGTTGCTGGAGACTGGAAACCTGGCTTTGTTCTCCACTCTCTTCTTGTATTTTTATAGTTTCTCGCTTTGTTTTATCACAGGCTGCAGAATTATTTTGAATTAATTTAATGGGTGAAAATGTGGCACATAAAAAGTAATTATTCGGAATTAGAGCAATCTTGATGGAGATTTTCTAACAATTAAGTCGGTAATAGGTCAATAATAATGAGTAATGATCGGTTTCGCTTAGTTTATCCACAGAAATGATTGATTTGCTTATGTTTTTGACCGTTACTCCTTTTCTTTTTTGTAAATATTACATAAATTTTAAGAATTGTGCATCGTGGTTGCATAAATTATAAATTCATTTTTATGGGTCTTATGTGTCATTTTGGTTAGTAATTTATGTAGAATACGGCTTGGCCAACAACAAGAATCCGAAGAAGAGGAAGAAGGAGAAGTCGCACTCACACACACTAGCACACACAGACACAATCGCGGGTCAAACAAGTCAAGCAACTTTTTTTTTCATCTCTTTGGCCAATCTTCGGATTGCCTTCCTCTTTTTTCTTCTTTTTTCTCTTGTTATTAGTAGCATTTACTTAGGAATGCACCAAAGCGAGAACGTTTCGGAAAAAATTTACAAAAGCCACAAGTGCACAATTGAAAAAATCAGTTGGAAAATGCTTTTTGCCCTGGTTTTCGACAGCGAAAGAGAGCGAAAAAGAGAAAGAGAGAGAGGAGAGAAATTCGAAAATTCCCGATCGCGAACAGATGTCAAAGTGGTCGAGTTCAAAGGCCGTTTTGCCGAAAATCTTTCAGCTTTTTGGCCCGCATTTTTTGCAACTTCACTGGCTTTCCGTTTTTTTTTGTTTGTTGGCCTGGCCAGCAACAAATTTGCAACAGCCACCGCTACACAGACACTAACACACACACACACACTCACAGGTCGTTTTTGTTGTTGCTCGAAACGGAGTCCGCGTTTTAGTTTAGTTGTTGTACGAGCCGCATGCAAAATTCAACTGTGCCGAGAAAATCGAGATTCGAGCCGAGAGAGCGGCTTAAAAAACAGGTACACAACTATGTGGCGCCACAAAACCCATTGAAACAAGGTGGTCTGGTCACACTATGAGCGATCAGGGTTGCCAGATCGATTATAACACCGAAAGAAAATCTATGGGCTAATTTTATTTAATCTGTTAATTTAATTTGAATAATATTTACTTTCTTTGGTTTATACGTTCTATTTCTTCAACTTAAAGCGTATTTAAACATAAATTCTCATCACATACTTTAAAATCGTTTCCATCCAACCCATATATGTAGTACACTTGAATGTTACGCTAGTAAATTGGTCTTTTTATTTTTTATTAAATCTTGAACGTATACTAGTAAAATATATCTTAGAATAACGCTAATACGATACTTAACCAAATGAATTTGTACCTGAAACGTTGGGTCCAAGTCATCTCGCATTTACAATTCCTCTTCACCGCCCAGGGGAATAAAGGCGGGCAGAGTCCCCAGTTGTGGTCGTCGCTGGAGTCGATTGGATCCCGACTCCGCGGGGTCTTCTTCCTCCATTTCAAGCTCTTCCTTCTCTTTTGGTAATATTGCTTCCGCCGGCTCCTTATGGCCACCAAAGTACCGCGAACTGGTGGGCAAATCCTCTTCCTTGGCCGGCTCCTTCGGGATCTCCGGGATGGCCACAGGTTTACTGCCCTTTTTGGGGTGGGAATTGACAAACCGCTTGGATGGCGCCTTCTTGCAGAATACGCACTTGGACAACTCGCACTTGCCCTGGCGCTCCAATTCCGGGCATGCGAACTCGTGACGCTTGTTGCACTTAAAAAAGCAGGGGAGTTAATAGGTTATCACTGGAACTTTAGACCCGACCAACTTACCTCGGCCGCCAGCGGACAGTAGCCGCGCACAAAGTCAATGCAGATCTCGGCCTTGCGGCTGAGCTTCTTGTGCAGATAGGGGCAATCCTCGCGGACGCAGACGCCGCGCAAATAGTACCGACAGACGGGCATCTTCTCCAGGGTGACATTATGCGACAGCAGGCAGTCGGGTTTGGTGCATTCGCCGCGCAGAAAGCTGAAAGTAGGGGATTTCAAAGAAGGTAACCGCATTGGGGACTTCGATTCAAGAACGCCAACGAAGCTTGAGTACTCCTCGCTTGGCCTGGGACAAACCTGACACAGATGGCGACCTGCCGCTTGTCGTGCAGCTTGCGACACCTGCCGCGACTGTGGGCGGCGCACTTGCCCAGTTTCTGGAAGATGGCACAAGGCACATTGGTCTTCACCAATGACTTGTTGAGCAGCGTCAGACTTCGCTGCCTGGCGGTGATCAGGTGGGCTCGCGACACATGATTCGAGGTGCGTATAAAGACATTCTGGGTCTTTGGTGAAGCCACATAAGTGAGGCCACCGATGTCGATGCGTCGCAGGATGCTACGGTTCACGCTCATCGCGGGAGCAGCAGCTGCCGAGGCTGGAACTCTTGTCAGTCGACAGCCCGAGGGATCTAGAATGAACTTATTGCCGCTGACGAATAGCGTTCTACCGGTTAGGGTACGTTTCACGGTCCTCGGGCTCGCTGATTTCGTTATTCTCGCTGCACTGGCATCCAGCTTGGTTATCTTGTTCTTCGATATCTTCTTGTACATCACGCCGTGTATGCTGACCATGCTGAGGGACTTGTTGTTGCCTAGTTTTAGCACCTGTGGCTTGGCGCTACAAAGAAAGAATGAGAATGAATCAGTTGCTTGGATCTAACAGAGTCGCCTGATAATTTATATAACTATTAGAGCCCTGCATGAATGGATTCGATGAATTATTTTGAATTTTTTGTTTTATTTGAATGAATTTATTAGAATTTTGAGTTTAATAGAATTGAATGAATTTGAATTATGAGTTTATTAGAATTGAATGAATGAATGGCATGAATTCCGAAATATTTTAAACGAAAATTTCTTTTGAAGGGCCATAATTTTGTGATTTAATTTGTAATTTACTATGCAGTTAACATTTATTTGTTAAAAATTGAAGGTACAAAAAAAATCTGGCAAATTAAAAAAATGCATTAAAATTATTCATTCATTCAATTCGAAATGAATTAGAAAAACTTTCAATTTATTTCACATAGAATTGAATTGAAGAAATCAGAAATTTCAATGCATACTATGATAAAACAAAAATGGAATGATTCACGCAGGGCTCTAATAACTATAGACTAGATCATACCTCAATTTCTTGCTGGGTTCCGCCTCGTTGGTCCGTCTCAGGGCGTACTGGCCCACAAACTCCCGCAGAGGCCGACGCTTCTTGACCAGCGGCGTAAAGGTGAGCGATATGGAGCGCACTAGCTTGTACCTCGTGCGTTTGGCAGCTGGACTAGGTGCAGGAGGCTGGGGGGCGGAGACCACTGGCGCAGTCTTCATAGCACCTTGGCGTACAATCTTCCGCTTGGAAATGCTTACCAAAGGAGGCTGCACACGGGTGGAAACTGGGGGAGGAGCAGGAATGGCCTTCACCGGAGCCTTGCGCACCAGACACGTGCTCGCCTTGCTGATGATCTTGGCGGGCGGCGGGGGAGGGGGCGTGACCAGAGCTGGAACCGTTGGAAGGGGAGGATTCTGTTGGTAACTGGAGGCGGAAACCTGTTGCCGCAGGAGCTGTTCGTGCTGCTCCCGCTGGAACTGCTCGTACATGGCCCGCTGGCGCTGCAGGAAGTGCGGATTGATGTGGATCGCGGGCGGTGGCTGCGTTGGCGCCTGGAACGCCTGGAAGGGCATTTGGAAGGGCAGCTGATGCGCAGTTTGACCTTGCAGTTGGAAATTGGGATTAATGTACACCTTCCGCGTCATGGACGGCTGTCCCTCGTCGGCGCTCAGGTGGGGCAACATGTCGTCACTTCCTTGCGTGCTACCTATTGAATGAATCTGTTCCTATTTTCGGTTATTTCTCAACTTTAACACTTAATTCCTATGCTTCTTTGTACTGATTTTTTTGTTACGTGTGTAACATCCATCCCCAGCTGCACTATCGATTAGACAACAATCGAAATGCTGGCAGAAAAAATACCAAACTTAAAAATACTATAGGGGGATTCCCTAAACTGTTGAATTGCTGAATTGTTGAAAATTCAACAAAAAATTTCAGCAATTAAGGGAACGACCCAAAATGGTTCCTGTTGAATTTTCAAACAGCTGTTATTTGTTGAAAAATTTCACGGAACTTAAAGCATGTAAAATTTGATTTATTATTGCTAGTTACTGTCTAAAAGTGTAAAGAAGGTAAAAAGAACCACAAATATGCTTTCTAAGTTGATTTTAAAATAAATAATGCGTACTGGTGATACTAAAATGTTACAGAGTTGCCACGACTTTTAAAAAAAGGTGACAACTCTGGCTTTTCAGCAATTCAACAAAATTTTCAGCAGCCCCGAGGCTGTTGAATTGCTGAAATTTCTGAAAGTTGACTTTGTATGGAACAGCTGATTAACAGCTGACCAAAATTCAACAATTCAGCAATTCATCAGTTTAGGGAATCCCCCTTATATATTATTGTTGAGAATATCAACACGTGTTTTTATTTTTTAAATTGTAAAATTAAATGATGTTCCAATATATAAAACATAGATTAATTTGAAATGATATTTATTCTTAAATTAAACAATTTTTAAGAATTTTTAAATTCAATGATAAAACTATTCTAAAGCAACATAAATTAATTAAAAATTTTTTTTTACATTTTTAATAATTTAAATTAAATAAAATACCGCTCTAAATGGTCACCCTAGAAACCGTTCATTGTGAATGGCAAAGCCATATGTTTCGCAAAACGTGGATTTCATTTGGCGAGAACTTTTTGAAACTGGAATTTTGAATTAAAATGGGCAAGGATCGCGGCAGGGGCAGAGGACGCAGGAACTTTCATTCCGGGCCGTACAACAAGAGCAACTGGCGTGGCCAGAAGAGGGATCGCCCCCAAAACAATGGAGGAGGGCAGCGCAACAGGTAAATCTACTATCCTATAAACAACCTTATTGTTAACCGGCTTTTATTTCTTTTTGGTAGAACTACGCCACAGCAGAAATCCACTTTGCGGGAGAACCAAGTGGGCATCACAGAGTTCACAAATCCGGATGCTCCCGGTTTCACGGGAATTCTGAAATCCCGCTTTTCCGATTTTCATGTCAACGAGATTGATAGCTCCGGAAAAGTCCTGGAGTTGAATGATCTAAGTGTTCCAAAGGTGGCCATCGTAGGTTGGTATATGGTAGCTAATCATAATCATCATATTATATATATTAAACATACCATTATATTACAGCTGTTGCCGAAAAGGAGCTGGACAACTGGCGGCAGGAACTGGAGGCAGTGATTGGTCCCGATGTTTGGCAAGACATAGCCAATCTGGCCGAGGCCAAAAACGATCCTAAGATCGAGCAGAAGGTGGAAATTGATGTGACCACGCTGGACAAGGAGCAGCGAACACAAGTGCATCAGCTGATCAAGCAGCTTTACAAGGGAAAACTGCTGTCCACCACCATTGGACAGCAACAGGTTAAGCCAAAGGCAACAGAGGACCCTTCCTTGGAGGAGAAGGATCTTGCTGAGGCTGAAACAGCAGCTCAGGAGGATCCTCAAGTGCCGGCAGAGGATAAGAAGACTATAAGGATAATCAAACCAAAGCCAGGACGCGGTAAGTAAAAGGAATTACCTAGGAAACCCCTTTCTAAAGCCTCCTTTTCAATAGGCGACAATCGCTGGAGCTTTCCCGCCGATTATGTGACCTTCCTGGTGCACAAAACCAATTTGGTTACCAGTGATGTGGCCTCAACTCTCGCAGCGCGATTAAAGTAAGTGGACATTGTTAAAAATCCATAAGAATGTATTAAAAAAGCTTCCTTTTCCTATAGCTTGCGACCCTCGCAGGTGAACTACAGCGGCATCAAGGACAAGCGAGCCAAGACCACTCAGAATTTCTGCATCAAGCGCCGTACGCCAGAGAGCATTTTGAATGCATCTCGCTGCCTGCGGAATGTGCAGATTGGTAACTTTGCCTTCCAGTCCAATACCCTCAAGTTGGGCGATCTTCAGGGCAACCGTTTCCGCATCGCCCTGCGGCACATAGCCAAGGATAAACGGGGCGAGATAGAGCTGGCACTGGAATCTCTGCGGGAGCGGGGTTTCATCAATTACTATGGCCTTCAGCGGTTCGGCAACAGTGCCAGCGTGCCCACCCACGAAGTGGGCGTGGCCCTGCTCAAGAGCGATTACAAACTGGCCTGCGAACTGATCCTGAAGCCACGCGACTCGGACGTGGACTTTATGCGTCCCATACGCGAAGAGTGGTGGACAAATCGCGACTCGGCGGCGGCAGCTGCGAAAATCTACGGCGACAAGTTCATCGAGAAGAAGCTGCTGGACGGTTTGGCCCGGTTTGGGGAATCGGATTACTCTTCAGCTCTGCGGCAGATACCACGCAACATGCTTATGCTCTATCCGCATGCCTACCAGAGTCTGATCTTCAACAGGATTGCCTCTAGGAGGATCAAGGAGTTTGGCCTGAAACTGATACCCGGCGATTTGGTTTATGTGGAGCAGGAGCAGGCGGAGCAGGAGCAGGAGCCGCAGCCGGAGGAATCGGAGGAGCCAAAGGAAGCGGATAATATTGAAGATCATCCAGAGGAAGAAGCCATCGAGGAGGAGTCTGTTTTCAAGCGAAAGGTTCGCCCGCTTACCGCAGAAGACATCGCCAGCGGCAACTTTAAGCTCTCCGACGTGGTTCTCCCGCTGCCGGGACACGACATCACCTATCCGAGCAACGAATGCGGCGTTTGGTACGATGAAATGCTGGCAGAAGTGGGTCTCTCCTCGGATCAACTGAAGCACAAGGAGAAGACCTACGCTTTGGCCGGGGCCTACCGCAAAATGATCATTTCGTCCAGTGATCTCAAGTGGAACTTTAGGTTGTACAACACGCCGGAGGACACGCTGATTGCCTCCGACTGGGAGCTGTTGAAGAACATTCCAGTTACGCCAGAGCCTGCAGAGGCTGAAGCCAAATTCCTGGCTCTATTGCTGGAATTCTCGCTGCCCACGGCCGCCTATGCCACCATGTTTCTGCGGGAACTCCTGAAGCAGGATACCTCGTCAGCCTCGCAAACGCAGTTGGAAAAAGAGGCCATGTCTAGGGAGGAAAGCGGAAAGGAGGAGGAAGCAATGGAGGCAGCCGAAGAGGAGGAGGCTAAGGAGCAGGCCAACTGAGATGCCAAAAATCAATATGCTCGGGAAATCAATTTTACGCGCGCTTCGTATCCAACTTCAAAGCAACCACAACAATAACAATGCGCACGTGAGGACGAGGGCTGTTCTCTCGCATCCTGTGGGTAGCACCCTCTCTCTCTTGCTCTCTCTCTCTCTCTGTGCCCAAGAGAGTCCTTTTGGTCCTGTCCCTTTGGCTGCCATTTCATTCGTTCGGTGGCCAGCAACGCGAAAGCTCGAAACGACGCGCTGCGCAGTTTTCCCAGCTCAAAAGTCCAAGTCGCACGGTTTTCCCCCCAGCGTTCTAAATGAAGAGCAATAACAAATTATTAATTAACAACAAATAACGAATATCCACGCTGCCCCCCGAAAGCCCGAACTTCTTGATCCTGTTCAGCCAGCAAAGAGACTTACAGCAAATACAAATCAGGAGGAGAGCCAAGGTGAATTACCAGTTAAATGTAGCATTTAAACACAATTTGGGCGCGTATTTTGAAAAGTCATTTATTTCAGGCGTAAGAATTATTCGACCCTAAATAATTGTTTTTAATTAAAGAGCGGTACATTGAACCTACAGCCACAGAACTGTACAATATTTTATTTTGACTTTGCCAGCTTATTGATTTTTGTTGTGTGCTTGTGCTGGAAATCAATCGATAATACGGTGTTAATACCAAGAGCAGGGGTTCCGGGAATGGGAAGGTGGCTGGCCGTAGGAGTAGTTCACATAGTGGTTTAGTGCGTCGGGGGCTGGCGGGGGAATGGGCACCAGAGGGGGGCTCCAGGGGTAGTGGCATCAGTCGTTAAGGGTGCACGACGCTCCTCGCTCGTTATGTTTTTGTTTCGGCCCACCACCGCCCCCCTTGGGGAGTCCTCAAATTAATAAACTAAATGCTTGTTTTGGCGTCGTCGGTCCGCCCACCCGAATGGGGGCTTCCCCCCGATCCGATCCAGACATTGGATATTGGACATGTTATTGCTTGCGCGCGCACTCTTTGACTCTTTGACCAGCAGCTCCCAGCAGCTGCGTCATAGTAGGAGTTTTTTGGCGTGGCTGAATTCGATTTTCCATAGCCTTCCACCTGCCCCGCGAGCCAAATACTGATGGCCAACAGTGGATAGATATATTTCTAAAGCATTACTATATTATCCCCTGAATCATGGCTTTATAAATGGGCTTGCCGAGACAAATCTGAGCCTCGTTAGGATTTAAATATTTAATGCTTTGTCATGGGGTTCATAAATTACTTCTTTGTCTTGTTAACACTTCAGGTTATCGTTTCTTTTGATAGAGGGATAAATATTAATTTAAATCTCTTTTTTGCTAGCTCAATAAAAAACTCGGTCAAAGAAAATATCATTAATGTTGTATCCTGTTTTGCATCTATAAACTCAGTAGTCTGGTAGATACAATTAAATTCTTAAATTACACTTATATTAAAAAGACAGATATTTAACAAAAAGCGGTAATTTGAAATCATTCAAACCAAGAAATTTAAAAAGCGAAATATATTTTTGGCTTAAATTTAGGAGGTTTTCTAGTATCTTGAAAATATGAAAATATTTTTTGGAACAAAAACTTTAATTATAGCTATTTAACTTGATTTAAAGCATTAGTAAGCTTGTTATCTAAATTAATTTACAAGTAAATAAGGCTATAACTGTGATGAATTCAATTGGGGTAATATTTAAATAAGTTTTAGCTCAATTTCATAGATATTTTTCAAAACTAGATATAGGAAAAAACTTAATGTTAATTAGTTTTTGAGTGACCTAATATATCCTATCCTGGTAATCTTCCTATATAACTATATCATCGATTTGCTCGTCGTTGAGGGCGCGCAGATTGCATTTGCAGAGGTAGGCCAGAATCCTTTTCTCCGCCTTTACGCGGTTCGCCTCTCCCAGTCCTTCAAGCAGGGCCTCAATCCTTTTCTCTGCTCTCACGGTAGCAGCGGCTGCTGGAGGCTGAGGATTTGCGGGTGGCGGTGGTGCTCCCGCCACGGCCAACTGCTCATCCATGGCCTCCTGCAGCGGATCCTCCTCGTCGTGGACCTCCTCGATGGATTTCAGTGAGTTCCGACTCAAATCCCCTGAATTTCGATGATTAATGGGATGGTGATGAGGCTGCAGAAAGTGCAGATGGGGCAGGAGGTTCCAATCGGAGCCAGTGCCTCCGGACTTTTCTTTGGCCAACTCGCGACGCTGCTTGGCCACCAGATGGTTCCATCGACTGACACAGGCACTAACTAAATTAGCATGCTTAGTAAACATTTTTATTTAGAAATCCTTAGTTTTTTACCATCTGTATTCAAGGATGTGGAGATACTGCGCCAAATCTCCGAGTTCCGTTTCTTGTGGGCTTCATAGGGTGTGCTCCTAAGTTCCCGCTCATAAAGCTTGGGATTAGCCCTGACCAATTCAATAAGTCGCGTGTCGAACTCAGACATTTTAATATTTTCCAAAATAAAAACAAATGAAAATATGTAAACAAATAACTAGCGCAGATCAGAGTGACCGTTATGCCACCTAATGAAGATACCGCTACAAATGCAGGGTTGTTCGACCCTCTACTCACCACTCTTGGGGTGGTGAGGTGAGAATGGGCGATTCAAAAAGGCCACCCCACCCGACTGGCGGCACTTATTGATTTATTTATTGATTTTATCGTTGTGCAGGCGCTGCCGGCCGCAGAGATGGCCGCCGAAAACTATCACCTCAAGTGGGACTCGCACCTCTCCTATCTGAACTCTTCCATAGCCACGCTCTACAAGTAAGTATTATAAATAAACCCCTAAATATTTTAGGTTTCAGATTGCAGTTAAATTAGAGTGTAAACTCTTTTAAAGTTTAGATTTCTATTCATGTTGTAAGCGAAAGCATGGCTTATTTTGTTATAAGTATATACCATTAGTATATATTCATTAAAATATAATAGTTAAATTTGAGGAATTTTTTCATTTATTGTCTTAATAGTTGTTAAAAAACGAACTCTTGCCAAAAGTTAAACTATTTTAAACTCTCATGTTTTTATTTCCCTTTCAGGAACGAGAAGTTCGCCGATGTGGTCCTGTACAGCTCCTACAACAGCAGTGGAATCCCCTCGGACATACCCACGGTGGGCATCTCGGCCCACAAGTTCATCCTCAGTGCTTCGTCTCAGTTCTTCGCCACCATGTTCGAAACGGCACCGATCACAAATCCCAACGGAGTGCTCTATGTGGTCCTTCCGCCGGATCTCAGCCACCGGGCCATCCAGATCCTGGTGCAGTACATGTACAGCGGCGAGGCCACCGTTTCCAACGACATACTCAACGAAGTGCTGCGCGGCGGCGAGATCCTCAAGATCCGCGGCCTGTGCCGCACCAGCTCTTCCAATGGCGGTGGCTCCGGCTCCGTTGTGACCACATCGCACCACCCGCATCCGTTGGCCGGGCATCTGCATCCGCGGGAGGCGAGCGCCATGTACATGTCGAATGGCACACGATCCGCCTTGCAGCCTCCTCCGCCGCCGCCGCCGTCGGCGTCATCCGCCATGTCGGCCCAACTTCAGGGAGATCTCTATGCCAGCAAGCCGGGAGGATCCACAAGATTTGCTCTGGATCATCACCACCACCAACTGACGTCGCACCACAATCACATAAGCCACCATCATCAGCAGCAGCAGCAATTCCGAGGCCTTGGGGTTTCCGTGATGCCCAAGGACTCGCCCGTGATCATCAAATCGCCCAAGATGGCCGCCCACACGGGACTCCTTACGGTGGCCAGCAGCAGCAAGCTGGGCATATCGGTCAACAAGGAGGTGGCCATCGATCCGGAAGACAAGTGCTGCTTTGCGGCTCCCGGGCAGGTTGAAGCCCAGTCACATCCACCGCCATCCACCTCAACCACAGCAACGGGCGGCGGTGGAGGAGGAGGAGGAGGAGCAGGTGCCCCGCCATCCCAGCCCATTTCCATTTGCACGGAGGTCGGCTGCAGCAGCTGTCCCATGACCGCCGGACCAAGTGCCGATCAGGCAGAGACCACCCTGCGAAGGACGGAGTACGAGGAGCAGACTCTGCGGGAACGGAACGAGGTGGGACTGGTCTTTGAGCGACGCCTGCGGAGGGAGAGCGCCTGCGAAAGATGTAAGTCGATAGAAAGAAGTGATTTCTCCAGCACCATATTCTTATTTTTGAAATCATAAAAAGTTTACGGGATTTTAAAAATATTTTTCTAAGATAATGTCATTTACCTCCTCTCTAAAATACCTTTTTGATCGTTTAATAGTTTCTGTATGGCAGTTTCCAAATGAAACTTAAGAATTCGCGTTTTATCAATTTGGTTATTGGATTATTAAGGGGGTGCCAAATAATTAAAGTTTTAATATTCTTTATTATAATAAAAATCTTTTCATCTCTATTTAATTGTATGACAGTTTCCAAATGAAACTTAAGAATTCGCGTTTTATTAATTTGGTTATTGGATTTTATTTAAATAAAAATCTTTTCATCTCTATTTAAATAACATAAATACTAATTACTTGTGTAAATCCTCCTCAGCCCGTGACTACTATGAACCGACCCACTTCGAGCACGTGGTGCCATCCCGCCTGGCAGCCACACCACCGCCACCGCAGCAGCCATCACATCCGCCGACCCTGCGACATCCGCACAACTTCCTGACCATCAAGCAAGAGCCGACCGACTGGAGCAACAACCCACCAAATGCCTCCAATGCGTCCAACAACAACAACCTGGAGGAGGGGCCATTGGCATCGCCCAAACAGCCTCTGGACTTTAAGATGTCCGCCGTAAAGCTGGAGGTCAATAGGGACCGGGGAACACCCTCGGAGGAGAACGAGGAGCACACGCTGCGCGATTACAACAACTTCAAGCAGCTGCTGGTCTGCGAGATATGCCAAAAGTCCTTCGAGGACACCAAGATGCTGGTCCGCCACCTGGGCACACATGCCGGCGATCCGGCGGGCGGGACGGAGAGGAACCTCCTGCCATCCAGTGCCAGCGGGAGTACGGCGACCGCCTCCAGCAATCTCGCCCTGCGAACGGTCAAAACCTATGTGCCAAAGAAACGACGCCGAGTTTCGGTGAGTTGGCATTATCTAATTTCGATCTTATTACCGGAATAGAAAAAATGTTTTAAAGAACTGTACATTTATGGATTTTTAGCTATTTTGAAATTAAGTCTACGATCTTTTACAAAAATATTTTCGGAACCTAATTAGAAAAAGTGATAATAAGAAATTATGATTTAAATGTATTTTTTCATCTAAGAACTTAATAGTTGTATATTTTATTTTTAACCATTAACAAATCAATGTCAGATCTCTATTGTTCTTGAATAATGATCAATTATAATTATAAAACTGTTTTGGGTTAATATATATTAGAGCTTACTTAAATTGTCCAATTATGAAAAGTAGTATCATACATTTCTAATTTAGAAATTCTAAAGTATTTTGTATCTTAATTATATTTTTATTATTTTTTTGCAGCAACAGGAGAACAATATGGATCACGATCACGTCACCCTGCTCTGCGATTTGTGCTCCACGTGAGTAGAGTTAATAAAATGTATGCCAAAAATAATCTAAGTTTTATTTCCCTTCTCAATCCATAGATCCTTTGATACGCCCGCGGAGTGGGTGCGTCATATGAACAGCCAGCACACGGAGATCGAGTTGGCGATGTTCAACAGCAAGAAGGACGGCGAGCAGAAGGGGTGTGTGTCCTAAGGGCTAGCGAGAGCACTCTGATGAACTCTGTTCACTTGCAGCCAGCAACGACAGCCGGCGACCAGCAGCTCTTCCACAGTGTCCACCAGCCAAATGCAGCCAAAGTATCCCAGTTCCACCGCCACTCGATCGACGCAGTCGCTCATGCTGCACAAGATTAGCAACACTGATGCAGTGGCCGCTGCAGCAACATACCCATCTCCCGGAGCATCCACCACACCGAATACCTAAGGATCGTCATCATGGATCCTTGGGTTTTAGAAGTAACGCCAACATCAAAACCAAATTGGCTCGAACTGGATAATCGCTGAAGAATTCGCGTCAGCAACATCAAAACACCAATTTGTTCGATAAATTCAAGTCGTTCCAGTAATCAAAAAGAGAGAGGGGTGTTTATAATGCAACAGCAAGAACCGTGATCAAAATGCAACCAGTTTGCATATTTTATAGAGCAACAAACAAAATACAAAATCGCAAAAAAATTAACGAAACTGTAAACGAAACTTAGAATCGGAATCGTCAGGCAACGATGCAAAACAAAACAATATGGAAAATTTGAAAACGAAAGCAAAAACAACATTTAACTCAAGTGTGTAGAATTTTTTTAAGTGTACGTATTTACTTAGTTTTAGCTACTTACTCCCCATGTAATTACTGTAACAACATCGCGCAATTGATACGAAAAAGATAACTATACAATTTAATCATTTGAAGTGTACGAATAATTTGAATCTTTTTTATCAGCGGACATTGACAAAAGAAAATTTTTAAATTAATCTTTGATTTTTTAATACAAATGAAATTCGAAAAGGTTCCATTCCATCCAATAACAGCGGATAGATTAAAATACTTTTGATAAACAATTAACAATCATTCTGTATTACTTTCCATTTTGTTTGCACTTTTTATTTTTCGAATGTAATAACTGATAACTACTATTTTGTACGACGCTATCGCGGCTTTATGATGTCAGCAACTCTGTTGTATATGTACTTTTTTATATTTTTTATAAGGCTTCAATAGAAATTTCGAGAACTTTTTTGTAAATAGGTTAAGTTTTATTTTGAAATCCGCCGATCGAAACTTTTTGCAAAAAGTTCATGAACTTAAATCTCTAAATGTATGTGTAGTAGTTGGAAGTTCAATTAAAAAACTCCCCCCAACCATGTAAAAATATATAATATATATACGAAATATATATATATTTACAAGCAGGCGTGATTATTAACAAACTAAGTAGATGTATGAACAATGCAGGAGGAAAACTGTTTCTTCCCCAAACAAAAAACAAATCGCAAAATGTAGCAAAGCGTTTTAACTTGAAATAAACGTCTACGATGAGAAATCGTTTTTAAAAGCGACCCCGAAGAGCAGACAAAATTCTAAGAGTCATGTTGCGAAAAGCTCGAACCTGATTATTCGCCGGCTGTATAAATACAGAGCGTCGTCGAAGAGAAAATTCAGTTTGGAAACGAACGTCGAGTTGATTCAACATTTAAGTGAATTTTATTTGTACTACGTTTAAATTTTTTAGCAAAAAACAAAATGAGTTCTACTAAACATTTCGCCAAAGGTAAGAGAAAATTACGCGTTTTCGACGGTAAGAGATCGTTTTAGCCAAACCAAAACAAGTTCTCCAACATTCCACGGACTTTACAAACAATGATGTGCATAATTTCACGATGTTAAGCAAATAAGAGCGCAAAATGGAGATTTTTGGGTAGAAAGACAGTTTAATTATATTTGGTAGATGATAAATATATTGAATCACGATTTCGTATTTTAATCATTTACCCAGAGCGTGGTAGAACTGTAGAAAAACAGATATTGGTGGACATAACATTTTAAAATTGAATTTTAAACTAGTTTTAACTTTTATTTCAAATTTTTTTATGAGTCAGTACTCCAGAAAAATATATGTCATATCCAAAAACAATTTTCTTTTAGTTTTAACTTTTATTTTAAACCTTTTTATATGAGTCTAGTACTGTTCAGAATTTGAATAAGTTAAAATCATCAAATCAATCAATATAGTTTTATTAATTTATTCCTTAATTATCAGCTTTTACTTTGACCCCTTTAGTATCAAAACATCCATAATATTTACTCTTCAAAAAGATAACGTATCAATGAAATGTTTGCCATATCACGTCTGGCCCTATCAACTCAAAGTCAATGACTTGCTATACTTGTAGTACAGGGGCGGTTTCATGGGATTTCCGAACTTCATAACTGACTAATCAATATAATGATGATGCACTTAGAATTTTACTAATAAATCTATATTTTTAGGGTCCGCGAAGCCTGTCCTTCCTGAAGACGGACTCCTTCGTCTGTACTCCATGAGGTTCTGCCCCTATGCCCAGCGAGCCCATCTCGTCCTGAATGCCAAGAAGGTGCCCCATCACACCGTGAACATCAATCTCACCGAGAAACCAGAGTGGTTGGTGGATGTGAGCCCCCTGCTGAAGGTTCCTGCTCTGCAGCTGGTGCAGGAGAAGGATCAGCCCTCTCTCATCGAATCGCTGATCATCGCCGAGTATTTGGACGAGAAGTACCCGGAGAATCCGCTGCTGCCCAAGGATCCTTTGAAGAAGGCCCAGGACAAGATCCTGCTGGAGCGCTTCAGCGGCATCACCAATGCCTTCATGAAGATCCTGACCCAGAACACCGGTCTGGAGGATTACTGGGTGGCTTTGGATATCTTTGAGGAGGAGCTGACCAAGCGGGGCACTCGCTTCTTTGGCGGCGACAAACCCGGCTTCGTGGACTACATGATCTGGCCGTGGTTCGAGCGCCTGTCTGTGATCGAGCTTAAGCTTCCGCAGGAGTATAATTTCGACGAAAAGCGCTTCCCCAAGATTACCCAGTGGATTGCCCTTCTGAAGGCGGATTCGGTGGTCCAGTCTTTCTATGCCACTCCTGAGAACCATAACGAGTTCTGGAGGACCCGCAAGGCCGGAAATGCCAGCTACGATCTGTTGGCTTAGATTAGTGCTATAAATTAATTTAAAAGAAAGATCAAAATATCAACAAAAAAAAAATAATATCAAAAAAATATTTAAAGCAAAAAAAATTACAAAAGAGTAATGAAAACATAAAAAATAAAGACAAACAAAGAAAACAAAAGAAAATATTTGCATTTTTATAATTATAATGCAATAATAATTATAATTAATGGTTTATAAAAATAAATAAAAAATAAAAATGAAAATAAATTTTTAGTTTTCTTAGGCTTATGAATCCAAATAAAGGATTATTAGAACATGGCTAGATTGACTCAACTGGTAAATTAAAAATGAAAATAAATTTTTAGTTTTCTTAGGCTTAGGAATCCAATTAAAGGATTATTAGGACATGGCTAGATTGACTCAACTGGTGATCCTAACCAAGAATAAATAAATATATTTAATTTATACAGTCGAAAAACTTTTATTATGTAGTGCTATCTAAAAGTCTGCTTATTAAAAATTGACATGAAATGTAGAACGATTTTACATTATTTAAGATCAATTTTAATTTGATTTGCTGCCAGGTAAATTTGACCTGGCCGAAAAGAGTATTTCATGTAAAAACGAAATGGGTTTTGCATGACCTGAAATTTACAAGGCCATATCGATTTTACGGGAACATGCTTTTTGTGTGAACGTTAGATTTCAAATGTAAAATATACAAAGATATTTATATTTTCAAAACGAGTTGTAAGCGTATTGTGAGTTCCAAAGAGGCTTCACTGCATCCACCAGGTTGGGTATGTGTGTCAGCCACAAAGGTTGCCCCGGCCACCAAGTTCAGCCGGGTAAGTGAAGCTACCCGACGAAGGGCATCCAGTCCCTCTTTATATACGACTCGCCGAGCAATCGCTGTCATCACTTGCATCTCCAGACCAGAGCACGCACATCATGAGCAACGGCAGGCATTTGGCTAAAGGTGGGTGGAACCCTCAACTCCAGATATCCATGGATATTAATGAATCTTCCCCTGGCACAGGCTCACCCACGCCGGATGTGCCCGAGGATGGCATCCTGCGGCTGTACTCCATGCGCTTCTGTCCCTTCGCCCAGCGCGTGCATCTGGTGCTGGACGCCAAGCAGATCCCGTACCACAGCATCTACATCAATCTCACAGAGAAGCCGGAGTGGCTGCTGGACAAGAATCCGCAGGGCAAGGTGCCGGCTCTGGAAATTGTCCGTGAACCAGGACCACCTGTGCTCACGGAGTCGCTGTTGATCTGCGAGTATCTGGACGAGCAGTATCCACTGCGGCCGCTTTATCCACGCGATCCGCTCAAGAAGGTGCAGGATAAGCTGCTGATCGAGCGATTCGGAGCGGTGCTGGGTGCCTTCTTCAAGGCCTCCGATGGCGGCGAACTGGAGCCCTTCTGGAGCGGCCTGGACATCTACGAAAGGGAGCTGAGTCGTCGCGGCACGGATTTCTTTGGCGGCGAGCAGACGGGCATTCTGGACTACATGATTTGGCCCTGGTGCGAGCGTCTCGAGCTGCTCAAGTTGCAGCGGGGAGAGGAGTATAACTACGACGAGGAGCGCTTCCCGCAGCTGGTTAGTAGATCTAGGGATTCTCTAGGTAGTATACAATTATTACATATTTTCCAGACTCTGTGGCTGGAGCGCATGAAACGGGATCCGGCTGTGATGGCCTTCTACATGGAGGCCGAGGTCCAAGCGGAGTTCCTTCGCACTCGCAGCTTGGGTCAGCCGAACTACAATCTGCTGGTCAAGGATGCCTAAGGCACTTGGTTTATTTGAATTGTTAGCTTGGAATGAATAAAACTTAAAGGCAGTCCAGAAACCATTTGGAAATTTAGAGCTGGCCTTTGAAGGCTATATCGTACTGGGGTTTTCCCAGGGTCTTGGACTTCTGGAATTCGGCGTGGAGCTGGACATCTATCGCCGTCTTTTGCACAGCCGCATCCTGAGCCACTAAATCACGCCATTTGAGCTGAAACAATGGGGATTAGAAATAGAGATCTTCTTGAGTAATTCCATTATTTCAAACATACCAGCTTCTCAAATCTTTTCCCATCCAGTTCATACTTTTGCTCCGTGGTGATTTTCATGCTGGGAAAGCGTTCGAACCAGGGCCATATCATGTAGTCCACAATGCCAATGGTCTGGCCAGCAAAGTAGGGGCTTCCCCTTTGGGCCAACTCCACCTCAAAAACCTCCAAGGCGTTCTCAAACCTTTCGATAGCATCTGCCGGTGCATTGGGATTACAGGTCAGCACGGGGTAAATGGCACTGACCACCGGGGCAAAGCGTTCGATGAGAATCTTGTCCAAAGAGTCGTGGCTGAGGATATTGCTGATCCAGGTACTCGGCTATGATGAGGGATTCCACGAGGGTGGGCTGATCCTCCACTCCCGTCAGCTGCACGGCGGGCACTTTGCCCAGTGGACTGTACTCCTTGTACCACTCCGGCTTCTCAATCAAATCCACGTAGATCTTGTGATGCGGAATTTCCTTGGCTGCCAGCAGGAGATGAACCCGGTGGCTGAAGGGACAGAAGGCCATGGTGAAGTAACGCAGGACGCCATCTTCGGGCAACTCGGGTTTGGTGGAACCTGTAAAGTCAAGAAATTGTTATTAATTATCAATGACTGGAGGAGTAACCCAAATCCCAGGTGGAGATGCAAAGATATCAGTTATATCAGTGGAGTACATATATGGGTTTAATGTCTTCTCGCTAGGCGCTTTCACAATCTAAGTTTAAGTATCTCAATTCCTGTTCTACAGGCTGGTATTTGATCCTCTACAAGGGCTCGAAGGCGACATCATAGTTGGGCTTGGCCTCATGGCGGGTACGCATGAACTTGGCATGGATCCTGGGATCCAAGGCGGTGGCCTTGACCGCCTCATCCTGGGCCACCAGATCGCGCCACTTTAACAGATTCTGATAGCGCGTCTTGTCCAGTTCGTAGGGGACATCCAGGGAGTACTTGAGAGCGGGGAATCGCTCGAACCAGGGCCAAATCATGTAGTCCACAATGCCGATCTTCTCGCCGCCAAAGTAGGCCGATCCCCGCTTGGTAATCTCCTGCTCGAAGACATCCAGAGCGGTCTCAAAGTTCTTGATGGCATCGGCAGGTGGATCCTTCGTAAAGAACACGGGGTAAATGGCACTGACTGCCGGGGCCAGGCGTTCGATAAGGATTCTGTCGAGGGCCTTCTGCAGCGGATCCTTGGGGAAAAGGGATCCCTCCCCGGGATACTGCTCGTCCAGGTACTCGGCAATGACCAGCGATTCCACCAGGGCGGGTTGTCCTGGCAGCTGAGGCAACTGGATGGCCGGCACCTTGCCCAGAGGACTGTAGTCGATGTACCACTCGGGTTTCTCGCTGAGATCGATGTAGACCGTGTGGTGGGGAATCTTCTTGGCGGCCAAGACCAAGCCGGCACGCTGGGAGTACGGGCAGAATCTCATCGAGTAGTAGCGCAGGACTCCGTCCTCGGGAATTTCCGGCTTGGGGGAACCTGTTGATGGGTGATTTGTGACGTCAGCGGAAAGTTTTCCATTATGCTTGGGGCTAAAATTAAAACTCTATCTGCGGCTAATTTACGCCTCTCGTGATGGGGGGTGCAGATAAAACTATGGAATCAATTGGCGACTTTTGCCGCGTCACTATCCCGGTGACCTTGAAGTGCCCCCACTCACCCCTCTTGAAGTGCTTCTGCGGCAGGGCCATTGCGCTAACAATTTTAAGATAATTCCTTGGGCGAGAAATGTTGGTGGAAGAAATAGTTCCAATCGAGTGACAACGAATGGAGACTCGGCGGAACCTTATATAGTGGGCGGAGTACATATATATATACGAATATATCGAATAGGTCCACCGATTGTTGCGCGGGCGACTTTAAATTATTTAAACCTTAATTCTTCTGTAAATTTAAGTAGCGGAAAATTAATATTATTTAACTTTAAGTAAATGAAACTTGATCACTATGAAACTTAATAAAGCCTTTATTTATTATTATAAATGTTGAGTATAATAAACCACATTTTAAAAACAAATAGTTGCAAATATTATTATTTTACTTGCTTCGAAAAGTCTTTTATTTTTTTAACAAATTAATAATGTTAGAATATAAAATAAAAATCTCTTTATTTAATAACAGTGAAAATGCATTTATTTATTATTCAATCACATTAATGCTGCCATGTATAAGTACAATCAAAAATCAATCTCCATATAATATGTACATTTAATGCTGAGGTGTATATTGATGACTACTCCAATTTAGCACGCTTGGCCGCGTTACTGAAACAATATAAATAAATCAGATATTTACCCATTATATATAGTTTCTATAAACCTACTATAGCATATTGTAATCCGCATTGCCCGCTCGACGGGAACTCATGTATTTGGCATGGGTCTGCCCATCCAGATAGAAACATTTGACGGCGCGATCCTCGAGCATCAAGTCGCGCCACTTAAGCTGGAGTAGAAAATCCCTGGTTAATTACAATAAATTTTCAGAAACCTATACAAAACCCACCAAAATGGCAAAACGTTCCGGATTCAACTCAAAATTAGCACCCAAGTTGAACTTCAAGGAGGCAAAGCGCTCGCACCAAGGCCAAATCATGTAGTCCAGCATTCCCGGGCTGGAGCCACCAAAGAACTTGGTTCCACGTTGCTTCAGCTCCTCCTCGTAAATATCCAGTCCGGCGTAATGATCGGTGTCGCCCAGCTGGTCGGGATTATCGTGGAGCACCAGGCGGTAAAAGGCGGTGATGAACTGCCCGAAGCGCTCGATCAAAATCTTCTCCTGGGCCTTCTTCAGCGGATCCTTGGGATAAAGCGGCACCTCCGGATACTTCTCGTCCAGGTAGTCGCAGATTATGAGCGACTCGATCAGCACGGGATTTCCCGGCTCCTTGACGAGCTCCAAGGCCGGAACCTTCGAGGAGCTGCTCACCTGCGGGAACCACTCGGGTTTCTCGCGCAGATTAATATAAATGCTGTGGTGAGGGATCTGCTTGGCGTCCAGCACCAGGTGCACACGGTGTGCATAGGGGCAAAAGCGCATCGAGTACAACTTGAGCACCCCATCGTCCGGGAAAATGGGCCTTTCCGATCCTGGAATAGAGATTTGCGATTTACAATTTACCCTGTGATAACAGTTGACCGTTCTTACCCGTGGTTAAATGCTGAGTTTCGCTCATTTTGGGAAAATAATAATAAGGTGGGTTAACTGTTTTGTTTTTTTTTGGGGAAACTTATCGGAACTTGACAGTAAAAGTTAATGTTATTCGATTACAAATCGAACTAGTGTAGGACCGTATATAGTAAATATTTTATCAATTATTAAAAATCTTTGATTTAAAATTATAATTTTAAAAATATATAATTTTGTTATATTTATAAATTGTGCTTGAATTTAATTTATTATAACATTTATAAATAATTATTTTGTTTACTGGTGCACTTTCCCACCACTTGCGATATTAAAAATACCACCAAAAAATACCGAAGCACCACAGCCGGTCACTCTGCCTCTCCGCCTATCGATAAGTCGATAATTGTTATAAAAAAATTTGTTATAGTCGCGGATTTTTTGTGTTTGGCGGTGTGCGAAAGTGAGATGGCTGCGGCATATGTTTAGCGTGTCCGAAAAATGTTTACAGTTAGCCCGCCCCTTGCGTAATTGAGCCCGTGTTGGTGTTGGTGGCCGCATCCCCCGCTCCGCGTCCGTGCAAATCTCGCCGCTCCGTTCGGATTCGATTCCCGTGTTGTACCGAGATTACTGCTACGTAATTGACATTCGGCGTTATCTCGACGCCGCCTTTAATTCACGCCCACCGCATCGACAGAAGCTATAGCCCCAGAATCGTCCAGCATTATCTTCGATCCCGCATTAACTCTAGGAATTGATAAATACACCCGCGTGTCCGTAGCTGTGTGTGTGTGTGATGTGCTAAACAGTCCGGCAAAGGAAAATTCACGGGTGAGCAGTAGTCACTGTGTTAATTACAGATTAATCTTAGTTAGTGATCAACAGACATAAGTTTAGATTCAGCATGGAAAGTGCAATCGACGGGCCCCCCATCCTACCACCCACCACCCACTCCCGATTTATTTATAGCGGGACATTTCCATGTGCGTGTGATTTTGACACCCGCTCACTTACATATATATACATACGTACAATCGCATACACAGATGCACACGTAACTACACTGATATTCAGCACGTTTTTATGCTATTTTCGATCGGCATACTTATAGTCATGAGTATGTTCTATACATAATTCAACGCAATTCCGAATGCCATTTCCATTCGCTATCTTCGGAGCCTAATTACGCAAAATCAGGGGAATTAGTAGTAGCAAACGGGCCAGAATGCTTATCGGCCAGTGGTGTGGTTAGAAAAAAGTTCTAGGGGGTTAGATTTTACCGTAACTACATGTGTCATATCATTTTATTATAATAGGTACTATTGATCAAGATAATATATTTACTTTAACGATACAGACTCAAAATTAATCAAGCCAAGTAATAAATCAAACAATAAATCACTTCAAATGATAAATAAAATTTGTGTTATATTTTTACATGCGTAATTATTCCTATTATGGTGCAAAACCATTTACATATATTTCCTAATCTCCATTTCAATCGGCTGCTATTATTATGGTCTCATATATTCTCAGATCCATTCCGGATGCGTAGACCCCCTTTGGTATTCGCCACTGTTATCGCCACTGACCCATATATCAGCATGTGTTTCTTTCGCACTTTTGGCTGCCTTCCACATAGCATTTTTCTGTTCAGAAGTGTAGGTGGGGGCATGAATCATAGATAATAACGCCGGTGGCCAGCAGAAGAATCCTTATCGGCCGAGAACTTTTCCATTTCTGCATTTCCCAACCGCCGCCAATCAATTATTCATGAGCCAGCACAATTTGCAAAAGTGATACTGCAAATGGGAATATGCAATATCAACCCCAACACCGCCTTGCAACCTGGCGCCGACCGACCACTCGATACGGAAAACAAACAATTCTCTACGATCATTTCGATGCCCCCAGATGAATTATTTATCGCTTATGGCCAGCCCTTCAACATCAGTTATGTGTCAGCGGTTGTACCGACTGAATATTAAAGCCCCAGTGCACGTAATTCAGCAGTCGACGAGCATGGCAAGGTCAGAGCCTCGTCCCGTCCGGATTCGATCCATTCGATCCAATCGTCGTGGATCCGTAACGTTCCATTTCGATTCCGACGTGATCGACCTCTGCAAAGTCTGGGCTTAAATGCTTCTATCCGCCCAGAACTTCGTTTTCATGTGGCCGTCACATGACCCGAGGTTTTTCATATCTCCCCAACGCAGAGTCCACTGAAATTTCACATCAAGCTTTGAGCTCACGATTTACTGGCTCACTGAAAAGGTAAAAATAAAAAAGATTATTCTGCGTATGTGTGTTTGCGTTCTTAGGTAGACACTTTGCAGGTTATTTGCCCGGAGTTTCAGGTATGAAATTAGTTTGCTCAGAGGCCAAGATAAAAGATAAATTCCTTGGCAGGTAGAGGCGGCGTATCTCATGTGTAGATGTGGATGTCTGCTTGAAATTTCAGGCCAAGCGAAACTGAAGATTGCGTCAGTATTTAGTAAATAAAGATATAAAGCGTGCGAGAAGTTTTACGAGTCAGTTCCCAGGTTTCGTTATATAGCGAAAATGTGATATTTAATAGTCCCCTGTCCAAGGTTCCCAACGTGGAGATATCATGTGAAATTTATTTCAATCGAGTGACTCATCAACATGGGGCCCCAATTATCATTTATCAAACTTGTACTTTGATCGATCGTGTGTGAAATTTTAGCTTTAATATGCCAGGGGTAATTTGATTCTGCGAACTAAACATAAAAGTGAATGGGTTGGAGGGAATTGGACTTTATGAAATGGAGATTGCATGCGAAATTTCATTATGTTAAGTCAGCAGCAACATTTTGTTGAATTTCACAACTTGCGAAATAAAACCCTCCCTTTTCAAATTTCAGCATGGAGATCTTATGCGAAAATCATTCGAGTGAGTCAGAACCTTGAAAAGTATATAAACATAAAGCGCACTGGGTTCCAGAAACATCGTGTTTATGAAACGGAGATTATATGTGAAATTTCATTATGTTGACTCAGCAACCAGTTTCCGGCATGTGTTGGAACTTGACAGCTTGCGAAATAAAACCCGCCCTTATAACATATCAGAATGGAGATCTTATGCGAAAAATATTTCGACTGATTCGATACCTTTTAGTGAATGTTTGTATATAAAGATTGGTATTTACAATAGTTATTTGCTGTATTTAAATTTCTGTCTAGACTTAAGTGAAATAAGATATCATGCGAAACACATTTTTCTTGACTCAGCAAAGAGAAGTGTACCGATCTTATGAGAATTTTTAGCGGATTTTGTCAGCACTTTTCATTGGAGATACCATGCGAAATTTGATGTCCGTATGTACCTAATTGAGTCAGCAGCAAGTTCAGTGACTTGCCGTCCAAATTATTACCACGAGGCCTCGAAATAAACCGACGTGTACAATTTTTGCTATGGAGATGTTATGCGAACTTCAATTGAGTCAGCGAAAAGTAAATGTACGATAAAGGGAATAGGAAAATAATGTAGGTACAGTAGGCGCTTGATAAGGTGACCAATATAACCAAATTAAGTAAGGGTTTTTCTCTATTTATGATTAACAAAATATTGAAAAGAGTAAATCAAAAAAAATTAGACAATTTCTATAGTTAATGTTCGTTTTGATATTCTCTGTACTATAATCTCTCTCATATCCTTTGATTCCTAAAATATTTTTGTTTATTAAATTTAATTTTTCATTGATATAATGCAACTGCTTTTCAAAAGCCCATAAACATCAATATACTTATAGTTTCCAAACAAAAATAGACCAACATTAGTGCTTAAGTAGTTTATTAAAAATTTTGCAAAAAAGTTCTTTAAACACCTAAAAAATAATGTTGCTGTTTTATAATCGATCTTGAGAATAGATATTTTAATAGGATTATGGTGGATATGCTACATTCACACCGATAGATCTTCTCATCTAATATAGTTTTTGAGCCAGTTAATTGACATGTTCATTTGATGATAGTAAAACTCAAATTAATCCTCTTGGTTCAAAAATCAAACTTAAAGTGCAGTCGTGGGGTTCTAATGTTCTCTTCGTTGTTCGCCATGGTCCGGAATCAGCCACGCCCCGTCAAGTTTGCACGCCTTCGATGTGGGCATGCTTTAATGTGGTCCCCAGTCGTACGTACATATGTACCTAGTATATCATATACTCACACTGACTGAAGCCCCCAATGAAACTGGCTTATAAATCGAACCGCAAGCGACGCGCGCCGCTCAGTTGCAAAGCGTTTGCAAAGTTCGTCGGTGGTTCGGAACGCGGATCGGTTTAGAAGTGTTAACCAAAGCGTTCTATTCGGTACGATTACCGTTGAAGTTATTTTTAAAAATTTTTAATAAATTTATTATTAATTTGGGGCCGAAGAAAGTGATTTAAATTGAGGATGACCCTCGTCTCCAAAAATACATCTATGTAGCATTGAAGGAATCATAAAAACGAGATCGTTAAACATTTTTCTCCCAGTGGTTTCATTAAAATCACGCGAACAGAATTTAAATGAGGCTTGATTACAAAAAAAAAATATGTAGTGAAAAACGAAACACAAACGAAACAGTCGGTAGTCAATGGCGGCAGCACTTGACCAATTGACTCAGTTTGCGGGATTGATTGGGAATATTGCCGATGAATTGTGTCTGATCTGATTTCGGGAATAATTTGTATGCAAATAATTTGCCTCGTTGATTGATTTTTATTGCCCTGAAATTAAGTTTCTGCCCTGGCAGTTTGGCAGTTAATTTCCTCAACAAGTGCGAACTTCAGCCTCAACCTTTAACACTTAAACCCTTGCCAAGGCGACGTGTGTCCTTGTCAATGCCACTGCCCGCCCACTTCCTGCGACCTTGAGGCCACCATCTACAATTTATGCAGCAACAATGACGTTTCTATTATTACCTATAGTGTGTTTCGGCTTTCCCTTTTATTAAGTCGATAACCAGCGCGCCGAACGCCGCCCACGTGTATCCGTACCCCCACTTCTCACCTGTGTCGTAAATTTTCGCCAAAGTTTTATCAATAAATTGGATTTCAATGCAGGACCGTTGAACTAACTGCCCAAGTAGTTGTGCCATTAATGCGCAATTGCAAAATTGTCTGAGTCCCACACAAAAACACACACTAAACAACAAAAACAACAAGTAGTTAGAGCCAACTATAATATCAAACAAATTTTCAGTTAGTGGGGGTTTGGGGAAAATTTCAAGTCCCGCCTGGCGAATTTCTTTTTTGGCGCGTGCCACTCGTAGTTTGCTCATCGAAGAAGCCGCATGGCATCGAATAATTTGGCTCCCGACTAGGAGCTGAAAACAGGTTGGCTGATAAGCCACATTTAGTAATTACCAGTGGGTTATCGTTATGTAATTTTTACGAGCTTACATTCTCTGATTTTGTGTAGTGTTATTACCAAATATTTTATACCAAAGCAGCTAAAGAATCAAACTTTTATTGTGAAGAAATGTGAGATTGTGATTTCAAAAGCAAATGTTCCGATAAGGAGTGGGAATTTTAAGGCTCTTAACTTAAGCCAATGTGGATTTGTTCGACTTTTCAAAGTGATAAAAGTGTGAATTCTTAAAAATAGGTATTAGGACTGCTTTAGATAAGTTAATTTAAATAATTTTAGTTTTGAAAATGGCGATAAAAATATTTAAAATTGATAAACTTCTTTGTGCACTAAAAAAGCTCATAAATAAATCATTTTCTTATAAATAATAAATTTATGTCAAAGTTGTATGTATCGAAGTACCGAAAACCGCAAATGTACCTGAGCTTAAAGTCAAATGATCAACTCAATGAAGTGATCTATATCCCCATTGCCAAACCAGAAGAACTCTTTGTTTATCAGAAACAACAAATGCATCAAAATCCCATCCCTTTTATGGCGATCTTGGGGCACCTGAAACCAGTCGGTTGTTTGGGCTGCCCGCTGTCCCATATTTGGAGGAGTCGATCCACCAACGAACGATCTTGAACTTCCGCTTTGGTCCGCTGACTATTTTGGTTATGCAATGGGCAAATGGCTTTTGTAAGTGGCTGCGATCGTTTCGGTTCTGAATTAATGAGTGTGGGATGGTAACAAGGGGGATGTCAGCTGTGGAACCCCATAAACGATTTTTAATCAAATAGAATTGTACTGTACTTGTTTTCGTTTTTGGCTAATCTCTTGCTGACTTTCTGCGTTCAATTCCAGATCAAAATAAGCGCGCCAATTGACGACTGACTGATTGACGGATATATAATGATCGTGGCAGATCGTGCTGGGCAGTAAACCGAAACGAGAGTCAGAGAGAGTCATTAGCAGAAGTCCCAGGAGTGGAAGAAAAAGGAGAACAAGTCGGGTCAATCTACAAAGATGGCTCGTCACATTATGGCCGTTTGCGTGGTGTGCCTACTCTGTGCACACCGCCTGCACTGCCAGGATCACATCGAGAGTCTATTGGGCCCGGCCGTTGGGCTGGCGATGACCCACAGCCAGGAGCAGTTGAACGCCCGCGTCTATACGAACCAGAGTCCCTCCAGTGAAACCACCGATCGGCGACAGCAGCAGCGATCCGCTTCTGGCGACGACGACACCCCCAACTACAGCACCAGCCCGCCAACGAGGAGACAAAAGCGCCATGCTGGCCACGACCACGGTCACAGTTCCAGCTCCGAGTCCCGTGTCCCGCAGATCACCCAGTACTATCTGGAGAAGCTAATGGTCCAGAACGAGCTGATGAACAGCAGCGGATTCGATGGTCTACTCCAGCAGCTCAGCCTCCACTCGCTGGCCAGTGGGGCAAGTGAAGGAACTGTAAGTTTATACTAATCTCACCTTATATAGCTGACTAAAACGTTATTCTCATTGCAGTGCGTGCCCACTAGTCGCCTCGTGCATCATGTCCAGCCTCACGATCATCACCACGACCACGAAGAGGAGAAGAACCATAATAACCTGCAGCTGAACAACTGTACGCTCAGCCAGAATGGCACCAACTCCAATGTTGTATGTGCACCCCACACACATCCCCTCAGCGAGGATGTTCAGAACTTCACGCTGAGTGAGAAGGACCTGCTCCATCTATGTCCCATCCTGCTGTACGAGCTGAAAGCACAGAGCGGTGGATGCATAGAACCGTCTGTCTTGTCGGATATCGACAGCACCGAAGAGCGGCTGGAGGAGGATAAGGAAAAGGATATATTCTACGGTGAGTTTTAGGCAACGTACTATATTCTTTTTTACTTATTTCTTTACTTATTTTCTAGTGTGGGTCTATGCCTTTATTTCCGTATTCGCCTGCGGCATCCTTGGCCTGGTGGGAGTGGCCATCATACCGTTCATGGGATCGCGGTATTACAAATACATCATCCAGTATCTGGTGTCGCTGGCCGTTGGAACGATGACCGGCGATGCCCTGCTGCACTTGATGCCTCATGTGAGTAGAGCTGATTACGCCGATGGTTTTTCCTCTACCGTGACTAATGCTTAATTCCCATTCGATAGTCTCTGGCAGGCCAGGACGAACGAGGCATGATCATGAAGGGGCTGGGCTGCCTGGGCGGCATCATCTTCTTTTATGTGACGGAGCATGCCCTCACCATGATCTCCGAGTGGCGCAAGAGCGTGGAGAAGAAGGAGACGAAGAAGCCGTCGAGGGCGAAAGTGATGCGGGATCCCGATTCGTCGGTGAACAACTCCGTGGCCGGCGACAAGATCTGCAAGCAGAAGTACAGCTCGTATCCGTATTGCTACGACGAGATCACGATGAACAACAAGCAGAGCGAGTGGATGCACCTGCCCGGCGATGGAGTGAACTCGGCGGCGGCGGGCGCTGGCGGGGATGCAGCCTCAGCCGCGGAGTTGCGCAACGGTGTGGGCGATCACGAGGGCTCCAACGACATGTCCGCCGCTGCCGAGTCCCTGCTGTCAACGCTGCACACGAATTGTGTGGAAATGAATCACCACAATCACCACAATCACAAGCACAACAGCCACCAGCAGAGTCAGGAGGGCCAGGATAACAACACCATTGTCACCGATCTGGACGGCAATGCGGTGTACGCCTCGACGAACAGTGCGAAGGATAAGGAGGGGCGCAACGATCATGTGACTGTCATCCTGCGGGAGCACGAGTCCTCGCATCACGGCCACAGTCATCGCCATGGTCATGTTCATTCGCCGCCGGAAACGCTGAGCGCTGTGGCCTGGATGATCATCATGGGCGACGGACTGCACAACTTTACAGATGGCATGGCCATTGGCGCCGCATTTGCGGAGAACATTGCCGGCGGCTTCTCCACCTCGCTGGCCGTCTTCTGTCACGAGTTGCCGCACGAGCTGGGCGACTTTGCCATCCTGATGAAGGCGGGCATGTCGGTGAAGTCGGCCGTCTACTACAATTTGCTGACGGGAGTCCTGAGCTTCATCGGCATGATCTTCGGCATCGCCTTTGGCCAGTCGCAGGAGGTGGCCAAGTGGATGTTTGCCGTGGCCGCGGGTCTGTTCATCTACATTGCCCTAGTCGATATGGTGAGTTGTCCTTCGATATGTTTCGTATTTTATTTACTTATTTATTGGTTTTAATTTATTACAGATGCCCGAGATCTCGGCCTCGCACAAATCGCTCGGCCAGTTCCTGCTGCAGATACTCGGCATGCTGAGCGGCGTGGGGATAATGCTGGTGATCGCCCTTTACGAGGGCGATCTGATGAGCGCGTTCGGCACGCCGGTGCATTAATCACATAACTGAAATTGTAACCAACCGCAGCGAATCTTGTAGCGTATTATGTGAATGGCAGCGAATAACTTGTGTGTATTAACTGCATTTTTCCGCCAGGCCTAGAGGACCTCTTGAATTATTATTTTTTGTATAATTTGATTAGATTGTTGTTTACCTTAGTCCACAGAGTTACACAGAACACAGCCACAGACACACAGCCGGTTGGCGCTTATCAACGCATTTGTTATCCAGTTTATGAAACACACAACCTCACACAACCACACACCCACACAAGCGACGCGATTCAGCAAACTCGTTTTAATTTCGTTCCTAATTTTGCTTTTGAACTGCGTTCGAATCGATTTCACACCCGATTAAATGTAAGATGTCTTGAAATTGCCTAGGTTAAAAAGTGATCTTGAATTTAGAAGAAACCAATTGAAAAGAAGCTCCAAAACGATCTGGTTCTGGATCCCGAAGTCCTCTAATAACTGATCTTATACACTGAAAAGAAGAGAAGAACCTAAAAATTACGATATAAATTGTAGAATATGTATACATACATATAGTTTTTGTATTTTGTAGTCTAGGGTGCGCACGTTTACTTTATGCGAGTTTAACATTCTAAACCCAGAATTAAGAGATGTCCACTGTTATGATTTCTGACAGTACTTAACGACTTGAACGCCTATAGTTTCCACTTTTGGAAATACACAACCAACCCATTTAAGCTTAATTTATTATCGTATTTGTAATAAATTTAAAAGATTATTCAATTGCACGCTCATGCATAATTTACATTTTCGCTACCCCGTAGCGCCTTCGTTTAATTATGATTTTGTAATAAACCAAGATAAAACCAATCCTTTTATTTTGTTCTTATTCGAGTTTTCGTTTTTTTTATGGCGCACACAACTAACACGAAAGTGATTGTGATTCAAAATGAGTAACTAACATTTGTAAAATGGTGCGACTTGCGGCACGATCGCCCTTAATGACTTCCCACACACACCGATCTGCACACGAAGCTATAACTTAAACTGAGCAACTAACAATATTTTGTAAAGCCCACACTATGTGCTACCGAGGCAGTAAAACCTATATTAATGCTAGCTGTAAGCTCTACGAAAACTACAAACAGGAAACCAAAAAATAAAGAAGTAAACATATATACACACACTGTGCTAAAGGAATTTTGGAGAAATGGATGTAATACTACTTTGGTGATATCACGCAAAAGGCAATTGAAACAACTAACGAAATAATTTTACAATAATGTATTGATAAACATGTTTGTATGTAAGTCGTGTAAGTGTGCACCAGCACATGCGAATGGCGCGTATTTTGCTACATTTCTGTTTATTTTGTAACGGAACGTAAACACTCTAAATTTTCCAAATAAATGTTTTTCCACCTCAACGTCATAAAGCAAATGGAGATAGCGAGAGCATTTGAATTGGGCGGGCTCGTGGGAAATCGATAGCAGATGCAATGATCGTTTGGAATATTTTTCGGTATATTTGAATACATAAACTCAGAGGGGTGAGAGAGAGAGAGGCTTGGATAGGGCTAAGCGGTGACTGCAACCGGCAGTGACTGCATTCGATTGTCTCCAAAAAACATCGATGATTTTTTGTCACATCTCTAAAACGTAAGGGCAAACGTAAGTGTAAGTTATACGTAAGTGTAAGTTATACGTAAGTGTAAGTTATACGTAAGTGTAAGTTATACGTAACAGCGGCTCTCCGTCATTTACTGAGAGAGGAGAGAGAGCGCGAGAGCACGGTCAGGATTTAGTGTTGCCACCCCACCAATGGATCCAATGGATCGGAACTTGGATAGGGCTAAGCGGTGACTGCGACCGGTGATGTGACTAAAACATCGATTGTCCCAAAACATCGACGTTTCCAAAATTGAATCGATGTGAAACTGTTTCCCCACTCTACTTAATACTGCAAAGATGCGGCCCACTTTCCTGGCCATTTTGTGCTTCCTGGCGTGGAATCCCTGCTCCGAGGCCACCGGCAACCTGAGTCCCGGCGCCGTGGGCGTGCACCGTCGCTTCGAGTACAAGTACTCGTTCAAGCCGCCCTATCTGGCCCAGAAAGACGGCACCGTGCCGTTTTGGGAGTACGGGGGAAGTGAGTACGAGTGGGGGGGGGGGGACGCAGCTCCACGTCAGTTGTTTTGGCCCACTCGCCGCCGCTCGCAGGTCATAAGTGCGAGCGAGACGGCGCGAGGCGGCCAAGTGTACACGCAGGCACTTTGTTTGGATTTTTGGTTTTCCGATTTGACGATTTGTTTCTATAGCCACAACTTGTTGCTCCTCCTTCCAGATGCCATCGCCAGTTCGGAAAGTGTGCGCGTGGCGCCATCGCTGCGCTCCCAGAAGGGCGCCATCTGGACGAAATCGCAGACGAACTTCGACTGGTGGGACGTGGAGATTGTGTTCCGGGTGACGGGACGTGGTCGCATCGGAGCCGATGGCCTGGCCTTCTGGTACACCACCGAGAAGGGCGACTACAATGGCCCCGTCTTTGGATCCTCCGACCGCTGGAACGGTCTGGCCATCATGTTCGATTCCTTCGACAACGACAACAAGCACAATAATCCCTACATCAGTGCCGTGCTCAACGACGGCACCAAGTTGTACGATCATGCCAACGATGGAACCACCCAGCTCCTGAGCGGCTGCCTCCGCGACTTCCGCAACAAGCCCTTCCCCACGCGGGCGCGGATTGAGTACTACAACAATGTGCTCACCGTGCTCATCCACAACGGGATGACGAACAACAACGATGACTACGAGCTGTGTCTGCGGGCGGATGGCGTGAATCTGCCCAAGAACGGCTACTTTGGCATCTCGGCCGCCACGGGCGGTCTGGCCGATGACCACGACGTGTTCCACTTCCTGACCACCTCGCTGCATGCCGCCGGCCAGGCGCAGGATCAGCTCAAGGTGGACAACCAGGAGAAGCTGACGCAGGAGTACAAGGAGTACCAGGACAAGCTGGAGAAGCAGAAGCTGGAGTACAAGAAGGAGCATCCCGACGAGGTGAGTGCCACGCAGGCAGCCCGTAAAGTCGGCTTATCTGTACGAGTGATAATCGACTTTTGCGTAATCCCTGTAGCACAAAGACGACGAGGACTGGGAGGAGTTCTACGAGTCGGAGAACCAGCGTGAGCTGCGTCAGATCTGGCAGGGTCAGAGCCAGATAGCCGACCATCTGCGGGAGCTGTCGCGCAAGGTGGACGAGATCATTGGCCGCCAGGAGACCACCTTGTCGCTGGTCTCGCGCAATGCCGGACAGGCTCTGCCTCCGCCCGCCCCCGCCGCCGGCGGAGTGCCACAGCAACAGCTGCCCGTTGGCGCCGTCAGCAGGACCGATGTCGATCTTCTGCTCACCAACCAGAACATGCTGCTCAGCTCCATTCGCGAGATCCGACAACTGGTCGGCGATATCAATGTGCGCACTGATAACATTCAAACGAATCAGAAGCACGCGCCCACAGCACAAATCCAATCCACCGGCTATGATGTGCAAACGCTCATCGCCGAGATGCGCGATGGCATGAACCAGGTCAAGCAGGGCATCACCCACGTGGGCCAGAGGTGAGGAATACGCTTAAAATGTTTTAGTCATTTCAAAAACCTGTTGTCAGCATTTTATTCAATTAACACGCATGGATCTCGATCTAGCCTAGGGCTAGCTTAGCTATCATCTGACTGATTTTAATATTATACCTAGTATTTTGTGTTTTTACGTGTTCATGTTTAACTCAATATTTGTAGAATTCCTGTACAATTTGTACAATTTAAGCCTATATATCAGTACAACTTTTGAGATTTTAATTGACTTTTATAAGAGTTTTTAAGCAGATTTAGAGATTTTTAAGCTATTTACGGTGCTACTGCTCATAAGGAATTGGAAAGGCTTATATTGTGACTTTTATTGTTATTATTATTAGACAGTTAAATTTAAAACTTGAATCCATGTAAATTAGCCTTATTTATATTCTGGTATAGGAAAGATTACGATAAAAATTTTATAGATTTAACGTTTCCTTAAATGTAGCCTTTATCGGAAGAAAAATTTTAGAGTGATGAGTTGGTTGTCTAATATTTTATTATAAAACTGTTAAACTAAACATTTGTTTTAAAAGCATTATATTAAGTTCTTAGCTTCCTTAATATGTGTACTGTTACTAAATATGATTTTCTCCTGCCTTTAAGATTGGGAGCGCCACAGGGAGCAGCGCAAGTGGCCAATTGTCCAACGGGCAACTGCGTTGGAGTCACATTGTTCCTAAGCATAACTGTTGTGCAATTGCTGCTAGTCTTTATCTACAATGTCTTCAAGTGAGTACTTATGAGCCTTTAATCCACGATCCCCTCAACTAACAATGTGTACAATTATTTCTTGCAGAAACCGCAGCGAAGCACAGGCGAAAAAGTTCTATTAGGCAAAATCGCGACTCTTTGGGATCGTAACGAGCAACAAACACACAAGCATACACCCACACAAAACTCGAGGAAACACATTCGCACACCTGACTAGGCAGCAACTAAATTTAGTTAAAATGAAAGATTTAAGACTTCTGCGTAGCATGCTCTACCATTACGTGAAACTGTTTGTTTTTTATAAAGCAGTCTGTTAAACAAGTCGGGTTCCGAATACAAATTCAAATCGTTACTTAATCGAAGAGAGAACAAGAAATTTGAACAATGAATAAGCCTCATGACAATGCCACGCAATACAAAATGAAGAAACCGTCGAAGAAGCCACAAGACAAACTTCCCCCTAGTAATAGCCAGCAGAAATGTTTCTTATTTCTTTAGCAAGTCAAGTCGAAAGTTTCACTTCATTCTCAACTCTGCATATCAAGTGTGCAGGCATTTCTATAAAACAAATAAAAATCAATCTACAAAAAAAAAAATCGAAAAAAAGAAACTATAAATGTATGAAAATTCCGTAAACTTAGCTAATTTGATAATATTGTGTATACTCTAGAGTCGAGTGGAGTCTTTTTAACTAGGCTCTCTGAAACTGAATTGGCAACATAAATCTTTTTTCCATTTTCAAGTGCTATGTAGTCAACAAAGCGAGTTAGCCAGCTTTTTTGTTATTTAGCCCGAAGGTGAATTTATTTAATAATTATGATGAACTGTCTCACTAAGTTTTTGTTTTGTTCGCATATCATTGGTGCGATGTAAGGAAGTTTTCTACTGAATAATTTTAATATACATACTGATAAATTATAAAAGAATGGAAGTGAAGTGTGTTTTTATATATGTTGTCCATTCCAGTCTCGATAGAAATGTCTAAACTGAAAATAAAAATCAATTTATAGAAAATCGCCACAAAAGTCTATCTATAACTGTCCAACTTTATCGCTTTACTGCGCTCTTTCATTTTATTTTTATACTCCCCCGAAAGCGATATTATTTTCGCTGATATCGACAGAGGAAAAACTTTATTTCTTGAAAAGTCCTCGTAAGCATAAATAGAATCCCTGACAGTTTCCCATCCTCATCCTCCCATCGATGACAATGCGGCAAAAATGGCGCCACTTGGTCGCCAACAGTGCGTGGAGGTGGGGCACGCGTTGGGTTTTGGTGAACTTTGGCCATAAAATGTAACTGCCATTGGTGGCATTGTGGGCAGGTCCTCTGTGGTCTGGGTTCCCATCCCACGACCAAAAAAAAATCCCAGGAAAACCCAGCCAAAGATAAATGGACAGAAGCCAACGGCAGTCACGGCCCATGTTATAAATTCACTCCGGGATCGGGGAAGGGGTTACATGTGGAGTCCCCAGGCTGGTAGTTCTGGTGTGTGGTTGGATGGTAGCTTCGCCTATGTGCTTCGGGTCCTATGTACTTTCAGTGCGCAGGAGCAAGACCAGTTTCAAAGGGTATTGGACGGGGGGTTTGAAAGGCTATTAACTGTTTGCAACAGCCAATCAGCTTGAAGCTCGCGAACAGAGAAAATGGTTTCATTTTGAGAGGGTTTTTACAGCAGAGATTGTCCGGTGCACTGTAACAAAACTTAGACTTGGGTATGGACTTTATTCATATAAGGAAATATTATTTTGTTATTCTTGGCTTAGTTATTAATTGTAGTTTAATAGTATTATAATTGGTTGCTCATTTAAACTTACTTTATTTAAATCTGTAAATTAGAAAATCACATTAAAAAATAGATATTTGTTCAATAAAGTGCAACAAACGGTTTAAACATTATACTTGAATGTACATTTATTTTAAATTTAGCAAAAAGTGATGTGGATCGTTAACTTTGTTTTTAGTTGGTGACAGGAATTCGTTTGGCTAGGAAACTCCATTTAACAGAATTAAGACAAAAAAACAGAAACAAAATTTACAAATTTATCGTTGTAGACAACAGTCTAAGGGCCGATTTCTCGTCCGTTTGTTAAATTTAAAGTAGGGTTAAAACCTTGAAATCGTATGGGAAATCAGAGGTTTAAGCCTACTTTAAATTTAACAGGCGAGAAAACGGCTCTAAGTAAAAGATTAATTAAATGTAGGTAACTATTATATATAAATCTTTGTGGCCACCGAATGTAAACTGGTGCATAATGAAAAAAAAAACCATTTTAAAATCAAAAATATGTATTTGTATGTTTATAAATACCCATTAGTTTAAATTTAAAGATTTTGTAACCTAGACAACTTGTCATAAATTTATATGGCTCTTTCAAGTAATTTATCCTTTCCAATCCATTTAACCATCCAGAGATCGTTTCGTTTCCACCCGAATCGTATCAAAATAGTAGCAATTTTAAAAGGATGCCAAAACTTTAATAATCCATATTGCATATTTACACATCTGTGGAATTTCAGAGCTCACCACAATCCATTAGTAAATGAAATTCATAAATCCCCCTCCAAATGTCCTTATTCCCTCCCTCCTCCAATCAGTTTGCAACATTTGCCAAACATTTGCGAAAAAAGGGGATATAAAATCAAAGTCAAAGTAGTTACCATGTAACGGGGTGGATCTGGCTGGCTGTATCGGTGCGATATATGTAGCTCTGGCTGTTGACAAATCCCCAGACCATGTCCTGAATATCCTTTGCGAGGAGGAGCAGCGGCAGCGTGACAAATGTTGCGCAAACAAATGGATTACATTGCTACGAGCAATCCCAATCCCAATCCCCGCCAGCCACAGCTACCCAAATGCCTCGCAATGAATCATAAATTTCCATAACTGTCATCCGATCTGGGCAGATTTCTTTTCATCGCCAGTCGCCGAAGAAAGCAAATTGGCCATCACCGGATTACGAACTTTGTTGCTAATCCGAAAATTGAAATTTGCTTAGTAATTTGCTAATGACCCGAACAAAGCTTAAGGGCCAAAAGGAAATTGATACAGACTCGTCTAAGAAATATTTATTTAATTTTACTTGATGCCACAAGTTTCGTTTGACAAATCTAAATATTTAAATTATTAAAAGAACATGTTATTGTAAATTCATGGAATATAAATTCAGAAGCCCGAAGTTTTAATACCTTTTCATATTTCACTATAGAAAATGTGATCAAGGTACACAAAAAATATTCGATTTTTAAAGGTTCATATTAATAGGATAAAAACCTCCGATCGGGGTTAAGTAAATAAAATTTAGAACAATGGTGGTAACTTTATAATTGTCCATAATAGTATTATTAATTTCGCATTTTATAAATTCGTCAGAATCATAGATCTGAAAGTATCCTAAAAATATTTCAAACGGAACTACTGAAGAATTTTAAATATATTTCATGTGTTTATCAAAACAACCCAAAGTCTTATACTTATTGGAACTAGGAAGCCAATGTTGATATCATATAATATATTTTCGCCACAATTTAGAAGGTGTAATAAACAACCAATATTGATTTCTGCCACTAACGATTTATTAAGTCATTATAGTTGATATTATTATTGTTATCAATTTGTTTATTTTGTACTTCCTCAAGCACTTATATTTCTATTTCACTGTCATTTTCTGGAATATTAGAGGTTTTAGTGGGAGGGTTGAGATAATCTTTTTACTTTATTCTTAAAGATAAATATTTCTTGCATCAATTAAATATCGTTCCATCTGCGCTTAAACGAATTTAAAAATCAGCAAGGGAAATTCGCCCCGTCCAAAGTGCAAGGACAATGGGAAAACTGCTCCTCGGATGCTGGATGTTTGTGCAACTGCTTTAGTTTCCCGATGCCATTAAGTCGCGGGTCGGGCGGATGACAAAGGATAGTCCATTAGACACAAGTCACAATTCCATTGAAGCGAGCTGGCAAATGGAGTCCCATTCAAAACCCCTCGTCCTATTTACTGGCCTGCATCCTGCGTCCTGCATTCCGAGTCCTGCACCCTTTGTGAATGTTTTTGCGAGCGAAACCAGAACAAAAGTCGGGCCTGGATAATATTTTGCGCTTTTTGGTATGACGAATCCACATGTCACACACGAATCGAATGGCCAAAGTCACCGCCTGCCCCCGGGAAAATGCAGAAAAATCCGGGAAAACCCCCTTCCCCTCATCCGTTTAGCGGGCAATCAAGCGTGTAGGGCAATTCAATAAGCCGGGAATGGATGGGGGTGCCACAAGTTTGGAGAACTTTATCAACACCCATGTCGGCATTAGTTTTGTTTACAAACTTTCCGTTGCCTTTTTGACAGTTCTTCTTTTGGGGTGGACTTTTCCTCATTGCGATTTCCCGGGGTGGATTTTTGCGGGGATTTTTATTTATGAGCACTTAAATCGAAGCGCAAACTGAAATTGCACACTGCACATCTACATAAATATGCAATTGCGGGCTTGTGAGAAAGTAGTCCCGCTGATAAATGATGAAAAAATAATAAATAAATACGGGATACATGTCGGCCCCCCCTTCTTGTTGTTATATGTGTTTTTTTTTTGGGTTTGTAACATCCCATCCCTCATGTAGCCGTCACCCCATCGCGGTCCTCAGATGACAGCTCCCGATAATGGTGACATCAATTTGAAACTCAATTGAGCTTGTTCCCAGCTCCTTGATAAATGCTGTGCTATCAGCGCCGTTTATCGTCCTCCGGTTTTGACTGGGTGCGACAAGTCAGCGAATTGGAAGCGCAATCGGACAGCCAACCCCCCAAGGTAAGGGGTTCTGGGCTCTATCTCCCTGCTCATCCAACATCCTCCTGCTCATCCCAATCCTTGATCTCTGGGGCGTTGCGAGCAGTTTACATGTTTAATGCTTGCTTAATTGCTGCCTCAGCCAGCGGGGCAGATCCTTTAGACAGGATAAGAAATCGTCTTCCAAATAGTGACATGTCAGCGGTCCCAAAAAAAATGGTTATATGAGGGAAAATTAAGTGAAGACAATTAAGCTGAAATGCAATCGTAAATGTTTTGCTGTACAATAGCATTTTGGTAAGAATAGAAAAGTCCTTAAGATAAGAATAAATATATGAACAGTTTTTATAAGTATGAAGAAGAATATTATTATGAATAGAAAATCAAAAATTTTTAAAGTGAGGAAACAATTACCTTTGCAGAACTATTTTTAACATATCTTACTTTATAGCACTGTGGTATTTAAGCATTTTAACTTCATAAGCAACTAAAGAACGTATTTCTGATAAGATATTAAGTTTTTAACCAGAAAAACCATCGATTGATCTTAGGGGCTCTAATTTAGTGTCTATTTACTTGGATAGAATCGAAACTTTTGCGATATTACTTCATACAAGATCCAAGATATAAACAAAATGCAATACAAATTTCAATTAAATGCAGTCAATAAAAGTTTTAGTGCCTTGAAATGTCAATAAATGCCTTAAATGAATCGAACTTTTAACAAGTTCATTGCACCACCTCCTCCACTTGACACCCCTGACTCCAAACTATATTCCAAATCCCGGACGCCTCGGATTCGAGCTCAACCTCAACATGTCCATTAGGCCATGTCGGTGCATGGCCTCGCCTGGATAAATAGACTGTTGAGTCATTAAACAATTTACGCAGCCATAAATTTACGCAATTTACTTAGTGCGCAAACACACATCCCGCAGGATGCCGAATGTCCTGGACTGGGCAATAAAAAATACCCCTGTTCGGGGCTGGGATCGAGAGACATTAACACATCTGGCCAGATACAAAGTGCCGGGCCGTCCGCCTGAGCGATTAACTTTTTGCATCCTTCACGCTCCGCTGGGCGAGTTAACCCGACATCTCATCTTCATCGTCATCATCTCCTGGCGCAAGGACATCGCCCACGCGCCGCTTGTTTGCATTTTTATTGCCCCACGCTGGGTGTGCAGGATGTAGATTTTCAGGATTGCCGCCGCTGCTGGCAGAAAATTTTAAT